GCTTTTCGTCGTCGGTGATGGGCTCGTCGAGGTCTGACGCGGTGTCGTAGTCGTCGTCGTCCGACTCTGACTCGCTGAAGACCGTGTCGGAATCGTCGCCTGCATCGCTGCCCGATCCACTGCCCGCACCGACACTAGCACTCGCGCCTACACCACACGCCTCGCTCTGACGGTCGGGGTTGAGCCACGCGTGGTACCAGTTCCCCAGGAAGATCTTGATGTCCGCGTTGAGGCCTAGGTACTCGACGTTACGCGCGATGCCCTCCCACTGGATGGAGCCGTCGTGGAGGCACTGCTGGATGTAGGTGAAGTCGCCAAAGTACATCCAGTGGACGAGGAGGTGGAAGGATGTGGGGTCTGGGACGGGAAGGAAGAGGATGGGGTGGTCGTTTGAGCAGGGCATGAGACGCGGGAGGCGGTCTGCAGGGACGGAGGAGGAGGAGCTGGGGGGCGCGGAGGAGTAGAAGAGGTCGAGAGGGAGGGCGCCGCTGAAGAGGCCGCGGAGATAGCTGGAGTGGGCGGAGAGGTAGTCGATGTGGAGGGGGAGGGAGATGCGGGGAACAGCGTTTAGCGGGGGCTGGGTGGCTCTGCGGCCGAGGGTGGAGGGCTCGTAGGAGGCGGCGATGGAGAAGGAGGGCTCGATGGCCGATGTCATTGAAAGCGCGGGCAGCTCGGGCAGTCCATGAGCATGGGGAAAAGGAACGACTGCAGACGGTAAGTGCTGGTACAGACCACGAAAAAAGCAGACTCACTTATGGTACAGTCAGCAGTGTCTGGCTTGTCCCAGTAGTTTGAAGCGAGATTGTGAAGTTGCTGGATAATGTAGTCAAGAGGCACTCCGGTCAGCGAAGAGGGAGGAAAGGGTCTTGGGTCAAAGGAAGGCATTGGAGATGGACCAGACCCGCGGCAGCACTGGGACCACCACCTCTCCTCCTCCGTGCTTTTATCACCGCTCGAACAATTGGACGGCGACATTTCGAGAATGGTAGTCCGGACCCGAGACAGCAGCTGCTCATCACTCCAATTGTTCTCTTATTGTCTTTGGCCATCAACAGCCCGTTTCGATGTTTGGCCCTGCTTGCTCCAGCGAGCGCTTACCGACAACATTCCTCCCGCCCCTGTCCCCCGCCCCCCGAATCACACGGATTCTCCTTTGCCCCCGACGGGTCCAAATCCTCCCCCTGTCGGCACCGAGCCCTTCAGCGCCATAGCTCATTGCAATCACCAACCGCGCATCGCGACCAGCCTTCAATATATCTCAACATACTTAAAAAAATCCCCCTCTTCTTCTCTGCGCACCATGTGGATCGTCGTCACTGGATCCTTTTTCGGACTACTCAAAGTACCCTCATGTGAGCCCAAGACGCAATTTATTTGATCTCAAGCATCTTTCGAGAATATCGTCTTGATCTCTTTTTTTGCCGACGCACTCTGTTCGACCGACTCCGCGTCGCACGGCCAGCTCCCCCTCGTCTTGCTCGTTGAACACCTCCCTCCGTAGGTCGTCGGTACCGAGTCGCGACACCCCCCATTCAATCCCTTTCCGCGATGCCGTCCCCGCCCTCGATCTGCTGTGCCTTTCGGGTCCGAAACATATCTTTCCATCTATATCTACAACCTCCTGAGCCCCTGTCTTTTTCTCTGCTCAAAAAGGCTTCTCGCTGTGCCAAGTCCTCAAACGTGGGTCCGTCCGTAACGCGTCTCTGTCTAAAATTTAAATTGAACCCTCCTAGCCTCTCAGAGACTCTCCCAGCGCACAGTTTGGACCCTCCCTCGGCTGCGGTTTTCTCGGTCCCTCGTCAGCGAGCTGATCATAACCACCGTCCATCGGTACCGAAGACTTTTCCGGACAGAACGCAGCCGCGGCCAAGGCGACGCGCTACTCTCTGTAACTTAGGAGTAGCAAGCAAGCGATTCAGCATGCCTTATCTGGTCGTGCGATACCTCGGCGTCAGAAAAGTATTATCAGACGAGATTATCAGCCGTCCGTTCGATGTCGTCAGCCTCGTCGGTACACCGCTATTGAACGCCATACGTACTGTGTATGATGCATATACGTCTTTTCTTACAGGCCCAAAGGCATCGAGCATCAGCTTGATGCAAGTCCACATCCCTAGTCCTTACTAGCGCTAGGAGTGCCCAATTGTCTTCGCCACAACGCCAGCCTAGGGCATCATTCTGATTGATTCTAGTGCACACGGAAATACCAAGTCCATGATGCTCGATCGAGCTACGAGCATTCCTCGTATGCGCCTAATCCTTCATCACCACCTACCCGATAGCGGTCAAACGCTCACCCCTACCTCAAGTTACCCACCCCCGTAACGGAGGTTATCCATACCTGCAGTGCGACGCGGAGAAAATCAGGAGTCAGGGGCTCGACAAAGATGGCGAGGAATTCCTAATTCGGGAATTGCCCAAATCGTGAGCCTAGCCGGACCGTTAATGTTCGTCTTTGACAGGACGTGTCCCGCTACTCGGCGGCCCTACTTATTTCGTAAATCAGAACTTAATGAATAGGAATTCATTCAGGTTCGGGGTGGATTAGATACAACTTTTTGGATGAGGCACCTGGTCGTTTTCAATGGAGTTGTTGGTCAACTTGCACGATCTCGGTGCGTGTTCGCGCTTCTCTTTCCTATGAACTCTGTTGGGCATTCTTTGACTGCTAGTGTGGAATAATCAGAATTCTGCTCAGGCTCGCGATCACATTCGTCTTTGGTTGCCCTCTTTAGATACATATCAGCATCACCGAGGGACAATAAATTCGGTCGGCTTCGTGTGAACGAAGGTGTCTTTAATCATGTATGAGTTTATCATGATCTCGAGCGACGGTTAAGGACTACGGAAAGGGCGATTTAGTCCGTGGCTGACGAGGGAGACAATGGACTGATGTTCAAGGTCTGATAGAATGACGAGGCAGACTTCCATTGAATCCATTCAATAGAGACGACGTTTCATCTGTCGCAGGAGTCAAATTTTACCCATTACTTACAAGCTATGACGCCCATAAGCGTGCCCACTCTGCTCGCTTTTAGCAGAGACCAATCCGTGAACGTTGATTTGTGGACGGGCCCTTAAGGCCTTACGATTGATCCAGGATTTGCACAGTATCGAGTCAGTCCGACCAACGGACATGATGTGTAGCAAGGCTGATAATACTTACTGTCGTGCTTAATCACAGCTGCGTAAGGACGTGTCGTGATACTTGTCCAAAATCTTCTCGAAATCGACACAGCAAAACTTGTTCGGGAGTGGGGCACGACGGCGCTGAGATCAATACAATGTAATACATACATCACGATACTTACTAGTACTCTGCAAGGGGACCCTCCATCGTGCGTCGCTTGAGAAGAGCAAAAGCCACAGACGTCGAGCGTCTGTCTGTGCGTGTAGCTACGGAGTCGTGCAGCAGCCCGAGTGTCCAGGCGACCACCAGTCATCCTGGTACGGCCTCGTTGCTAATTCGAGGTTCTGGAGGGTAGTGGTGTCGAAGTTCGGTCCTGAACTTTGATTCGAACCTGAACCAGCTAGAACTGAACTCGATGTTCGGTCCAGGGTTCGACGAAAGTGCTGAACTGGACCGAAAGTCCAGTTCTCGGTTCAGGCCCCGCCGAACGGGTTCGAACCCGTTCGAACCTGCAAGCGAAAACCAGCAATAAAAGGGTGTTTTCGAGCCGGATTTCGAGCAATTTCGTGTGGATTTTGCACGGGAATAGTCGGGAAAAAATGATTGCCCACCTTCATGTATATTTTAGGGTACGTAGCTTCTGTATCGGGCTGTGTAGCCGCTCTCGGCAAGCCCCGACAGCCCCTATCGTCCACATCAACGAAGGACCGCCTACAGAATCTCACTCAAAGCTACACACCACAGTGTTCTACAATTTATTCAAGCACCCAGTAGTACTTATAAGTAAAATTAAAAGTGCTTTGAAGTGAATTTCCTGCCAAAAATTTTCTCAACCCCGAAAAGAGTTCGAACGTGTTCGAACCTAAACCGAACCTGAACTCCCCGTTCGGTTCCAGGTTCAACCTGTGAAGGAGAACCGGACCGAAAGTTCGGTCTCCGGTTCGGGAAAAATGTGCCTTAAACCGGACTGAACCGAACCTTGACACCACTACTGGAGGGGTCCTGGAGGAGATAATAATTAGAACTCTCATGAATTCTCAGATTATTTTCGTGTTTTCTTTTTTTGCTCGTCATTTTACCTGCCCATGATCCTTCGTTTTCTTTGGACTGGCATTATTTTTACCAAGTACGACTCGTAGTCCACAAATCTGAGGAAAGTTGTTGATCGCTGCCCCCGAGTCTGAATGGGGATGCCACGGACCGGTCATGCCGTTGTTGAAAGTCACAGTAGCCTTGCGCGCCTAAACTCATCTCTTTGTCCCACACCACCATCTGATAACACCCATCTGTTCCACCTCTCCCTCATACCCTCTCCAAGAGGGTTATTACCAAGCCGGCAATGGATCTACTCGTCAGGTATGTGCCACAGGAGGCAAATAAGTGGACCGTGACACGCGCCATCGCGAAGGTCCTCCACTCCGACGACTTTGCGCCCGTCGTCGAGGGCAGGCGCATCAACTTCCGCGTCAAGCTCAACGAGAATCCCGCAGGGGGACTCCGCAACGATGGAACGGGCACCCTCACCTTGCCCACCGAGCAAATCGGCCACAAGTTCCTCAACTACGTGCACAAAGACCCCATAAAGATGGACAAGAACAAGCTCAAGTTTCGCAAAGACTCCAGACCGTCGCCCCACCACCTCGCCGAGACGCTCCGAAAGACCCCATACGTCGACCCTGATATCGAGGAGGACCGGCAGAACATCAACGAGAAGCTTGACAAAAAGCTTCGTGTCGACGTCGTACAGTTTGGGGTCCTCTATCGAGCTACGTACCCTCGCTCAGAGAAGGAGCCCCTTCAACCCCGTTCCTTCTCCATTGAGTGGCAACGCGAGTATGTGAAAGATAGTCTTGGACAATTAGAGTTCGAGTACGACCACAAACTCATTCGAATCACGGTACGCGTCGAGCGCTTGGTTTGTTTTTACTCGCGACTGACGTTGGTTGGTTTGCACAGCTCGGAAGCGAGTTGACGGAACAGGAGGGGTCTTCGATTGCCATTAATTTTGGGAGCATCCAGAAGATCGCTGTTGGATATGATGGGAAACCATGTGCGTCCTCATCGTTTGCCTTTCACACCCACGGCGCTAATGCTTGCACCTTTTTCCTAGACATTATTTTCGACACCCTTACACCCCCTGTCATTGAATGGATTCGCTTTCATCGCACTATGACCGGAGATCGCGAACAAGACTACCGAAAATTCAAGCAAAGAATTGGCGCTATAGACGAGGGCCACCACATTGTGGCTCCTTACGCTCCTCATCTCCGCCTCCTCCTTTACAATGATCCAGATAACGATGTCATTCAGCAGTTTATGTATCTGTGCGACGTTGCAGGCCTTTCAAACAGTATCATCTTTCGGTGTCAAGGTCCTACGGAAATTGAGGCGGAGAAGAAAGGCTTCTTCCAGTCGAAGCGGCTCTACCTCCTTCACAAGACTCTTGCTGCGTTTGAATGGCCCGTCGCTTTTCAGCTCGAGTCTCTTCTCCACAACGGGCTCCTTCACACAGATGATATCGACAGCCTCCTCCCCAAGATCCGCGAACTTCGTAAGAAGAAGAGCCCTGCGTTTATTGGTCAGCTGCTGAGGCAATTCAATGAAACCCTTCAAGATCGCCCTCCGCGGGAGAGTCCCATGGCCTGTTTTGAGAGAGTTCTCTCAAAATTCGAATGGTCACCTCCTCGAGGTGTCTTCCGTTGCTGCCATGTTACCTTCACGCCCTCCCGCATGATCTTGGAAGGCCCTTACGCAACTCAGTCGAATCGTGTCATCCGGGAATACGAAGGCTACGAGGACCATTTCATCCGTGTTGATTTTCGAGACGAGGACCGTCTCCAATACCGCTGGGACCGTGAGGTTGACGGGGAATCCTTCCTCAAAGCTCGTGTTGGTGGCACCCTCAAGGGTGGGTTCGAGTTGGCTGGTCGCCCCTTCGAATTCCTTGCATATTCGTCCTCTGCCCTCCGCGAGCATTCCGTCTGGTTTATGAACCCTTTCAGTCACCCTCAAAAGGGCCAAGTTACTGCTGCGTCGATCCGGGACTCCCTTGGAAAGTTCAGAGATACGGAGCTCTTGAGGTGTCCATCCAAGTACGCTGCCCGTTTGGCACAGGCATTCACAGCGACAGATCCTTCTGTTGAGATTCTCCCACACGAGTGGAATGAGATGGAAGATCTCAAATGCGGGAAATACATGTTCACCGATGGCGTTGGCACAATATCAAAGGCGCTTGGCAGCAGAATCTGGAAAGAACTTAGCAAAGACAAACGCCACTCGCACCTTCTCGAGCCATCCGCGGTTGGCATAACTCTGTATTGTATTATCGCTGAATACGCTGACAAGTTTCTTCATAGTATCAAATTCGCTTTCTGGGATACAAAGGCGTGGTAGCCATTGATGAACAACTCGACAAACAGCTAGATAAAAACGGCAATGGTATCCATATGAGATTGAGGGAATCCATGAGAAAGTTTGAAACCGAGAAAGATCAACCTGCGCCTCTTGAGATTGCTCAGGCATTCCAGTACCCAAACACCTGCTATTTAAATCGGTTCGTATCCTTTACAACAGAAAGATAAATGAGGCTAACCTGTGCTTGATTCAGACCATTGGTAATGCTGCTGGAAGATGTTGGTGTTCGCAGAGAATCTCTCCAAGACCTTCAGGACAAAGCTGTCGAAGCCGCACGCACGATTGACGATGACATAGAGAGCTTCTATAAGGTCATTGCGGACCATGGTCTGGGTCCTTCATACAGGCTACGAGATCTATTGGCGCGGCTCAAAGACAAGTACAACATGGACATTACTCCGAAGAATGGGAAGTCAATTCTCATAGACACTCCTTTTTTGCGGCAAGTCCGGCAAGTTGCAATGACGGAGATTTTACGGGACATCAAGCACAGCGCTAGGATACCTGTGCCAGAAAGTTATTTGCTTGTTGGAATCGCCGACGAGGGCCCTGCCTATGAAGCAGAAGGACACAAAGATGTTTTCTGCTTGAACGAGTCAGAAATCTACGGTATGATTCTTCCTTTCAGCATTTCATTTGTCTTTAATGTGTGCACCACAAAATAGTCTGCATTGAGGATCGAAAAGGAGAAACCAAGTGGCTCGAAGGAAACTGCAGTATCTCAAGAAGCCCAGTTGTTCATCCAGGAGACGGTAAGTGGAATAAAAGAGCAAAGCAGTTTCTATGACAAGAGCTTTCTTACAGTTCAACGAGTGCGTGCTGTGGGCAAGCCACCAGATGACAAGCTCTGCTTGTTTAGAAACATCAAGAACGTGGTTGTGATGCCTTCCAAAGGTAAGTAATGTGGATTCTTAAACATAGACATATTGTCTTAATGTTACTGCTGTAGGTTCCCGCTCTCTACCATCTTGTCTAGGCGGGGGAGACGTTGATGGGTACGTCAGCCTCAAAACAACTTTACGTTCTTACTTGATGGGCTGGAATAGGGATCTATTCTCCGTCATCTGTTATGATGCGCTGCTTCCAACATCCCTCGAAGAGGCAGCCAGCTACGACTCTGTGGGGACATATAAACTGGATAGGGACAGTACTGTCGAAGACATCTGCGACTTCGTAGTGCAGTACATCAATTCAGATGTTCTGGTATGTCTTTTTTCGTCTCTATTAGGTTTTTACTGAACCATGTCCCAGGGTCTTTTATCAGACAGGCTCCTGACAATTGCTGGTGCGTCGGAGAGTGGGTTTTCTAGCACGATGGCTAACCATTTTTTTCTGCGACGCGAACTAGACCAATCAAGCGTAAGTTGTCTCTCAACACTCTTTGGGAAATGTGATCTCATTATTGTGCTTTACAAACAGGAGGGCATGCGCGACAAAAATTGCATATGGCTGGCAGAACTCTGCTCCCAAGTAAGTTCTTCAGACCACTCAGACTCGGAAAAATGATTCTCATGCGCCTCGTAGGCGGTGGACTATCCAAAACAAGGCATACCAGTAGATATAGACAACAACAGGCTTCCGGGGACCCTCATTCGCTGCAAGCCAGATTGGCACGCTGCTGAAGTAGTGTCCCCTCGCAAGACGGATTACTACGAGTCCAGCCGAGCGTTGGGTTTCTTATTCCGGTCAATCCAGCTCGCCGACCCTGTCCCCTCTGAGCAGCAATTGCCCGTAGTTTCTCCTATGACTAACCCCATCTCAGCAGCTCTTCTCGAAGATGTGCAACTATACCTAGGGGAGTCTGCCTTCTCAGAAAGCTTCCCCCCTGAGGTGCTGAAAACCTTCCGGCGATACTGTGACGAACTTCGATACATTTGCGCGACACACACCCTGTCAAATACTCCAGGTATACGACTTCTTGAAGCCGAGATCGTTGCTGGGACAATTTTGGCAAAATGCTCCCAGAAGCGTTGGAGAAAAGACCGTATCTATCGGATGAAGCTTCATTCCGCTGAATTGGTAAAGGATGTCCAGAAAGCTCTTCTGGAGGATGTGGATGTAACATCTGTCGAGGAGGTGATTCGCGGGCTTGACCTTGCCTGGAGGGCTTGGGATCTGAGCCTTCGTCGCCGGAATGAATTTGGAGCAGATAGTTTTGGATTAATTGCCCTGAACACTGTTTTTGAATGCCTGGATCACCTTTCCAAATTAACTTGAGGTCAGTATCACTCCTCACCTTCTGTAATTTATTGACGTTAGTATTTTCCAGCATTCTTAAACGAAGTATGATATGACGATGTTACACCGCGTTGAACATCATTTTGTAGGATTAAGCACAGATTATGCAATGTGTGGGAAAATTTGCCCAAATTTAGTAGCCCCTCAGCGATAACCTTCTTGGGCTTGTTGCTTGAATGCTCTTGAATGTGAACGTCGATGTCAACCCCTCCAGCTTCCAATGACATATTCGCTGTGAACCCTTATGAGTCGCATCCCAGTTTAACACCATTAGAGGCTGCGGTTCTTTGGGAATATGCAAAGCTTGCCCAACACGTACGGATGGTGCGTGGCAGTTGCACCAATCGAGAGCGCGTCGCAAACGATTTGTCCCACAGGTGACCCAAAAGACGCGTCAACTGAACGAGGAGCCTGATAAAGTCATGTTGGCCAAGCTTCGTGTCCTTGAGAAGAAAATGGGTCTTGTTTTGACGCTTGTAGGTGCACGATCCGCATTGCCGAGATGGCACATTCCGTTAATTTGCCCATTCAGTTCAAAGCTTCCGTGTGGGGAGTTATTAACGAACAGCCAGATCCTGGGATGCACAGCCAGGGATACAATGACTCCAATGATTTAACTATTCGGCATTAGTGTACATAATTGTGATAATACGCGTCGTTCGTGGTTCAGACTCGAACATCTACCTCAAATGGGCGGCTCCAAGACGGCTGCTCAACGCGGATACGGCATTGACATCCCAGATCACCAACATCCCATCCACACCTGAAGTACTAACCCTCGTGATGTTACTTCCACGATACTCGTATGGGCGCACAGTGGTAATCGTGTTCTGATGGATGGTGCTAAGCTTGGTGTCGGTTGCTGCAGAGCCTGAACTAGATTGGCCACGGGAGTCTGCATCGCGGAAGGTCGCGAAAGCACCGGCCTTCAGGCGACCAACGCTAGAACCTCCAAAGCCTGAACGAGAATCGGGTGATTTGCCTGATGCATCGTCAAGGGTTCCAGCTTCTTGCCAGCCAGCCTCTGACCCTGAGAATACGAGAGGACGGCAATCGTGCCCAGCAGCAACGATTGTATCTTCAGAGGTCCAGGTCAGGCTGACAAGAGGAAGGGAAGACATGCGAATGTTGTAAACCACTGGACCACCAGGATATACGATGTTGATGGAGCTATCGTGACCTGTACCAGTGGTTAATCAATGGTCGGAAAATCAACTGATGGTCCCTACTTGCGAAAGCTAGGACATCTCCAGACGGAGAAAACCCAACGGTATGTACCCATCCACCAGCGGGGCTCGTGTATTCTCCACAAATAGTATTGAAAGGGAGTTTGGAACCCCAAACAGTTGGAGCCGGCCTTCGGTCGGGAGTCAGTAATAGGCATCAAGTTCGGTATGTTCTGAGTCCACACCTCTCATCCACTTCCTTAATGTATGCAGAAAAGACCCGAGCTTTCATGTCAGCACTGCCTGCCGCAAGCAAGACATTGTTCGGGTGCCAGTCCACAGAGAGAACGGTCGATCGGATAGGTTTCTTCAGCAGCTTGGACACCCACCAATTGTTCTCCGGGTCAAAGGAGCAAATGGCGATAGCACTGAGCGAAATCATGAGCATACGTGTTGAACGGGTCTGAGGTTGATTATCACCAACCGAGCACCACTGGCAACTGCGAACTTGTCTTCCTTGGGGCTCCAACGCACATTAGTAGCCGCCCTGTTGATCCTCAACAAAACCAGTGTCGGTTTCCAGACGAGCCTTCCGGTTTCCGGGTCAGGCTGCTCTTGCCAGACGTAAGCGTTCCTATCTTGAGAGCAGGTCACAATGCGATTGGAATTGGGAGCCCAATCAATCGAGGTGATCAGTTTATCGTGCTGGGAGCGAGATGGGTTGGACGTCTTGCGCCTCAATATGAGCCGGGAAATGAACATACCTCGGAGAGGGTAACGGTAGAAACCCATTCATTTCCTTGACGGGAGAGAATTTGAGCATCGTTATTGTTCAAGCTGACCGCAATTTCTGGATATTGTATGTGTCAGTTTGCTGGTGGAGAATGTCGTGACGGCATATACTGACGAGAACGGTCCGCGCTGAAAGAATGGCAGGTGACTGGAGTCTGGGACAAAGTGAAGATTTGGGGCATATGTGCAGAGGACTAGCAGTCGACTACTGCGCGTTGATGGTGGAAAGAGTACAAGTGTACATAAGTAAAGTATGGAAAGCGGGACTGATCTGCTCAAAGTTTGGTCATCCAAACCTCGGCAACGATGATGGCCGACACGTTAGCAAGCTGCAAATATGAAATTATCAATTTCCCTTCTTCCCTTGGTCCATGAAATAACAAAGGGAGTACATTTAATCGGCTAGAAATGTTCGCATCCTCTGAAGATATATACGTCGCTCTACTGGTGACTTTGAGGATCCGGGTCTGAGTAAAAAGGTGTGAAAATATTCAGGAAGGTCCGCGAGATGGCCACTGCCCCCGGTGCATTGAGTCACTTGGGGCACGTCATTATTTATTATATGATGCTGTACAGCTTTGACATGCGACCTTATGGTCTTCGAGCTCATCAACTTCAGGCAATAGAGAAACTTGCCATTAATGTTGTTGCGATGGCTCGGTGAATACCATGTCCAGTGAGGCTGGTGTAAGGAAGGAAGGTTGGATTACCGGCGAGGTCCCAATGAGGAATGACCGACCCGTGATGTACTTAGAGATACAAGCTACAACTTGAACTACTCTAGGTTATTCCAACAACCCACTATGCCAATGCACAGATCCACGACAATGAGCACTGAGTCCGGAGGCGCACGACGTGCCATTCTCTCCACCTCGCCTTGATCCCATTTCTTGTCTCTTATTTCTTGTCCCCGTATTGACATCTCAAGGTTCGGTTCAGTCCGGTTTAAGGCACATTTTTCCCGAACCGGAGACCGAACTTTCGGTCCGGTTCTCCTTCACAGGTTGAACCTGGAACCGAACGGGGAGTTCAGGTTCGGTTTAGGTTCGAACACGTTCGAACTCTTTTCGGGGTTGAGAAAATTTTTGGCAGGAAATTCACTTCAAAGCACTTTTAATTTTACTTATAAGTACTACTGGGTGCTTGAATAAATTGTAGAACACTGTGGTGTGTAGCTTTGAGTGAGATTCTGTAGGCGGTCCTTCGTTGATGTGGACGATAGGGGCTGTCGGGGCTTGCCGAGAGCGGCTACACAGCCCGATACAGAAGCTACGTACCCTAAAATATACATGAAGGTGGGCAATCATTTTTTCCCGACTATTCCCGTGCAAAATCCACACGAAATTGCTCGAAATCCGGCTCGAAAACACCCTTTTATTGCTGGTTTTCGCTTGCAGGTTCGAACGGGTTCGAACCCGTTCGGCGGGGCCTGAACCGAGAACTGGACTTTCGGTCCAGTTCAGCACTTTCGTCGAACCCTGGACCGAACATCGAGTTCAGTTCTAGCTGGTTCAGGTTCGAACCAAAGTTCAGGACCGAACTTTGACACCACTAGGCTCGTTGACCAAATCTTTTGCAGCTCGTCGTCCTTTGCGCAGTAATTAAGCGCCCTCATTAGTTGCACCTTTCCCCAAGTCATATGCCATCATTCCGCACCTCTAAATAGTGCTTGCTCATAAATTAGAGCTGCATAACAAGGGAACATGACTGTGCACCTCAGAGCTGCTCACTCCAAGGTCTGAGCATGTTTTTTCATTCCCTCAATGCACCCGATTATTACATTGATGCACGTCAACAATGCCACTGTGTATGGCACTTATGAATGAACAGATTTACTTCTTCTATGTATGGACACAGAATTAACCTCCATTTTTTTTGTAGAAAGAGAACAGGAATTCTATTAACACGCGACTCGGATACTTCTCCTAGGCTGGCGTGAGATTACTGGAATCACTGGTGGCTCAGTGGAGTCATACACGTGGATCAGAGCTACGAGGCTTTAGCTTTGGGAAGCAAAAATACTGGACACTTCTCGCTCGTTCTATAAGAAATTTTGATGAAATGCCCATCAGACTTCATGAAGCCTTGCAATTTTTCTACAATTGAGGGCTCGGTAACCTTCCATCCTCAGATTACTTCAATTCGGACTCACTCATTGGCCCAAGGCAACAACACAACAGGCTCGAGAATACGCACGGGCCATGTCGCCTGACAGGCCGATTAAACATAATATGGACCTTGAACACGGAAGGGAAGAAGGGACATTGATAATTTTATATTTGCAGCTTGCTAACGTGTCGGCCATCATCGTTGCCGAGGTTTGGATGACCAAACTTTGAGCAGACCAGTCCCGCTTTCCATAGTAAAGTACCCAATTGTTTGTCCTAATATCATACTTATTGGCAGTGATCGTACCGTCACATATGTACTGCCCCTGGCATAAGCACTCCAACATCGAAAATTGACTGAAAATGGATGAGAATGGTTGCGCATATAGATACAGGTAGTCCGTATTGCCCCAAGCCACTGGCACAATAACCCTCAAATACCCATCTACTGACGACGCAAATATCTCAACAGCCGGAAGTCTGTTCAATATACTACTAAGAGTTGTCCGTTTTCAGTCGCGACGAGGATTCTGGAACGCTGATTAGAGATGCACCCCCTTCTGCTGGCTCATCGACTTTACGCATTTGTTTGGCCCAGCGAAGTCCGCAAGCGTTGCAAAGGGTCTTCGGTCCTAGAGGGCCCTACAACACAATCAGACAAAAAAAAGTGAACCACAACCTCGCACTCGTCGACACACCTTTCGCCATTCTGGAGAATCAGTACGGCCACATGTGACGCACACGTATTGTTCCGCGTTTTGCGCTCGCTTCATCTGCAGGGGAATAAATCTGAGAATGTTGCTCTCTGTCACGTCAACGGACCTTCTTTTTGGCTGTACCCTCACTGTCAAGCGGTTCGTCGAAATTGTTCGACAGAGTAGCAGTAACAGCTTCGTTTATCGGCTCTAATCGCTCCTTGGCACCCAACGTGAGACCACCAAACTGTCCTGTCGCTGTTGGCTGCGGAAGGTACTGGCTATACTGATTTCCAATATCCACTTCAGCCTGTGGAAACCCAGAGAACGACCCTGCAATATTCTTTTGCGAATGCAAGGACGATGTCGCATATATTGAATTTGTGTGTGATCCCCCACGAGCATTGTGACTAGGAAGCAAGTCATTGGAAGGTAGGCGACTCCGATACTCAGTGACCTTCCGTTGCAAGCGATCGTTCTCTGCTTTCAAGACGAACATAGTGTGCAAACTAAAAGAATCAACATTGCCAGATACAACGAGCGGTGATTCACGACTCACGCTGAGGCATTGCGGCTAGGATGTGGGGACGCCATAGCCAGAAAAACTTTGGTTTCGGCATTACCGTCTCCCACAACAGTGTGAGGAAAACACTTGACCTCGAAGAGGAGAGCGCCTGACGGTGGCTCATTTCCATAAAAGTGGTCGCTGTCGTTGCTCTTCAACTGTATCAAGTCATGGAATCCAAGGCTGGTCTTGGTGCATTCGTCAAATCCAACGCGAAACCGTGCTTGATCCGCACCTAGTAGGAAGAATTAGAAATTAGAGAACATGAATTGTTCGAATGAAGCCTACTATCAATTACTTCAAGGAAGTTGAGATCCAAGATGTCAACGTCTCTCCAACCCAGGAGCTCAGTGACCGCTGCACTGCAGAAAAGAATCTTGCAAGTAGGCGACAAGACAAACAAGACGTCATCTACGAGTTCAGCGAGAATAAGATCTGCCCATCGCTTTCGCTTGGTGAACTCATAGGTTGACGGCTGTTTCGAGGACGTTGACGGTGGAGGAAGGGGAGCTGTCATGGTGGTCAAGAGCAGACCACTTGGAGCAAATTATGACGTAAGGGAATGATACATGCATGCCGCACTGGCAAGTTAGAGGCATACATCCGATTATATTACACAATATCCACCATCCACCCGTATCTCAGAACCCGTCATAAACTTCGACGCATCGCTAGCTAAGAATACAATTGCTCCCTAAAGCATCGGAATGGTTATCTCAACGCGTAGACCCAGGAAGAAAGATACATACTGAGAGATCTTCAGGTTCTCCCATCTGGAAACCCATGGAGAAATTTCGACAAATTTAAAACAGGAGAATCAAGCTGCTTACCCTGCCCATTGGTGTGAGTCGTTCCCAAGTATTCTGAAAGTAAATATTATGAAACACAGGATCACATAAAGTCGGCGGAACCACAGACCTTGAGTTCAACATCTTTCTCCAGAATCGTCCTCGTAAGTTTCGTCAGCATGTAGCCAGGACTGAAAAAAAGGTAAGCAGTTGGTCGCGAATAGATGTAAATCTGATAGATACCTTAGAGTATTGACTCGAACACCCTGCTTGGCCCATTCTACGGCCAGACTTTCCGCCATATGCTTCACAGCGGCTTTGGATGCATTGTACGGCGTTTGAAGCTGAGATGGGAAATACAGGTTTGTTAAGAGATAGCACCCACCGACGCCGAGAAAAGAAAAAGACAAACCTGAGGAATGTTCACGATCTTAGCTGAGAATGAGCCTATCAGTAGTACCTCGAGCGGCTAAAATCACGTACATTCGCACTCATGCTAGAAATCAGGATGATGGACCCGCCACCATTTGGTATCATGTTTCGAGCTCCTTCACGGGCAGTGTAGAATACGCCATGAACATTTACGTCGTAAAGTCTCTTGACACGTTCTGCTGGATAGCTAAGGATCATAAATAGACTTAGCTGATAGCGCAGCGTCATCCCCATTAAAGGGAACCCGGAACGCACTCGAGAGCAGGGTAATTTTCGACGATACCTAGGACAAATCAGAGTCAAAACACCACCGAAGATGAAAGAAATCTTACCAGCTGAGGCAACGACCGCATCGATCCTTCCGAAGTTGTCCATGATAACCTTGAAGGCTTTCTGGACTGATTCTTCCGACGAAACGTCACATTCGATGCCAACAAACTTGATTTTGTATGCCTCCAGTTTGCAATCCTCTGCAGGTTCGATTCTCTAGCTGTAGAGGACTCTTGCCAACTAGCGAGGACGTACTGATGGCATAGTGAGCGAGTTCTTGGGCAGCCGCCTTGGTTTCATCGACCTTGAGATCCAAGATCGCCAAAGAAGTACAGCCCCTGCAGGGGTTGGTTAACGGAGATTCGAGCAAGAAGGGCATAATGTTGGCATACGATTGGACAAATGCCCTGCAAAATTCGAAACCCAGTCCTCTTGCTGCGCCTGTCACCATGCATACCTGGAATTCGACATCAGTTTGTTATATTTGCCTGGAAGCGGCACATCTACGCACCTTCCCTTGCATCGAGAAAGAGGGCAGAGTCATTGGAGAGGTCGGAGTCATGGTTGGATCTTGCTTGAAGAAAGGACAGGAGTGGGTCTTTCAGGATCCAGAAGCCATACTATATAGGCCATGGGGGCGCGGGTAAGAGTCGGATATCGGTCCATACTCCAGATCTCCAAAAATATTTACTCTTGTCGATCACAAAACGTCTTGCATCCGGAATCAAAATGCAGTTCGGGATTGACATTCAAATTACCAGTAATCCGAGCGTCCTGAAAGGAGCGTGATCATAGAGCGTAGCATATATCTGGTGTACACATGCACTCATATCGTAGTGAACGGAGCCAGAAGAAAGGAAGGAACCATGCAAATAAACAAGAGATATGGACGCGAGGGTATCTACAGTATGTATCGAAAATAATAGTTGTACAAGGAGCGGACCTGGTATATAATCCAGAAAATAGTAGGATAGTCACAATATAGCAGAAAACCAATTAAGCGAGAATGCAAAGAGGAGGGGTGGGGAGAATTATAGACATGCGAATTTAGACTTCCGTTTTTGGAGTTCCTCCATCCGTGAATCGAGTTGTTGTCGAACGCGTTCCTTTGCTTTGCGTTCTTCGTCAAGTCGTTGTTCTAGAGACTGTTTCTCCTCGACTATTGACCGACGAACGGATACAACCTCACGTTTCGCCTCGGACAATTCGTTCCGCAGGGCCTCGATCTTGTTGTTGAGGGTATCTCTCTCCCGCGCCAATTCGGTTGCTTGCATGCGGGCTTTCCGCACTAAAGGGGAGATTGAGTTATGCAGATCTTACATTGACGGCTTAGCAAAACTTACAGTTCTTTTCGGAATCGCCGAGAGACGTCTCTAGAGTGCTGACGAGGTCCATGTGAGTCTGAAGATCGCCTTCGCAATGTGTGAGCTGCTTGTTCAGCGTCTTGATCATCGCCTCTTGCTCATCGATGAGCTTCGTCTGCTGCTCCAACTTTGCCGCAAGCTTCGAGTCGATGGCACCGTTGAGCGGTGTCATATGTCCGACTGATGTTGACGGCGATTCAGGCTGCGACTCCCTTGAAGAACCCGAGGAGTTAAAAGCAGATGAGCCTTGAGACGAAGTGCTGATATTAGAGTCTCCATTCATATGATGGGCAACAGCAGATCGAGGTGCAGGGGGCGGCGGAACTGATGGAGGTGGTGTAGGAGGAGGGAGTTTAATGGCAGGAAGTCCTGCAGCTCCGTTGCGTTGGAACCCAATGTTCCGGTCAGGAGAGCGGACGTTCGGTGGGGATGCACTTCGCGCAAGTTGAGCTTGTAGATCACGTACAAGAGAATCAGATCGGTTCTTCTCAGTTTGAAGGGTGTCCTTTTCATCCTTGACTCTTTGCAGGTTCTCTTGTAGGTCTGCCAGAACTGAGCGATGACGTTCGAGTTCGATAACAAGGGATTCTCGCTTCGATGCCTCTTGAATGAGTTTCGACTGCTCGTTGCGTGTCTTATCGAGCTCTGCTCTCAATCGGGCGACCTCTGTAGCCAAGTTATTTCGCTCGCCCTCAACTTCGGTTAGATTATTCTCCAAGGACGTAATAGTCATGGCCCTTTCCCCTTGCTCCAGCTCATGAGTCTCACGCGCCTGTTCGCGCAACAGGGCAAACTCGTCCGCGGCAACCTTGTAAGCTTCGATTTCCTGGACCAGTAGATCCCGTTCCTGGCGGAAGACAGCTCGTTCTTCAGCGAACTGCGACTTCAGATCGTCCAAAGCGGCTAAAAGACGCGATTGTTCATCGAGGAGTGATTGCTTGCTTTGAACTCGAACGGCTTCAATAGACTGTTGGTGCTCCTCCTGAGCCGCATGGAGCTTTGCATCAATCTGTGCAACAATTTTCTCGTACCCCTTGCGGAGATCAAGGATTTGTTTCGAGTGTGATTCCTGAACTGTCGAGCGATCTTGCTCTTCCTTGGCCTTTAGTTCATGGGTTACAGCATCGTGTTTCGCTTTCAAGGTGGCGATGTCCTCTTGATGACCGCGCTCGATTTCTGAAAGTATTTCCGCCTGTTGTTCTTGCATGGTGCGCACCGCAGCGTCGTTGTCTTGTTGAATCTTCAGGATAGCAGCTGCATGATCGTCTTTGGCGGCCGCCAGCAACCCCGTCAGGCTTTCGATCTCTGTGCGCCAATCCGTCTTGAGCTTGGAGATTGCCGTTTCGTGTTCAAGCTTGAGCCTATCGATATGGAGAGCATGATCGTCATCCTTGGCTTTGGAAGTTCGTATGAATCCTGCATTAAGGCTCTCGACTTCCTCAGCGAACGCGGCCTCCTTCCTCGCTATGGCGGCGGCGTGTTCATCCTGCAAGTTCTTCAAGGCCAAAGCCCGTGAAGATTCACTCTCGGAAAGAGAGCCTTCCTTCGCGATTTCCGCCATGCGAAGTTCTCCAGCATGCTCCTCGCGGAGACGTTCGATCGTTGCGTTTGTTTCGGCAGCCACCGTCTTGATAGCATCGGCGTGATCATTGCGAAGTTTGGTGAGAGCATTATAGTACTCTTCCTCAGTGGCCTGTAGGGCGGCGGCATGTTCGTCTTCCTTCTGGCGCAACAGAGTAGCATGCTCGGATTGAGCCTTCGCCAGGGCCTTTTCGCGAGCGGCACGTGCTTCTTCGAGAAGGGCGTCGGCGTCTGCCAGTTGTGATTTGAGAGCTTTGTCGTGCTCTATCTCGAGTTTGCCTAGAGTGGCCTCATGCTCCTGTTGTGCCTTCGCAAGGGCGTCGGTCGCCGCTTCAACTTCGCGGCGAATGGACGAGATAGACGCTTCATGCTCCGCCTTCGCAGAACTGAACAGTTCTTCTACTTCCCGTGACTTCAAAACAATGACCTGTTCATGGCTGACACGCAATTGCTCGACTTGGGCCTGGTGAATTTCTTCAGCTTTGGCCAAGGTTTCTAGCAGCTGCGCTTCGCGTTTACTGACTTCTTCAATCTCCATTGACATGTTGTGGGCCTGCAAAATACATAAACAAAAATACTGGGCTCAACGAATGGTTCAAACCTGATCTCGCGAAAGGGCAGTAAGATCGTCGAGCTGTCTTCGAGTTTGGCTGAGTTGAGCATTCAAGTCATCGACCACCTCACGATGATGCGACTCCTTCTGAGCCATAGAACTAGAGATGCATATTAGTTCTCGGTACGAGGCGTTGTCACGAAAGCTGTTACTCACAGCATGAGCTCATTGAGCCTCTCCAATGATTCGTCTTCAGAAGACGAGGAGCCAGATTCGGTGTGTCCATTGACTTGTTCAATCGACTTGCGAATATGGTCGAATTGATTGAGAGTCTTCGGCGAGAGGGTGTTGTCAGGGCTCGTTGGAACTGCGTTACCGTTAGTTTGAAGGGTATCTCCATTCACTAACTCGTCTTGCTGTTCTTCTTGCAACCGTTGCTGCTGCTGCTGGCTCTCCTTCAGTGACTCTTCAAGGAGAGAAATTTCCGATTCGCGTTCTTTGAGAACTTCTTGTAAACGCATGATCTCTTTCTCCAAAGATGAAACCGAGCGCTCGCTGGAAGGTGATAGGCTTGGCATAGAGATAGAAAGGTTGGGACGTAAGCCCATACTTTGGGTAGTCGAATTGGAATACGAGTGAGAGTGCGAATGTGAAAACGAGTGGGAGCTAGAGGGAGAGTGGGAACTGCCCGTCGCGCTAGAAAAGGAAGCTTTGCGCGAGTGCACCGAGGATAGCTCCTGCGATAGCGATTGTGACTGCGAAAGCGACCTAACATAATGGTAAGTATGAAATATTGTATTGCACGCAATTAATAACTGACCTCGCGTGGAGCGACTCCGCCGAGGCCGCCTGTCGGAAAAAAAGCCGACGTCCAGAAGAATTGTATTGGACTTCAGCTGCGTCCCGAATGCGAGGACTTCCGCCGAGTCTTCGTCTGACAGGCGGAAGGTCAGGAAGTTCCGGCAGTTCTTGGTGTTTGTCTATCGAGGGCGACTCCGTCACGGACTCTGTGATGCTAGGATTGCTCAGCTTAGCCTCTTGTATCTGGGATGCAAGGTCAGAAATCTCGCGAAGAGCATCGCGGTACTTGTCCGAAACGGAGGAAAGGTCGGCTAGTGTCGCTGTGTGGGTTTGCTGTAGCGCAAGCAACTGGGACTCGATATCCGACTTTGGAGCCGGAGCAACAGGTTCGTCCGCAGCTTCCTTGATTGGGGATGGGTGGGCATCCGTGGACGGTGCTGAAGATGCAGGAGAAAGCGATATCGAGTTGACCTTGACTTCGAGACTCCTTCGCGCAGATACCACTTCTTCAACGACCTCTCCGAGTCGAGCCCTTGCTTCTCCCGCATCCTTCCTCCTTAGTTCCCATTCGGCCATCCTCTCCTCAAGTTGCTTGACCTTCAGCTCACGAGCCTCGAGGTCGGATCGCCAGTTTTCCCCATCCTGCCGGAGGCTCTCTAAACGACCTTGCAGAGATTCGATTTCATCACGACGACGCTCGCACTCCTTCTCCAGACATTCAACAGTTTGCTGAAGAGAAAGAACTGATTCGTCGGAGCGGGAAAGGCGAGCCTCGAGGTCGGCGATATATTTGCTGGAGTGGGCCTCTGCGTCTCTGAACCTCGCAATTTCGCGTTTGAGGTCGGTCATTGATTCGCTGGATGTTACAGAAGTTTCATCGTATGCCTTCATCTTCTCCTCAAGGTCGCGGACATAAGCCTGTTATTGTTGAGAGACAAAATCAGATGCTGGTGAAACAGATGTCGGATTGCGGAATTACCTCTGTTGAAGCCTCTCGCTCTGTCAGCTTGACAACACGGGTCCTCAACTCCTCAACGTATAGCTCGGTGGCGGAATGTCGTTCGGTGATAGCTGCCAACTCCTCTTCCTTCTCCTCGACCATCTCATTGGTATGCCGCAAAGCGGCCCTGTTCAAACTGAGTTCGGCTTCCATGGCGCTAATTGTCTTCTCGTATTCCTCAATGACCGGACCGACGATCTCTTCGTACTTGGCAGTTCCACCAACGGCACCGGCAGAACTGTCTCTGTGCCTTTCGCCAAGCTCGCGACGCAGTCGAGTGAGTTCTTCAGTACGCTCTACGAATTTCTCCCGCAGATCCTCGTAGTTGTTCTGGAGTTCCATCATCTGGGCCAGGACCTTCTTGCCAGCGCCTTCAAGAACCTCGGGCTCCTTGTCGGCAGTGGAGACGATGATGTTTCCATCCTTAATGCCTTTCAATTCCTTTCGGAGTCGAGCGACAGTGCCTTGTAGCCATTCGATATCGTCCCACCCATCCTCCTTCTCGTTAAGCACGGCGCGATTCTTGATGTTCCGAGCGCGGTTGGCGTACTTGAGGGTGTTGATGGTTTCGTTTGCGTTCCATTCGGCCGGGCTGACGCAAGCTATCATAAGAGTATGTGCATTTCCGCCCAACGAGTCCTGGAGAAGGCGAGTTAACTTGGAATCGCGATAGGGTACGTGGGTTGCCGTGTGGGATTTGGCGCGCGAAGGATCTCCAAGGGCTGATATGACATTGCCTAGGGCCAGAAGTCCACTGTTAATGGAAATACCCTCTTTGATACGTTCTCCCGCGGCGGCGGTACGCTTGAGCTAAAATTCCCAGAAGATGTGTTTTTGTCAACCGAATGTTACGCGACCAAGAAACGAAGAGAAGACTAACCCGTTCGGAGCCTGCAAGATCAACGAAGTGAAACTTGGAAACTATCGTGACCCATTCACCAGCGTCTTCGACAGCGGCAACACTCGATCGATCGCCCATGTGGCCAAGCGCGCTAGCTGGTCGCAGGCCACCACGACCCATGGCTGCGGCAAAACTCGGCGTCGAGGGGCGTCCGAACGTTGGAGAAGCTACTCGATTGCTAGCTGGAGATGTGCCGCCAGCGTACATGGAGCCAGGTCGAGCTAACCTTGAAGGCGACCGCCCACCAGGGGGAAGTGGAGAAGAGGAACGGGGTGGGTGGCTGGACCCCGTCAACTTCTTCTGGGTGAGAGTCAAAGAGAAAATAGCATGAGACCGTGAAGATTGGGCGTTCATGTCCGTCTCATTCGTACGTCGGATGGAGGATCCTTTTTTGAGGAGACTGCGAAAGAGTTGAAAATTATGAGACACTGAATAAAGACACGAACTCACCTCATAACTTCGTTCGCGTTTCTAACATTGACCTCCCGCAGCCCGCCCCAGATGATGTTACCTTCCTTGTCCTCTCTAATCTGTACCTCGCGTCTCGCACCTGTTGCGTCGTCGGTACTCAAGAGGTCAATCAAGTCCTCGTTGTAGATTTCGATGAATGAGCCCTTCACGCTATAGCTCCAAGCGCCGCCGCGCTCTTCCTTGAGCTGCCTGGCGCCCGAGAAGATAGAGGAGACGGCTCTGGGGATAATACCCATGCCGTTGTTAGGATCGGACGGGTCGGAGTCTAGGTCGATACCGGTCATGGTGAACGTCTTCCCGCTACTCGTCTGGCCATACGCGAGAACGGTGCAGTTGAATCCCTCCAGAAAGCGGGATACGAGGGGACGCGCGGTCGATTCGAAGAGCTCATACTGGGTTGTGGGAGGGGGGTGCACCTGGTCGAATGTAAAGGACTGCTTTTTAGGTCCTGAGGCTGCTGAGGCTGCTGCTGCGGGAGCTCCTGCACCTGCCAGGGCGCTGGAGGGCGACTCTATGGAGATGGAGGTGGAGGTGGTAGCCTGTATGACTGAGCGTTGGAAACGGGCGGGGATGGATGTTGAGTCCTGGGTGGTAGGGGGGCGGATACGAAGAGCTATGGGAAATATAAGAGGCGGTTCGACGATGAATGGAACGTGTGTGCTCACCAACTTGTACCGACGTCGCCGCTGCTGACGACGATGAGCTCGAGGGGGCCATGGCTGCTCTTCTCATCCACCAAGTTGGAACCCCTTCACAAATCAGAGTGAGCGGCATTCGCCGGATTTGAGTTTCCCACAGCTGACCCTGTCAGATGACCTATTTTGGTCCATCTCTTTGATACTCGCCTCATGCTTCTTCTTTTCCTTGACATCTGAACGGCGTCTCTCTCGCATCCTATCACTCCCAGCTCCCGAAATCCACCGCCCTTCGCCCCCGTCCATCCCTCTCCGCCGCGATGGAAGTAGTGCGTACCAGATTTCCAGCGCCTTACTCAGCAAAGAACAACAGATTTTCCATCACAAACTCAGCCTCATCATGATATCTCGGTCGATTTCTCACCTGGGTTCAGAATATCATATCTTTTACCCCGTTATCGACGTCGCTTTCGGCTTGAACTAATCTGTCTCCGTCTCTTTCTCCTTACATGAAGTCTTCTCTGGAAACCGGCTTCGGGGAACTCGCAGTACGTCAGCACGGGACTCACTGTCATACCAACCCTCCGTGAACAGTGCCAGCATGTAAGACTCTTTCCTGATTCGAGGACGGCGGTGCATCTCGCGACTCGCGACAATAATGTTGTAGAAGTCGGAGTGCCAGAGTGCCGCCCAGACGCACTCAAGTTGTGTGCTTTTGCTATCATATTTTAGCGGAATCAGATTTTTCAATCTTTTTTGCCCTGTTTTCATTGCAGTATATGTTCTGTTGCCATTAGCAACGACGACTCTGTTCCTCACTTGCCCCTTGAAATATGATTCAAAATGATTGCAAGGTGGAGCGGTACCTGAAGGCACGAAGGCATCTTTAGGTTTATGTGACTCTCGGCGATTTGTCAGAGCCTCGCGCAAGACAGAGATCTTGAGTACTATAAAATTCCGCTGCGCCGCTTGCAAAAATCAGATTCATTGCACTTTGTATACTAGGAATAATTATGGATACATAACGTTCGGTATCCTGTCAATATAGTGCTGAGCATCTACAAAATACAGTTGATGTAGCAGGGAAATGTTCACTAGTCATAAAAGAGTTTCCCCTAAAGACTACCATTAGTAGGGTAGATGTAGGAACATGAATACCACGTACCAAGGGCAGACCTTGCAAGAGAGCATCCTACGGCAACAGTTTGCTTTACACTGGCAGGGTCTGCAAGTGAAGGGTTGACCTCCTGCATGATGTTTAGCGGCCCTCCTCACGATTTAAGGTTTGAACGCACCATGATATCGAGGGCAACCAAGAGGCCAGTTTCAGAAATAGCCTCACAAATGTAATGGCCCTCTCGGAACGTTAACCCGCCACGAACCTGCGGATTGGATCAACCCTTGCATTTGGAAAAAAATGGTTTTTTACACTCACAGGCGTGCCAGTCGACGGTGCGACGGTAGGGTCCAGCGCGTCGACATCGAAGCTCAAGTGTATCGGCCTATCCCTGTTTGGGTTGACATGGTCCAACGCCATGTCTACGACCTTGCCGATGCCATACTTGTCAACTTCGTGCATGCTGAAGGCTTTGATGTTGTTGTCGCGCAAGATTTTCTTCTCGCCAGCGTCAATATCGCGAAGGCCAATGTACACAAGCCGGTCCGCTTTCAAGAGAGGTTTGACCCAGGAAAACTCATCCACCTTGCTTCCAATTCCAAGCAGGAAAGAGACAGGCATGCCATGAATATTTCCTGGTAGTGAATAAGCGTCATTCGACCGTTGTGGAGTCATGATCAGACGCTGAACTTACCCGATCCTGTCGTTTCTACCGTGTTGATATCAGCGTGGGCGTCAATCCACACAACACAGGCGTCCGGATATTTCCTGTAATCCTTAACACTGATGAGTCTGATTAAGGAGAAAGGAAGCCCTTACATCAAGGTTCCTGAGATGGTGCCCATCGCCTAGTGAATGATAAACCTCTGGAAAATCCTTCAGATAATCGCAACCCACCAGAGAATGGTCGCCCCCGAGGGTGAGGGGCAGCTCTCCCTGTGCTGCATGTGCACCTACAGCCTTTGCGACAGCCTCTGTGACGCGCGATACAAGTCTTGGGTTTTTCAGAATGCCAATTGGAGGATCAGCAGCAGCGTTGATTTCCTCGAATTGATGATGTCCATCAAACTTGACTTTCCATCCGAGCTCTTCCAGCTGGCTGATGAGGCCTGCCTCGACCAAGTGAATTGGACCCTGGTCCACACCAAGTTTGGGCTGTAAAAGATGTAAAAAAGCTGCCGAGGTAATCCAAGACGATATCACGCACCTGACCACCGCTTATCGCAAGACGGCGCATCAGTGTGTATGATCCCGTACGAGATAGAAGAACATACCTGAAGGGACAGCCAACGATCTAGGATGCAGAAGGTCAGTAGTTGCCAGCAAAACACCACTGAATCAATACATACGGCCACAGTCCTGGGTTCCGGAATGAATTTCGAGTTATGCGCCATTGCTGCAGATGAGAGGGGTGCGGGAATGCTGGAAGACGGGTAAACGCCCAAGTGGTCTCTTATAAAGCGATTGGCGGAGCTGTGAAGCAAGATCCGGGGATGTAGACGCCCAACCAAGAAACTGGGGGCGAGTCATCTCTCGGAGCACAACGCTGACGAATGGCATTTCCCGACGCTGCGTGTGGTGAAGACGCCATCGGCGATCAACCCGAGGAGCCGTCGCGGTTCGGCCTTGTACCCTCTTCTTCAAGTACTCCTGCTCACCACAGTCCTGGTTCAGCCCGTTGCGGACGCTCGGACGGTTTCGAGGGGGCCAAGACCCCACAACTCGCCTTTTCCGGGCACCACACTTGATTCGATGACGATGGTACACCCTCGACACGGTCTCATTGTTCCGCGTTCAAGATCGATATTCGCTGCTGCAAAGCGCGACGGACGCGAGTTCAATGCTATTAGGCGCGAGAAGAGGGAATCTGGGGTTGGAGACACGGTCCATTGCGAGCACGCAGCTGCGGCGACAGGCGGCTATAAATAGCGACTCGCGCGTAGTGGTGGAGGTCCTCCATTCACCCTCCAACCTTTCACTAATCAAGCTCGTTAATCAGCCTCATCGATAACCTACGTATACCGCACTGGTCAAGGCTCCTTTACCTTCGATCCAAGCTTTAGCATCATGGCCCACACACCGCAGCCTGCGTCTGGCAGAAATACGCCATCGTTTTCATTTCGAGATATTGTATGCCCCACTTCTTTCCCCTCAGTTCGCCTCCGGATCGCTTCATGCACTTCCACCTTCCTCGCGTCAAGTCATTCACTAACGTCGTCGAACAGGTTCGCGACGTCATGAAGCATTACAAGCACGAGAAGGAATCCGAGGCGCACCAGGTCTGCAAACCCACTCTATCCCAGGATTCCAATGGCTGATAGTGCGTTCACCTCAGATCTTCCGTTCTGCGGCCGGTCATCAGCCTAAGGGTGTAATGCTAATGACCGTCAATCCAGTAATTAATCCGCTCTCCTTGTTCCCGCAATCCGCCCTCTAAGCATTGATGCTGTAGGAGGAAGAAACTGTTCCCGGCATCGAGCATCCTGGCAGCACTGGGGTCATATATTGTTCGGACCGTGCTATGGCCAATGGCTTCAGCTACACCAGCTCTCATGAGTGGGCCAATCTTGGACAAGGTGCGCCAGAGGTCGGGCCTCTGGAAGGTGCTCCAGTCCGCCCAAACACCGTCGCTCTTCCCCTCGACTCCCTGGAGTACGCTCCGACAACTGGTGTGAAAGGTGTGTCTATTTTTATCAAACTATATATTAAGCATCGCCTCAATGCACTCGAATTTCAGCCCTCCGCGAGGCAGTTGCCAACCTCTACAACCATACCTACCGTCAGGGAAAGGTCAGCCAGTACACCTATGAAAACGTTTGCATCGTCCCAGGCGGGCGCTCTGGATTATCTAGGATCGCTGCAGTCATCGGAGACGTGTACACGGTAAGCCATGTTGACGGAAACGGACTTTCATCCCCTTATCTATGTCAATCACCTCCAGAGCTATCAGATACCAGATTATACCGCATATGACCAAGTGCTTAGCGCCTTTAAGCGGCTGGTACCTGTTCCTACTGCGTAAGCCCCATATTTTATTTTTTCGAAACCTTCTCACTCACTTATCTTCCGCATAGACTCGACCCGAAGGTGAACACCCATTTCGCGATTGGCGTGGTGCTATGGATATGGTTTGACAAAGTATCCTAGACGAAATACAGTCTTGACATAGAGCAGACTAAGGCAAGCTTCCTTATGTCCGATCTTCTGCGAGCCACAATCACTGACAGGGAGAATACACAGAAAGACATCCGTACACAAGGGCTGGCGGTGATACTCGCTTCTAACCCGCGTAACCCTACTGGACAGGTAGGTCTTGTATATAATTCGCTTATATTTTTTCTCAAAGATCATAGGTTATCAAGTAATGCTCTAACAGATTAATTGGTCAACGCCGGCTAATCAAAGTTGTCCTTTTTCAAAGAGGAAACGACCTTAAAGAACTCGTTTCATTGAGCCGCGAAGGTACGACAGTGATTCTGGACGAGGTATGCTAGCCCTTTCATACATGCTGGGGTTTGTTAAACATGAACTATTTGCGCATAGTTCTACTCCTGGTACATCTACCCGGACCACAATCACGATTTCGGCAAATCGATTTCCTCTGCCAAATACGTCGAAGATGTGAATCAGGTAAATAAACTACCCTATCATGATGGATTCCTCTTTATGTATGTTGTTACAGGACTCGAACGATTTCCTCTGCCAAATACGTCGAAGATGTGAATCAGGTAAATAAACTACCCTATCATGATGGATTCCTCTTTATGTATGTTGTTACAGGACTCGACTGTTATTATCGATGGTCTCACGAAGGTGCAGGTCTGCATGGTTGATGGTCCACACAAACTTAATGGCCGTAACTGCTAGAACTGGCGTCTTCCTGGCTGGCGCGTCTGCTGGGTCATCGGGCCCAAAAACCTGATTACGGCGCTCTCTCAATCAGGCTCATTCCTAGACGGTGGCGCCAATCACCCGTGAGGCTTATCCTTTCCTCTTTCTAGCTTACGGTACGAAATGCCTCCTTCCTAGCATGCAGCTAGCGGCGATTCCGCTGCTGGACCCCCTCCACGTCCAGCAAGAGAAGATCGCCTTGCAGAAGCACTTCAAAGCCAAGCGCGACCACGTCCTCGCTCGCCTCAAGGAGCTCCATCTCGAGGTCGACATCCCGCCTTCGAGCACGTTCTACATCTGGCTCAATCTCGAGAAGCTGCCTGCGCCTCTGAACAACGGCTTGGTATGCAAACACAAATTACCGCCTGAACTTGAAGGTGGTCGTTGATTATGCAATTGTTCGGCAGACGTTCTTCGAGGAACTCCTCAAGGAAAAGACGATCGTCATTCCTGGGATATTTTTTGACATTAACCCGGCCCACCGTCGCAACCTTTTCAACTCTCCTTGCCACCATTTCGTTCGCTTGTCCTTTGGGCCTCCGCTCAAGGATCTTGATGCAGGTCAGACTTGTGCACGATAGAGCATGCAGATCTGTTTCCTCATAGCAACCACACAGGTCTTGACGCCATTGACCGCGTCCTCAAGAAGGCAAAGAAGAAAGGAATGCATGAATTCGGTCAAGGGTAAGCTACACGAGAATACAAGCACCAACCTGAACTTACGACGGTGAATCTGCAAGATATCTGAAGACTTCCCTTGATATCCCCGAACCTGCTCAGGTTTCGGGCTGAGGTGTTGGGCATTCTGCTAGAAGATATTTTGTTTGAAACATCTTGTTGTAAATGTCTTGGATGTTAGTAGCACTGTCGCATGTATTTCTTCTCTTGAGGGGCGTTGGAAAGTTCATACATGTACAATAGGATAAATTGCTGAAGAATTGCTGCCGTCAAGCACAAGGATTAAAAGGAGCAAAAGCAGTCTTGAAGGCCTGAGCGTCGGCCTTATCCTCCTCCTCTGAGAGCATGCAAGCCTTCCAATCCAGTCTGTCGGGAGTACCTAACAAAGTGACTAGGACTTGCCTATGACAACAAAAGGCAGTTAAGCATGAACCATCGACAGGTAGTCACGAACTCACCTCCCGAACTGAATACCGAACGGGACATGGTCCTTTAGCAAATGCACCATCTTCCGCCCATCAGGTAGATCGACCTTGAAGTAGCTCCCTCGACCGTTGGCACACGCAGCCAGCGCCTCATCAGGGTCCACCTCGAAGTCGATGCCCTGCGCGCGACCCTCATTGACGAAGGCTTCCTCGATCTTGCCCTTGAGACGTGCGGGCATGGGCACCACTTGGATGTGCGCATGGCCGCCTTTGGCTGACAGTCGACCGACTTCGAAGATGACCGGCACCGAGCCGTACTTGGCGTACATAGTAGACAAAGCCAACTTGAAGCTGCCAAGTATATGCTCCTGTCAGCCCCTGCATGTACTTAGTGACGTAGGATGAGGGGCTTACTTCTCCGTTTCCTCGACGATCGGTGGTGCCAGGTCTGGCGGAATCGTCGAATATGTGGGGTAGTGCGTGATCGGAACGACAAGAACATGACCACCCCCAGGAACATCTACGCTGTCGGCGGCCGATTGCGTTGGGATGATCTGGCCTTTGGGCAGTGTTACATAGCACTCAGTGCCAATAGCAACGATAAGATGCTTGCTGTGCCAATGTCAACATGGCTTGGACCCACACAGGAAGGAGGACCTACGCAAGGTTTGGATTGGACAAGCAGAACCAGCATTCGTCGGCTGGAGAAAAAAGGAGTTAGGATGACAGGCTATCGAGGCAAGAAGCCACGAACGTGCAATTTCCTTCGGAGGTCCACGCTTGCCGCCGCGTCTCTCGTGTTGAGGTTGGCGCTGAGTGGAGACCAGACAATCCTCGAGGTAGTGGTTTTCACTTCCGCACGCGCGGCATACATATCCAGGCTTTGGTTTTTTGCCCCCAGTATCTCCAGTTGCGTCTCTTGTGGAGCAATCGCGCACAAAGTGACCTGGCTACAAGCAGAGAAGTATGAGTCGGTATTACGTGTTTATTTCAGTGGGCTTACCTCGTTGCATATCTTGCAAATATAGTTTTCGGGTGGCTTACTTCGTTCTGGACAATCGTTGATAAAGTGCTGGCCAGTTTGCACGAGTAAGAAGTTTCCCAAAATCTCACAATACAAATGGCATACCTCTGTGGATTCACATCGTCGACATTTATACCCTGGCGGTGGTTTACCAGGCTCTCCTTGTTGTACTACGTAATAGAAAAGAAAATGGGTCTTCGAAAGTGGGTGGACAGGAAGGCAAGAAACTCACCAACTCGTGTTCTTTTCACAGGCTGCTGCACGTTTCCAAAAATGTAGTTCTCCCCTCCGTCCATATCCAACGTCCGTTTCTGCGCTCGTGGAACTCCCCCTACGAATGGGTTCTTCGTTGTATTTGCTGGCCTGGCTTGCGCTTCCCCAGTCGTGTTCGGCGCGATGCTAAACGCGTAAAACCACTGGAAAACACCCAAAGTCAGTATTCATAATCATGGCCCAACCAACTTCTACTTACCCGTTGCTTCTTTCCCGTGCCCTGCTCACCACCAAACGCACCTAGTCCCACAAATCTACCCACCCGTCCTTGCTCGTCCTCCCACACATACGGCTCTCGCTCCCAGAACCTCGCCGGTGTGGCCCCACCACCGGCAGCGAAGTGATACCGCGGCTTCGTCTTTCGGACAACATCATCTACTGGAGGTGCACCAGTGCTCGACAACTGTGGGTCGGGCAGCGGTGCGGAGGAGAGGTGCGTTATGCAGGAAGGCCAGGAATTCGTGAGAAGGATGTCGACGAGCTGCGAGGAGGATGTAGAGGCTTGGATAGATACTAAGGATGAATAGCTTTTTTGCTTGTCTGCTTGAGAAGAGGCAGAGATAGACGGTGCTTTGGCGAGGGTGTTGGAAAGGAGGCGGTCGATTGTGTGGTAGGAAAAGAAGGGGGACATAAAGCCCTATGGATTTGGTGTTAGACGAAACTAAAGCCTCAGAAGATAGTCGAACGGAGACGCACTGGTACGGTCTCAGCTGAGCCAAATATACTCGGGTTGAATACTCCTCCGAGACATGCTATCCGCAATCCGTTCGCAGTTGTGATGATCCCAGATTTGCCTGCGAGAAACGCGTCAATTCAAGGACCATCGTGGGCATTGGGCAGGACACACTCATCAGGAACACATTCTTGCACAGCTCTCCTCCTGTCTTCGCAAATTTTTCCACGGCGCGTGCAGGGAGCGGATGTTCGCCTTGCATAATGTAGCATTCAATGGGCGCTAAAACTGTATCAGAATCGCCATCACTCCATGAAGTAGCTCGATGCACCTTCTAGCTGGCCCCCCAAAAGCTGCCCGATCTCATCATCCGCCTCGTCGTTGGGCGTCCCAAAAAAGTCGCCGGTGCATAGTAAGAGGTCAAACTTCCCGTGTTTCGCGTCGATGGTCTTGACTTTGGCAAATAAGTCGCGAATTGAACCTACTGCAGACCCTACTGTTAGTCTGGACAGTATAGGGAAAATGTCTTAAAAATGTCTTAAAGAGACTGTTTATTATCTCACATTTTTATAGAAGATGCGGCCATGGTGACCGCTGTGAGGTTGATGCTGGTTTTCGTAGTCGCGAGCTGATCAGTGTTGGCGTGTGACGCGATGGCGTTGACGTATTGTTTGGCTTCTGGTGGACAAACAAGTCGCCCATACGAGAGTTATCTCTCAGCTGCACCGATGTGAGTGTTCATCGTTGATAACGAGCACGTAAATTCATCTGGTTGGCACAATTCTCTCCACAAATCATTTCTCCGACCCTCAACTGGACTGATGATCGAGTCGCACATTTGACGATCCGACGAGTTAAAGGTCGGACGCCGGATGCCCGGAATTACTGCGGGGAAGGAAAGAATATGTACCCTCAGAAGAAGCGGCATGTAAGAGATGGAAATGATAGTGTGGATATCCGAGCGACGATCCTACACAACCCCTCAAATGAGGAGACAAAAGGCGGTCCTTTAAACCCGACATTTCTACACCTTCGGGGATCCCAACTCTTCCCAACTGTCAATCGACCTGATCACAAAAGTATCAGATATCAGATCGAAGGCAAGAAGACAACTGAATTTTAGCGATGTCGCAGGCATGAGAATGGGTTGACTCAGGACCTCTTCTTTCTGGGGATACAAGAGGTACATGTGCCCTCCGTCCTACCCAGGCGTCAACTGGCTGACCCACACAAGCCCACGCAGTGTACCTGGACTTGTTCCTAGCGGGGACCATCTGCCGACATTCCGTGAATCCGTCAGCGGTGCAACATCCCGCCTTCTATATCCAGGTAAGTTTTCCGGATTGATTTCCTCTTTGGGCACAAGAGCCACAGTGATGAAGTCAATGCAGGCAGAACAGGGAACAACGAGTATTAGAGTCCGCCGTGTGTTCTGCTCGTAAAAATTTCAGAGGGCGTCCTTATTACCGTGACCGTTGGGAGAGAGGACCCATCAAGAACAAGGAAGGCGGTGAAATTCTACAGTTGTTTCTGGCTGCTTGGCGAGGTGGACGCACATTCCATGTGTTGTCCCTTTGAAAAGTTGCCTGAGTGGGGGGGACGGTTCGAGGACAACGATATCGACTGCGACCTGTGGGATGAGGGAGATCAGGCATGAGATGGGCGCGGCGTTAAGTGAGCACATGCCGATGGGTGAAAGCTTTCCCTTTCTCCTACGCGCGAGCTCGGTGTCATTGCCTTCTGTATTCTGTGTTTCTTCCGTGTGGATGTGTCAACTTACTCTTCTTGTCGAAACAGGTGGATAGAAAGATTCGCGGGTTCATGAAGTGCTCTGGATGCTTCGGAATGCAAGGTGGGCTTCGTCAACAGAGTGTTACGCGACGGAGATCAGAATAGGGGACGAAAGACGGAAGGACGTGCCAGGTGGCTGGAGAGGCGTGTGCGCGGTGTGCTGAGCCAGGGGAATGCGGGACGAAAATAGAGGGACAGTCGGGACATGGGGACAAGAGGGCGGAAGCACAGTCCAAAAGCGGAACAATGGCAAGAATGACCGGATGTGGATGTTCGCTTCCCTGATTGGGAATTCCCCTCTTGTCTCCGCTCTCTCTCCTCTCTATAAAGCAGCGCGAGTCGCTGCTCACTGCTCTGGCAGTCATCCCTCGTCGATTCCATACGATGGTCGCACTCACGTTCCTTGCGTTTGCCGCTCTCTTCGCGCCTTCCGTCACCGCTGCTCCAGCCCAGGCGTTCTCCGTCCCCCATGTCGACCCCACAAAGTTCCTCTGCCAGCTTCCCATCCTCAAGAAATGGGTCTGCCCCCTCAAAGGAACTGCCGCTCTCAACAGGCAGACTCCTTGCGGCACTGCCGGCGGCATCCAGGACCCCCAAGGTGCCTACAGGTTCGTCGTCAAGTATGGCAATGCTGCGCGTTGGGCGCCTTCCACCGTTGCTTCTACTTGGGCGCTTCCGTACGTCGATCCCTCCTCTCTTCTCTTCTGTAGCTAAACTCTATCACTCCAGTAATGGCTTCACCAACACTTCGGCCCTACCTCTCGCCTGCCCGCAACCTGGTCTTGACCCATCCAACTACTCAGAAGACTGTCTTTCTATGGTCCTCTACGTACCCCCGTCCTTGTCCTTGACCAGTTCTGCTCCCACTCTCGTCTGGTGTGCAAATTTACCCCCTTTCTCTCCGCTTTGTAACTCATAGTTCGTCAGGGTTCATGGTGGTTCGTTCGTTGTCGGTTCTGCAACTGGCGTTGGTCTCGATGGCTCCAAGCTTGCTATTGCCACAAACTCTATTGTTGCAGTTGTTCAGTACCGTTTGGGTGCAGTGCGTTTATGTCCATTATTATCTACTTGTTATTTATTAATTCCCTTTCGATTAGCTTGGATTCCTCGCTCCCAACGGTCAGAACAACCTCGGTGTCAAGGACGTCATCACTGCCCTCAAGTTCTTGAAGACGGTTATTCCTTCCTTTGGTGGAAGCTCTTCAAAAATCACTCTCGCCGGGCAAAGTGCCGGTGCCAACATGATTAGAGCGCTTCTTGCAGTTCCATCAGCGTCCAATCTTTTCAGGTCGGCTATTTTACAGTCGGACCCTATGGCATGTATTTTTTCCTGTTTCGTTAGAACTTTTTTCCTAATTTCCTCCCAGAATTTCGGCTTCATCGGCACCACTACGCAGAACACGCTCATCTCCAACTTCACCGGTCAAGTCAACTGTAGCGGCGGCGATTCCGCGTGCCTCAACGCCCTTTCCACGGACACTATTATCAACGAGGGCATGAACGTTTTCTCCTGGGCCTACATCTTGGACCCCGCTGCTGGTCGTAACCAACCGTTACGCCCCGTTCTTGACGGCTCTTTAATCACGTCGCCACTGGACTCGACGGGCTCATTCCCTGCTGTCTCGAAACCCCTCCTCATCACCTCCGTCTCCAACGAGGCCGGACCTGCCATCTATGGTGGTTTCCCTGCTCTACCCGAGAATATGTTCGCTCCTCTGTGCGAGGCAACGTTCGGCCCCGAACGTGCAGCTATCGTTGTCGCGCAACCCTTATATTCTCCTGTTCCTGCGGCGGACGGTTCGATCGATGCGCGCGCACAGCTTCAACAGGTAGGCACAGACTATCTCTGGCGCTGCTCCGGTTGGACGTTTGCACGTAGCTGGGTCTCGCATGGAGGCAAGGCCTATGTGGGCGAGTATATTGTTGGTGCGACGTACCCCAGCAATGATTGGGTGTCGTACTGCGCCAAGGCAGGCGTCGTTTGCCACGAGGACGACATTCAGATTGTTGTAAGTCATTCTTTCTCTTTACTGTTGTCCTTGCGACCTTGTTCTTATCCTCCTCTTTTTCAGTTCGGCACGACTCCCAACCCCACAAGCGCCCAATCAGCACTGGCAACGGAGATGCAGCAGCGTTACAAGGCGTTCCTCTCAAGTGGCAACCCGAACACTGCGGGTGTCGCTTCTTGGATCGCTGCGACTGCCACCGATGTGCACCCTATCCTTCTTGGTGGCTCGGGCGAGGCGATCCTCGGAGCTTGTGACCCTAGTTTCTGGGGCTCCGGTGTCCAGTACGACTACCAATTCTACGCCCAGTAAACGTCGTCGACCTTGCAAACTTCGTCAGACAACTACTGCGGCCCAATAACTGGGCTGCTAGATTCCGCGACCTCTCTCGAGCTTCCCCCTTTTTTACATTCACCTGGAAGCCCTAATTTTCCTGACTTATTCATCACTATCTCCATCCCACCTATACCTCCCACTAATTCTGTACGGCCTCTCGCACCGTACTCCGATTATCTGTTTTTGCTTGCATAACCCACTGTAGCCCTAACGTTCCACTTTTTTTCTCTTCTCGTCATGATCACGCTGACTATAATGTTATGGTGACGATACTTCATCTTCAATTTTGGTTTATTTTTTGAGGTCTCTATTGTTGTTTACCCACTGTAGCCCTACGTACTTGGCGATTGCAATATCGCGTTTTGGAAAGAATGCATGCACTAGTAATGTTTGTCAATCAATGGAGAGATTGAGATTTGCAGCTCTACACATTTTTGCTTTGTAACACTTCTACAAAGTCAAATTTTAGCGCACCAATCACTTTCCTTCCTAAACCTTGGATCCGAGCTCGAGGTCATGCACGATCTCGATTCAAGCTTCAGTCTGACTCTCAGATCTCCAGAAGGAACACCTCAGCTGATCATGACGCCTGTTTGTATGTCGAAACTCTAAAATGTTCAAAGCGCTATAGCGGATCTGCGGGAAGACCGAGATTGTCGATATCGATGGGAGGATAGGGGCTACTCCTTGGTCTCCCTGAGATATGTTTTTTGACCTTTTTGGTCTAAGTGTCTATGAACTGCGCGAATTGCGCCGCTGAGGAAATATATTGCATTGTATATCGGACTCTGTGGTGTTGATGGCTTGTAAGTGGAAATAATATGATGTGGAAATAATGTGTATGGCCCGTATGTCGGGCGAGATCTAGGTAGGGGAACTAAGAAGAGTCTAACCTGCTCTAACCAACTCTTGGAGAACCTCCGGGCAAGGCGGGGCTAGGACTGGATGACCGGGCATCCGGTGTGCGTACGCACTTTCGAATAATTGTTGGGGATGGTCGAAAAGCTACCGGAAGTGCACCACTCAGAGTTTCGAGGGTGGCGAAAAAGCCTGGGGCTCAATCTCGGTGAAGATATCGAAGTTGCGAATCAAAGTGATGTCACTTGAGGCCTACAAGCCCCAAAAGTGCAAAGAGCAAGGAGAAAAGAAAACGTGGGGTGTGTAAGCCATCGGACAGTGCGTCATACCACAGGGAACAGCAAGGAAGGAGAAACACTCACCCCGCCCTTAAGCATAGCGTGTGCCCGATGAAGCCGACCTTTCGACCCTCCCCGGGTCTCGTCTCCTTCGTACGTCAGGATTGTTCGTCCATTCTCGTCCTCAGCAAGCCGCCGAGGGTTGATGACCATATGTCCAAAGGCACCCCGAGAGAGGGCCTCGACCTTCCTGCGCTGATCCGGTGTATTGGAAGAGCCGCCCAAGACGTCTGCCAGTGTTGATAGGATGTAGTACTGTGGCGGCATGAGACTGATCTTCCGTTCACGACACTCGTCCAACGCCTGCTGGGGATGCACGAAACGTGCCTCAATCACTTCCTGTCCTCCATCTGGATGGTCAAAAAGCAGTATATCAGTCATTTATTTTGTGAATGCCGGAGATGAAGGGGATATGAAGTAGTAGGCTAACCACATTGAGGAAAGAGATGAAAAAATGAGCGTGCAAGGAGACTTACCATGCTTAGGGACACGTTCCTGCTTGGCTCCAGATGAAAAACCGGACGATGGTACTCCCGGAAGGAACGCCACGAAAAACTGCGTGTGGAACCGCCTACGAGCGACCGTCGGCTTGTATGTAAAAAATCTTTTGGGAAAATGAGAAACGAATACTTACTTTGGCGGACCTACTGGAGTTATCCATTGAGTAAAAGGCAACAGAGCATCAACATCCGCCTTAAGCCCGTTGTTTTGAAGGAAGGTCTGGAACTCCAGGTTCTGCTGGTGAATGGCATGTCGGGCCTCATCCAATACCGCGTCGGACGGCAGAGGAGCTGAAGAGGTCGACGACGCCAGCAACAGACCAGACTCTTCGAATGTTTCCCGAATCGCAGTAATGGCAATAGAATGATCTTGCTTTGTATCGAGATTCCCTCCAGGAAAAACCTAAGGAATCGGAGGGTGCCTTTGAGTGTATGGTATCAAGAAATGGCGAACAGTCTTACATGCATTCCTCCAAAAGAACTAGCTTTTGGGTTCCTGTGCACGAGCAGGATCTCGTTTCGGTTATTGACGACCACCAAACTAGCCGATGGGCGGGGTGTGGGTATAGTCGAAGTGGACATTTGGGCTCTAGGGGTTGACATGGGGCGTCGCAAAGGCCTATAAAGCACAGAAATGACGCGGAATCGGTCAGCCGTAGGGGTAAATCGCACTGAACTTGATACAGGACGGAAATGTTGCATTTTTAAGAGCCGGGCGGCTAAGAGAATTTGATTGTTCGAACAACCGTCTCCTTTTCCAGCTCGACATAGCTGTCAGCGGACATTCAGACGCGGCATACGTATGCACACTAAGCCATAGACTTAACGCTGGGCGAGGCCGTCTCCATTGCTGACGCGCTGATCAGATGCTGGCCGCGCGAGTTCGGTCAGGGGTGCAAAAGGTTCGATGCAAAGTGCTTTCCTTTACGTGATCCTTTCGCAAATTTGGCTACCCCCTGCGTACACGAACGAAAAACAGACATGAAACCAGCGTTCGTGCCGCGTTTGTCACACATCAACTCAGCGCCCGTGTTCAGTCCTTTCTGCCATGTGGTACTTTCGTCCGAGAAAAACAGCGGCACAGATTGAAAAAGTAAATTTACAGAATAAGTAGCCCTCGGCTTATCCATACACATCCAAAGAATGCGATGGTCGATGAAAGGAAAAGAAGGCGTATCTATGGCCGGGGCAGATGCTTTACAACACTCTTCCAATTCTGAAGGGGATATCAACACCAGAAGCCGAAGAGACAAAGAGGCCATCTTACCTTATGGGCCAACGTTGTGAAATCCGGAGCATTCGCGATATGCACCAGGTACCGAGCGAGTTTCTCAAGTTCTCTGTCCGCCATTGCCTCTGGGGTATGGGCATCCTTGAACGCAGAAATCTTGAGACCCTCTTTAGGATTGAGAGCAAAGTTGCGACTCTGTCATCCGGCGTCAGTGAGGAAGTAGAGAAGATAAGAATTGTCGCTACTAAATCATCCACGTGAATGGTATTTGTTGCATTGCTGCATAGGGAAAAACATGAGCGTTATTGGAATCCTATAGAAAAATGCGAGAGGAGGCTTACAATTGAGGGAAGTGATTCCAGATAATCTGTAGAGCCTTCACTGAATGCGTCCACGGCTTGTTGTCTCTCTCTGTGAAAACGGTAAACATGCACGTTTTGTCGAGAACTAGTGCTACATTAGTCTTCTATGAATATGTGACATGGATATATCCGAATCACCGAACGAGATCTACACGGTGTCAGAAAAACGGTAAAGACACCAGATGCTACCGGAACACACCTGATAGCCCCGATGACCTCCAACCATCCCCAGTTCGACCAATTTTGTTTCTAGCCAAATCCAGCTTGTCTGTGACCTAATTAGACGTAAATTTATGCATTTCTTTCATGGAACGAATATACCATATACAGACTGCGGCTCTTGTCAGAGCGGCTTCAAAGAGAAATGAACACGATCTCACTATCATAGTAGGGGTAGATTGCCTCAAGAAACTCATGAAGACCTGGTCGGGCACATTCTGAGGGTGGAAGACTGCCAGAAGTGAGGGGTTTGGTGTCCAGAATGGCTGTATCGCTGTCAGTGCAACCTTCAGGATCTAAAGGGCTACATAACTCAACTGTAATCGATATCCAGTACAAGAAGTCTTTTCCCCTCTCGAAGGGGATGTATGAGGTTGACTTGGAGATTCTGGGTTGCTTCGCGGACCTTCCGGATGTTTCTTGCGTCGTGTTGATAGCGATTGCTAGCCGCCATATTGTCCGTGAAATCGACGTCGAGATCGTTGATGACATCCGGTAAGGTCCCCAGTTCTTCAAGAAGTGAAGGAATGCCATGAGAAGTCATCCAAATAAATGTGTATGAGGACATTTACTGGATGGATCCTTGATCTCATCTCCTTCGGGTGTTCCGATTAGTGTAAATTTCTTTCCGGGGGCAATGCTGAGTTCAGAGCTGAATGAAACATTTGACGCGTTAGTAGGAGTTCGCGAAATCATAATGAGAGTAGTTACATTAGAACCTGATCAGGAGGGATTTTTCCTTTCACTAAGCCAAGAATCTTCTGACGTTCATTGGGCACTCTCGTCAGACTGTATAGTGTTGTTTTGAGGTCAAACACTCTTGAGTCCAGAGACCAGCACGCATCAGCGCACCATCGCACCGCCAGGAGTTCGCGTTGTATACCTGTCTGACTCTGCAACATTAACGTTGAAGGATTTGCCGGCCCATGTGAACTGAAGGTTAATCCACTTCTCGATGGGTGGGTTCTGTGGCGTCTCGGTCAACGAACGTCATGTTGGTCATGTCGGTCCAATACACACGTCGAAAGATAGTTGAATGCAAGTCTCTGACATGTCTCCGTCCATGTTGACAGACCAGGGATCGAAGATATTGATAGCAGTTCCGATGTAGCCTGAAGTATAAGTTTAGAACACGTGAATCGCGGCTCGAAGCTAGCTTCCAGATGAACAGAAAGAATTGCGGTGTGGTGTATCTGCAACCCTTGGTGCGAAGATGGAGAACAGACGTGGTATGAGAGCTGTATTGAGCCGTAACAAGAAGAGTGAGTGCAAGTGGTGTTCATTGACAGGTTGTGTATTATGTCAGCAGTCTAACGGTCAACTGAATCAACCATTTTCCTAAGTTCAAACGTCTGTCCTTCCTGTGTCTGCTATGCGACACCTTCGCCACAATCTAGACCTGTTAACGTAGAACCCGCACCAAGACACCTTTCCGGTACACTTACGCAACGTTCCGGGCTTGATAGTTGCGAAAACAGCGAGGTAGCTCTATGCCGCCTAATGCTGGCAGTGAGTTTAACTGTTCATTATGCTCAGCTCGTATTGTCAATTATCCGGAAGATAGGCATGTTCAAGGCATTCATCCTGATTGGGAGCAAGTTCGCTTCAAATCCAAACTGCTATCACGCGGCTTTGCGGCCGTCGACGGGTCTAAAAACTTCGCTCCAGGAGACATTGCTCACTGCTCCGGCAGCATCGAGCAGGCATTTTATCAGCTTCTCCACGAGCTGCGAATCCCGCTGCAGCGGTGGGAGCGACAAAGAAAAACACGCCAGCTTAATCGCTTCTGCATCGTGAACCGTCACATTGCGAACCAACAATATGAAGTCTTCCTGCTCACGACCTTTGGTGGTTCAAGAAATGTTCAGCAACTTGGTTTAATTGCCAGATACTTCGGGATGCCAATGGGAGACACTCAGTGGATCTACGACACTGCAGGCATTAGAACATTCCCCCATGTCTTTGGCTCCAAAGAGACCAGCTTCGTCTTTGCCATTCCAGTCATTGCTTCTGTTGGCGAGGCATATTTAAAGAAGGTTAAATTGGCCACAGGTGAGCTGGAAAGGCTACGAGCGTTTGCCAAGACAAAGAGGCAGGTACGCATCTTACCATATGTTTTCGCTCCTCTCACCAAGTTCTTCACAGACTCTTATTCGTGACCACCGAGAGATCCGAGAATCTCTATTCAACCGACATCAATATAAGCATGTTGGTCTGCTTTCACCCGATTCTGTTGAAAATGAATTCCTCCCACATCAACAAGAAGAGATGGACGACATTCTGTCTCACGAAGATTACCTCGATGAAGGTGAAATCACTGCATATCCAGAGCCGACGGGCACTCTACCCACTCTCAGGCTGCGCGTTCCTATCCGACACGACATCGGTTGGCTCTTGAAATACGCCTCGAGAGATGTTTTTCACGGTTCAAAATTCAACTGCAAGCAACCCCTTCGGTATCGAAGGCTACTGCCACTCCCTTACTACTCAACATATCTTCGGATTGGCAAGAACATTATCAAGCAGCTCATTCGTTGATCAAACGTCAGGGTGAAATTCACGTAGCTAAAATTTTACGAACAAGTATTATTACATGTTAGACTTGTCACAGGCTGGGCAATGGTGGTAGAGGGGTCTTATTATACCTCAAGTTTTGCAACACTATCTGCCACGAAGTGGAAAGTCTTCAACGAGGAATAAGCTGCAAACGTGGTCAGGCCCGATTACCCAATAGTGAAGACCGACATACTGGATGAAGTCGATTCTTTCGACGAGATTGGCTTAGTCTTCGCAGGATACAGGATTTGGGCGGATGAATCGAAAGACCATCCGTTTTTCTCAGCCACTGTGCTCATTCAGCTTTGATGATTGGACGTGCAATATGGAAGAACACTTGCCAACAAGAATTTGTTCCGCAGGCAAGCCGAGGTACGTAGAGGCCAGCGGTAATGGCAGAGAGGTATAGGCATTCGATAATAAGCGGAACGTTCGACGCCTGAACGCGTCTGTTCGATGGCGTCAGCTCCATTTAAGGACCTTCTGGTGAATTACATTACCGAGAAATGCAGAGAGAAGTTGGGAGATGATTGAGGCCAAATCCCTGTCCATGAAGTCAGGCTGGGACACCAGATTGACGAGAGCTGCCGCCCCATCGTAGACTTTGGCATGTTCTCGATTGATCGTCAAAACTGCCAGTGCCATAAGGGCCCGTGCAAGAGGATGGGAAGTCAGGTTGTCTGGAAGTCTTTGAAGGGCATAACGCGCGGGGTACCTAGAAACATTGCAAAGGTCCAGGGGATATAGGCATGCGAATGGGGTAAGAACTCACAGGTCATCTAGAATAAGTTGTCCGAGAACCAGAGGGGCGACGACGAGAAACCTTGATTGTTGTCGATCGCTCGCAGTCTAGGACGATGTCAATGATCAGAATCGAAAACAGAATCGAGGAGACTGTGCCTCTAAATCAGCCTCCTCGGCCACTAGCACCAGTCGATTGTACTCGTTTCTTGCAATGGAATCAATTAATGCCGGCAGAACGCTTTGATAAATCTCAAGTCGGGTCTCTGGTGCAGCCTGAGGAGGAGGAGGATCAGAAGCATGCGCTACTAGCGCCTGATCTGCAGTCGATGTGCTTGCGGTGCGTGCTTCATCCTGAAGTTCTGCCGCAGTGGTGGGCGGTGGAGTCGGGGGCCCGTTTACCATTTCGAATGCGGGAGGTGATAGATGAGAAGATGAGAGAATGACTGAAAAACGCGTGGGCTTTATTGAGGAGGGGTTGGTAAGAGACCAAGATCCAGGGGCGTGTTGTTTGATGACATTAGGACGCCCGATTAGGATTGGCCACTTCCAACCTTCCCTAACCTTCCCAGCGCCAAATGGATGACGTGGATGAAATTGAATCTATCCTTTACATTGCGCGCGAAGTCTCTGGTCTGCAATCTCGCACCATTCAATAACGAATCCATCCTAACCAACCGCCATCCAGTATACAGGATCCCACCTCTTAAAGCCAACGAGGGGTACAGGGCAAATGATTGGGGAGATCTTGCTGCACCACTCTGGAAAGGCAGGCTTCGTATTATTGAGACCTCCAAAGGTGCTGCGCTGCACCTCGAGGACGCACAGACAGGTATCTTCCACCTTGTTTGAGGACGAGACGAAGTTCATTGGCCCCGTTCATTGCAGGCGAACGTAAGAGCGCTCACTGCTCCAGTAACACTTGGCCCTAACATCAAGACTGAACAGTATTTGCAAAGGCTGAGTATGATGTAGCCCGACCATGTGTAGAGGCTGTTTTGGACTCCTCGCGCTACTTCGTTGTCCGCATTGAAGACGCTGGCAAGAAGGCATACATTGGACTGGGATTTGCGGAACGATCAGATAGTTTTGATTTCAGTAAGATCTACTATCCCATGGAGGTTTCTCCAGCTCTTCTGACATTCTATGTAGATGTTGCCTTACAAGATTACACCAAGTATAAGATCGCCTTATTCATGTTCTCCTGTCTATTAATACTGTCGGTACAGGCGTCGAAAGGCCCTGCTGAATCCCGTATCAAGCTCAGGGGAAACATCTCCGCATATTCCTGCGGGTCCGAAGAAAGATTACAGCCTGAAAGAAGGTCAGACATTTTCGATATCGATTCCAGGACGGGCCAAGCCAGCGGCTGCAGGGAACAGTCTTCTTGGTTCCGCTTCTTCATCCTCCACCACCACTAGTAATTCCGCCATACCACTTCTCCCGCCACCTCCGAGTGCGTCCAAGCGGCGCTAATCTAATGTCATCTTCATCGTCAATGCTGTATCCAATGTTACTGTTTTGTTGAGAACACTTCTCATCACGAGGCGATCGTTGGGAATCGAGTTGCGAAGATTCTACGCAATGAGTAAGTACAATAGGTCGGTTCTCGAATATAACCTCGGTCAAGCTCCGGAGAATATTCCCTGCATTCGTTTTCAAATCCAGGCTTCGGATGAATTTGGTAAGTCCACACAGTACGTTTTACCCCATCCTCCCGACATGCATGATTAAAAACCGTAAGCAGTGACCTCTCAGCAGGAATATCGGGCCACAACCGACGCTGAGAACGAGAGTTGGAATTTGTTCTCTCCACCTTTCGCGTGCAAATTCCCCGACTGTTCACCATTGTCTGTTCCAGTGGCCCAAAAGAAACGAATATCGGTGATCTGTTTATCCAATCCCTCGTTAATTGCCATCTGTCCCGGCTTGCAAGCTTGGCTTTGTTGTTTCCATTGATATTCAACCAAAAGAGACTTCTAGTGGGAAACGGAACAGTTCTTGACCTCTTAGTACCAACTATATTCAATACCCTGGTATCATAGAATGGCGCCTTCGGCTGGCGAAGAATTGTGTAGATCGATAGGTATGTGAAATCATCCATTCATTCCTTCCCCGTATTTCTGGCCAAGCGTCCTGCATTTGCAGGTCAGACACAGTCAGACACCGAAAGAACTTCTGAACTCTTGGCACGTGTACTCAGATGATGGCGAAAACCTCCGACAAGTGGGTCACGAGCGTCCTACTTCTAAGGTTTCCAGTTCATACGCTTTGCCTTTTTCTCTCCTAAGTTTTCACCCTCGGCAGGATTGGCCTGGTGCTCGAGACTCGCGCCTTTTAGCCCGTTGCAAGTTCAAAGCGGAGGCTTTTCGTCTAACTTCGATGCTTATGGTAAGTCCTCAATGCTATTTCTCCGAAGTCAGTCTGACAGTGGATGAAGCGCTCTCCTGTGTCTCCGGCCAAATGCCACTGTGGAGTAAACTTATCTCACGGCTGACGCGACGCCTCTCCCTTCTTACGTGTCCGACGATGTGCCGTCCTCCGAACAAGCGTTGACCTCCTGTTTGCTCGCCACCTGTGGACATCATCGGATGAATACCGTCTTGTGATCGTCGCCCTGCGACCTACCTCTGGAGCCCTCACGTATGCCGACGTCCTTCCGCTAATTCTGGTCGGTTCAATACCGGATTTATAGATCTTCTTGTAATGGAGTGCGCTCTATAAAATGGCGAGGTTGGTGGCGAGCTGACCTCCAGAACCATCTGTGCTCACATCTCCTGGCACCATGCTGAAGTTCGCTGCCCTCCTTTCGGCTGCATCTCTGATACCGGCCTTCGTCCAGGCCGCCGCTCCTCTATACGGACAGTGCGGAGGTCAAGGCTGGAGTAAGGACCCCAATGTTCCATGAAGTATACGGTCATCTGATAGTTTAACAGCTGGTGACACTACTTGTGTTTCTGGTGCCACTTGCGTATTCTCGAACCAGTGGTATTCTCAGTGCTTGTGCGTAGTTCGTTTTTCAGAAAAAAGCCAACTGTCTGGACCTTCTTGCGTAGGCCTTCAAACCAACAACCTCAGCCGTCGACAGCAACTACGGTAGCCCCTACTACTGCCGCTCCGACAAACGTCCCCGCGCCGACAACGGCCCCCGATGCAGGCAACCCCTTCAATGGATACACTGTATGACAGATAGATGACCGGTCGGCTATCCTTATTCTGACTTTCTCCCCAGATTTATTTATCCCCCTACTATGCCGATGAGGTCACTGCTGCCGCCGCGGCGATTTCCGACGCTACACAGAAGGCGAAGGCATTGCGTGTTAAAGACATCCCCACCTTCATCTGGTTCGACGTTATCGCCAAAACCCCACAACTCGGGGTCTACCTTGCTGATGCTGATGCGAAGGCCAAGGCGTCCGGCGAGAAGTACCTTGTCCAGATTGTCGTCTATGATCTCCCCGATCGTGACTGCGCTGCCGCTGCCTCCAACGGAGAGTTCTCTATCGCCAACAATGGTATGAACAACTACAGGAGATACATTGACCAGCTGGTTGCCGAGATCAAGAGTGAGTCATTCCTTTGAGTATCTAGTATGGAACTCACGCTTTTAAACCAGAATACCCTGACGTCCGTATCGTTGCCGTCATTGAGCCCGATTCATTGGCCAACCTGGTCACCAACCTGAACGTTGCCAAATGTTCTGGCGCTCAGGATGCCTACAAGCAAGGCACGACCTACGCCATCCAACAGCTCAACGCTGTTGGTGTCTACATGTACCTCGATGCTGGCCACGCTGGCTGGTTGGGCTGGCCTGCCAACCTGAACCCTGCTGCCCAGCTCTTCTCCGACCTCTACAGGGCTGCTGGCTCTCCCCAGTTTGTTCGTGGTCTCGCTACCAACGTTGCCAACTACAATGCCCTCAGTACGTCCTATTTATCATGCGGCTCTGGAACTGTAGAGGAATGACATCTCTTCAGATGCTGCCAGCCCTGATCCAGTCACGCAAGGTAATCCAAATTACGATGAGATGCACTTCATCAACGTGAGTTTTCCTGGATTTTTTTAGCTGCTTGGTCATGACGGATATCACAGCAACTCGCCCCACAACTGACCTCCGGAGGCTTCCCTGCCCACTTCATCGTCGACCAAGGCCGTTCTGGCGTCCAAGGTCTCCGTCAAGCGTGGGGTGATTGGTGCAACGTCTACGGTGCTGGCTTCGGAACGCGCCCCACTCTCAACACTGGCTCTAGCCTCATCGATGCTATCGTCTGGATCAAGCCCGGAGGTGAATGTGATGGAACTTCCAACACCTCTGCAGCACGCTACGATACCCACTGCGGCATCGCGTAAGTTTACTGAAAGCAAATAGCATGCACCAGTCTGACGCGTCGTCTGCAGGTCTGCCCATAAGCCCGCTCCCGAGGCTGGTACCTGGTTCCAAGCTTACTTCGAGAACTTGGTCAAGAACGCCAACCCCCCGCTCTAAGTTCAACTTACGGGTAAAAGAGCATACGCCATATGTACTTCGGGTTTCGTAGCAACTATAAAATTCCTTTCCTTTGACATCAGTCATTTGAACATGAGCTTCGAACCTTGAGTAGCAGTGACTTACATGTACGATTCTTTTTAGCTCGCAGTCAGGTTAGCCCAGAGGCTACCACATCGGGCCCTTTAGAGATTTGGTCCGGAGTGACCCAGCGTTTGAATAAATTCGATCTGTGCGAGTGTCACTGACATTGCCAGACTCCAGTCAGACGAATTGCGATGTGCGGCGAGATTGCCATCCGAGAATTGACCGGATCAGGTTCCGCCGGGATCGGCCGATGGAGTGTGAGAGTTTCCCGCCACGCACGTGAGCAATGATTCACGGCCGTCATCGGCAATTGGATTCAAGGTCTTCTCCCAACCATGCTTGCCAGAGTATCGCGAAATGCGGCCAGGCGCTCAGCACGCACTGCGACCTCTGCTGTCAGGGCCCGCTCCTTTGTTCAGCCATCTGGCGCTGACAGGGCGAGTGTCGTCGATCTGCCGTCCACCTACCAGGAGGACAACCACTTCTCCCCACGGCCAGGTGGGTCTCCTTCGAATGTCTGCAATGCACGCCTCTCATATTTCGTTAGATATGTTAGGCTTCAAGCTGGATGTACCTCGCCGGGAGGACTCTGTGCTGGCGAAAACTCGACCGATTTACCTGGATATGCAGGTCCGAAAGCTTTGTCCTCTTCAAGGTGCATTTCTCATCCCACATCCAGGCCACAACTCCTGTAGATCCTCGGGTTCTCGATGCTATGTTACCCTACCTCACAGAGCAGTATGGCAATCCTCATAGTCGGACTCACGCCTATGGATGGGAAGCAGAGCAGGCGGTTGAGAATGGAAGAAAGGTGCGGATATAATACGGAGCCCTGTTCCTATTCTGATTTCTTGCAAAGCATGTCGCAGATCTTATCGGTGCAGATACTAAGGACATTGTTTTCACGTCAGGCGCCACTGAGTCGAATAACATGTCTATCAAAGGCGTTGCCCGCTTCCACAAGGAGAAAAAGCGACATATCATCACAACACAAACGGCAAGTACCTCGCGCGTCCTTGACGCGGGTGTTTGATAACGAGTAACACTACAGGAACATAAATGCGTCTTGGACTCTTGCCGAAAGCTTGGAGAAGAAGGTTTCGAGATCACTTATCTACCGGTCCAAAACAACGGCGTTGTCAACCTGGATGAACTAGAGGCAGCGATCCGACCCACAACATCTCTTGTCTCTATCATGGCCGTCAACAACGAAACGGGTGTAATCCAACCTTTAAAGGAGATTGGCGCGATAGTTCGCAAGCATCGTGGAGTATACTTTCACACAGACGCTGCGCAAGCCGTTGGCAAAATACCGCTGGACGTGAATGAGATGAACATCGACCTGATGAGCATCTCCGGACACAAATTATATGGACCTAAGGGTATCGGAGCTGCTTATGTACGAAGACGGCCGCGAGTGAGATTGGAACCCATTCTCAGTGGAGGTGGCCAAGAGCGGGGTTTGCGAAGCGGCACAGTACCTGCTGCTCTGGTGGTAGGATTGGGTGAAGCAGCCCGAATAGCGCAAAAGGAGATGGCCGTGAGTGTTGACGTCTTTTCTGTCCTGGTGATGAAATCCGCACCATATCACAATATGTCATACTGAGCTGAGTGGTTATGTATGGGAACAGTTTCTGTTCCCATTGCTAGCTCAGCTGTGAAATTCGTGCAGGGGTGCTGATCGGTCAAATCCTCTTTATCTCCTTCATTTTACTGATATACCTTTCTTTTCTCAGAGAGACCAAGCCCGTATCAAAGTGCTCTCGGATCGCCTCATTAACAAGATCAACTCTCAAGTCGAACATGTAGTGAGGAATGGCGACCCGAATGGTTACGCAGGATGCGTCAACCTTAGCTTTTCATATGTCGAGGGGGAGAGTTTGCTAATGGCTTTGAAGGTTGGTTAGATTTACTTCGCGGAGCTGTCGTTCATGAGGGACCCCCTAGGATATTGCTCTGTCATCGGGAAGTGCGTGCACCTCTGCATCATTAGAACCGTCCTATGTTTTGAGAGCGCTTGGTTCGTGCCTCCATTCGATGTCATTTGATATAGCCCGCTGAACTTTCCCCCCAGGTGCTGCCGAAGATATGGCACATTCCTCCCTTCGCTTTGGTATTGGTCGCTTCACGACCGAAGCCGAGGTCGACTTCGTCGTTGATCACATTATTAAAACCGTGCATAAATTGCGAGAGATGAGGTACGTCCACTTTATCTAGCAGACGGGATTTGGCCTGACAAGTTGGACAGTCCTCTATGGGAGATGGTGCAAGAGGGAATCGACATTAACACGATTGACTGGTCCCAGTCGCAACATTAGTTTACCTGCTATGCTTACTACGTCTCGATTAATCTATCCTCCTGTATGCTTCAGTCCTGTGTACATAGACCTCGGCGCCTCGTGAAAATGCCAAAAAGCGAATTGGTCCGTGCCCTGAGAAGACTCTGGTGTTGGCTGATGAGATTTGAAACTCAGATCAAGTTGAACCCTCTCATCTTACCTCTTACTACGATGTCCAAACGTCTCTATCTTGGCAGTATGGCCTAGTCTCTCCAATCCCCTTGATTTCAGGACTCAATCAATGTACTTTCAGGGCTTCCACCTGACACCCGCTCCGAAGATGTGTCCAAGTTTTTCGAAGGGTATGGTCGTATCATGGACTGCCGCGTCATGACTGGTACGTCGACTAGCGCATGTTCCCTGACACCTCGTCAATTCCTTTCGTAGGATTCGGCTTCGTCGAATTTGAAACTGCGAAGGTGACTGGATCCTCTTGAAGTTCATCCTCCGAATATCGTTTTTACCGTTGTCTCAGGATGCCGAAGATGCTGTTCACACCTTCAACGGGAAGCCCTTCATGGGCGCCAAGTATGGCAAACACTAAGATCAGTGAAACAAAAGCATTCACACCTATTCTAGCATTGTTATTGAATTCGCCAAAGAAAGTCGCCCCCGCCGCGAATACCAAGAGGACAGAAGCTACAGGTTCGATTGTTTGGCCTTGAATTGTGACTTCCTGATGCTGACGCCCCGACTCAGCGGTCCTCGTTCTCGCAGGCCTCCTGGTATTCGCTTGATCGTCTCAGGTGTTTCTCGCGACACGAGTTGGCAGGTATGATAATCTCAAATTGAACAGGTTCGGGCATACAATGGTTTTGGGTCTCCACCCTCGATCATACAGGCGAGGAAATTCCATACACCGTGGATTTTCTGGATCTATTGTGCGACCGGGGCCTGTATACTTGCCATGGACGGACAACGAGAAAAGTCCTGACCCTTCATTAACCCATAGGACCTGAAAGATTTCGGACGGGATGCCGGTAGTGTTTCGTTCGCTGATGTCGATCGTGATATTCCTGGCCAAGGGTGAGAAGGTTCCTGCTGCTGTATCTTCTCGTGGCTCAGCATTTCCCAGAGTCCTCGAGTACCTGTCCAGAGAAGACGCCGATCGTGCAGTCAAGGAACTCGACGGTAAGGACCTCCGAGGCAGGCCCGTGCGTGTGACCTACGATGATTCTGTATGGTGCTTGTTTTCTCTCGTTGTCAAAGCTAACTGGCCAAGCCGCAGCGCTCTGGTCCTGATAACTACCGCCGCGATGACCGTCGCGGTGAACGGCGCGACGATCGATACAAGGATGATCGCTACCGCGACGATCGATACCGCCGCGAACGCTCTCGGTCGCCTGCCCGCCGTGGTGAATTTGACGATCGTCGACCCAGGTCTCCCGCCCCAAGGAGGGAATATGACGATAAAAGGCCTGCAGGGTACGATGATTATCGGCGAGGCGGCTATGATGACCACAGACCCCCTGATTATTATTATGACCGCCGTAGGGATGACCAAGAACGCAGAAGGGACGACAGACGACGCGACGACAAGGAAGACCGATATGAGGATAGGGCTCCCAGAAACGGAGAAGCATGGGCTCGTTGAGGAATTGCCAGAGGCGCGTTTACAAGTAAAAAAGGGCAGCGGACGTCGTGCAATGAGTTCATTCGAATTTGGCTTCCTTACGGACACACTCTCCGATCTTTGTGGTGTTATCGTCGTTTACCCGGACCGTGTACTTCTCTAATGGTTGGTCAACGCTCTCGAAGAAGGATGAGGATCTACGCTATCAACAAACAGGCCTACCTCCCGGGGACCCTCGATCGCGGTCGTTCTCCATCCAATTTGATGTGTCGTGTTGAACCGAATATCATCTACCCGCTGGCATAGGAGCGTTGGACGCTTTCATGAAGATCCCTTCCGAAACGAATCCGTTTCTTGGTCGTCAACGGCTATGTACTACAAGCTGGAAGGTTCTCACGTTATCTTGTTTACGGCTGTCATTGTGGGCGCTAGACGGCGACGAAGCTCTTTTCTGCGGTCATGTGCCTCAAGCGTTGGAGGTACCTTCAGTCTGGTCTTTCCGAGGATGCCCATGGTATGTATGCTTTTCTAAATTCTTACGCATGCATTCTCTCTTCCTGTAGCTATCACATTTGTTGGTATACAATCTGGGACCCATCCTCTATGCCTAGCCAGTCCAATTCTCTAGAATCATATTCCTCGCCTAGTTTAGAGAGGGATCCATTTCTCATGCGCAGCCAGCAAGTTAAGTTTGTGCGGCGCACGTCAAGTTTGAGCGTTTTGCAGGCCTTCAATCGGAAAATACGTAACGACATTGTTGGTAGAACTCGCAACGTAGCTTTGGGGATGTCAGGAAAAGCGGATCCTTCTCGCTTCATGGATTCGCTGTACGGGTATAACTGCGAATCTTATCATTTGTTTAGAAACACGCGCGTGATGGCAATGGAGACGACGAACTAATGAGGTGGTTGCTAAGTTTATCCTGTGTGGCTTGCTGTTTCCTGACTTCATCGGGTCTTCCATGTTCTACCGGGTTGATGAGTAACGGTGAAGCAGGAAAAAACATCAACTCACTTCCGCATAAATCTTCCCAATGGTAATGAAGTCTCCGTCTTTCATCTTCCGACAGCTCTCCTTGCTGATTAATGCATGACATGTAGAAAAGCTCTGAATCGGTACGCTCTCTGGAGGAAATCTAGATAATGTTCCAGTGACCTGATTGCACAGCCTTGGGCACAGAAACTTACAGCTGCTCCATCGAGTGTCAAGAGCGATGGGATCCTAGCAATTGTGAAGGGTCGTGAATGCTTCCCTGGCTCCGTATCTCCAGAAAGATAGTTGAGGTCAGGAAGGGCCCGACAGGAAAACAATAAGACATATTTACCATTGACAAGTGGGTTTCCGTTCAGAGTCAAGGTCTTAAGACCAGGAAACCAGCAGGATAGTGCATCAACGGCCGCCCATGTGTCTATGCGATTATCTGACAGCGACAAATACTGGATTCCTGGCAAAGGATCTGAGTGCTGGGTCGGAAATGGGATAGATTCGATAAGATTTGAAGTCACGACAACACGCTGCAAGCTTGACACAGAAATAATGACAACGATATATGAAGCAGCATCAAGGTAATGACCTACGAATTGTATTCTTTTAGCGAGCCACATATGTGGGACCAGTCCGAAAGCAAGTTGCTATCGAGATTAAGAACCTCGACTGCGGAGTTGGGAGGCGTCCGAGGAGAAGTATCGTCTGAAAGTCGGCTGAGACGGTTGTAGCCCAATTCGACGACCTGCAGGACTAGCATCGAGGCGGTGATAGCTTGCATTTCGGGCCAACTGATTAAGGTCTCGTTCAGCTGGATCTCCACCAGTTTCTGGAACGCGCCTGTCAAGGCATCGTAGTTCGCAGGGAGTGCTAGACGGTTGCGACTGGGTCATGCTGGAGGCGGACGACGCGTCAGCAGGTCCTATTGCACTCACTTTAGGGACAGACGTTGGAGCAGAGGTAGTTCACGAGTGATGCTAGCGACGGTTTCCCAGTCGGGCAGAAGATTCTGAGAGAGATCAAGCCCGCGTATGTCTCTTGCGCATATGAGCTTTGCGCGAGTGGAAAGCGACGATGGCGGATGGGGAGCTTACTGGGGCAGGTCTGCATGATGCTGCCTGGGGCGTCCCCGCGGACGACATCAGCATGATCGAGACTGACCTCCTTCAGGTAGTCCAAACGCGCGAACTTCTCCCTGATCTTATCGAGCGACACCGCCTCGACCTGAATCGCGCCTTGCGAAGATCCGAGAACGACCTTTTCCTGGGTGTCGGATCCATGGAGCGTCTCGATGTACTTTGCCTTGAGGGCCTCGAGGAAGGAGACGCCGTAGATGAGGTGCGCGGTGGGTCGGATGAAAGATCCTGCAGACGGCGAGCTGGCAGTGCAGGTGGTGAAGATTAACGGGCCACGGGATGAATTTGGACGCGGGGTCTCACCGGCAGGTGAAGTACTGCTTGCCGTCCTTGGAGCCGCTGTGCTTCCCGCGGGCTGGGTCGTCCCACTCGACGCCGAGCCAGATGCCCGCTGTCCCGTCGACGGGGCCCACGAAGCGCACGGTCCCGTAGTGTCCGTTGTGGTTGACGCGCGTACCGATGACCTTGGAATCCATTAGATGGATGGGAGTGCCAAGTGCGTAACCCTAACCCTTGATTTCGGGAGTAAATACTTGGTGTGCTCCGTCGGAAGCCGCGCCAAGTCACGTCCTTGTCGCGGTGCTCCAACGCTCTCCCATGTTCGCTGCTACTCTGCGCACCAGTATGCCCCGCACTGCTGCCCGTGCCGCAGCACAGAGAACAACGGCAGTCGCACACCACCTCATGTCCACAGCAGCCGCGTCCCCAGCCCCCGAACAGGAGGTGCGTACTCTTGGGTTCTTCACAGCACTTTCATGTGGGTACTCAGGTTTAATTCATCTCGCAGCCCACTGTTCTTTTCGAATCGAATGGCTCCTTGCGAACGTACATTCTCAACAGACCAAAGAAGCTTAATGCTCTTGACGAGCCCATGCTTTCAATCCTGCGCCCGAAGATAGAGGTGTGCAGCATCAATTTCCGCGGGTGGTGTGTTAATAATCCGGTATCGTTTTCTGTTAGGAATGGAGTGCTTCCGATCTCTGCGGGACTATCGTTGGACGGGGAAACGGCCGAGCTTTCTGTAGTGGCGGTGATGTTGCTAGTGAGTCTGCATGGTTCTGGTCTCTGGGAATTTGGGGCCTAACGGTCCTAGGTGTTGTGCAAAATGCGTCAGATCCAGCTACAATTCCCCATGCAATTGACTACTTCAAACGCGAGTCAGTCTTCTTTTTTTCTCGTTTCCTCTCAAGACCCGCCCGCTAGTTTGTGCTGACTACGTTTACTCGAGGTTTGAAATGGATTACATCCTCGCGGCTCTGAAGAAGCCCTATGTTGCAGTGCTTGACGGCATGACAAGTACGCATTTTCCTGTTTTTGTTCTTCGCCACGTTCTCGACCTCGCTGATCTGTCCTCGTAGTGGGTGGCGGTGTGGGCCTTGCGGCGAATGCGCCTTTCCGGATTGCAACGGAAAAGACGGTCTTTGCGATGCCGGAAACGAAAATAGGCTACTGCCCTGACGTAGGCGCTAGCTATTTCCTGTCGCGAATGGATGGAGAACTTGGCACGTATCTAGCACTTACCTCGGACACGTTGTCTGGCAGGGCGGTCTTGTGAGCATGGCGCCGTCGGTTTCTACTGTTTCATGTTTTTTTTTGTTAACTGTTTCTTTCGGCAGTGAGCATGGGCTTGCCACGCACTACATCCCCTCCAGGCGAATCCCTTTGCTCCTTGATCGGCTGGCTGAGCTCGACAAACCCCATGCGAGCGTCATCGATCGAACCCTCGAGGATCTGTCCGCCGAACGCGAGCCCACGGAGGCTGCGCCGCCGTTTGTGGGTGCCAAACGCGCTGCGTTGGATCACGCTTTCCGTCATAACACTGTTGAACGCATTGTTGCGGATCTCGAAGCGTACGCCGCCCAGGGTGAAGACGCTGAGGTTAAGCAATGGGCTTCGGACACGTTGGCGCTACTTCACCTACGTAGCCCGACGAGTCTAAAAGTCTCTTTGGAAGCTATCCGCCGGGGCAAGCGGCAGACGCTCTTCAAGGCGCTGGAAATGGAACTCAAAATAGCTACAGCATTCTGCGTCAGTGCCATCAGCTGTTGTCTCTTATTTTTAGCATGCTGACTCGATTGAATAGCGGGGTGCCAGTCCAGATTTCCTGACGGGTGTCAAGGCCGTGCTTGTCACGAAGAGCAAGGACAAACCGGAATGGTCACCTACGAGCTTGAAGGAGGTGACTCCCGAGATTTTGTCTAGGTTCTTCGACCCCCAGTCGCCCTACCTGGCGGATGCTCCCAAGCTTGACTTCCCAGAGGAACAGACGTCAGCCAAGCTCGGAAACCCGCTCAAGTATGCCCTGCCGACTGAGGAAGAGATCGCGTCTGTTGTGATTGGATCGCACGGGTCTGCAGGAGGGAACTTGGGTCTGCGATTCGAGGAGGTGGTGGCTCGGTTCGCAGAGCTGCGGGGAGGGAAGCTGGGGGTGAAGGAGAAGGTGACGGAGGTGGTGAACCGACGGTGCGAGCTGACGGACAACGCCGATGGGAATTTCGTCTGGCTGAAGTGGAAGCACCTGCCGAAGTGATAGCAATATTACGCACGAGGAATAGAGAAATTCGGGCTGGGATGTGTGGTGTGATGCTACGGAGAACAAGGGGATTCTGGGCCGACCGGAGGTGGACGGGAAGGGGAAGTGCAAGGCGGATTAGTTTTTGAGAGGTCAGGGTCGGGGATGTGCTCGGATCAGCTGGATGGATTTGTGGGTGGTTGTTGTGTTCCTGAGGCCGATCTGGTGGGGAGATTTGAGAGATGAAATGGTGAGCGCCGAGACTAGGCTGTAGCGGGATGCAGGCTCTGGGATTGGCATGCATTGACACGAAAGGTGTTGCCAGGAGGAGCATTCGATTAATATAGTCCGAGCCGATCATTGAAAGATCCAGTCAACCAGCGCCAAAATATATAAGCAAACCCTACGAGCGAGTAGCCCATTCCCGCCCGGCATGGACGTCGCCAATGTCCTCCAGACTCCCCCCGTCTTCTTCCGTCTCTTCGTCAACCTCGCCCTCGCCCTCTTCTCCTCCGCCGTCAGCTTCCACTCTCCAGGCAGCGCCCTCCGCGACCGCCGTCGACCCCTCCGCGACTTTGACGTCGACCCCCACCCCTCCACCCTCTGCCTCCAGAGTACCGCCTCTGGGAGGACGCCTTCGCCGCTGCACATGGCAAGCTGAGTCTCGGCGAGGACGACTCCGAGGACGCACTCGCAAAACGCGCGTTCGGCAACCAGTGGCGCGCCAGCATTCCATTGGTATGTCCTTTGTCGCGTCACACACACCCACCACCCACTCACCCACGCGTCTAGTGGCCCGTCCTCGACACCATTCCTCTCCACCACGACCTCCGGGTCGCCCAACGCGCCCATATGGTCCTTGCATGGCTCGTCAGCTTCTACGTCCACTCCATGCCGCCCCACGGAGACGAGTCCCCAGTGGTACCTAGGGCCCTGGCCGTTCCGCTGCACCAGATATCCCGACATCTTGGCTTCGCTCCCGTGCTCACTTTCGCCGATACCGTCCTCTGGAATTGGGACCTCATCAATCCGGAGCAGCCCCTATCCATCGAAAATATGCGAATTCTTAATTTGTTCTCAGGCACAGATGACGAAAGGCACTTTTATCAGGCATCAGCGAGGGCCGAATTGCGCGGAGTCGAGATCCTGCGTATCATCGAGGATTACAACACCCTCCCAAATACGACCGAATTTACCTCCATCTCAAACATGGCCCGCGACCTCCATCGCTTGAGCAGCATCATAGATGACATCAGTGAAACTATCCAGTCCGTTCGTCCCCTTTGCGACCCACACGTGTTCTACTGGGATATCCGCCCATGGTTTGAAGGCAGCGACGCGAAGGGGCCCTCCACACCCGGCTGGATTTACGAAGGCGTCGATGAAGCCGACCTCGACCTCAGTGGCCCCTCTGCTGGCCAGAGCAGTGTCATGCATGCGCTCGACATTTTCCTCGACGTCGACCACAAGCTTAGCCAGCGCCGCTATCCTGCCCCTTCACCGGAGAACAAACGCGCCGATCTAGGTTTCATGGAGAGAATGAGACGATATATGCCTGGCAAGCATCAGGAATATCTGCGACATGTGTCCGGCGCTCCTCGTTCGATCCGCGACGTCGCCCAATCCACTCCTGCCCTCCGCGACGCTTACGACAGCGCGGTCATGGCCTTGAAACGCCTCCGGGACAGCCATATCCGGATCGCCTGCCTCTACGTCGTCACAATGTCCCGCACGACGCCCGGTGCCCGTGGTGGGTGCCCCGCGTCCGCCATGATTGACCGCCTCCATGCAGCACGACTCGCAGGCAAAGGGCCCGTTCGTGGAACAGGGGGAAACGAGCTTTCGATATTACTCAAGGCGGGCCGCGACGCGACCAGACGGGCAATCCTCAAGCCAAATTGACGCTAAACCCAAAGGAGATGAATGGGGCGTCAAGTTTTATTTTCTTGCTGTGATATAATGTTTTACATATTTGCTTTCGATTCGATTTCGATTGACATTTTGCTAATTTGCTTTCCCTAGTTACATAGTGCATATAGTAGCAACAAATAGATATAATGCATAGTAATGATAATTATGATCTGGTACAATATAAAGTTTTTAGCGAGAAACGAGGCCCCACCTTGCACGATGCACAGTCGGCCTGAAAGGAGCACAAAGAGCACACGCGCCGCTCGAATCGCGTTAGGACACGCCCGAGATCTAGCGTTCTGCCAAAATTTCAATCAGGGAGGAGCATACATTTATGGTACTTTCAAGGTCAAGTGAGTAGCTGGAAGCGATGGTCGAGGCGAATCGAGGTCAGTGCCACTGGGAGAGATTTCCTCCGATATGTGCGGTGGGTTTGTCTGTGGATACAAACGGAAACCTGAAGAGGTCACGGAGGAGAGGTCGCGTATAACCGGAGTTATCCGGCCCGTTGTTGCCTCTTGCTGTCCGCCCACGTGAGTCGTTCCCAAACGCGTTGAGTCACACCGTCACGCCCACTCATTTCCGTACACACACGACCACTGCCATGACTTACCAGCTATCCGCAGGCAGCTGTCGTCTATTCCAGACCTGTACCCCCGAGGATGCCGACGTGTTTAACACAGAACACACCGTCCAGTTCCTGTCCATTAAGAAGGTCGGGAACACCAACAATGGCCCCGACCGCTATCGCATCATCATGTCCGATGGCGTGCATTACATGCAAGCCATGCTCGCGACACAGCTGAACCAGCTCGTGCAGGACAACGTAATCACCAAGTGCACCGTCGCGACCATCGAGAAGCTCACTTGCAACTACGTGCAGGACAAGAGGTACGCGTATTCTTTTTCGCGTCTTCGTGTTTGTCGTGCTGACGTGCATGCATCCAAGGCTGATCATTATCCTCGCGTTGCGTGTCCTCGCACACACGACCGAGAAGATTGGGGATCCCCAGCAGATCGAGCCTGCTGGTAATGATCAGGGAATCAACTCGCCCGGGGCCAATCAAGCGGCCTCGACCTCCACCACTCCCGCTCCCGGTGCAGCGCCCGTCCAGCGTCAGCAGGCGCCTCCTCCAAAACCTGGGCGTACGGGCAACATCTACCCCATCGAGGGCCTCAGCCCGTACCAGAATAACTGGACCATCAAGGCGCGTGTGACTCAGAAGTCTGACATCAAGACCTGGTCCAACAATCGCGGAGAGGGCAAGCTTTTCAACGTCACCCTCATGGATGACTCGGGAGAAATCCGAGGAACAGCTTTCAACACCGTCGTTGATGAACTTTACCCCAAGCTGGAAGAAGGGAAGGTTTATTACATTTCGAAAGCCCGTGTCAATCTCGCCAAAAAGAAGTTCTCGAATCTTAACAATGACTACGAGCTTGGCTTCGAACGGAATACGGAAGTTGAAGAGGTACTGCCTCACTCCTGCTCTTTCGCCATCTAAGTTTAACGTGGCTTTCATTCAGTGTCATGAGGTTACAAACGTACCTACTGTCAAGTACAATTTTGTCCCGCTGGATGCTCTCGGTGAGCTTAACAAGGACGCGCTTTGCGGTACGTGATGGTCCTTGGCGCCCGGACCTCAACGTTCATGTTATCCGCAGATGTCATTGGTATTGTGAAAGAAGCCTCCGAGGTTACTCAGGTCACCTCGGCCAAGCTCAACCGTCAGGTATGTCGTCGGACGGGGCCTTGTTCCCTTTCAAATTCACTCATGGCCGCCTTATCTCCAGATTCCGAAACGCGAACTGACGCTCGTCGATCGATCTGGGTTCTCCGTCAGGATGACCCTTTGGGGAAAACAAGCTGAGCAGTACAATGAATCAGAGACAACTCCCGTTATCGCTTTCAAAGGCGTCAAAGTCGGCGACTTCGGAGGTACTTGGATTGTTCAGTTGACAATGGCGACTTGCTAATGTCTGGTCCAGGTCGCTCGCTTTCTATGTTTAGCTCGAGCACAATGCAAGTGAATCCCGACATAGAAGAGTGTTTCTTGCTGCGTGGGTGGTACGATTCTTCGGGTGCCGAACAGACCTTTAAGGCGCATTCCATCTCGAACACGGGGGGATCCTCGTCTTTCGGGTTCAACCGCACTGATATGCATAGTCTCGAGGAGGTCAAGCAGGCCGGCTATGGAATGCCGGAAAAGCCTGAACAGTTTTCTGCTCGGGCAACGATTATGCATATTAGGTCGGAGAACATTTCATATCCTGCCTGTCCGACGTCGGGCTGCAACAAGAAGGTCATCCAAATCTCAGATGGCTGGCGGTGCGAGAAGTGCAATCAGGTGTTCCCTGCTCCCGAGCATCGGTATGTACCGTTCATATTAATGAAAATGCGTTCTGGCTGATGTTGTGTTTTTTTTCTAGGTACATTATATCGATGGCTGTAGCTGACTACTCGGGTCAAGCCTGGCTTCAAGGCTTCAATGAAGTTGGCGTAGAAGTGTTCGGAATGACCGCCAATGAGCTGTTGGAGATTAGGGTAAGCACTGGCCCCTGTTCATTCAATCACCCTTTTGACCGTGTTAAAAGGACCGCGACATTGCCGAGTACAATGCTATTATGCACAAGGCCAACTGCAACACTTTCAACTTCTCCTGTCGTGCTAAGCAAGACACCTATCAGGTGAGTACTACCATTTGAATATGCAATGCAGGTCGCTGATATCCAACGCAAGGATACCACCCGCATTCGATACGGGATTTCGCGCATGTTGCCCATCGACTACAAGGAGGAGGCTACCATCTTGCGTGACCTACTCTATTCTCAATGGGCTCGGTGATCGGGCAACCGTCATATTTTGCTTGCTTGCTGCTTGTCTCTTTAGTGTACTATAGCCGCTCTCAGAGCGAGAATGTAACATAATACTTTGCCTGAGCTCAAGTCACAACCGCCGAGGTTGCGCTTCCGAGTGAGCTTTGTTTGGGTTGTTCGCGTGTGACTCGGAACGCGTCTGGTCGCGGGGGGGCGTGACCTGACAACCCACCTCCGCTGCGTCCTCCGTTTACAGCCAAGTCGCGCCTGCTGCCACCGGGGCCACCGACGAACGGCCGCTCCTTTGCTCTGTATTCTATCATCCACCCACGCAATCGTTCACCATTCTCCTAGTCGACGACTGACACGCTTCTCGACGCGCGCTATTGTTCTATACGATTAACGCTGCCATCTATTTCTCATGCCAGTCCCCACGAATTCGCGATATGAACAGCCCTTGAGCCCACCGCTCTTGACTACTACACCCGCGCGCTCGAGTATCCGCATGCCGTCGACGAGCACAAGCTACACGCCAACTGTGACCTCGGGTGCAGGTCAGCAAAAATTGAATGTGGTCACCCGCGTCGCGATTGAGGGAAAGGCGAAGAGGGACCAGGATGGGGCGTCTATTAAGATGTTTTTGAAGGTGCATAGTAAACTCTCTGACGGTGCCAGAGCTCAGGCCTGACCATCGCGACGCGACTCTATTCTTGCTAGATTGTTGTACCATTAGATTATGTTACACCAGGCTCGACTATCCCTCTTTTCCCAGGTCCGTTCGCACCTTTCTTTTTGTTTGTATGAGAGCTGACCTTTTTGCAGAGGAGAACGTGAAGATCCTCACTTCTCAAGTTCACCCTCTGGACAACAACTCTGTGCCATATAACTTTTCCTCGACGATATCCCCAATGCTGCATGCTGCAGCACGAGCGCTCAACCTCCCCGCGCGGTCTTCTGAGACCTTCAACTCTGCATTCGACCTTGGCAAGTTGAATGGACACGCCTCGTCGAGCCGAATCTCGAAGTCGGATAATCCTGAGCATGTTCCGCCCATCGATGCACAATATACAGGCCATATCCTGGTCAGTGGCTACAATATTTCGTTCGTACTCCCCAAGGTCTTTCTTTCACGTCGGAAAGGAGGAAGTTTGTCGGAGACTGAAGAAGAGGCAATTACGCGGACGCCTGGAGACAGAAGACGCCCGTCGGTCGGAGAGAGAAACCAGGCTCAATTCATGGCAGCAATAGACCTGTGGATTCCTCTTCTTTCCAAACCTCCAAGGTCACCTTATCTGGTCTGTAGAATTATCTTTATGAACCTCTTTAGATTGTTGACTCGGGATCTAGCTCTCTATCCCCACACCACGATGTCTCCACAACCACATCAAGCTACGCATATTCCCACCTGCAAACACGTCCCAGTCCTTCGCGTCTCTATCCTCCATGGAGGAAGAGAGTGGTGCTTGGGACGTCACCTCGGATCCTCACGTTACGCGAAGTGCCTCTTCACGGTCCAGATCCCATTCGTACAACAATTTCGCTGACGACGAGTCCTCGGATGCGTCGATGTCGGGCATGTACGAAGGTTGCGCGATCCAAGGAACATTTCCGAGCGCTGAACGGATTCGTGTTCGATGGGCGAAGCCTATGCGAACCGTCAACATCTCCGGAGAGACTGATGGCCGAAAACGCGTTGGCGTCGAAAGTGTTAAGGGCGAAGTGGTCTGCACAATCCGGGGTAAAGGGACAAGCACAAGTAACCCTGATGTCGAGGGAGTCCTGATAGATGTGGTGTATAAGAGCCAGTGCAAGGGAGTATGGTTTCCGGGAGTCGCGACCATGCTTGGTCTCGATGTGGGTCTTGAAGCCAAAGGCGCCGAGATAAATTGGCCACAAGGTCATCCAACACAATGGGAGGTCTCTGGAGGTACTGGGTACACCGGGTTTGACAACGGAATCTCAACGGGGCCGCCCAGTTCACGAACAACTTCTTTTGATTCCAATGGACCTCAGCCCCAAGGCGAAAAGGAAGGCGAGTCCGTAGCAACCTACCAAACAGCAAGAACAAATTCCGCCGCGTCTTCGAGTTCCTCACTTCTTCGAGCTCCTCTTCCTGGCCAGAGTGTAGCGGATTATTCCTTCGAGGGTTCAAACGCGACACTACCGCCCGGTTCCGTTGGGACTTTGTCTTCTGTGCCGTCTCTTCCAACGTCTTCGACTCTGAATCTTCCTTCGACCCCACAAGTGCGCCCACCAGGCTCTCCGATCACTCTGCATCTCAACATGAACGAGTTGCAAACACCGTCCAAGAGTGTCTTTTCATTTAGCATTTCCGGGACAATCCTTGTAACAGCAAAGAGTACGCTTGCTCGCATCAACAGTCTCAATTCTTCGAACGGATCCAATAACGACAAATCAACAGATCCAGAGCCTGTTCCATTACCCCAGTTTACGGTCCTCGCCGCTGATTCGGAGTCGACGCCTGTTATCGTACGGAATGAGGTTGAAGGAGCGTCCGTAGAGGTATTCCACCCCACTGGTGACATACAAAAGGACCCGCAGACACGAAAGACCGTCCTGCACAAGACCGGATCTACGAAGTGCGCGGATGGCGGCAGGATAGCCCTCAAATACTTTGAAGCATTTGGCCTGAATGGGAACGCACGCCCTTCTGGTCGTCCCAGAACCCCAAGCAATGTCATTGCTCGCGTTGGTACCAATTCTCCGGCGCCACGTACAATCGTTTCTGCTCGCGCCAGAAAAGATGGTCCTCCTATTATCACCTCCGTCGAAGCGACCGTCACAACTTTGGCGCCAGATGCCAACGGCTTCCCTACTGGTTATGCCATCAGGGTTACCTTGAAGATACCAGTTTTGTTGGATTCAGAATGGTTAGATTTTGGATTAGCGTATGGGTACAGATCGGGATCCGACAATGTCTCTTCATCTGCGGCTCCTAGACCTTCTCCAAAGGTTCATATTATCTGCGCCAGCCTTGATGGCATTCCTGTCAAATCAGAGATTGAAAAAGCGGTCGCAAATGTCGCGAAGGGTGGGGCCCCTTTCGAAGAGGTGAAAGGAAAGGAGTGGATTTACTGGGGCAAAGTCTACGCTGGGTCATCCGTGGGGTCGTCTATGGTCATCGATTATGTCGTCCAAGAGCAAGCCTCGTTCGCAGACAAAGGAAAGAAAAAAGCACTGAAGTCCGCCCAGATCGATATCCTTCTTCCGTCCTTCTCCATTTCCGTTGCAAGACTAGACGTTAAAATAGATGCCACCCGAGGTATGTTTAGCTGAAGATATGCACCTTGCACAACTATTGACTTACTTCCTTATCTCTAGATCTTGAACTATCATCACTGCGGTCTAATTTCGACTATCATCATGCATTTCCGACGTGTAATCGATTGCTCCTATATTCGATCGAGGAATTCTCCCAACCGCGTCTTTCCTTTGCTCTTGTAAGAAAGACTCGGTCTTCCGACTCTCCAGGATTCAAGTGGTACTTCGCCTTTACTTGGACAATGCTCCTCACCGCCTTTCTTGTGCTGTACAGCCTCACCGTCGAGACCAACCGTATGCAAAAAATCTCGAGTGGCTATTCAAACATGCTGGTTGACTCCTGGCCAGAGGTTCCTACTGTAACAGAGACCACGACCATCTATCGCGACACCTCCGGGCGGAAGTGGTTTGGAGACTCAGAGGCCTCAATTAGAACGATATACCCTTCATCTCTGTCCGCAAGTGTGTCCACTACCACCTTCACTGCTACCACCTCGTCTGCCGTCTCAGTTACGCCAACGATAACAGAACTTTATGTTCCACTACAGCCCAGGGAAGACAACTCTGTTATGAATATGCAAACACGCTCAATATTGGAACGTTATGGCCTGATACCAATGGAAAGCTTCCTGGCTTTTGATTGGTTGGACGAACGAAGTGCTGCTTTCAAACGGGCGTTTGTCAAAGTTCAGGACTCTATGGAATTTGTATGGAGAATATTCAAACGAGTGTATCACTATCCTCTGCCCCCTCCATAACCCTGAGGAAACTTATGCATTATCTATATGTATTCTTGATCTCATTTTGGTCGTACTTATCATATATGTAGTGTTGCCGCGGTTCGGTTAGTCTCGTCCCCAGCCGTTTTGGGTAATTCGGCCGCTTTATGAGAATTTGATGGCACGGCCTACCCTACAACGTCTGGTGCATTTGAACCGTGCGACCCCCCTTGCGTCATTTCGTGACAATCACGAGATCACGTGCAAGCCATACCGGACGCGTCTTCGTTTGTTGACTGTCTCTCTCTTATTTCTGTCTTGCCTCTGGTACCTCCAACTCCCGTCGCTCTTGCTCGTCGTTCTTGCCCATGGTTCCTCAACAAGATACTCACGCTTATCTACGCCTTCGCTCGTATCGCAATCTCGAGGATGCTCGGCAAGCCGCCTTCGAGAAGTGCAGATACAACTCGACGCGAACTCGAGCCATCATCACCTCGCTCTTTCGTGAACGCCACAAATCCGACCCCCATCTCTGGCAGCTCGACGTCACGGAGGCAATAATTCTCGGGCTTGACAGCATAGTTATTGCTGGAACAGGAGCCGGCAAGACGATGCCCTTCATGATGCCCCTCCTCGACAACAAGAAGGTGATCGTAATCTCACCTCTCAAAGTTCTCCAATTGGAGCAGGTACTTCTGTTGCTCTATTTCTCTGTGTGAGTCTCTGATGTTCTGTTACAGGCTGAAAGATTCGAAAAAATGAAGCTGGCGGCTGTTGCTGTTAACGGTGACACATGGAATTCCGAGCTACAGAAGGTGTGTAATGGATTTCTTCTGTGGTATACTCGCATTTACAGTCTGCAGGATCTCGAGCAAGGGAAATATCGCGGCATATTCACGTCGCCCGAGATGTGTCTGAAGCATACCGAATTCCGTAACCACCTGACCTCAAGCTTTCAAGATATATGTGCCGTTATTGTCGATGAGGCCCATTGCATCGCGCAGTGGGGCGGAGATTTCCGTACCGCCTACAGCGAGATTGGAAAGCTGCGCGCCTTCTTTCCGCCCAATATTCCCATCCTCGCTACCTCCGCGACTCTCCCACAAGCTGCCCTCCAGGAGGTTCGCTCTCAGCTCGGCATCGATGCCGCAGACAGTTTCTTTCTCAATCTCGGCAACGACCGCCCCAACATCGAGTTCTCTGTCCACAAGATGAACTCATCAACTGACTTCAAGGCCCTCAAACCCCTCCTCACTCGAAAGCCCAACCCCTCAACACCTGATGACTTCCACAAGAGCATTGTCTTCATCGATTCAGTACAGTCATCCCACCAGGTCCTTCGTGAGGTCCGTTCGTGGTATCCACGTCACCTCCGCAAGCACATCGACTTCCTCCACGCCCACCGATCACCCAAGGCCAAGCGGCGGGCGATGCGGCGATTTAGGAATGGCCGCACAAGAATCCTCATCACTACCGAGGCAGCAGGCATGGTATGTGCCTTGATTCTTTCTTCCTGCGTAGCCTGACTTTCCCTTGTAGGGTGCTGACATTTCTGATATCGAGCAAGTCATCCAGTTTGGCGTTCCCTCATCGCTGTCAGTCTGGATGCAACGTGCGGGGCGCGCAGGCCGAGACCCAAGCATCAATGCATGCGCCATTCTTCTGGTGGAAAAATCAATGTTTGAACAGCAGAAAATACGGAAAGGCCGCAAGAAGAAGGGGGTGGGTGATGAAGCTGCGCACGAGGTGGAGGAGGAAATTGGTGGTGGTGACGAGGTCGAGGTCGAGGTTGAGGTCGAGGAGATAAGGAATGAGGAAGATGCCGAGGGAGCAGGTGATGATGTAGCAGGAGCTGTGGGGGGTGATGCCGAGGGGCCACCTACTGTAGACGAGCATGCAGAGACACCAAGGCCAGGTTACGAGTTTCGTAAAAAGGTTGACAAGGACCTTCGATGTTGGATTGTGACCAAGGACTGCCGGAGAGATGTGGCTGATGATTACTTCGGCAACCCTCCTCGAGAGAAAGGTGCGTTTCTTGATTGAATCTATCTTTCTCTATGCTCATATGTTGCTAGCACCCACCGGAGCATGCTGTGACAACTGTGATGGCCTACCGGCTGATCTTGAATCCTCGCGGCCTTCAACACCTGTTCAGTCAACACCTCCGGGCAGCAGCCACTCAACCCCTTCGAAATCCGTCAACGAAAATGGCAAGCGTCCGATGACAGAGGGCAAGAAACCGTCAACACGACGTGGCGACCTTCTCCAGGCCGCTCGGGATGCTCTGATCAACTGGCGGTTCAACACGAAGCGAGCAAGATACAACCCCAGTTCCGTCACTGCTGAGTCTCTCATGCCAGAGAATGTCTTGAAAACTCTCGCCTCTTCTCGCCGGATCTCATGTGTCGAGGACATCGAGACCGAGACACATTGGCTTTTCGCGCAACGTCACGGTGAGGTGTTAGCTGTCCTTCGTCATGTTGATCAGGCACACTACGAGAGCAAACAGGCAGCAAAGCAGGCGAAGAAGTCACAAAGCCGTACCAAATCCATGCAGCAGCCATCACCGTCGCAGACCCAGAGACCCAACACCGACCAGGAGAATCAGCCTCTCACACCAAGAGCGCAAGGCTTGCGATCCAGTAAATGTGCACGGCAACCATGGTCCAACTCGTGTTCAGTCTTTTCATCTGGCACACCTGTCTCGGTACCAACTCCTGGCACAATGTCAACAAATGTCTTATGTACACCCTCTGGTGGTCTTTTGGACTTCTCGGTGAGTGTCTGTCATGTTTACTTGCATGTTACTTATTAATTCACTGTCAGGTCTCTACTCCTATGCCTCTTGCACCACGTCAACCAAGTTGAACAACAGCTTGCATCTACTCCGAATCAGAGGATGTGACAAAGCCTTTGTCCCAGTCCTCATCCATCGACCTCTCGAATGTGCGCTGGCTTCTCCAATTCTCCAGCACGGTACGGCTCTGAAGCTTTCCATTCCCTTCTGTGGCGATATCATTGAAACCCATACCTTTCTTTACCTTCCGGCCCCGTTGAAAGTGATGGTAACCTGAGTCTTTATATGCTTGTTGTAGCCTAGCAACGTCAAGGTCTTTTCGTGGAACTGTGTGTGCTGAACCTCGAGTGAATGTCTGAAATTCCTCTTCAATATGGATTGCAACTTTTCGGATGGTGTGAATTGCAGGATGAAGTTTCTTCAGGTACTCCCATTGGATGTTTGGGCCTTGTGAACGGTATGTGACCTTGATATCTTTGATGTTCCACTCCTGCCCTTTGTCCACAGGAATGAAACTACCTGGCTTTCCAGTGGTGTTGATCAACCAGCAGTGGTGACGAACAAAGTTGCTGAAGGTATGACATTAGTCCGCTTGTCTCTAGGGCAAGTATTCACTTATGCAACATCTTCAGGCAGCTCTCGATGCAATGCCTGCAACAATTCAATAACCTCGCCTGTGTATTTGGTATTTCCACCTCCAAGAAAGCGGTAGAGAAGGTGTGGGAGCATAGCCTCCATGAGGCCGACGTCACCAGTCTTCATTGCCTGCTCGAGCACAATGTACTGCAGTACATCGCGATTCCACATGATGATCTGCTTCAGCTCCTCATCCTGCTGATTGGCTGGTCTAGCATTCATCTTGTCCATCGCCTCGCTCGACGCACGCTCATCAACAATCCTTTCCGCGAGTCGGTAGAGCTCCTGAGGTTGACGATCTTTTAGATCTGCTAGAGATGTGACACCAGCTATCTCCTCCCAGTCAAGTCGTATATGAGCTTCAGCAACATGGTGCAACATCTCATTGAGACCGTGGTGGAATGGCCCCTTGGTTAGCACCTTCAGCAAACCTTTCTTCTCGAGCAGGAGGAATGCATGCTTCAGGCCGCGCATTTGAGGAGTGCCCAAGTATTGCTTGTGTAAAGAGTTGGCGAATGCCATCTGGAGATGAAACCAACCGAAAACGAGGACTCCAAAGTCCATCCGTTCAAACGAGTTCTCGTCTTCGGCACGGAACTTGAATATGTTTCGAAGGCGGTCAATGGTGAGTTGGTCTCCAATCCATGTAATTATCTGCTCTGTTGACATCCTCTTTAAGTCCTCTTTCTTGGTAAAACCAAGTTGTCGGAGCCATAAGTTGTCGGAGCCATTCAGCTACAAGTCGGATGTTGTCCTCGTAACTTGCCTCCGGAATGTCGACCGTGCCAAGAAGATATTGAAGGGCAACATTCTCAGGACCACAGGGCAGCTGGTCGACAGCAGGTGGTGCCTTGAGGAATTCACTGTCCTTGTGCAAATACGACGGCAGATCAAATTCTTGGCTGCTGATGAGGAATTTCAGGACCTCAAAGACCATCTGTTTTCGAATGCGTGGAAAGGAGTCGTCACCAAGATTGATGATATCGAGTTTGGTAAGTGGATTTGCCATTCCCTCCACCCGTCTATCCTTGAGTCGCTGATTCGCATTCGGCTCAAGAGGTTGGGCATTTGGTTTAACATAGACAGTGGCCGCAGTTCCGCTAGTGAATTGCCCTTTGTTATCAACGCGCTGAGAGAAGACATGCAGCGGCATGTTGATGTTGTCGTAGGTGATTGCCCATGAGTAGTGTTTCAACATCTCTTTCACCTCTGCCATGCAGTACTCCGAAATTCTCTTCACAGAATCTGCTGTCCATTTGTGACTCATTGTGAGTCCGAGAGCATGAAGAGTATCAAACCCTTTGGCTGACACCCCCTTGAACTGAAAATACAGAGTGAGCAGCTTCTGCAAGGAGCACCGGTGATGGGAGCGTGTATATGACAAGACGGAGATGATCATGATGATGGTCTACAGTATGTTTTTAATTTAAGACTCGAAAGCAATATTGAAAACTCAGACCTTGGGATTGTTTGATGTTTGACCAGCTTTGGGCCTCTTGCTTGGCCGCTCCGCGAAGTTTACAAGAACATCCCAAAGTATTGGAGCCAGTGTCTGCATCTTTGATGCCAGCGTCAAGAAGGATGTCGACACAAGCGTCTCTGTTCGGACATCTTCTGAGGTATCGGAAAGCAGGTGCGGCACCAAAATCTCTAGCTCTTTGGATGCAAAATTCTTGATGTATCCCACAGCAAACTCCTTCATGACAGTGCTCGCACCTGTTGCGCGTTTTTTGTTGGACCCCTTCCTGCGTGGAGGAATTGCCCAATGCCAAAGAATTTTTGGGAGTTTCCTGTCCTGCAGCATGACTGTCCTCTTGTTGCGAACCTTAGCATCTTGTGTGCATCCAGAATGCCCCCAGCTCAGTGCGTCCAAAAAGTCTATGAGCTTAAAGTTTAACTCATCGAGCTTGTCAAGCACAGCCTTGACGTTGGCAAGTGTCCTCGGGTTTCGATCATCTTCTACGTCCTCGCTCGGTAGTTCGCGATCAAGAATATCGATGTCAACTGCGTTGTTGGGCTCATCCGGTTCGGAGTCGGGTTCGTCTTCGACAGGGTACTCATTTCCCTCAAGATCACGGTTATCAAACAAATTGTCCTCCTGGGGCAGTCTCGGCATTTCGTGTGCTCAGAGAGGAGGTTTTATGATGCAGTAAACCAATATGGGTTGTATGGGGAATAACCTCAATGTGAAGGATAGTGTAGACCGTCTTCGGAATCCGTTTGTTTGCACATCCCACTACCAAGTTGTCTCAGATTTTGAAACATCCATCTCCTAACTCCTATATCCTGCTAGGAATACAATCCTCTCATGTAGTTAAGACTGCTGAATCTATTCTATCATAAAGGAATGTGGATATCTCCCGGAAACTCTTGATTGAGTCACGAACACTCTTGTATGGGGTATGAGGACGCGTTTAGGGGCGCGTTTGATGGGATCAGCACTGTGACTATGATCACGAGCTATGACCATGGGGTCGCACGGTTCAAATGCACCAGACGTTGTAGGGTGGACCACGTCCATCAAATGGTCAATAGCGGCCGAATTACCGAAAACGGATGGGAACGAGACTACGGTTCGGTTATGGTTAGTTGCGGTCTGCTAACGACAGTTTAGGTAATTAAGCGGTTTCAAGCGGCTTGGAACTGGTTCGACTGCGATGAACCGTATCAAAAGTCCATATTTGGAAGGCTCGTTCAGTACTCCATTGTATTGACAGTAAGAGCATGGTTATTGTTGACAAAAGTGCCTCATTAAAGAGGAGGCATCCATTTGAGCTGCTACAACTGAGAAAAATCACTTTCTTATTGTTTGCAATTTAAATAAATGAACACTGTCGTTTTGCACAGTACTTTCAGGTTGATCATGTGCCGGTAGTACTAAGCAAGCTCTCGAAAAAGTAACAGGCTCTGAAATGCTTTACAAACCACTTTAATAGAGAGAAATATATCTTAAATGCATTGTAAAATGAGAAAACTGCCCAACAGCCTTGAGGACGGGATGGGAAGGGATATTCTGTGACGAGGACTACCAATTATGGAAAAGAATCGAAGCTATTAGCTCAGCGGGCTCGAGACCGGTTCAAACCAGTCGGTTAATCCCGGTTAATTTGCGGTTCAGCTTGCGGTTTAACCAGAACCAGGCTGAACTGCGGCAACACTACATATATGTACTCTCATATCCTTCCATCTACATTGATAACTTGTGCAACTGTCACTACTGTGGGAACCGGATTTATGGGCGACCATAAAGGCGTTCTCGGCTGCACAAACATTATAAGTAAATTTTGGAGTATCCATAAATAAATCTTTTTTTCCACACAGAAAATGACCATAAAGGGAAAGGATTATGAACGCTTTTGTGCTGACATAATCATTACAGTTACGAGACGTCAATATACATGCCTTAAAAGGAGCAGAAAGTGTACATTTATGGTAGGCTTTTGATTGGTCATCATTTGGTCATAATGGTTGTGCAGCCAAAAACGCCTTTATTGTGTCCCATAACGAGTAATCATAATGGTTGTGAAGCCAGAAACGCCTTTATAGGCGACAATAAAGTGCATAAACTTTATGACCAATCAGAAAGCCTACCATAAATGTACGCTTTTTTGCTCCCTTTAAGGCAGGCACAATGCCATTCCGTAACTGTAACGATTATGTCAGCACAAAAGCGTTCATAATCCTTTCCCTTTCCGGTCATTTTCTGTGTGGAAAACAAGATTTATTTATGGATACTCCAAAATTTACTTATAATGTTTGTGCAGCCGAAAACGCCTTTATGGTTGCCCATAAATCCGGTTCCCACAGTAGTGTGTATTACTTGATAATTTACTGCCATTTCCGCCAAATCACTTCTAGACACAATTGATGGCCAGGAGACCCCATATTTAAGGCGCTATAGCCAAGTGGTTACGGCGACAGATTAGAAATCTGTTCCTCTTTGAGGGCGCAGGTTCAAATCCTGCTGGCGTCGGTGTGTTTTTGATTCTGAGTTGCTTTCTCCTGGAACCTCATTCTAATTTTTACATAAATAACCTGGTAAGATTCAAAATTTATTTCCTCTGCAAGGTGCGATGTATAGCTAGCTCAAATTGCCTTTATTATTATTTTTTATCTCCGATCTTGCGGGTTCAAATCCTGTTGGCGTCGCGCGCGGTTTCTTCCTGCTGCAATGCATCTCTGGTTTCAAAGGTTTTATTGCCTCACGCTTACTTCTGTCAACAGTAAAATTGCGCTCGATGATTGGCTGCTTAGTGACTACGTAATCAATTGACCGGTGAGGTCCTCGCGTAACTGAGGACTATTATGGTGTGTCTGACTGTGTGGGTCTGCAAAGGAAGCCGGGCTTCCATTGTCCTTGGATGTCCTACGTTATCCTTAAGCCACGATATATAGCCACGCGTCCTTTTTGCTGCCCTTTCTCCCCACACCATCGCTTAACCTTCCGACGCACTCCGTCCCACAACCTCGGCCAGTATCCGAAGTCCATGGCCACAAGTATTACAACGGTCGACGATTGGAGACGTGTGGAGAAACCTGGCACAGTTCCTTATCAAGTATTCACAAAACCTATCGTTAAATCGGAACAGGATGATAGAGATTACCGAATCATAAAGCTAGACAACGGATTACAGGCCACGTTGGTTCATGACGCTAAAGCAGACAAGGCTGCTGCCAGTTTGGATGTTGCAGTTGGCCACCTCTACGACCCGGTACGTGGGATTTGCCTTCGTCTCTGATTTCAAGTTCTGAACTATGTGTCTGTCTAGGACGATATGCCGGGTCTCGCCCACTTTTGTGAGCATCTGTTGTTCATGGTGAGAGCACTGCGGCAATACATCTTCATCTGTTCCGTCATTAATCCACTCACTTCTGAAGGGAACCGAGAAATTTCCGAAAGAGAATGAATACTCTGAGGTATTTAGGTGGCCCGACTAGTAGACGCCATCTGCTCAACAATTTCCCGATAGTATCTTGCCAAAAATAACGGAAGTTCAAACGCCTATACCTCAACGTCAAATACCAACTATTATTTTAATGTTGCGACTTCAGCTCTGCCGGGCGCCTTGGAACGCTTCGCTGGATTCTTCCACTGCCCTCTGTTCGCTCCGTCGTGTACGTCACGCGAGCTGAACGCGGTCGACTCAGAACACAAGAAAAACCATCAAGCAGATATGTGGCGCATATTCCAATTGAACAAGCATCTTTCTCGTCCTGGGCATGTGTGGTCTAAATTCGGAAGTGGCAACCGTGACAGTCTGTCTAAGGCCGCCCGCGAACTCAAGGAACAGGGAAAATTGGCTTCTCCTACTGTCAACGGCAATCTCAGCACGACAGCATCACCAGTTCCTTCTCGTGGGGTCTCTCCGGCACCTTCTATTACCTCGACAAACAGTGAAACCGAGGCAGATGGTGGGGCTGTCGGTCGCGAAACACGACGCCGACTCGTAGAATGGTGGAGTAAGGAATATTGTGCGAATCGCATGAGACTCTGCATAGTCGGAAAAGGCAGGAATTCTCGATTATTTTCGACCCAATGCTCATCCCATCTACAGAATCCTTGGATGAATTATCCGACCTTGCGGCTACGCTCTTTTCGCCGATTGCAAACCGCGGCCGTGAAGCTCTTCCAATGCTCCACGAACACCCTTTCGGGCCGGCTGAGAAAGGCGTATGTTATCACAAGGACCCATGGCGCATAAGCTAATCTCATACGACAGACGCTGGTATCTGTACAAACAGTGATGGCATTCCATGCCTTGGAAATCTCCTTTCCTCTGGAGTATCAGCCACCTTTCTGGAAACACAAACCTGTCAACTTCCTTTCGCATTTTGTTGGGCATGAAGGCCCGGGTTCACTGCATTCGTACCTCAAGAACAAGCACTGGGTGACATCTTTGAGTTGCGGGCCGCAAAATCTCGCTCGAGGATTTGCTATGTTCAAGATCACCATACACCTGACACCTGAAGGTTTCGGTATGCATTGCGCTCCTTTCTTCGTTTCTTCCCTTGTTTATAAAATTTCAGCCAATTATCGTTCAGTTGTCCTGGCGGCATACAAGTACATGGCGCTCTTCAGAGCATCCACTGTCGAAGCCTTCCACCACCAAGAATTGGTCAAATTGTCTGCCATCCGGTTCCGCTTTGCTGAGAAAAGACGCCCCGATGACTATGCCACATGGATATCGGAACATATGGCATGGCCTGTCTCTCGGGAGCTCATACTTGCTGCGCCTCGGCTTACGTGGGCATGGGAGAATGACGAAGATAAACAGGAAGGGGAAGCTAAGATTGCAGAATATCTCAGCAAATTCCGAGTAGGCGAAGGGCGTGTTGTCCTCATGGCAAGAAAAGATGACCACGTAAAGGTCCATCCAAATATCCAATGGGAGAAAGAGCCGTGGTATGGAACGGAGTATGCTGTGGAGAGATTCGACGAGGACTTCGCAGCGCAAGTGAGTCTCAGATCCATACCCCACTCTACTTATCATCTCACCGATTTGATAGGCTGATGGCCCAAACGACATCCCCGAACTTTTCCTTCCTGGACCAAATGAGTTTATTCCAACTAACCTCGAAGTTGACAAGAAGGATGGCATCATGGTAATTTCCTCTCGTTCCAAAGACGCTGGAACGAATTAAGCTGGTCACTTTTTTCGAACAGCCGCAAAAGCGCCCTCACCTTATCCGCGCGACCCCCCTCTCTACTTTGTGGCATAAGAAAGATGACAAGTTTTGGGTTCCTAAAGCTCATGTTGTCATTGATTTGAGAAGGTTAGTAGTCAATTGGTCGTGATTATTCCGTCTTCGCTGACCGTCATGAAGTCCTCTGGCCAATGCATCTGCGCGTGCATCTGTCCTCACTAGGTGAGCTTTCTATTACTGAAAGCCTTACAAAATGCTCTCAACCCGAAATTAGGCTATACTCGGAGATTGTGAATGACTCCCTTACAGAGTTCTCTTATGACGCCGATCTCGCGGGCTTGTCGTATAACTTCAGCCCTCACTCCACTGGCCTTTATGTCACTATGAATGGATACAACGATAAGATGGCGGTTCTTGTCAGTCATGTCTTGGAGAAGGTCAGAGCTCTTGCAATAGATCCACAACGGCTTGCTGTTATGAAGGAACAGGTATGTGTTTCTATTTCTTTCATCTTCTTTCAGCACTTTACATTCGTTTAGACCCGTAGAGAATGGGAAAATTTCTTCCTCGGACAATCTTATTCGCTCTCTGACTATTACGGGCGGTATCTCATGTCAGAACGTGCATGGACCATCAATGAGAAGTTGAAAGAGCTCCTCTGTAAGCATGGCTCCTTCTACTCTCTTTGCGTTACTCATCCAGGACCGTAGCAATATATGCCGAAGAAGTCAAGGCGCACATGGAACAAGTACTTTCCCAAGTGAATCTACGGATCCTGGTTGCTGGAAATATGTTTAAGGGTGTTCGTTGTGCTTGTACTCTTCGACCAGTCCTTGAAATCTAATACGACTTTTTTTTCTATTTCCCAGGAAGCTATTAAAATTGCGGAAATGGCGGAAGAGGGACTTAAGCCATCTCCGTTGAGCCCCTCTGAGTTGAATGAACGGGCTCTCATTCTTCCGCCAGGCAAGCCCTCTTCTCCCTCGATGTCAACAGCTGTTGACATACCTGTGCTTACAGGGTCCAACTTCGTATGGTCGGCGTTGCTCCCAAATCCTAATCAGGCTAACTCGGCCTTGACGTACTTCACGTCCTATGGCTCAGTTGTGGATCAAAAATTGCGTGTCACCTCGGCGCTTCTGACACAGATACTGAGTGAACCCGCGTTCAATGTCCTTCGAACGAGAGAGCAACTGGGCTACATCGTCTCGTGCACATCCTGGACGCTGCCAGGGGCTTCCGAACGAGGTCTCAGGATTGTGGTTCAGAGCGAGAAGCGACCAGGCTATCTGGAACACCGTGTTGAGACTTTCTTGGACGAGATGAAAATCAAGCTGGAGGAAATGTCTGACGAAGAATTTAACAGCCAAAAGGCTGGACTGGAGAAGAAGTGGCTCGAAGCGGATAAAAACCTCGCGGAGGAGGTTGCCAAGTACGTTGTGCATATCAACAGCGGCCAATGGGACTTCTTGAGGAGTAAGTCTGGAAGTGTCCAAAGCCCCTGCACTTTTCTGACATTTTATTTAGATGAAAAGGATGCAAATTTATTGACGACCATAACCAAAGACGACATCCTTCGATTATTCCTTTCCAACGTCCACCCGTCCTCAGCAACTCGCTCCAAACTTTCCGTACACATGATCTCGCAGAAGCCCCGTCCCAAGCGAGTTAGCGCTGCCGCTGCGCAAGCATTTGAAATCCTTGTCCACCAGTCCTTCCCTGACATCGACGCAACGGCATGGAGAAGTGCTATGGAAGGAGATACCCCGAGCTTGATCGAGTTCGGACAATATTGGATGAAGACCCTCAAGTCCGACACAGGCAGGGAGTTGCTCTCTCAACTCCCTCAGTTGATAGAAGAGTATCCAGCAGCTGAGGAAGACGAAGATCGTCGAAGACTAGATGTCACCTACATCGAAGATATGAAGGCCTTCAAAAACGGATTAACAGTCTCTGTCGATCCTGGACCCATGGTGGAATGGAATGATCTACCACAGCCGCGATTCTGATTTACACAATTTCTACCTTGCCACGATCCCCCCCTGTACGATAAATTTGCCAAATGCTTTCGAATGTGCTTGCTCCAGTTGTCTAACTTGCTACGAATGAATGAATGAATGAGTGTATATACAGTAGAGTATTGAGAAAATGCGACGACAGCAACGATTTGCAAAGGGAATACAGAAAACTCAAGAACAATTTTCAGGTGCCCACTGGAAGCTGAGAAAAGGAATTCTACTTTCTCCTCGTATCCTTGAATCTATTCGCGGGCTGGGTAGGTGCCACATAATCCTTGGGGCGTCGGAATAGAAGTACATGTGGTTCCGGGGCTGGTAAGACGGTAAATAACCTAAGAAGCTCTGAGGCAGTACACTCGCACCATGAACTTCGTAATGCTCCCAACCAAGGCTTTGAGTGATTCCGATGCCTCGCCATTCAGTCTCTGTTAACAGTCGTAGAACGCCAGAATCCTCCGGGCCGAAGTATTCTTTGGGGATCATCTTTAAGAGTTGTTTGGGAAGAATGACATGGCGATATTCGTATTCATCGTCCGAATAACGATCAGAGTAATGAATCCTGGGAGGACAGTTCAAGTTGAGTACTTCAAATGATCGCATGATCTTACTTTTCGATGTACTCCTCCAGTTTCCGCGCCATCTCCTTCTGTTGTGCCGTCTGCTGTGCCGTCTGATTGGTAGCCATGGAGAGAAATGATGAAATCCTTGCTTTGGTCTGGCGATGTGGTGGATTCAAGAAGAGATTATTGTTCTGTTTACTGTTTGGACTCCTGAACGCGTCTTGCATTGGTCACGTGTCACAACGCGTACGATCAATGTAGCACCCTTTCTTCTTCCTTACTATCACCACAATATCAACCTTTCATGAATCCTCAGTATTATGACGATCCTATCGATGACTTTGCTGCGGAAGATCAGGAATATACTTACCCGAGTGGACGAAACGATGCATACATTCACGACCAATACCCTCGACCTGATCTCATCGGCGACTTCTACGACGACGATTTGGAACTTGAATTCGGTGAACATATGCGCCTTTTAATCCCAATTTATACTCATTCGTACAAGGTCTCTCCCCGCCTTCGACTTTTGCTTTTGATCCCGCATACAGTCAAACCTTGGCGTTACAAGCCCACCCAACAACCATAAGCCCTCAATCTATAGCGAACTCTGTGCAGTTTCGAAATTCTGCTCAGAGTAGGCTAGCTTGTCCTTCTACCTAGCTACATTAATGCCTATGGCTATACTCATTTTTTCGTTGTTAACAAGGGACTTTCACCGATCTTCAGGCTCGCAATCCACACGGGGGAAGGGATCGACAGAGTGGCCAAACGCAAGCTTGGCATAAAGACCAACCTGTGGTATATATGTCCAAAACATTGCAGGAACACAACTCGACACAAAATACCATGAACGGCGCTTCCGAAAGTCAACCTCGTAACTCTCATGGTATTCGACTTCGGCCAGTATCAGACCTTCGTCAGCCTGCAAATACCTTCTTCGCTTGCATGGACTCATCGGAACTATAGCTGATGTATACCGTGGTATCTTCAAATTTGGAGTTTTCAATGCGGTCCAATCGACATGTTTTGACGAAGTTGAGTCCGTTCTCTATAGCTTGTAATCAACTATTTGACACTGCCTGCCAAGGTCGTATCAGGCAACAAGAACCTGGTAATACACTACGTAGTGACCTATTGACTATTGCTGAATGATCTGGACAGGTAATAAGCGCGCCAACGGGAAGCGGTAAAACCGTGCTTTTCGAATTGGCAATAATACGAACGCTAGAGCAAAACAGAAACAACAGCAAGCAAGCTAAATGCATTTACGTTGCACCCACCAAGGTTTTCCAGACGAACTGACCTCATGGGTCATTCCCTTGTATTGATCTCGGTTCACTAGGCCCTATGTTCTGAGAAATTTCGCGAATGGTCAACTAAATTCGAGCCAATCGGATTCAAGTGTCAGTGTCTAGAGTCCGAAAGCAGGTTCAATGAAGACGAATTCAATGTTCCTGTAGGTTGCGAATTGACGGGAGACACTGTCGTTTTCGGAAATAACGCATGGGGTGACGCGAAGAGCGCCTCAATCATGTAAGCATAATTAGATTGCTCGTCATTGCGTGCTAATTTCTCCCAGTGTGACGACCGTACGAATTCTCAGAGCATCGATTCTTACCTTCTAATGAATTCCAGTGCGAGAAATGGGATAGCCTGACCCGAAACTGGTGAGATTACCATGAAGGTTTCTTTCTTCCGCTTCTGATGCACTGGGTGTAAAAGGCATGATCACGAGCAAATTCTGTCTCAAATAGAATTATTCATGGTGGATGAGGTTCGCCATTGTCTCTAGCGACTTACGAGTGCCCTTTTCGATCATTTCTCAGGTGCATATACTCAATGAAAAACGCGGGAGTACCTTGGAAGTTGTTACATCAAGAATGAAGCTAAGAGGCACCTCAACACGCTTCATTTTGGTATCGGCTACCGTACCAAACATCCATGATGTCGCACAGTGGATTGGAAGCGGTTTCAACAATAATGAATCCGCGCGTGTGTTTGAGGTGTGTGCATGCCTTCGAAGCTCTGGTCTATTATCAAGCGCTATCATGACAGTTTGGAGACGATTTCCGCCCTTGCAAACTCATCAGACATGTCGTCGGCGTGCCGCGCCGAAATGGGATCAACGACTTCCAATTTGCCAAAGTCTTGGAATATAAGTTGTTCTCAACCTTGCAACAATTCTCTGTTGGAAAGCCTATTCTCATCTTTTGTTCGACTCGAAAGGGTGAGTCGGCATGCGATCCTTCCCATGCACCGAGTTCAGGAGGTTCCATTAGGTGTATTTCAAGCCGCCGAACAGCTCATGAAAGAATTCGTCGAAACTGAACGAAAGAAGGCCTCACTTCCGTGGTCCCGTCCTCCGCAGTTCGTCAAGCTCTACATCATCCACCAGACGACATCTCTGATACCCTCTTAGCACTGGACAATCCTTTTCCGACAGACGTCTAGATGGTGAGTACTAGTTTGAAGATCCATTTGCAATAATCCATTATTTCCCTTAGAACTCGCTGCTGTTGGCATCGGAGTACATCATGCAGGGTTAACATTGGACGATCGAAGGTCAACTGAACAGCTGTATTTGAAGAAAGTCCTCCGTGTCCTGGTGGCTACCTCTGTCGGTTCAATCTCCCAAGCTTCTAAAGTTGCGACTGATGGCAAGTATAGACATTGGCTGTTGGCGTTAATTTGCGTATGCGTATCGTTACTTGTGCCAAGAGATTCCAATGAACTTGGGTCTTAGCGGCGCACATGGTGGTCATCAAAGGCGTTCACATTTTTCAGAACAACATTTCTCAAGAATATTCAGACCTCGACATCATGCAAATGTTAGGTCGCGCAGTAAGTTCATTCAGCTGTTACAACGAACGGCGCTTTCCTGACAGCCAGCAGGGTCGGCCGCAATTCGGTATAGACAGGTTTTATAATCCTCACAAGTCCTCTCGAGCTCATACACGCATCCAACGTAGACAAGGATGGGATCGCTGTCATCCTCTGTGAAAACGATCTCGAGCAGAAATACAAGTCCCTTCTCCATGGGACCACCGTTCTCGAAAGCTCACTTCATCTTAATTTGGCAGAGCATTTAAACTCGGAGATCGGACTGGGCACTATCACTGATATCGAATCTGCGAAATCATGGCTGCGTAGCTCTTTTCTATATCAAAGGATGCAAAGAAATCCTCAGCGATATGCTTTGGAAGCCAGCGGCCCTCCACAGGAGCAAGACTTGGTGGATGAAGTCGTGACCCAGAGCATCAACCAACTGAAGGAAACTGAATTAATTGAACATCGTGCACACGGAAGCTCGGTAGGAAAGCTACAGTCGACTCAGTATGGAGATATCATGAGCAAAGTACGTTGATTTTCTTACTTGCGCCTCGATTCTTTGTTGACAAATACCTCAGTATTATATCCGCCGCGCCACGGTATCTACGTCTTCCGCAACAACTGTCGACTTCGAAGAAATTTGACAACTTTATAGATGGACCTCATCCTGAATTTACCCCAGCATTCGAGTCTAAGAGAGATAGTAAGTCCTTCATTGAAACTATGGGGCCAAACTTCTCATCAGCATTTTAGCTCGAAATTATCTGCTCAGCTGAGGAGTTGGCACATATCCGCTCCCTGTATAACGCCCGGTTTCTCATCACACGGTTTTTGCAGATTTCAGGATGTAAAACTAAGAAGTTCGGAGAAGACCGTAAGCCTGGTGTTTCTGCGGCGCTGAGAAGTGATGCTATGCCGCCTGCAGCTTTTTCAAAGGCTATCAAAAGACATCGACATCCGATTTCCTGTAAAGAAGGTGGAGAAAACCTCCGATAAAGTTTTTTTGCTTGTCCAGGTCGGTCTGGTGGTCCCTCAGTACAGGAACATGGCCAAGCTGAACAGTCTTTCAGGCGGTATTGGGAGGCATATCCTGGAATGATTACAAGACCACCGAAAGCCAACCTCATCTCGAAGCCTATTCAGTCTTCAAGTACATTGCAAGAATAGCGCGAGGTTTATGAGATTCTGCTAAAACGTGTTGATATTGAACCGTAGATTACAGCTACCCTGGATGTTGCGATCGTCAAGAAGGATGGGGCGCAGGTAAAGCATGGACTTGAACTGTGATTTTATTTCTCTCTCCATTTTCTTCCACAAGCTCATTCAATCCAAGTGCACGCTGTCTCTCGGCGAAAGCCTGGGAGGACAGAGCCATTGTTCTGAAACAAATTGAACACTTAGGAGAGAAATCGTGAGTCTTTATATAAAAGACATGTCGCCTGATTCTTATAGCACCTTCCAGGATAAAAGTATGCGCTCAAGAAGACGGTCAGGCATCTATTCACCACTATTTATAGGTATTGGCCGAGCATGGCATCACGTCCTTGAGCAGCCTACGACAACAGAATCCTCTCAGAATTGAAACGGTGAGATGGGGTATGAGAAGGAGTGAAACGTTGAATGATTTCTGGTTAGCTCCTCAACCGCCGATCACCGTTTGGCCTTGAAGTCATCGCCTCCATGGCAGAGTTTCCCCAGTACATTTTGAAGATTACGGAACTGCAAGTTCGGTCCGACAAAGGCAGAAGTCCTGTAGAAGTTGATCTCTTGGTTGAATGCTCTGTGGCAGAGGAAAAGACCTATAGCGTGAAATCGAAGAAACATCGCAGCCGGTCATTTAACTGGACTGCAGTGTTGACTTTGACTTCCGACATGGACTTCATTGACCTCCGTCGGATCCCGTATGCTTTCCTCCTTTCTTTCTTCGTCAGGCTACATGCACCTTTTTCAGGAGCAAGGCACTAAAAGGCGGGAAGAGTTTCGAGCTAACAGTCGAGCTTAAGAAGCCTAGCCAGAGTGTGAATGTGCTCGTTACTTCTGTATGCCTCCTTTTTCCATCATATTGACTATGCTAATGAACATATTGTTTGGCAGGAGAGCGTGGCTGGCGTTCTGGTACAACAGACGTATAAGCCAAGTATTTCGTCAAATGAATATCCCGTTCTAGACACACGCCCGCTCTCTTCGACGGTAGTGGCTCTTTCTAGCTTGTAGATGTTATCTCATGGAACGTAGGATATGGATCTGGCTGGGTTGGAAGACGACCCAGATTTTTGGAACATGGACATAGACAGTAGTAACTCCCTAGACGATATCCCTGCTGGAAAAAGGGGAGGTCAGTGAACTGCACCTCTTTTCGGAGGCTTGGTGTCTGACCTTTCTTTACAAGGTGAATCGAAGGGGGAAAAGCAGGAAGTTCATAAAACCGAGACTGCCCGATCAGAGACAGTATCAAATAATTCTGAGCACAAGATCCGCCCTGATGGTCGTTACGAATGCAACCATCCATGCAAAGATAAAACCAAGTGTCGCCATCTGTGGTAAGCATGTCCATTCTAACTCACTGTTGACCGTTCCGGTACTGACAGAACCAGCTGCCACGAAGGAATACCGGTGCCAGTGAACAATTCCAAAAAGAAGGCTATTTCATCGCAGGATGTTGCCCCCAAGCCGACGTCGACTGTCCAAAGGCTTCACGGACCCAAGAAGCCGACCTTTTCTCAGAACGATAAAAAGCTGAAGCAACTCGATCAGATGCATGAACGCGCGCAAGTCGCGAGCAACCTGCATCTTTCCGACAAGCAGCGGCTAAAGCTAGAGTCCCCTGTGTCTACAAAGCGAAAGCGATTGGAATCAATCGACTACAACGTTAACTTTACCGAGCTCAAGAATTCAGATATCACGCCTTTGATCGACGAGGCAGATACGATTGATAGCGATTCTTCAGACGACCTACCAGCGTCTATTTTGGAGCGGCCATCCACGAAACCAGTCTCTTCGAAGATCAAAGAGCGCAAAAATGTCACCACTAGGCCCATGAAAGTCAATGCAATACCCTCAAGCATCACAGGCGGAACGAAGCACAAGTCCTCACAGCAACCGCTCAAGAGGCTCAAGAGAAACGAAGAGGAGGAATCCGTGAGTAGAACGTCACACGGAAACAACCTGCTGATTGTTCTACAGTTGAACGATGTCCGCAGCAAGTGGAACAAGCAAGAACCGTTATTTTTGCGATCTCCTGTCAGTGAAGATGACTCCATCGAAGTAATGTCTTGCCAGTCGTCCCCCATCCCTAACAGAATGGCGGGCTTCATGGCAAATCACAACAAGAAAGGAGGACTTCGAATGCCTCCCACCCCTATCCCACAAACACCTCCAAAGACGACTTCAGCTCTTCCGAAGGAAGCCCCACCCCAGAAAAGCCCTGCCAATGAAGAAGTTAACGAAGATTTCGCCGAATTAGATGCCTGGCTTCAAAGTGGAAATGTTGAAATTGTGTGATGAATACTGATAGCTCTTGACTGCTGTCAATACTCTTTGCTTGTTATGATGAGTGGTATGGACTTCGTGCATTATATGGTGTATTATATGCGTCTAAGTGAGATTATGACATATCGCCCTCGTTGGGCTCTGCAAACTCGTCTTGAGGTGGGTCGACGAAAACTCGCAAGGCGTCCCTAAACCTCTCGTCCCAAGCGACACTGCTGGAAGGTTTAACGATCTCCCAGCCTGCGAGGTCATCGCGCCATCGTCGCTCTTTCTTGAGCCTTTCCGCGCGGAGCTCGACTTCCGTTGGAGGTGGGTTCTCGAGCTCTTCCTTCGTCGGCTCTCGTGTACCACGAGCCAACGCTCGCGCCGTCGCCAGTTTAGCGGGCAAAGCCTCGTAATATTTCTGTCTCGCCTTCTCGGTGTCCTCTGGCAAAGATTTCAGGGATCTGCTGTAGTATCCCTCAACATCCTTGTCGAAATCGAGATCGCCATGGCTTTGGCTAGTAAGGGGTGTACTTTCGGGATTCGAGCTATCTGAAGAAGAGGTTCCGAAGGCCTCGCTTTCGGGAACATCAAGAGGTCGCGTGGAGCTCATGACGAGCCGGTAGCCAGCTTCAGCCCCAGAGCGGACTTTGTGTCTTTGGTTGAAGAAGTCCCAGATCATGAGTGGAATTTGCGTAAAGCCGATGTAGTTCGTGAAGGAGACGAATAGCAGAGGAGGTAGCTGGGGAATGTAGGTTGGTGGGGTGTCGAGGGAAGGGGATGACGCATTTTTAGGGGAGGAAGGAGTGGGGGGCAGCGATGATGGGGCGCGCATTTGCAGAGGTGAGAATACGGGCGAGTTTTGCGCTGACAACAATGGCGGCTGCTTTGGTGGGTCCGAGGTTGGGCTGTCAGAGCCAAGGTCAGCAATTGGGTCTTCCGGTTCGTCAAAGTGGTTGTCGTTTTCCAGCACCCGCGCCAACGCTTCGTCACGGTCCACCTTCTCGAGTCCTTCTGTCCATCCCCGCTTCAACCCTGCCATGAACTCTTTGAACGTCGGCCGACCCACCAGAACGATTCCACCCTCCAGCTCATGCTGGCGTCGCTTAGCAAGGGGTTTGTACGTTGGAAGAGCCTTTGTGACGTCCAAGTCTTGGTCGATGCCTAGGTCTTCGCGCCGGCGAACGCGTGCGTCTTCCGCGACGCGGTTCGCAACGTCGCCGTGGCGTTTCCCAGTAACCATATTATAGTCTACGGCTGCAGCCACCAGCACGGGCTATCACGAACACGTTAGTCCATTTAGCAACACGGAAGAGGAGCATTGCCCCGACCTTGACGTACTTCCGGAAGTACTTTATGCTCTGGTCATAGTCCTCGTCTCCGGGCCATTTCGCGCCATACACCGTCACCCTACGAGGCGTGTCGAACGGGTCCGTAGTCACTTCTGAAAAATGCTTGACCTTGTCGACATACTCCTGGCGAATCTGCTTGCACTGCCGTCGGTCGTAGATGTAAAGTCCGACAAGTGACGAGGTACATGAAAGGAATATGAGCCAGTTCCTCGATGGAAGCTTGGGCCGCTTGTCAAGCCATGAAGGAGGGATGCCGGTGTACCGCAGAACTGTGCGCACACCAGACTGCCTCGAAGGCGCAGATGGAGGCTTGTCGGCAGGAGTCATTGCCAGCTGGACCTTGAAGGTGTTGATCAAAACTTTTGCGGGAGCGCGTCGGCAAACTTTCTCATCGGCTCACTCCGGTCCGCTCACAGCGCTTACTTGCTACATATTACAAAATGCGTGCATGGCAAGTCCGTACGAAAGACACAAGTAAAATAGGTACATACTCTAGAGCATTGGAAAGATTACTCTCGTTCTGAAGCCCTTTCCAGTTGTTGACGTTTCCGTGAACCACCGCTGGAAGAAATTTATTAGAAGTCAAGAGCACACAGATGGAACGCAGAAGACTCACGCCTCGGTATCCAGACCTCTCTTCTTGCCGGTCTTAGCTTCGTCCAAGAATTGGTTCAGACCGAACACATCACCAGTATCCTTCTCGAACTGAACTGGCCCTTCCCTCACTTCTTGCTCGTTTGCACCTTCGAAGCCAACCTTTGCACGTCCGAGGTTGAAGCGGTCTTGGTCGAGAGCCTTTCCAATACCCTCCTCAGTGCCTCCACCGAATGATTCCTCATTGCCCTCGGTGATGTTTCCTCTCGCCTTGTAGATGGCAGCAACAGCCGTCGAGCCATGGAACAGAGGCTTGTCATACAGATTGTACGCCTCGTCGTCCGCAAAGTTGCCAGACAGCGATTCCTGGTTGAACAACCGCGAATCGAGCATCGACTCTTTCGACATCGTGGGCTTCGCCAATCCTAGGGCAACCTTCTCCGAGATGTCGCGGTTTTGCTGTCTGGCGAGCATCTTGGCACGCTGTTCCTGGCCCATGTTGTTCATTCTCATCTCCCGCTCGCGTTCCCTCCTCTTCTCCTGCCTCATCTGGTCTCGAATCTTACGCGCTTCCTCGTCTTCCGCGCTGTCCTCTGACGCCTCCGACTCATCGCCACTTTCACTGCCGCTACCATAGGCAGCCAGAGAAGATTTCATAGCGGCTTGGCTTTGAGCAGTGGGTTTGGGTGCAATGCCACCACGTTCTTCGCGTGCACGTTGGGCCAGCAAGCGGAGGTTCTCTTCCTTCGCCTCTTTCTCTTTCTGGGCCAGCTTTTGTTGCATCTGGGCGCGTTGACGGACTTCCTCTCGTGCATGTCGATCAGCGACGTAGAGGGCTTCTGAAAATTTGGCGAAGTTGTCATTAATGTGTATCTAGATTGTCGTCAATTGGTTTGCGAATGTTGCCAAGTATATGATAGTACGCACATCCTGCAGCCCTCGTCCGTCAGCGGCCAGACGCTTGTCCAACGGAATCGTGAAACCCTTGTTGTTCTTCCAATTCGAAATGCAAGGAGGAATCATCCATTCCTTCTGTTCAGCAACCGTGGCTTTTCGTGGAGGACTACGAAGAACAGGAGGCGGGGGGCTTGGAGGCCCTCTGGGAATCTTCTTGTGCTTAAACCGAGGTGGTTCCAGGGGATCCTCCACGATTTCCGACATTTTGATAATCCGCTGCTTCAGCCCTCCCTCCCCGCTCTGCTGCCCTGGTGTATACCGTATGAAGGACGTCTTTCCTTGACTGTCAGGCACATTCTTGGGCTGGGCTGCTTTAATCTTGCCATTGACAATTTTCTCCAAGGCCGCTCTCGTCTTGTCTGCCGTCTCCTGGACTTCATCTTCTGAGGGCCGCTCCAGTGTCCGGTCTTTATCCTCGAGGTCTTTCCGGTAGGCGAGCGGAACGAGATCTTTGAACTGGGACTGAACAACCCTGCCCTCTCGTTGGCCTTGGTGGGCAATAGCATCGTATCGAACATTGCCCTCGCTGTCGACTTGCAGGGCCAATGTGTTTCCAGATGAAGCCTACCCAGCGCGTGAGTTAGAGGGTCGTTTGAAAGGTAAAGAGTTACGCACCTTCTTCTTGCCCATACCCAGAGGATACTGAGCAACATGGCACTCCGGATATGAGCCACCATCACCTTCAAGAGAATGAGCAGTATTTCCAACTGCAATGCGAGGGTACTCACCAAAGTCCTCAGGAGAAGTCGGTTTCCAATCAGCACGCTGCCCATATGGTGGTACCACGCTTCGAATAATGACCGTGGATGTTGACTGAGCAGGGCGTTGAGGTAGGACTCGATCTTCGTCGTCCGAAACAGCTGAAGCATGAAGGGGTTTTGGGAGAAGCCTGAGCAGAATTGAGTACGCAGCCTGACAAATAGGTTGAGATACTCACGCAGCCAACGCAGCCATGACGAAATATTAGTGGAAGGAGGGGTCGGAGGCTGTTCGTGGTCGTCGTTGACGGTGACAAACAATTTAGAAAGCTTGTTTGGCCTTGTGTCATGCCGAAGCCCCACGTGCCGCTCGGCCGGCGCGGGCCGCGGATATATTACTTCCTGCCTAATCTGGCACTCCTTTTTTGCGTCAACCAGGACGCGCCATCCTTCGGCAAAACCGCGACAATGCTGCACCACGCGACGTACGCTGAGCACCAGGATAACACCGTCCTTGTCGAAGTGCCCCCAGTGGGAACCGCGATCCAGGTGGGCGCCAATAAGCTCATGGCGCTCATCGAACGCGAGCGCGCGCTGGCCGTCCAGGCCATGCAGGGAAACCTTTACGACCTCAAGCTTTACTTGGACGACCACAGACGGAACGCTCAGGCAAGGCAAGCCACAGATAATGCGAAGCTAGCGGAGAGTCAGAGACGATATACCGAACTCGAAAACCGTTTCATTGAGCTGCAAAACGTGAAATGGGCGGACGACACCACGATTCACGGGCTCAGAAGAAGAGTGAGCTCTCTGGAGCAGGAGTGCCATAACCTCCGTTCAGAGCTCCTCAAATCCAAACCACCCGGGGACGAATCCACTCAAACCACTTCGACATCGGACACGTTTCTGGCGAGCTATGGGATAACACCAGTAGGGGGGAAAGCCCTCTACTTCGGCAACAACTGGCTTTCCCTCTGGAACGAAATCGGTCGAGGCATCTACCAAGAAATGGGGCCCTCTGAGGCTCTGATGCCCTTGGACCTCGCTGCTCTGCTCCACACCGCGACGGGGCAGGTGCGTCACGACAAGCAGACCATCCAGACCCTTCGCGACGCCTTGACAGCGTTGACGAGGGGCGCGCAGTTCGCTTCAATACACGACGAAGAGGCCCTGAAGCCTGCGGCAGCTCCTACCCCCATGGAGAGTGAACCCGTACCCATGGTCCTGGACGATCACCAGCTGGACCCTGAAGGTGAGTTAGCAACCAGGTTAGAGTTTATGATCTCTCATCCCTCTGACGCGGATGACACAGGGATTGAGCACAAAGCGTACGGCGCGGAATACCAGCCGAAGCTCGAGCACCCTGACACCTACTTGCACGGCTACGCCGAGCCGTTGACTCCCGCCTCTTGAGCGCAGACGTTCAAATTCATTCACTGTAATACCCCACCCCGCATTGGTAGGTCAGAGATTGTTGACTACAATACTGCTCCCTAATCCACTTCGGAGATTTTCTGCTTAGTCCCTGCGCGAAGGAGCGGCCGCCTCTGTACGATCACGGCTTCCACATCGACGCCGGCGCGTTCACGGTGCACACTCTCATTCGTCATCATGTTGCCAACGTTGGCATCCTACTTGCGCTAAGCATCACATCGTGAACAACACGACGCGCCCCAATGCGTTCCTCCTGTAGGTGGCGTGCAATAAACGGCCGGTGCCAATCCCAAAACTCCTACGGACTGCATTTCGCCGGGCAATTCTTGGATAAGGAACGAGTAATCTGACTGTTCATTAGTTGATTAGTCCGTCTGCATGATGTACATGCAGTGTTCAGTATTGTACTAGTATCACCACTGGGAATACAGAGCCCTAACATACGATATCCAAAAAAATAAATAATAATAATACGTAGTTAAACTTGCAGCTCGCGACTTGCGGGCTTTATCCTCCACAATGTCCAGGCGCCCAGCCCAAGAATAAAATTAAAGATGCCAACAATTCCAGAACCGGCTCCCAGCAAGGTGAGTAACCACCAGAAGATGCCGATGACTCTGTCAAGGACGCATCCTACGTACCGTTTGAGAACGGCACGCGGATCAGGTGTAGGTTTGTACGAAGGTGGAAGACTAAGTTTTGGGACGATAGAGCTTGCTTGACTGGGTTGTGGAGGTGGCAGGAGTAACAACGACACCACGGGTTTCTAAACGAACTAGCTGAGAGCAAGCGCAATGAGGAATAGAAACGAATGCGTACGTGGTCCGATGTGGTATATGAGGGAATGCTCGTGTACAGCACATTCGTTATATCAGATTTGTCTGGCGTATCAACCGAGTCGGTGTAGGTCGTGTATAGGACGCGATCAGTCCAAGAGGGCATCCGCTTCATACTTCAAGATTAATGTAAGAAACACGATTTCTGAAATCATTAAGCCGGTAACGTACCTGTACTTGTCCACCTCCCCAAGCTGATACTTATAACTGCACTTGAACTTCCAAAAGTCGCCTTCCCTCAGCCCAACAAAAATATTGCCTTTCCGTTTTTCAACCGTAAGTTGATCGTATTCCTTCAATTCCTCCCTCGCCGTCTCCGACTCTATTGCTTGCGAGAAGTCGCCTGTCAAGCATCTAGGATGGAGTGGGTGAGTTATTGGGAGTTCGAGCCGGAAGTTGAGGTCCCCAAGGAGGAATAAATGACTCGTATCGTAGAGCGTGCTTGGAGCTTTAGAATCGCCCGACGTAGGCCCAAAAAGGAGTGTCCCGACGATGTGCTTGTAGTCAGCTATGCGCTGCTTCACTTTATGGTCAAATGCAGTCAAATGGCAATTGACGAAACTATACCGAATCTGTGAATTCACGACCGCAAGAAACAAAGGTCAATAACTCACGTATACGTCTCTCCAACACCACCCTCTGCACCAGTCACACGAAACCGCACAGCGACAGCACCCTTGTTGCCCATGTAGCCAGGACCACACCCCGTCCATGAGGTCTCAACGTCACAGGCCCGTCGCGCAACGCCGTCATCGCGTGCGTAAACGAGCAGTGCGGCACCCACATTCACGACCTTCGCTATCAGGGAATACGACTCCTTGTTCGGCGCGTGGGCTTCGATTTGCGATAGGATGAGAGCATTCCGGTTGTTGATTACGGACTTGGACAATCCAGAAACTAAAAGTGATAGAACGTTCAGGGGCCTTTGCCTGGAGGAATAGTTTTTCTCAAGAAGACTTACGGCCAAGGTGGAGAGGAAGGAGTTCTTGAAATCCCACAGCAACGATGTCTGGAGCTCGCCGTTCACGAGATAGGAAACTCGACACCTGTAGAGTTGGCGCCAGCCAATCGACCAGGTCTTGTGGTAGCCCAAGTACACCTTGCAGGTTCGTGTTGTACGACGCAATCTGGACTAGAAGGCGGTCTGAATGTGTCGTCTCCTGTGGCGACATGGCAGTTAACAGGCAAGAGGAGTAAGCGGTGGGGCTTGTGTGGACGATGGAGTTCCTTACTCAACACCAGGCGCGTGATTCAAAGTGCCAACAAATGCGTTCATATTGACCGATTTACGTGTCTAACTCATGTCAAAACTTACAAGCCAGTTCTAAGTATGTTATACAGCTGTTCAACTCCTCCTTCTAGCGCGCCACCAAAATCAATCCAGGAAGCTGGTCGACGGCTTTGTAGGTGGGCCTTGACTTATCTCGAGGTCCTTTAGCTTGCCCGTGGCCAGATCATATACCCATCCATGGATCCAAACGTCCTGCCCTTTGCGGGTTCCTTTGTTCCAGGCCTCGGAAATTGTGATCGTCTTCGCAAGATTCTCAACTTGTCGCTTTACGTTTTCCTCCACGACAACAGGGAGTGCCTCCGCGTGGGGGGTCGAGGATAATTTTAGTGAGGCGACATGTCGTGTGAATGGCTCCAACCAGCGGTTGAGCGCCGACTCGACCGGGAGGGATGTGACTGTAGCAATGGGTCCGTCGAGCGAAAGGTCCGGCGATTGAGCGGCTCCCAGACACGCAGCGGCGCCTCCGCACTCGGTGTGGCCGACGATAACAACTGTAAGAATAGAAGGGGGGCAGAAGAGAAGACATCGGTTGGGATGGTAATTGGGTCGGAGAAAGAACTAATGCACCGTGTTCAACGCCGAGGTAGTCAACGGCATATCGCAGCACTGAGAGGACATTGTGGTCGTCGAGATGAAGTTGGCTGGATGTGCATCATGAACAGCTGCAATTGCATCCCGTGATGAGAACTAGCACGTACTTGGCGATGTTTCGGTGGACGAATATCTCGCCCGGCCTCGCCCCAGTAATAACAGAGTCGGGAACTCTAGAGTCGGCGCAGCCTATCCAGAGCGTCTTAAAAGAAAGACAATGAGCGGGTTGTGTAGGAAGAAAAGTTAGGGGACGAACATGGGGGCTCTGCCCCTTGACGGACTGTTCAAAAAAGCCTGGCTCCGCCTTTGCTACGTCTTCCGCCCACTGCGCGTTGGCAGTGAGCATGCGTTTGACGGGGTTGCGCTGGGTCGTCTGTTGGTTGGACATGTGGAGTGGTCAAAGTGGGAGAGAGTAGATATCGCCAATTTTCGGGTGAAAGTGGCCCTCCTATATATATACTACCGCGGTTCCCCCGGTCCGCCTGTTAGGTGTGATAGTGGCGTTTCCCCAACGACTGTTCTCAACACCTCGAACAGATAGGCGACATCACTCAATATCCAGGCTACGTGGCTTCGATACGATACACGATTTTTGTGTTCATGCAGCATGATTGGCATATCAGAAAAAAAGTAGAAACATGCGACCATACAAGCACCCGCATACAAAAGCGTCCCTCACCGTTGACGCCCTCCTACACGCCTGCGGCACCATCTAGTTCATTTGACGAACGAGCTTGTTAATGTTCGACTCTCGGTCGCCAAAGTCACCTCCCTGCACGAAGTGCTTGAACTTCCGTGTCCTCCAACCACCAGTGGGATTGGAGAGCTTGAAGGGCCAAAGGAAGTTGGAGGCCTGAGAGCAAGACAATGAGGCAAAGCCATATCGATTCCAGTTAAGACACTGACCTGCTTGAAGTTGGGGCCGGCGGTAATGATTTCATGGACAAGATCTTCAACGCAAAGGATGTCGTATTTGCCAAGGACTTGCTCAATGACACCGTTGTTGGTGAGGGGAATGCGTTGCTTATCGACCTTGCCGTATCCACGCTTGTAAATCAGTTCACGGACAGTCTTCAGGTTGGGTTCGCTGCAGGCAGAGTAAGCGAAGTCGAGGCAAGTTAATCGCAACGTACCCATATGTGATGTAGGGCTCCACCAGGCGAAGCATTTGTTGCGTAGCGCGTGTGGATTTCACGAAGACGCCGTTGTTGATTTGCAGCAGACGGAGCAGTTGCAAAATTTTGCGGGGTTTTGGAGCGATCTCGTTGATACTGAAGGAGGGTCAGGCACGCTGAAAGGATCCCAAACTGAACGATGCTCACCCCCGGATACGGACAACGAAGTACACCTTCGGTTGAGCAGGGACGTAGAAGTCACCTGAACTCCGGGCAGCGCGCTTCAGACGGATCTCTTCCTTCTCCTTCGACAGGTACTCCTTCACATATGACTCCGCCCGCTTGAAGATGACCTTTCGCTTTGCCTTGGCAGCCTGGTGATTGTGTTATTGTCAGAAAATGTGTCGATTTTGCGCGCATGTCAGAAAGTCAAAACAAAACGAGAAATTCAGTCCCGAAAGATGGTTGATTGAAGGCAGCACAGCAGGTCTTCGCCCACTAGCCGTTCGTTGAATGGATCGTATGCATCATTAAAGGAGGAAGAGAAAGCAAGATCGCCCAAAAATGAAAAGGTCAGAGTTTGCTCACCTTGCGGGCAGCAGTCGCTGCGGTAAGACGCTCCTCCCGTGCCTTTTCATTTTGCTTTCTCTTCTTGAGGAGAGTCTCCGGGACTTCAATGGCCTGCAATCACCCAACACCCTGATCAGCCAAACCCTCCAAACGACCATAGTTCCGGACTAACCGAAGCACTCGGGACGCTTTGAAGGGTAGAGCAAAGGGTTAGCCTCGAACAGTGTACCAAACATTCAGCCGACGTACGTGGTGGACGGGGCCATTGGTGATCTTGAGGACGACTATAATTTCGTGGTCAGTCTCCGGTAACGCACACGGGTGGCTGGTACTGTACAGTCTGACAAATTATTTCACACAATCTCGGCATTCGGGAGTGCCGAGGCCCGAAGTTGGACTAAGTAGGTCGCGACATCACTCCATCAAATGTATCGCACCTTTTCTACGCCCTCAATCCACACTTCGTAAGTGCCAATTGTGTCCGGTTGCTGAGAACCTGCGTCCATCTGGTCTGTTCCTGAAACACCTTCTCAAAGGGCATTCTCGATCTATGCTTTTCCAAGAGCTTTTGCGTACTCTGAGACTCTTCAGTGCGTCTCCTCGAACGCGTACAGCACCATAGATTGCCATCAAGTCAATCATCCAAGTATTTCCAACTGAGGTCGGATAGGGTCGGATTCCTGGTTTCTTGCCGGGGCGCTTTTTCGTGAGAGTTGGCGCAATCAAGGAGCTTCCATCAAGCAGTCGGACCACACTGATGGGGAACAGGCGTGCACTGAAACTGAACTCCGGACGAAAAGCCAGGGCAAGGAATGGGCTCTATCATCACCCTCCTTTCCCCCAAACCATACCGTCGACGACGTCCTTCGTCCCCCCCGGCGCTCTGGTTGCAGCCGTTTCGCTCGAACCATGGCGCAGGCAGCCTGTCCTGTTCGCAATGATTTTAGTTATACCTGGGTTCGCGCGCTCATCCAAGATTCCCCTTCGTGATGGTCCGGTTTTACTGATAGGTGCTCAACAGGCAAGGAATGCTTATGGACGCGATCCTTGTGCCGTTGCTACAAGTCTGAGGATGATATGCAATCCAGCAGGTATGGCAGAATCCATCCGCTGTCAAACCATGTCTTCATCTCATCCACTTCGTCAGATGCTATGCGTCCATTCTGGTCGGACCAATATAACCCTCCGACCAGGCAGAGTCAAAATGCTTGCACTTGCTCAACCGTGGTGTACGCGCTTGTGTCTGCGTGTTCTGATTGTCAAATCAGCGGATCCTGGCAGTAAGATGACTACTTGTGTCGCGTCTGGTCGGTCCTCATTGACCTATCTTCACGCAGCACCGGCGACTGGAATTTTTACTCAGCCAACTGCCAGAATAAGTATCAAGGATTGTAAGGACCCACAATTGCTGGATCCACTCCACATTTCTAACACCTTTTCTGCCTAGTTTCAATCCAGGTTTGATCCCAGGTGTGCAGACATAGTGTTCCGCCTGTCAGTTGAATTAACGAACCTGTTTAGCGGAAGCTACCCCTCCCGACTGGGCCTATTTCGATGTTTCTGTAAGGCGCCTTGCATTCGTTCCGCTGTGAACCTATCTCACAATTGTTAGAAACAATCAAGCTTCGATCGTGGCCGTGCCCAGGCTAGCGCCGCCGCCAATCCTCCCGCGACACCTGTCACGACCCCAGCACCCCAGCAGACCCAGCAGACCCAGCAGACGCAACAAACACAACAACCTCAGCAACCCGACCAAACCCGGACGACTACGGACGACACAAATACTTCCCAACCTGCCGACCCGACTGCAACTTCGCTCCCTTCAGATACCTCTACACAATCTTTAACCCCCACTATCACAAGCAATAGCGCATCGACCACCATTGCAAGCACTGATCTCTCCGCTATTTCGGCGGCGTCCGTTGCAAGTGTCGCCTCCCTTCGATCACTACTTGGTGCCGACTATTCCGCGGATCCCTTACTGCAAGGCGGCTCATCGCCCACCAACGGAATTGCCAATAACCCCGATGCCACTGGGGCCACTACCTCTGATGCACTCGCGGAGAAGAAGAGCAACACTGGAGCTATTGCAGGAGGTGTTGTTGGCGCTCTCCTTTTCCTTGCTCTTCTTGTCGGTGGCTTCTTCTGGTGGATAGCACGCCGTCGCCGTGCTCGCATCGCCCCGTCTGCTGCCTACATTGCAAGCTACGGTTCCGATCGCTCCGGCACGAGCATGAGCCAACGGCCTTTTGCTGAACGATCCAATACCAACTTATTCTCAGAACGTTACAGCGTAAGTACACGCCATATCTTCCCCTATGACCTCTGCTGATATTCGATTATCACTTAGGATGCCCCAGAGATGCGTGATAGCACCCATTCCGGTAATACTGGACCTCGACCTGGTTATGGCCGAGATAGTCCAGTCGTTCAACGGTCGTATGCATAGTGTTTCATACTTCAATACCCCACTCACTTCCAACCTGTTGTATTCACCCCCCAAAAAAAAACAACTGAGGAAGCGCCCTGTTACTGCAGATTTGCCTTCCGAATGGCATTCATGTAGAGCAGCCACGTTGTTGAATTTGGGGATTGCAGAGAATATATTTTCTTTGTCTGTAAGTAGGAAGGACTATGAAAGCTTGAACTTTGAAGTGACTGGATTGGGATTGAGGATGTTGGGACACCAGGTGACCAACAGCACCCACTAGGGTCGAAACCAGGATGATCAGCCAAAGAGTGCAACAGTTTATCTAGGCACCGTAGATGAAGGACCACCATGGAGCTGGGTGACCATCATATGGTATCGTCGAAGCCAGGTAGTTGTTAAAAGATGAAAAGGGTTGCTCCGGCGAGGCGCTATGAACTTCGGGTTTAGGGGAGGCTCCGGCGATATCCGCTTTGAACTTATTCATTGATCCTGGCCAACGACCTCACCGAGCCTCACCGCCGCCATACGCCTGTCTACACAGGTCTACACCCATAAGCACGCGAGAAGACTCCACATAATATCTCACCGCATTGCGATTCGTGCTCAGGCCTCTGTATCTAGCGGGCGCTTATCTGGACACCCGAGCCGTATGATTTTTCAAACTGGCGCCAGGTCTACAACTTATGGTTGGAAGGAAGCTGGGTTGGTCGTGAAGCTTCTCTCCCGACCACTGTACAGTCATATGGCGGTTCACAGTGGCCTCGAGTCTTCCATGCTCGCCCACTATGCCCTATATCGGCTAGCATTCGTGAAAGCGTAGAGAAGACGCGAAGCCTACTGCGTTCCAATGCCCAGACGCTCGCCAAGAGATACGTGCCAGTGAGTGTTTGTATTGCCATGTCCATCATGCTGTCCACAGCTGACTCTGGCCCCTTTTCATAAAGCACAACCTCGACGATAGAGCGGATCAAAGAATTTTTCGTGTACAAAGAACCTACTTTGTTCGAATCCTCAGCCAACCTCAGTGATGAGGAAGAGCGACCCAGACGGCGCAAGAAGGGCTATACGTATACCATGTTTTTCGGCAGAAAGAAACGCGTTCGAAGCAGAGCAGACTTGGAAACCGTTGCGTTCGACCGCTGTGTATATTAATTTCTCACCACTGCTGAATGTCTTTTCCGCAAGTTGCAACAAATTCGAGCTTCCAATTGACGAAGTCCAGAGCTATGACCCCGAACGACCACTTTACGATTCTCCCATGCCTCATGGGAATCCTATTGTCTGCGTATCTACCTCAAGCGTCGGAATCCATCTATCAAGAGAGCTCAAAATTAGAACGCTGTCAGCTGTGCGAGCTCACTGATTGGTGGCCATCCCCCTGTGTGTACTCGTCCCGAGGTACGTGAGACTCCATCCTCCGGAGTGTTTGGTAATTATCGCTGGCATCGGCCAACATCTTTAAGTAGGGGTCCTTATGCCAACTCTGTCAGTGTGTGTGTGCACATCATTCAATTTTTTTTCTGATCCTTTCTAATGGTTTAGTAAATACTAGGTCGACTATTGGAGCTGTCCACGACATTTCTCACCAAAAGCCAGCAATAATCGGAACAGTGGTTGAGACATCTGCTACATCCGAGCTGCCAGCCATATGATTTGACGTTCCTAAAAGTTGTCTTGCGAGACGCATACTTGCTTGAACGGCTGAGGGCTCGGTCGCCACTTCCGAGGGATTTTCCACACCTGGACCCGCTGCTCGCGATCGCAGCACCCTAACCTGGGATGCCTTTTGGAATGCCTTTTGGAATGCCGGAAGACGTTCCGATCGTGAACTTTATGGACGATGTAATGTTGTTGTACAGGCTTACAGCGGCTTACGGCTTGTCCGGAGGTACCTCGCAGGAAGCCCATATCTTACGTGGAAGGGGAACTTCCTGTCCAAGAAATCCGCTCAACTATCGCACTGATCAGACACGCTGACAGACTGATCACACTTCCGGGACTCAGCTCTCACTTTACTGCCATGCGTGAGAGCAGAAACACCTTGTATCGTATGCCTTCCGTCGGTGCCATTTGACGGGGAACGCACTTTACGCGATGATTGCGTCCTTCGAAGGAAGAACGGTCAAGGTGGGAGGCTCGAGAACTTCAAGGGCCAACTGTCAGGCAAGGCAGAACAGATCGTTCCCGTCCGACCTTTCCTGTTCTTTCGACAGATATAATTTGCATATAATCCTCAGCCGAGCAATGATGGTCAGGCTTTCTGCAGACCCGCCTCCTTCCTTCCATCCATAGATGTTGTTCCGCCTCCTCTTCACGCTCTTTACCCTCGCCGCTGGCCTCCAAGGCGTCTTTGCCCAATCCGACGCTTCGTGTCTGCCCTTCTATAACTGGGTCGGTCCCACTCTTCCTCTCCTTGTCGGATATCAAGCTGATCATTCTTCCTTCATAGACTTACAACTCCCGCAACAACTCCCCCTGCGAGGTCGCGTCCTCACTATTAGCAGTCTGCAACGGTGGTCGTAAGTGCGCCTTTTTGTTCATCTCGCGATACAACTGACTTCTCTATCGCAGCCTATCCGGTAGACGCGCTCCCAGATGCGAGCCACTACATCGGCCCGACATTGGACAACGCCAACCCCTGTCAATGCAACACCGTCGTTTATTCGTTGATGAGCGCCTGTGCTGCTTGCCAAGGCCGAACGTATCTTTCGTGCGTTAACCTTTTATACTATCCTTCCTGCCACTGACAGGGGGTTTCTCCAGTTGGAGCGTCTGGTCAGCAAATTGCGTCACGGTGTACATAAATGAGTAGGTCCGCCCCTGCCAGGTCCTCGAACCGTCTGGCTCACGTTTACTCGGCGCCTAGGTTCCCCGCACCGCTACCGCCAGGCGTATTTGTTCCCGGATGGGCATACCTTGACATCAAGGTATTTTGAGCCCTGGGTTTATGCACGTTTCGTGCTGAGCACACATTTTTCAGACGGTTGATAATTTCGACCAATCGAATGCCAGGGCGAACGCGAGTGAGTTGATTGTTATATTTAGCGCTGAATGAGCCTCGACGTATAATATTTCTAGACCGAACAGAATCCAGCTCTATCCCGCCACCGAAGCCGTCGTCCACGAGGACGAGCGCTAGCCGGACGCCGACTCTTAAACCCTCCAGGCAAGCGTCCCCAGTTGCCGCCAAAACGACTTCTTCCTCTTCAAGTTCGTCCGTGACACCGTCTCCAACAGTTTCTGAGGCTGCTATTTCTATGGACGGCTCTGATCCACGGGCAAACACTATTGGCGGATCAATTGTTGGAGGTCTGCTTGGACTCGCCGTGATTGGCGGGATGCTGTTCTGGTTTATTAAGCGCCGACAATGGAGGTCGAGGAACGGAGTTCTCCTTGTGTCTCCTACAGACACTGAACAAGGCCAATCGGTGCATGGTGAAAGTCCGTATATGAGGGAAACAGACAACAATAACGGGAGGCCAATTTCTATCCCTCCGAGCCCTTCTTTCGTGAGTGAACGGACGCAGTTTCCTTAACAAAGACTAAGTGGGGATTCCGTAGAGCTCATCTATGGTGGCCACGCCTGCCATGTTCACTGCGAATTCCAGTCTTTCTGGATCCAGAGAATCAGTGGGCGCGGTAGCCCAGGCCCCAAAGTAAATCTGGTTCTTGGGATGGAATCACTATGGATGTGGTGCACTAATTCTTCTTGATGCACTGTCGTACAGCGGTATGTAGATCACAATAATATGATATCAGAACCCATCAATACCGCTCTTTTCACAACTTTCTCCCTCCCACCGGATATTGTAGGCTTGTACTTGTTCACTAGCAAAGCTATCTAAATATGTGCATCCTCCAAATCACCAGAACTACTGTCAACTGTTTATGGAGGTATCCGAACCTCGAGAATAATCCGGACAAATCAGGAATCAGAAATCTAAGTCTGCTTTCAGGCGTCCATAGGCGTCTATCTGTGTATATGACTAGCGCTATATATGTAGTCCAAGTTGTGCAAACGCACTGCATTGCAGTGCATTCATTATTATCTGACCATCAGTGTATCAGGGCCGTGCTGATTCGGCAGGCCAGGAACACCGAGACGGCTGCCACTGTCCGCAAACCGCTCAAAATGTTAGAGCGATCCTGTGCCGACCTATCCGGACACCCCTCGCCCTTCTTCCCTCGCCCACCATGTTGAGCGCTGCTGCACTCGTCGTCCTGGGCCTGTTGCCGTACGTCGCCTCGCAATCGAATGTCACGGCCCCGACGTGCCAGCCAGGGTTCGATTGGGTATATTGGGAAACTCTGGTTGGGAGTTATTCTCGCTGACACAATCTTTTCAAGGCCTTCAGTTCCACCGGCCAGAGTCCGTGCGAGATAGCAGCAGAACTAGGGGGTGTTTGCGTTGGTGGCCGTACGTGTCTTCCTCGTTAACACGCGAAGGCAATTGCGATGAACGTTGCCGTGGATTTCAGAATTCAGACTCCAGCCGTTGGACCCAGGATTCGTCTACCTTGGACCTCCTCAAGACAACGCCAACTCGTGTAGATGCAGCTCGGTCTACTACTCCCTTCTGAGCGCCTGCGCCCTCTGCCAGGACCGCAGCTTCATCAGGTATTCAAGGACCGTCAACCATCCACATTCAAGTGTCTAAATCCCGTTCTACCTAGATGGTCCGCGTACAACGGTAATTGCACCACCGTTTATCTCCAAGTGTATGTGTTGCTTGCCCGTCTGTTCGCGATGCACTGCTCAAATTGTTTCTAGGTACCAGCAAGCCATCCCGGTTGGCGTCAAGGTGCCGAACTATGCCTATCTAGACGTTTCGGTTCGTTCTAGCCCTGTTGCGTCGTGCCATAGCTCATCAGCGCTTTCAGGAGGGGGACACATTCAATGCTACTGCTGCCCAAGCTGACAATGGTCCTGAATCGACCCGTCTTCCCTCCGCTACGGGAACATCACCCGCAGTCAACACTAACGTAGGGGCCAGTTCAGGAGGAGGGAGCTCGAACGCTGGTGCAATCGCTGGAGGAGTGGTCGGAGGGGTGGTTGGGTTGGCGATCATTGCAGGTCTCATTTTCTGGTTTCTGCGGCGCAGAAAAGCGTCCAAGGATCAACTCCCATCAGCACCCCCGTCCACATTCGATCCTGGTATGGGCCAGGTTCAGACCGCCTATACCGGAACTACGTTCCCTTCGACATACCCAACAACACCTGCTCCAACAGGCTCGCCTGGAAAGATTTATGTGCGTAGACTGTTTTCGCCGTTGACCCGCTGGCTTACGAGTAACACATCCCAGGACCCCAATGATCCCTCGACGTTCCCCACTGCTGAATACCCTGCATCATTTAACCCTTACACTACCCCCTCGCCGGAACTAAACCAGCAACATCAAGCTTCCTTCAATGGCCAGAATGTGCAGCAGCACAACATGCAGCATAACTATACCGGCAACAGCTCTCAAGCGGGACTGCAGATGCCCGCTGCTCGTCCTCATTATACCGGAGCGCCTGAACTCTGAATGAACTACGAATTATCACGATATCGTCGTTGTGTGCAATGCTCTCATCTATTTTCTTCGACATTGCATTGCTGCAGCATAATATTTTTAAACGGCTCATGTATCTATTCTGACCTTTGGAATTTCACTCATCCCAGATTCTCCATACTCATGGATGATTTCCTCTTTCTTGCGATGCGAATGGCTGCTGCTACATAGCGGGATACAGCCTGGAAGGCTCCAAGACTATGAATGATGAGATATCCAGCCCAAGTATTATTACTCGTGTCTCTATCTTTGACACGGGGTCTCTCCCCAGTACTCTCTTCTGTGGAGTGCATTTCTCCTGCCCAACTGTCGGGTGAGTCGGGTGCAGAGAAGACTCCGCTTACATCTATTGCATTGCCAAATTACCCCAGAAGATCAGGATTTTTGCGATGTGTACACGGCTATTGCGGTCAGGAAAAAAATGATCCGATGCTTCTTTGGCTTAGAAGAAATTCTGTGACTTACATTCTTTCTTGCACGCCATAGTCATAACACTGGTGAAAGCATGGTCTCTGTGGTATTCTACTTAGGAAGATAGCGGGAATGAAGATGTGGGCGGTGTCTGGCGGGATCCGACGGGCCGATCAATGAGCGCCCAAAGCAACATCAAATGTCATGGCTGTGCTTCCCACCCACCACCTTCCTCGGAGGATGATGCAGGCCAGAGTCTGTTTCTTCCTTTCCACCATGTCATGGCGCATCTGGGCCAGTCTCCTCCTCTGTGCCTCCGCTGCCCTGCACGTCGTTGGGCAGGAGTCCAACGTCACGGTGTGCGTCAATGACTACCGTTGGGTAAGTCGTCATACCCTCCTCTATCATCACATCGACATTTTATTTAGCTGATGATTGTAGTCTATCAATTCTAGAGGCCAGACGCCATGCTTAGTAGCAGCGTACTTGAAGACCGCCTGCGGAACTCGTGAGTGGCGACTCCTCGCTTAACCACCTCCAATGCATCCTCACATTGTCACTAGCCGCTTCTGTCGACGCTATTCCTCCTGACAATCATTATCTTGGTCCGACCTTTGCGCAAGCTGACCCCTGCATGTGCAGCTCTGTCACCTACTCCGTAATTAGCGCGTGTGGGGGGTGTCAAGGTCGCAACTTTGCCAACTGGACAACATGGTCGCAGAACTGTCCTTTAGTGTCTCTTGGATCGTGAGTTTTGCTGACCACCAAGAACGACAGTGATTAAAGTTGGGCTGTCCTGTCAGGTTCCCGAGACCCATTCCAGACGGAACGGAAGTGCCCATCTGGGCGTCCATTAATCCTGTAGCGGTGAGTTTGCTTCAGACTGCTTTGCTAGTTTTGGGGTTAATTCACGATCGCGTAGACCAACAATACTTTCGATCCAGTCGCCGCTGTACAAAGTGTGCATCGAACTTCGTGCTTTAAACGATGTACTGACGATATCATCAGTCCTTAGTGGTTTCCCACTCCCGACCCCTTCCTCTGTTTCTCTGCTCCCTCCTGCTACGACCACGACCAGAACCTCATCCACTGACACACTAGGTGCTTCTACGTTTACACCATCAGCAACGGACGCCCCTCAAACGTCTGAGGGAGGCTCTCGTTCCAACGCTGGTGCAATTGCTGGAGGGGTCGTCGGCGGTCTAGTCTTCCTGGCCATCGTCGGACTTCTCGTGCTTTGGTGGTTCATGCGGAAGAGGCGGAATGCCGTACAGAAAGATCTTACTTTCGATAGCCGTGCTTTGGTTGGTGGATCTGCAATGTCGCAACAAACGACCGGATCGCCACCTGACGGACCCTCGCCTGTTCCATTCTCACAGAGTCTATATGTAGGTCCTTCTATGCGTCCTGAGCTTCCATTCCCTCATCTCTATGCACAGGACACCTCGGATATGCATACCTACCCAGGATCCCCTCTTACATCGGCAGTGTACACTCATGTTCCAGGAAGCGATGTTCCCGGACGCCGGAGGTCTTTGGAGAGTGTTTCGCCTAGTATGATTCAACTTGCTGCTAGTACCGGAACGCCATCGACTGGACAGCCTCGCGGATTTACGGGTGCTGCAGAGCTTTAAAATCGAATTCTTGGCTTGTTGTGTATCTGTATCATTTATTCATAGCGCTTCACTTCTCGTCTTTTCATCAAAGCTCGCTGCCAAAGAAATGATTATCGGCATCCATCGTGGAGCCTGGAATGGTGGTCATGCTACTTCGACAGAGGAAATAAGCCATATGCGGGCTCACTCAAACCTGCATGCAGTCGTTCTGTCCCACTTCCGTCCTATTTTAAATAGTCTACTAACTGTAGTAAGTAATCTAATCAATAGTAAGTAGTACAGTACGTCGACCGCTCTCTCTCTTTTAGTATTACTGTGCCATATGGAAGTGGTCCAATTAAATAACGAGGTAAACTTACATTCGGGCTGTCTTCATCTGTAGATTCAACAGTACCTTCCCGTCTATTCTCGTATAAATTGGCGCGTCGTGTTGCGTGAAATTCTGTCCACGTGATGTGACGCGACGTCCTTGCCCGGCTCCGTTCCGGCTTTCAACTTTCAACTTTCAAGCTCACCTGCCACCATGCTACCCTCGACGCCGTCAACGCCGTCCTCCTCCTCACTAAATTCACTAACAAGCATACTACCACCCTTCTCAACAACGTCGACGCCACGTCTGCAGGCCCTTTATTCTGACTTTTCACGGCAAAAACACGCGAATGCCACATCGTACCATGCCAACGTCGAGTGGTGGCGGAAGGCACTCGAGGCGCTCGTGGCGTCTGGGTTGCAGCAACTACCTCCTCATAGTGTTGTGAAATCAGGAGAGTCGTCAACGAATAGCGATCGGCTGGTCCTACATGCTGGAAGAGAGCTGGTCGAGCGTGTCAAGATACCCAAAGTTGGGAAACCATTGGCGCTGGGCTCCGTACTCGTACGTCTCACTTCCACAGGATTTCCTGTCTAAAATACGTGTTCTTCATTACTGACTTCTACATTTGCACCAGCAAGTCTGAACTGCGCAGCACCAAGTCCGCTTTGCCCTTATCAGAATTTATGAACGCCAAAACGTCGATATACGACCCCGGCTGGCTGCCTGGACGCATTGCTGCATTCGTCGTCGGAAAGCCCCTTTGGTGGGCTCTAGAGCAGATGGGCATTGTCGGCGAAGAGGGCTTGCTCGGTGGTGGCGCTGAGACACGTCGCGACCACCAACGGGATACGGGGTGGTGGGGTGACTATGCGTTGGTGCCGCTACTGGATGCAGCTGGTGACGAGGTGGTGGAGAGGCAGAGGGCTGGCATGGTCAGTGCTGGCGATGCACTGTATACCGTGGACAGTTTCCGGACAGCATTTGCTGGTGTTGTTGGAGAAGAAAATGCTGCTCCTCTCAGAGAGCTGGATGCAAATGTTCTCCTTCGGTATCTCGAACGAGATAAAGGAGTCATCGTCGTGGACAAGGAGGTACGAAGTCGATACCTATTGCTGCTGGGAATGCTGATTTTGACTTCCGAATAGATCATCAAATTTGTCGATGCGTCTGCGTCGCTAGACGGACGGACCATCACAGCTGTTGACAGAGGCATTGTTGAGCTGAAGAGCGCCGTCCACAACCTCCAGGCGCAGGTGGACTCATTGCAGAACAAGATCGATGAGTAAGCATGCCCGATATCTTCTCTCTTTTCGTCAGCGAATAATTATCTTTTTTCCTGCAGGTGTACGAAGAAAGCTTCTGCTGCACTACAACGGAAACAAAAACCTGTCGCCCTAAATTACATTCGATCTCGCAAGCAGCTCGAAGACCTCTTGCAGAAGCGCCTTGGGTCGCTAAGTACTTTGCAGTCGACCTTCATGACTGTGGAAGCTGCAGCTGGAGACGTCGATGTACGCGACCACTCACTATTTATTTCACGTTTACGTCTAACACCATTTCAACAGATTATGAAGAGTTACGAATCTTCGGCGGCCACCCTCCGCGCCATCCTCGCACACCCGTCTCTACAGCGCGAGAGCATTGACAAGACGATGGAGGCGCTCGCAGAAGCAAATGCAGATGCCAAGGAGATCGACGATGCAGTCCACATTAGTGCAGACGTTGCGCTTGGTCTGGAAGAATCCATTGACGATGCCGAGCTCGAAGAGGAGTGGAAGGCTCTTGTACGTGAGGCTGAGGCGGACGAGAGAGCCAAAGCGACCGAAGATACTGAGCGCAAGCTGGCCGAGGCCGGGAAGATTCCGAATGGAATAGCTGTCAATGGGAAGGATGAAACAAGAAAGGAGCCTGCCAGGCTGACTGCTGCAACATGAGGTGCCATTAGATCATAGCAGGACTCATTTGTTGATCGTCTGGACTAACATTTGCTTATACTCACGAGCTGAGATTGCGTGAACTAGTTTCGATACAGCAACGAGTAGCTTGATTCATGAGATATCTATGGTACAATCGTGACAACCGTCGGCCCAGGGAACGAGGCAGGAAGATACACTCGGTCATGATTCACCAGCACCAGTCAAGATTTTAAGCGTGAGTGTTGCCACCCATACCGACGGCATTCTTGGCCTTGTTGAGGAGGGAATCCTATGGCTGGTTCAGCCCTGGAACGAGTAACGAACCCAAAAATAACAAACCTGGTTCTGGTTGGAGTTGCTGCTGACCATATCGCCAGCCTGCTGGCCTGCGGACTTCTGGCTCTGTTGGATAGAAAGTGAGCACACTAGATAACCAATGGTCGCGTCGACTAGTACTTACGTTAGGCTGCATGGTGGACGCAGCGGAGTCCATCGTGCCCTTCATGGCGTCACCAGCTTGCTCGAACATTCCCTTCTGGGAGTCGGGCTACAGATCAAATAGTGTCAGAGATCGGTTACGCAAGAATAATAAGAAACATACCTTCATGGCAGCGCCGGCCTTGTCGGTGAAAGATTGACGACCAGTGTCAGACATTGTGAGTTTGTAGATGAGATTGGTGGCTGCGGAAAAGTCAGGAGCAATTCCGGGCGAAATGGGAGTGAAGGGACGGACTTTGCAAAGTAGAGTTGGAGATGCAAGTGAATGCTGACTTTTTCGAGCATTTTGGGTGCTGTATTTATAGTAGAGAGGGTTTCAGGCGGTGGAGCAAGCCTGACGTAGCGTGACGCGTGGCCAGAAATGTTCATGACGCACACTGAGACTGATGACTTGCCCATGGCTGCGTAAATTTCCACAAGAGGCGCGTCTAATCCCCATAATGCTTTCGAATCCATGGCGGACCCTTCGATATACGGTCCAGATGTTTCGCACTTGCAACTCATGCGGGGTATCCTTGACCCCGACGAGAACCAGTCAATTTTCAGGTGGGGTTCATGGTTCGCGAATATCAGGTGTGCACGAAGAAACGAACGCCTATGTGTTTGGAAAAGATATCTCCTGTTCGAGCTGTCGGCTGTTTCGGATAGGGGCTCGCCACAAAGGGAATGCGCCACAATGGGGCCAAACATGACGCAACAGATGACGACGCCTTTGGATGTGTGTCCAGCAGGCAAGCGACCCACACAAAGATGGCTCCCGTCCGTCTCCGCCATCCCAAGGGCGTCTCCACCATCGAGGTTCTCTTCGACAGCAACGAATTTACCGTAGAGGATCTCCAGCAGGAGATATACGCAGCGACAGAGATCCTGCCATCGCGTCAGATCCGTGAGTTCATCCATCATGATTTGCATTGGTTGTAGATCGGCAGATCAGTATCAGAACTGACATTCCTTCCCCTGTCCGTGTAGTGAAGACTGGATATCCACCACGACCTCTTGCTTTGGTCCCTGAACTGCCGATTCAGTCACTCGGGCTGCAGAGGGGAGACCAGATTATCGTCAGCGAGTCATCCGAATCGTCAGGCGCACCTGCCCTGCGTGTCCCATCGAGCCCGACGCGGACACAGACGCAGACACCGCCTGTACGATCGCCGACTAAGACGACACCAGCGCCAGGGCCGGCAGCGCGTCCTCGGCCTGCATCACCGCCAGCTCCAAGGCCTGCTGTCTCTCCGCCACAGTCACCTTGTCCTGCCAGTGTAGAGGTCGATGGAAGCTTTCTTGTTCACAGGGTGTGCGACCTTTGGATGTTTTCAATTTAATGCTCATATGCACTGTGCAGGTTGTCCCAGACGACAACTCGTGTCTCTTCTCGTCTGTCGCATTGGTTTTCGAACAAAGTATATCCAAAGCGCCACAGATGCGTAAGAGTATGTTCCTTATTCTTATATTTCGTGTCCCATTAATTTGACCACTTTGCAGTCGTCGCGGAAGGAATACAGAACAATCCCGACTTGTACAACGAAGCCATTCTAGGGTAAGCATCCAGCCACATCTTCCTCGTCCTCGTCTTATTATGGCACTAGAATGCCACCATCTCAATACATCGCCACAATCTCGAAACCCACGACCTGGGGCGGTGCGATCGAGTTAGGTATCCTCGCAGCGCACTTCCGCACCGAAATCGCAAGTATCGACGTCGAGACCGGGCGAATAGATCGTTTTACTCCTCCAGGCGACTTCGGCGCATCCACGCGCTGCCTTCTTATTTACTCAGGGATCCACTACGACGCTGCATCACTTGCCCCAATGGTTGACGCTCCGCCAGAATGGCACCAGACGTTATTCGAGACCGTGAGTTAACTCCACTCTTCAAATAGGTTCAGTCCTTACCGCGAAAGCCCAGCAATCGACTGATGATTCAGATCCCTTGCTCGTTGCGGCCAAGAAGCTTGCCGATATTCTTCGTGCAAGAAAGGCGTACACAAATACCTCTACCTTTGACATTAAATGCGAGGTAGGAGACCTTCCTATTTCGTCCTCGTACGTACGTCTAACTTCCTTGCTAGGAGTGCGGGCAAGGTTTGAAAGGCGAAAAAGGAGCACGAGTGCATGCAGAGCAAACAGGTCATGTACGATTTGGAGAGTATTAGTTAGAGCTTCCAATGGATGGATTCATACCCGAGGATGATGCATCCAGCCGAGGACACTCCGATACTGGGAGTACGAATAACCGCTCTCGTCGTTGCTTCGGCGTGATAGTAACGAAGGAGCAAAACAAAAGCAAAAGCAAGAATAATGACTCGTAAGCACAGGAGTGTTGAGCAGCGTCTGCGTTGCGGCGTAGCGCTTCATAACTCGTTTCCCGGCCCAACCGCGGAATTACGATGAGCGCTGAAAATAAAATGAGTCAAAAATATGCAACATTGTTCATTCCTCATTCTAGTAGCAGAGCCAACGTCGAACAGGCCCTTCTCGTCTAACAATATGCCACCACACGTCCTGGATGGGTGGATCTAGCACCTCTCGCCACAGGAACTGGAGGGATGGAAATAAACAAGGTCCTCTGTCGATATATCATACAAGGAAGAGAGGGGAGCTTTGCCAGAGTCTGATAGAGTTGCCACAGACAGAAATTTGCGACCGCTTCTTGTCCAAAACCACGATGTTGTTCAGCTTCGCCTGTTATCTTCCTGCCGAAGACCCTCTTTTTTTTTTGAGCATTGGAATCAAGGCGGAGACTTGGGTAGACTACTTAACTAACGTGGGCGATTCAAATGAAGCTCCAATGGCGTGGTCGAGAGGACAGCTATAGCGACCTCCGCCTTTTTAAGGTAGATTTGTTCTTTCTCTGGTAAACAGCCAACTAACCCACAGCAGACGGATGTTCTCCTGGATCCCTACGAAAGCCTGCAATCGCGTACTCTTCTATGGCTTCATCAGTAGCCAACAAACAGTCACCTTGAGGAGAGACACCGGGTTTCAACCGTCTTTCCCAGTGGACCCCATCCATCCGATGACAAGCTAGATGTCATCATTGCCGATGCGGAGGGTATGTTCTACTCTGCCCTTCAGTCCTATCTCACTGATTCCGTGTTAGTTCTGGAGTTGCGCGACGGCCTGGGCGACCCATATGACCGCTATAAGAGGAAGGTCAAGAAAGGTGCACAATGTGCTGATATCTCATCTCTTACAGTGATCCATCGTTCCTTGATACACCACCATTGTTTGATACACCTGATAGCACACGGTACATCCACGAAAAAAAAAACATATCTCGTTGTCTTGGGTATACATAAGCCTAGGCTGTTCACAAAGTTTCGTCAACACTCGGGACGTGGTTGTGGCGAAATAAAACCAGCAAAAAAATTCATTTTGGCTATACCACTCCCTGATACACCCTGAAAACTGATACACCCTCAAAGTACTCGAATCCATTTGGGGCCGCTCCGAGGGCGCCTTCACCCCTCCATCTCTCCGTCGTGCCGAGAGACTCCCGGCAGGTTCAAATGGTCGACAGCCACCTGGAACTGAACCACCCTAAAGTAAAGCAAAGCAAGTCGAAAAGGCTGACTCCGACAACTTTAAAAGGTTTCTGGGGCATAAACTCCTTCGTTTTAGGTTTTGGAAGGCGTGAGAGACGTGGTCGGGCCTTGGAGATTTAGGCAGCATACACGGGTGCTTCGGTCTACTGCTCTCCCAACTGAGCTATGCAACCAATGAAAGTGATCGGGAAAGGGCCATAATCTGCAAAATGGAAACGCGCCTCACTTGTCTACTCTACAGTGAGCTTCAAGTTCAAGGATAGTGGTGTCCTCAAGGATCAGGGAATCAAGCAAAGAGTAGCATATCGAAAGTGATGGCATGTATGGTACGTGAACAAAGCTGAATATGAATGAAGATGGGCATAGATATATCATCACCCAAAGATGGACGACGAGGAAGAAAGAGGTATGAAAAAGGTGGCTAGGGCCTCAGAGCTCTCCTTCTATTTCCATAACCACTGGAAGGTGGTCCGAGGCTCCGTAGATTTCACCACGAATTTCACACTGATAAAGTGCCATTGAGCATCCTACTTCTAAAAGCAGAACGGACGACTCACCATTTTGACACGGCTTGCAAGGCGTTCACTCAAGACGACTAGAGTTAACATTCGTAGGAGACATTAAGTTCGCAAGTTCCTGTATCAGACAATGGAACACGCACAGCCATCTATCCTCCATCCGATCCCTTTACTGCGGCAGTTGAATCTATAGGAGAAGTAGGTGTACGAGCGCTCTTCCGGGTGGAGATTCCTCCAGAGGTCAACAAATTTAGGCGCTTTGGGATCGCCTGGTGGATTAAGGAAGTTCTTGAAGCCCGATGTTTCGGCCTCTGTGTAGCCAGGTGTTTTGTTCCAGTTGGGCTTTGGGTTTGCGAGATCTTCGTTGACAGTATTAGACAAGGTATCGATAGGTGAGAGAATTGACTTCCTCACCTAACGCGGTGGGTGCAACGTTGAGGTCACCGGCCCAAATGACGGGCTTTTTCATATCGAGTTCGGTAAGGTATGGGAAGAAAGATTTCATCCACGTTTCTTTCGCCTCCATGAACTAGAATACATTTCTTGAGTCGGAAAATGCACAACAAGAGACAACGGACATACTTTGAGGTTGACACCAGCATTTACAACGTAGGTGCCAACGAAATAACAGGTCTTGAATTCCAAGGTCACGATACGTCCTTTGATCTCTTCGGCATCAGGATAATTGGGAATTGTCTCCTCAACAGTCAGTGGCTTCTCCTTGGAAAGGACGGCAGTTCCGGCTACGGTCTGTTTCAATACTTGTACGCGGTAACAAGCAGGACGGTAGGCTTACCATACCCCTTCTTCGTCGAGAAAGTCCAGTACTGATGAGGGAATCTCTTTTCTAGAGCTTCAAGTTCTGGTTTTTGATTCATCTGCAATTGCAAATGAGTCGAATGCGGGTCATAATCCGAAGTGAATTACCTTCGTTTCAGTAATAACAATGACATCCGGATCCTCTGCCTCTATGTATCTGTGGAAACCCTACAAAGCTGTAGTAGCTGCGGAATATCAAAGAATTATATCAGATTAATTCACCTTCTTTTGACTGGCCTGTAAACCAGAAACGTTCCAACTGGCCAACCTGAAGGTGTTAGGTGTCCGCGCTGGGAATTCGATAACCTCAGGCAGTTCCTTGTTCGTCGGTTGTGTATTGTCAACGGCTGATTCTGCCTGAGATGCCTCCTTTCGAGCCTTCTTTGTTTTACGGGCTGGCTTTGGGGCCTGTTCTTCGTGGTCTGACTCCTCCGTCTCTTCTGCTTTGCGCTTACTCGCTTGCTTGCCTTTGGCCATTGCAGAGATGTAAAGAAGAGGATATCTGCCTAATTTTACGCGTTTCGACGCGTACTTTGTGTTTTCAGAGAGAATAGGCTTGATGACAGAGTGGTAGCGAAGAGAGAGACGAGTGAATCTGGCAAGTTGAAGAACCTGAACCATACACAGGGTTACGCGATGCTGACAAGTGACAAATGAGGACAGTACCACGTGACGGAACGATGTCACCGTATGGAGATAGAACTTCCGCATTTGGACCATGATAACTGAACAAGTTGAACCAGCCGCTCTCTTTCCAACCACCTCCAGGGCTACGGCCTTTCCGCGTTCCTTCCGGCCATCCCATTCGCTCTTCCGCACGTCTGTACGTTGCTCTGTCTCTCTTGTGCTCTCTTATTCAAACTCTTCATATAGCTGCCACCCAAGGGCGAAAGACGCGACAGGAAGAGCCACACTACCGTCATTCTTTTTCAATATCTCCGTTTATTACCACACAAGTGCAGCCATGCTCACTCATCGTGGATTCTCTGCATGGATTGAGTCAAACGGAGAAACCCTCCCAGAGTACTTGGTTGCAGTCGATGAGAATACGCACAAGGTGTCGTGTTGGATTCCTGGAAATGAGGGTCAGGTACGTGTTTTACCCTTCCGCGTGGCGTCATCGCGTTTAACCTTTTACCAGACGTTTGCGGTCTACTGGAGCGATGCTGGAGGTGCTGTGCCCACGTGTGCGTTCATCACTCTCGATGGCATAATAGCGCCTGGGAGATTTCTGTCTGGGAATGGGGTAAACTCCAGGAGCGGTTTACGAGTCTCGAAGAATAGCGAACGCCCGTTCATGTTCAAAGCTATCGACGAAACCGGTGGGGAATCAATCGTTCGACTGCATTGGGATGGTTTGCTCAGTCTTCTATAGCTACTGGACCATCAAACGCTGTGAACAACAAGGATTTGGGTCTCATCACCCTCAAGATTAAACGAGTTCGTCTTTTGGATGGTAGACCCGCAAATCCGATTCAGGCGGCCCCTTCTCCTGTTCTAGGAAAGAGAAAGGCAGGAGATCTGTGCATCGAGTGCGTGATTGCCATGCATAACACGAACCTCTGACAAACGTTCTCAAATCAGCTTCGGTGAAGAGGAGACACAACCTTTCGAACAGTCGGCGGTGACCTGGGCTGTTTCCTCATATGAAGACGATACTCCAGGGGCTAAGCCTAGCACATATGTCTCGTTCGCTTTTCGCTACCGTTCTCCTGGTGCGTATTGTCCTGCTGTCAGCCTTTCGGTTTGTGTGAGATGATATTTGCCATGATAACAGATTTCTTGGAGGCCCAGGGTATCATACCAGAGGGGGAGCTTACAACGATTGCGCCTACAAAGAAGGAACCAGCAACTCCAGAAATCCCTTTCGTCATGCCTGCAACAATACCAATGCCACCGCCCCTGGCACTGCCTGTACCCGCACCTAAAATGCCACCTCCCCGTCGCATGGCTAGCCTTCCAGCACCTCCAGTGAGACTCGAATCAGAGGAGCCGCCTCCACCCGCCACTCGTCCGGCGAAGAAACCTCGGCTGTCGTCAGACGCCCTTGGTAATCCAGTGAGTCGCAGAATCACATCACCTTCCACGATCTCATATGTTCTTTCTAGCCTGTTCGAACCCTCCGTCGCCCATCTCACGAGCTGCGCAGAGCAGCCAGCACTCCCGCTAAGACCGTCAGTACAAGCACTCTTCCGGCAGACACCACACCCTATCAGGGCACCTTCTTTGTTACTCGCCCTAGCTCTGCATACCACTACCTGAGTGTGCCACCATCCTCTTCTGACACATCCCCAGACACTACCGTCAACGATGATTCAAGCTTCTATGAGTAACGTCGAACCATTCTCTACTCACTCGCTATCAACCGCGCTATCGTGCTGTCTTCCGTCCCTGTTGTCCTCTCGTTCCTTTTGCTATCATGTTGCTTCCTGACCCTTTGCTGTTTTCAATTGCCTGATGCTATCTAGAAAATATTTGCTCTGTGTTTTGCTTTGTCTCCGTTGCTCTCTCGCTATGTACAATGTAATTCAACTCGTCTTTTCTCGTGGAAATATATAGCTTTGAAATTTGATTCAATTTCCAATGCCTGGCAACAAGTTTTGTCCAGGTAGTCTTCAGCCAACTCATGAGCGGCGCAATATCCGATTTGGGAGAGCCGGAAATCACCGCAGATGGTATATATTTGACCTTGTAGCCAACCGTCATGTCCAGTGCATCTTCGAATTCGGGAATCTTTCTTCACGTGTGGCCAGGTCAATGGGACCTGCCCTCGTTTGACCCCCTCTGTCTCGCATCTGTCCTATACCTTCAGTTCGCAATTCCCGGCAAATTCAAAGTCGTCGAAACCTCCAACCCAGACGCGTCGCCTGCTGGTGTGTTTCTAACCGTCTTGCTCTGGTGTCTACTAATCACACTTGCCCCAGGACAGCTCCCATATCTCGTGCATGAGAAGCATGTCGTCGCGTCGTTTCCCTCGATCGTGAAATACGTGTCAGAGCTGCAAGCCACGGACCCTTCTGTATACCCGAACTCGAACCTTGATGCCCGTCTCTCAAGTACAGACAGGGCGAAGTCGACTGCATGGAATGCGCATGCGGAATCCCACTTGGGAGATTTAGTGGTATGTGGTAATGTCCTCTTTCTCTCGTCGAGTTTCGTGCTTACAATCGGTACCGGTGCAGTATCACACACTGTTCTCTGTGGATGAAAATTGGTCAACCTTCGTAGGGCCTATGCTTGCGGGCCTTTACCCTGTTCCCCAAAAATATTTTGTCCCGCGACGGATACGAGAGTCATACATGCCGAAGCTGCAAGCGGCGGGTTTGTGGAGTGCCGTAGTGCAGGAAAAGCCTCGAGAGAAGCCTTTCCAGAGAGACGTAAAGCCTTTACCCAAGGAGGGGCTGAAGACAAATGCAAATGTCGCGCAAACCTTTGAACGAGAAAAGGTAGTTTCGAGATCTCCCCTAAGTTCACTTCAGAGCTCGATCTTCTCTCCCTAGGCCAACCAAAAAGCGCGCACAGAGTTTGAGTTGTACGAAGAGCTCCTGCGTGGAAGGGATTTCGTCTTTCACGATAGGTCCACCTCTTCTTGTTACGTCCAAGGCTCTTCATTGACAACAGCACTTCGATGCTGCAGCTTCTCTTCCGTTGATTCAGCGATCGCGGCCCATACTATTCTCCTGCTTCGGCCACCACATCCTGATTCCCTTTTCAAGGACCTCATCCTCAAATCATATCCCTGTATCTCCTTGCACGCAGAGAGGATACACACGCTCGCTTTAGGTCCACATGCGTCGCGCATTCCAACAACTCCATTGTCAACGTCCTCGCTCTGGTCTTTGGTGTCCTCATCATGGCCCCCGAAGCCATTGAAGGCAGGACCGCCAACATCAGGTCTCGAAAGTGAACAGTCCAATCGTATAGCCTGGGGCTTATTTGGCATTGCTGTCGGGTCGCTTGCTACGTATATTGCGGTTGTTGGAGGCCAGTCGAAAGCTGTTGGGGAAGATGAGGGGCAGATATCTCAGAAATACGAGTCTTAGGGAAACTAATGGCTAGTGTTCCGAGCTATCCATCTATATCTCGTACATTCTGTCATAGAGCATGCACCACACTATTTATGATCATCTAACCCTTCATGAACTCACTGTGAGTTCAGTACGCCGGATATCGGCCCGGAAGTCAATTGACGATCACATGACTGACTGTCGACTTCGTCTGAATCTCGGCATACTTTATTAGCTTACAACTTGCTTCCAACTGCTCTTTCAATCTACCTTTCCACCATTCGTCCAGCTCCGAACATGGATGAAGATCTCATTGTTATTGACGACCTGGAGAACGACGCCGGCCCGTCCGATTCAAACGACAACTCTGTCGACGCCCAAGCTTTCTATGCTCCCCTTCCCAAGAACGTTGGTGAACGAGCTTCTACTAGAAGTAGCGCTCAACCAGCGGCCAGTTCAAATGAACGAACGACGCGCTCGTCAACGCTGCGCGCCTCTAAGCCGCAGCCAAAGTTGAAGCTCAAGTTGAGCGACAAGGCTGTATCTCAGGCTCCTGGCGTGTCCTTCTTGGGGCAATACGACAGGGAACTGGACTCAGATGACGAAGAACTGGCATTTGAAGAGCAGTTTATCCTACGAATGCCGCCCGGTGAAGATTGTGAGAAGCTACGGAAGGCGGTTGCATCTAGAGAAATAGGGAATGATGTCTGGCTCAAGTTCAAAGGTGTGAATGCAACTGTCCTGCATTGTATGCTGCCTCACTTATTATCTTTTAGACTCTCGAAGAGCTGTATTTCATATAGGGAATAGTCTGTATTCCTCCAAACTTGTTGATTTGCCATGCATCATCGAATCCCAGAAGACGCTGGACGGCAAGCAAATGTTCAAGGTTGCAGACATATGTCAGGTTGCACCGTTTTCCCCTGCGTAGCGACGCGTGCTCAAACTCGTCCCCACAAAGATGCTTGTTGCCGGAAATAAGATCCAAAGCGAAGACCAGCTTACGAAGGAGAAGAGCTTCAATATCGAGGAGTTTATCTGGCCGCACGGCATCACTCCACCCTTGCATCATGTCCGGAAACGAAGGTTTAGAAAACGGGTCAATAGACGGGTACGTTACCTCGTCCGTTTCAACGGCATCCCTCATTAACGCCCCTCTAGACGATTGAGAATGTTGAACAAGAAGTGGAGAGACTGCTGGACGAAGATTCCATGGCCACGGAAGTCAAATATGGTTTGTTGTCATGTCATGCAGGCGCGATGTTAGTTCTAACTCTTGCTCCAAGATATACTTGAAAATGTCAACCCAGACCTCTCAGATTCTGAATTCATCGAGCAAGATGTGCCTCTTGATGCCCCGACGCCTGCTGTGTCTGACCTAGGTGAAGCACAAACTCCTGGGGACCTCGGAGAGGGTGATGACGAGGAGGAGGAAGAAAATGAGGAGGGAGCAGAAGGAGATATCGATGAAGAACTAGCCGCAGAGTTGGACCTTGCTCTCGAAAATGAAGACGAAGAGGATGGAGACGAGGAAGACGAGGAAGAGGACAGCGAAGATGATGAGAGTGAAGATGACGATGATGAGGACTCTCAAGCAAGGAAGTTGCTGAGTGAAGAAGTTAGAGATTTGGAGGCAGCAGTGGCCAAGAAGCGCAATGAGATTGCAAGCTCTGGCAATCCTCTCATTAGGGTGTGTTTCCTTCTCCTATCTCCCTTAGAAATGACTTTGATCAATTCTGCCATTATCAGAGACGATTCGAGGACGCACTCAAGAAGTTAACTGCTGACTTAGAGATGAAGGTCGCGCAACGCGACGAACTGAAGGAGAAACAGAGGCTGAAGAAGGAAGGAATCACAATGGACGCCGTGGAAGATACAGATCCAGATAACGTTGGAATTGAGGATGGAGGTGACGGTGCCGATGATGGAGATCTTTTCGGAGACGACTCTATGGAAATCGGATAGATGAGGTCACGGTTGTCTAGCTCACTTGATCTTGTACTCGTATTATCAACATGGTAGTGAGCATACAATGGCAGCCTGCAACACCAAGGGAGTATATACGATGCAGATGAATGGTGCAAGCCAGACCGAGAGGACCTGCCAACTCCAGACTACATCCACCAGGCTCTGGTGGAAGAGAAGCCATGCGAAAGCTATCGACGCGTACGCAGAGTATTTTATCAATCGTACTTGAGCCGAGAGGGCTGGGGATGACAATGCAACGACGGGTGTAAGGAAGAGGGTCAAAGACGCGGCAAGAGAGAAATTGAGGAGAGTAATAATAGATATGACTGTGGAGGAAAGGCATAGATTGAAAGCCTTAAGAACCATAAACGTTGGGGCAGAACCGACGTCAGTGCCGACCCTTCGAACGAATAGCAAAGGCGTCGCAATGCCAAGTACAAGCATGCAAGGCGATAGAGCCTAATATAATGATTCGTGGGTTTAAATAGTGGCGATTCGGTAACAACGTACCTGAGGATTTTTCATAAACCAAGGCGTCGTGACAATATTGAAGACAATCAGGCCCAAGGTGTGAGTTGCGATCATGATGCATAATGCACTGATTATAGGCCTTCGCCTTCGCCTCCATTTAGTGGTAGACTGCACTTTGCTCTCTTTTTCGGTTGGAAGGGTTTCCTCAACCCAGCCGGCATTGGACCAGATGCTCAAGCCATGGAACATCATAGCGACACTAATCAGGATGACGCTGGGCAGGTAAAGGCCGATCTTGAGGAAACGCTGGGGTCCTGGTAAGATGTAAAAGAAAAAGGAGGCATGTAAGCGTTCTAGAAGATTGTTCATGGTACGGAGAGTCGATTCAATTGTCCTTGTATCCAAGACGTTAGTAAATGAGGTGGTTCGTAGGTCAGAATATTGCTCACCGTCCTATAGCATGGAACCCGTGTGGACCCATTGCAGGTACAGCAAACAGAGTGATAGCATCTATACGGAACCTATGATCTGATCAGTCAGCGATGTTTGCAAGAGGGAGTGGAGTGAGATTGACTGATGGAAGAGACCATGGACGCCGCTGCCGCGTCCGCTGGCCTGGTATTTGGCATGCCGGACAATGTTGTTCGCTTGATAAAGGTAGCCCTTTACTTCTGGGATGTTGTAAATAAATTGAGGTAGGAACCAAGGTGCCTTGTTCGCTGAAGGTTCCGCTCGGGGATCCAAATGGTCGTACACAGTAACTGAGACTCCCGCTGTGTATCGAGCGATTCGTTCAAATGAGTTGATTAGATCCTGGTTAGGAAGACGTCCGTTCAATCCCTCTTTTGATGTGCATCAGACGAGGATTTCGCTATTTGAATCATTCACTGACCGAAGAAGACACCAAGGTGAGAGAAAGAATGACCAGGATAGTCAATGTTAAGAGCCGTCCAGATTACCCCAGACGTGAATTGCAATGGTTCAGCGTAGAGCCCTGCAATGAACAACATAAATACTTGCGCGACGAAAAAAAATATAGAAACGGATACCAGACTGTGACGACCCGTGGTATGCCCCGAGCCATGCCTGCATGCCATCCAAGTATCCATCGCTGACGACGAAGACAATATCCTTCGCCCAGTACGAGTAGCCTGAAATAGCGAATCGTGTCAGACATGATCCTAAAACTTGTGAGGATGTGACTGACGCTTTAGAAAACCAGCCAAAGCGAGCACTGTGGATACACCTCGGATATTTATAGTTCCATCTCCTTCACCACTCCGACTCAACCATGATGCGCTGATGATCATCGCTTCAGTGCCGGAGTGACGAGGCGATGCCAGGACAGCATATGCATTCGTGCCATGGATAGTCTGGTGAAGAGTCAATCAGACAACTTGAAACAATAAATCTATATTGCCATACCGTCAGGCTCGTTGAAAAGGAATAACGTTGGGTAGACGATACAACCCCGTGCTTGCCAAACTCCTCTTTTAGCCAACGAGCCCGTCTAGATGATGGTGAGTGAATAACTATGTTGACGGGCTTTAGACATGCTCACTGCTCACTCGTCCAGTTTCCATCACGTATGCATTCAAGTTGTTCCAGATGCCTATCAGCCGCGTGGACATCTCCCCAGTTCCAGTTAGTATTCACCTTGCGAGCAAGTCAGAGACAGGGAGATGGTGTATCAATGAATCCTAACCTGAGCAGGTTGGAGTGCATTCTCGTCAATGTATGTCCCTCTCCCCCAAAGAGGTGACGGAATATAAATCATCCATAGGTAGCCAGCAAGGAATAAGGTGAACCTAGAGGGCAAGGTATTCATCAAATTGCTGATAGTCCAAAACGATGAATACGTACTTTATGAGCCATAAGCGACGCGTCAAGAGAGCAAACAAAGCTCTCTTTCTCTGTAGCCGCTTCAAGTTCACGTCTCCAGACGGCCGCAGCCTATCCCTAAGCTTGAGGAGGGGTTGCTTCCATTTGGAAAGAGGCCGCTCTGCACCATCCATTTGCTTTCAACCTAGGAGTAGTGAGAATCGGGCAAGGGCCGCCTTAGATGCCTTCTCGAGCTTGAGCTGATCCAGCTGTAAATAATGGAATTGAACGCGGGGTTTGGTGCGAGCCTCGAGGAACTTTCGTGGCGTGGTCCTGGAGGTTGTGACAAAGCGCTCGTGAAAAAGGGAACATAAATAATCACCGTCAGGGGCAATTGCCTTGCCACCACCGCCACCACTCGCGGCCCTTGGTTTATTCTCTTTCCCCTTCTCGCCTTGCTGCAGGCTCAAAATATGCCACCCAAACGGAAAAGAAACGCGTCTTTATCCCCGAAAGGTTTTGCTGCTGGTGACCAGCTGAAACGCAACGCGTTACCGCGTCCTTCTACATCCGACCCTTGGGGCTGGGTTGTTTCTGAGGTCTCCGACGCAGCAGGCATCACGCAAGAGCATAGTATCTCTGCCTGCAATCTTGCTGCAAGAAATAAGAACACTTCATGCCGCAACAAGTATTCTACAATTACTGTCAAGAAGGATGCTGGGACCCCGAAAGCTACCCCGCCTTCGTCAACCGCTGCAGGGGAACTAGAAGACGATATCATTGTAATTTCCGACGACGATGAACCCTCGTGCCCGAAGAAGGAATGCAAGGCGAATCCTATGTGTCTCAATTATCTAGGACAAGACTTGTGGGAGGATGAAGGTATGTTGTCCTCTGTGGCGCCATCAGCGGAAATTAAAAATGTATCCGCAGAGCAGGCTGAAGAAGAATTCATGAAAAGTGCAAATTTAGGCAAGGATCCTTCGCGAAACTCACGCGAACCTGGTCTCCCGGTGGGATTGAAGGTATGACTGCCCATGCTGTCGTGCCTAACGTTTTGTGATCCATTCCATGAAGAATCTCGGTGCTACATGCTATGCAAATGCGTCTCTACAAGTATGTTGGCTTTACATTGCTCTATCTAATTATATCTGACCATGATCAGGTCTGGTATCGAGATTTAGCATTCCGCTCTGGTGTTTATAGTTGGAAGCCACCGGATAACATACCTGTGGAAAGGTACAAGGCAGGTCCTCCGTCTGACCTCATGAAATTGCAAGGTTATGACATCCTCGGTCAGGACTCACCTATCTTCCAGTTGCAAGTGACATTCGCCGCTCTGCAAGGGGGAAACAAGAGTGCCTTTAATCCTACAAAATTGGTCGAAAGCCTTCAACTACGAGCTTCAGAACAACAAGATGCTCAAGAGTGTGTCTTCCCTTCCATCTATGCGTTCTACTCTTGAACCCATTAAATCAGATTTTCTAAGCTATTCATGACGCACCTTGATGCTGAATTCAAGAAGCAAGCGTCCCCTTCCGTGAAATCTCTGATCGAGGATCAGGTAAGTTTGATTGAGAGATCCGAAGGTCTTTCTAAGATTTTATGCAGTTCCAAGGCAGCCAAGCCTATGGGACGATTTGCCACGCTTGTAAAAACCGATCCGAGAGAAGTTTCGATTTTCTTGAAATAGAGGTAGCTTTTGAGGTGGGTCCCTTTGTGTCTGTCTCCACAAACCAAGTGGTCCGAAAACTATTTTTCCTGTTCTAGAATAACGCGATGCTTGAAGATTGCATTTCTACTTCGTTGCTACCTGAAACATTGTCTGGAGATAATCAGTACGTGCTGTACTCCCTCCAGTCTTTCCCTTTGCCTTATTCCATGCTTTAAGATATTTCTGTTCTCGTTGTGAGGTACTACAAGACGCGACACGATACACAGAACTACGCCAACTGCCGCCCGTTCTACACTTCTCACTACTACGATTTGTTTATGATATTTCAACGATGGAGCGAAAGAAGTCCAAGCATTCAATTTCTTTTCCGTTAGTTCTCGACATGAACAAATTTCTGGGATTGCGACATAATCGGGAAAGTGGCGGCTCCACAGACGGCAGCGATAGTATGTACGAACTGCGAGGCATTCTTCTGCATAAAGGGGCAAGTGCATATCACGGCCATTATGAAGCCCAAGTCAATGACAACGAGTAAGTCCAACACTGGACGTGAGGTTCAAAGGCTTAATTCACTGCTAGAAATGGGACATGGTTCCAGTTCAATGATGAGACGGTGACGAAGATCCAAGCACTGGGTGACAACAAAGTGGCTAGAAAGAAAGCGAGCGATGAATCCCATGAGAAAGCTGAAGGCGATGATGAGCGGTAAGCCTGTGGCGCTTTGCCTATTCTAACACCCAACTTATCCATTACAGACCCAGCACTTCGCAAATGCAGAAAAAAAGAGCCAATGCGAGAAAACGAAAAAGAATTGAAGATAGCGACGACGAAATTGAGGTTGTTGGGTATGCCATCCGATCCACAAGGGACAATGGAATTGACAACCTTGTAGAGCGAAAAGAAAAGCGTCTAGCATCCCATCACCAAAGCCGGCTGAAGGACCCAAGTATGTGCAACTGCCGGGTCTAAATTTGTAGTCATTGACTTCAAGCCCTTGAAAGCCCAATTACTTCCAAAGACGCGTATATGCTCATATATGCAAAGAGGAATTATGACTCGAGCAAAACGCTCTTGTATCCAAAACCACCTGATAGAGCCCTGAAAATTGTTCAAGGTCTCAACGAGGCGCATACTGAAGCATGTCGGATGTTCGAAGAAAAGTTCGTCCATTTTTATCGCCTAGCAGCAGTGGTCGACTTTGAACGCTGTTTCTAGGAAGGGTTCCCTGAAGGCGCATTTTCAAAAGCTACGACAGACAGTCCGAAGTATTTATTCCTGCTGGTCCACACCTTCAACTAAAGTGAGTAGTGAACCTTGCTTAGATTGTTCTGCCTTTCAACCAGCCACACTCCTAGGATTGCATCGTTGCTAGTCGACAAGCACTCGAAGCCTGGTTGTCCAATGCTTGCATTGAGGCTACCCTTCGACACTCTGGTGTCACCTCTCCTGCCGACGCACCTTCTCAAGGGTCCTCAGAAGAATCCACTTCTGTCACTATATCCTTGGATGATATAACCTGTGAGCATGGGATGCTGGATCCCCTTAAGGCCAAGGACATGAAATGCATCACACCGGTATGTGTTCTGATGGTGTTTGTGCTTCCCCGCGCTAATGGGTTGCGCAAAGGCTGCATATGTTCAACTCGTGAAAGAAACCAACTGCATATTCGATACCGTCCTGAGACCCTCAGATGCCTGCACTGAATGTGTTTCCATGTTGTTTATGGGTATGTTGCTTCTTTGGCAGTCCCATTTCGATCGCTACATATCACTTTCGACACAATAGAGAAACTTTACGAAATCGAACATCCACGCCACGCAAAGAAATTTGACGAGATCTCGGTTGTACCTGAGGATGGGGTTGGTTATTGGCTTTCTAAGAAGTGGTGTCGAGGTACTTCCTCTTTTTGTTGATCCATCTCACCTTCTCACCGGCGAATAGATTGGCGGCTTATCAAACCTCGAATGCATGAACCTTTCCGGAACGACCCAGCACCGGACTCTGAAGAGTTCCGTAGTCACGTCTTTTGTGAACATGGTGGACTGTCTTTGAGCACCACCGGCCGCAGGAAGATTTCTGCGGAGGTATGCAGTCTTTCTTTCTGCTTCGTATATGCGCACAGTTCAATTGGCTGCCAGGCTGTCACCCTTCTTCGAAAGCTGTTTCCGACATGGACACCCCTTTCTAGTGACACGGAACCGTGCGCCGTTTGTGAAGCAGAAATTCACGTGTCTAAGGAAGACAAACGAGAGGTCAGACGGCGAATAGAAGACGAGAAGGTTAGCCTGGTTTGTGCTACAAATCTTTGACTGACTAAATAGTCTCTTTGCTCAGGCCCGGTTACGATTTATCTATGAACCGACTCTTGATACCTGGGCGGTCGACAGATCGACGAGAACTCAATGTGCAATTGTACCATCGCAATTTATAAAGAAGTGGAAGCGCTGGCTAAACAGTCCCGACAATGCACGACCCGAGAGCATCGATAATTCGTCCTTTCTATGCAAGCACGGTTTGCTCCTGCTTGATCCCAATTGTTCTACCGATCTTGACTCGTCTGTCATTGTCATTCAGAGAGAAGATTGGGATACATTGCTATCAATGTACGCAGATTCCCTTCTTTCCATTCTTAGGTCAACTATCTCACCTCCCTTCTTGCAGTTATTCTGGTGGACCATTGATTGCTCTCACAAAGCTACCATCAGGAGACGAACGTGTCTACGACCACGATGTGCCAGTTTGTGCTGAATGTCGGTTGAAAAGGTAGGTGTATGCTGTCGCTTCCTGATCAGTGCTAATATTCTACCAGACGGACTGAATGGGACACAGCAGACGTTGTCATTCGGCTGTTTAATGGTAATGGAAATACCAATGCAGTAAAGAAACCCCTTGGAGGCTACGGCCTGACTAACGGGTCCCGACAATCAAAGCGGCTGCGCCAGGCTCATGAGCATGGCAAAAGGCGAATTCTCACTGTCTCGAAGACCTCGACAATAAAAGAAATCAAGGTTATGGTTAGTGCCTCCGTCGCTGTCCCTATCTATTCGCAGATAAGAGACATCCTTTCGTAGATAAACGAGGAGTTCTCTATTCCTACGATCTGTCAACGCCTCTTCTATAAAGAGAAGGAACTTGAAGACAATTCTGCCACAGTGGAAGAATTAGGTCTCTTCGCGAACGATATCCTTGATCTTCGAGAAGTTGTTGAAATTAACTCCGACTCCGACGAAACCCCTGCGAACAAGAGGCGAAGGGAAGAAGGACCAGGGTTTGGTGGTACATTGTTGGGCAATGCAGATTCATGCTGGTCTAGTTCTCCTGAACAAACTCCAGCTCCACACTTCAGCAATCAGGAGAAGGCGTGCCGTGCCTGCACTTTTTCGAACACGTTCGACGCCCTCTCGTGTCAAATGTGTGATACAAATTTTGTATGAGCAATGGATAGTACAAAAGAAAAAACCGTATGACCGCCCTGTAAGACCGACATCAACCCAAAGTCAAGAGAAAGCATGTCAACACGATACAATAACCCTGTCTATGGACCGACCGAAAAGAAAAAAAGGAAAGAGAAGGAAAGAGTAAGAAAGCGTAGCGAAGCCCTGATTACGAGAGCACATTGTCCCCTTTGACCCCAATAACAAGAAACTAGGTGAGTAGCTGTGATGGCAAAGATAACAGGATGTAGTTGCAAATTAGTGCCTCTTAATATTCAGGCAGCGTGGTGAGATTGGATGTAGGAAATGCAGCGACCCGCGGGACAACCGGCGGAGGCGCGACAACAGGTGGGCTGTTGTCGAGCATGGGAGTTTGAGATTTGAGGATAGAAGTCGCTGTAACAATGATGTCGACCTCGTTGGAGGCGGTACCGTTCATCTTGACGGCCATGGCGATCGCGTCTTGAGTCTTGTCAGTCAGTTCACTGACCGACACGCTCTGAATGGCGACCGTCTCGACTTGCGGTGTGGGTATGCCCCCTGTGGCGATAGTCCGATCGGCGATAACGGTCTTCGCTGCCTGAAGAACTACATGCTGCGCAGCAACAGCAAGTCGTCGAGATTGCAAATGCCCTTGGCCAGAGATCGCCTTATCATAGGCATCGACAGTCTGTTCAAGGACATGCTTTTGTTTGACAAGGTCTTGAAGTTCGCCTTGCTTGGGAGGAGAGGCCGAAACGAATTGGGACTCTGCCTCATCCGTAACACGTTGCGCGACGCTTTGCAACACTCGTATAACGCGTGTGTCGTCTACACGTGGGTTACGTGAATTCCTGCACAGCACATGTGAATTCACTGGAATAGAACACAACGTTTCGTGATACACACCTTTGGGGAATCTGGAAAAGGGCAGAATCACTCGTGCTGCGTTTAGGAGGTTCTCCGACCAGGGATGGGCGTCGAGAACGGGAGAAGCCAGCCGCGTCAAGTGCGGCTACGGGCGCTATTGAGAGGGCGAAAGTGTGAGTGAGTTGGCTATCTTGATTATCAACGTTGAACTTTAATGAGGATGAAACGTTAATTTGAAAAACCTTGCGTGAAAGAGACGGAAAACTCACTTTTGCAACGACAGTGATCTGGCAAGATTCTGCATCTGGAGGAGGAATACCAGACAGCTCGCCATTACGCCACAAAAGCCAGGGCGGAAGGCTTGGCGAGCTATACGTAACGTGGACCTTCTTGAAAGACAGTTGGGGGTCCCAAACGTGAGGCTTCCAAGACCAACGTAAACCACAGTAAGCAACACCAGGAGGCGTTCCCGCGAGCTTTCGATGGAATGGTCGGAAATCCCATTGGCCATCCCCGGATTTCTTGGCTTCAATATTCCAGATATGATTGCCTTTGGACTTGGCCTTCTTCCCGTCCTCGTTGAAGCGGAGAATGTACTGTTGCCTCCAGAGATAGTTGCGAACCTGAGATTTTGAACTTAAAATGACGGACTTGGCTACATATGTAGCGTGCATTCTCACCTTTTTCATCGGAATCTTGTCCTCAGGATATCCTTGCTTCCCGAGCTGCAAAAATGACGATGATGGTCAGGATACAGGGGCCGCCGCTAGAAGTCAAGCGCACCTCTTCCATGAAGGCGTTCGTGAACGCAAGGATTCGGAATTTGAAGGGTCGGAAGTCCGGCGACTCATCCAACCTCTGCATCTTCTTCGCCATGAGAGTTTGATGGATTTGCTCTCCTTTGGCATCCGTTGCGTCCACTAGGGTAGTATGGCGTCAGCTTGGAGCGTATTTCCAAGGAATCCGGCTCACGGTTGGAACAGAGTTTGTTCAAGAACATGAAAAATATCCTGTCCACGTCAGCACGGTATTCCGGAGGCATCTCTGCTGCTGCAGATGATGACGTCGACGGTCGATCTCCAGAAGACTGAAAATTTTGTTAAGCAGGTTCATTTGATAGACATAAATTTAGAACATTCTTACCTGATGTGTGATTGTTTTACCTACCACACTCTCATCGGAATCAGATTCCTCGTCGTCATCCTCATCATCGCTCGGCGAATTGTGTGCTGTGGGAGGCGCGGATCCTCCTTGTATCGCCGACGACCGTTTCTTGGACGAGTGCGATGAATCCGAGCCGAAATACCAGTTGGATTGTCCGGCAGCACGGGTCGGCGTAGCAGCTGCTTTTGTGGTATGCCACACGCCTGTGGAATCAGGATATGCCAAAGACGCGTAAGGATTCTTGAAATTGGTGCCACTGATAGAACCGGATCGCGACATTCTTCCAATAGGAGGGCTGATTGACGATGCCACGGCATTTGAAGGGACTGTGAGAGGCTGCGGTAAGGCGTTTGGAAGGGCCGCTGGAGGAACGGCGGCAGCGGCAGCCGAAGTTCCCACTATAGGCGCTGTAATTGAGCCAGCCGATAAGGAGTGATGGTGTCTTGAAGACGAAGGAACCACAGGATCCGACCAGGAAGAGTGAGGCAAAGGAGGGAATCCGGCTTGTATAGGAGTCCCAGTAAGGGGGAGGGTCCCTGGAAGATGCGGGGCGGAAGTGGGCACTATCCCGGACGGGAATGAAAATGTGGTCGATGCTGAAGTTGGAGGCTTCATCGAGCTGAATGAATTGCGCGCTGAGAATGTCGCGGGGGGACTCGGAGGTCGCGAAGGAGGGCGAGACTGGGAGCCGTAAGAGCTCTGCATCAAAGGAAAACTCACAGGGGCCGGGGGGACCGCAGCAGCGAACGCGGATGCTCCCGCTGAGATCAAAGGCCCCTCACTGATAGACAGAGAGAGCGGTGCATCTTCTTGGGGTTCGCGCTTCAGCGCTTTGACCGTCCGATGTTCCTCCAGGTCTGATGCACACCGTTTCCGTGATTGATCTGACACCGCAAGGTGTGAATGGTCACCCAGAGGCGGATCTATCGGGGGCGGGTTGAGAGAAGGGAGGTGAAGGTGAAGGAGGTCGAGCCCTTGAAGGGTAGGTGGTACCGCTGAAGGGGCACCTGAAGGATCAGCGAAGGACATATGCTGCAGCATGAAAAGCACTTGTTGAATACGGTCCCTGAGTTCACCGACTTTGGTTGTCTGCTGAACTCCATGACAATTTTCAAACGCGTCTCCTGCGTCGATCGCTGTTTTTGCGATGCTAAAACGGCTGTTAAATTACGAAAATGCAAGTGAATAATGACATACTCTTTGAGCATCTGCCCGATAACGGTTTGAGGTTGCTGCTGGGATACGGATTCTTCCAGGTTACCTGTGCTGGAAGAGGAAGGATAGTCGGCCGCATTCTGTAAGCTCGGGGGTGATAACGAAGGGAAATTTGAAGGAAGGGATGGAGGTGATAACGAGGTATTTGCCCGACTACGCCGCCCGGAAACGGCAGGGTCGAGCGAGGACGGTGCAGCAACTGCGTACGAAGACGGAGCCCCGTGGATAGGCGGGGATGGCACCTGTGATTGGGGTGGCGACACTGACAAGTTGCGTGCGTCTGGCGAGTTGTCGGTCTGCGGCAAGAGTGCAAACGGGTCAGCGACTGTTCTGGGGTCAGACATAAAGCTCGAAGGAGCTGTGTGGAGCTGTGCTGGGGTGTCCATGGGGTCTAATGGTGTATTGAGAAAGACAGACATGGGCATGTCAGGCATGGGGAGATGAATTGGAGGCGCGGGCGGGTCGAGCGAGAGGTCAGACTCTGGTGCATCGAGGGAGAGAAAGTCGATTTGCTGCTGCTGTTGCAGAAGTGGAGCTGCCAGATTTGTCGGAATGAAATCGACGGGGAGAGGGGGCGGAATGGGGGTGGTGTCCATCGGGGCGAGACTCTGCTCCTGCTCAAACTGCACCAGCATGTCCATTCCAGACACTCCGCTGCGACGCCTGAGACACGGGTGGGTTAAATAGGACGCTCAGCTCGTCGGAGGATCGTTGCGATCGGTTTCGACTGCACGTGTGCTCAAGGGTGGTGCAGACCGGGACAACGCGCACTTCACGCTGCTCAGGACACACGACGAACGATAAGATTGGTGGGCGCTGGGGAGGGGGAGAGAGAGGGCGGCTATGGATGCACGACGCTGCTCATGCACACCAAGCTCCGTTGACGCTTACGGCCATGTCGTCACAGCAGTCACACTTAATCCCCCTTTCCTCATCGATAAATCATTTCACATCGATCTATCACCCGCCCTGCTCATCAGATAACATCGCTAGTCACACCCCAAAAACAGCTCTGTTCACAGCGATTCCGAACATACGCACCGCACCCCTGTCGCGCAGAGGTCACGGCTCCATCCACCTGATCCGGCTCACGCTCAATCGCGATTATGTATCTAGTACCTCCTTCGGGGACTTCTTGAGCGCTCTCGATCCCTGCGTCTATCGCTGCGGACGGATCAGCACGAGAACAAAGGAATACGCGACAGCCAACTCACTCAGTGTATCTCGAAGGTTGCCGGTCGTACCCCCGGTCACGATCCCGGTCTCGGTAGTCATCACCTCCGCGAGAAGAGCGGTGCTCGCCAGTCCGCGAAGCACCTCCAGACGGGGTTGCAGCACCTGACGGCAGGGAGCTGGGGGGTGCCATTTTGCGCTTTTCACGTTCCTCTTTGAACTTGGAAAGCATATTCCGGAGCTCGTGGTACCCCAGATGCATCTATTCGAGATCCAAGTCAGCCTCGGTGCTCGCAAACACCGTTTGCTTTTAACGTACTTTACCACCAAAGTGATCCGCAAGACGACGGTCAGAATCAAGCACAGACAGGTAGGCTCCACACACGTCGCAAACGCGTAGCTTCTGGTGCCCCGAGGCGCCCGAAGTGTCTGTCAGTTGCTGCAGCTCGCGCTAAGGGACGGTCTTTCGTAAATCACAGCACTCCAAAGCTAAATACGAAGCACACACCTCCTTTTCTGCTTTCTCGCTCTTTAGTGCCTCAATAGCTGCCATTTCGCGCATGGACTCATCCACTTTCCCCTGTTCACCTGCATGCAGGTAGATGCGTCAGCAAAGTAACGCCGCAAATGCATGAACCTTTCCACCCAAAGTTTCGATCTTCTCCGTTCCTCCTTGAATGGCAAGTTCAATTTCCGCAATTTCCCTCATCTAATAGCGTGTAATGAGTAGGAGGCAATCTAATAAAGCAGTGCCACGCACCAAGTTAGTCGTCTTCGCGTTCTCTTCGGGCGTCTTCTCCAGTCGACGGTGAGCTGCGCGAATTCTTCGATCACACTCGTCCACAAAGGCAAAGATGTTGGCTTCGTACTCCATCTGGAACCGGTTGAATATGGGGTCGCTTGGGTTTTGCTCCTTCGCGGTAAGGAAGTCGGTTTTCAGGCGCTCAGTGTGGGATTTGGGACAAGCGCCGAGGTCCATTTTCTGTACCGCTTGACATTAGTGAAGTTAAACCGCGCTATGTGATACAGTAAACGCACAGTGTTCGTGAACAGCGCATGAGGGCATGTTCCACACAAGAAGTTCCTGCACACCTTGTCGTCCGACCACACGAGGTTGGCGTTCGCCACGCCCATGGCCTCTGGGCCCATCATTTGCTGTTGGTTTTTGTCAGAGATTACACCACAGGAAATGCATATGAGCAACGGCACCTCCAAGAGCTTCCTCTGCATTTCCGCTAAGCGACCCATGGTGATTAGAGCTGGAGGCTGAATGTTGGGAGATGACGAGCAGAGTCGTTCAACACCGTGAGCAGCGAAAGTCTGTTTGGTGCTGTTATGTTCGGGAGATGACGAAAGCGGCCCGCCGTCTCGCCGTCTTGGAGGCACTAGTTTTTGCAGATACAGCTGCGATAGCGAAAACTACTGTATGATACAAGCCTGGCATAACCTAGGGCGAGTGAAAAAACTATGTGTAATAAAATAGACTAATACGATCATAACCTGGGAGGAAGGGTGCAAGAAATGGCACGGGTGGATATGAACAATGCTAGAGGAGGGGTGATGTATGTAGCAAACGGATGTATGAAGGAGAAAGATAACGCGGACGTGTTATAGCAAACTGGTCAAGGAGACAGCTACCATTGCTCATCAATGGACTGGAGGGGTGTTGGCAGAACCTCGGCCTCGGCCTCTGCCACGACCACGGCCCCGTCCTCGAGAATGGTTGGACTTGAACGACGTCGGCGTCGGTGTAACCTTGCCTGACTGCGACTGCGGACCTTGTGAGACTTGAGAAGTGACGGGCGATTGGCGTCGTTTCGGAGACTCTTTGACGTTCCCTTGTGCGTTTCCAGCACCTGTCTGCCCTGCGCTTGATCCACCATATCGAGCGAGTAACTTGACGATATCGCCAGCCTTTTCGACAGCTTGAGTTGACGGCGTGGGTGTCCCACCCTTCAGGATTCGAAACCCCTTGTCTGAGGTCGCCCATGTCCAGGCATTACTGATTTCCTCCGGAGTTGCCATTTTGTTTTCGAGGACTGCCCAGATGACTTCTGGATCTTGTGAGTCCAAAGCCAATGAAAGCATGTTTGAGCACTCCGAGCAATCATAGATAGCTTTAGAATCTGATTCGTCGGGAGGATACGCTTCTAAAAAGTATTTGATGACCGCGATATAACCACGCTTCACGGCGAGGTGGAATGCAGTTTGTCCTTGTGAGTTCCGCTCCTCCGGATCGGCACCTGCGAACGAGTTATGTGCGCATATGCCATAAAATGAGAGTGACGTACTGTGAGAATCCAACCATTTGATAAGATCTACATCCCCCTTCATTGCTGCAATATGCAAGAGAGTCTCCTGTAGATCTTTAGGTGGGCTTTGGACAAATGACGCGCAGTCGGGCTTTATCTCTCCACCGGTCGCGTCGACGCCATCCTCCCAAATACCTTTCTTGACCTTTTCCGCCTCGCCTCGACGCGCAGCCGCAAAGACAGAAGTCCTCTTTTCCTGGGCCTTCTTCAGAAGTGCCCTAGCTCGATCTTCCGATGTTTTGCGAGCAGCTTCGGCTTGAGCCTTCTTTGCTTCAATTTTCTCCCTCTGGCGCCGTTCGGCGTCTAAACGTTCTGATAACAAGTGAGTCTAGAGAGAGAAGGGAAATTACAACATCGGTCACCTTGCTCCCGCTCCCTTGCAGCTCGCTCTTTTCGGGCGACGGCTTCTTGCTTCCGTCTCTCTTGCGCCGCAATTTGCTCCTCACGGGACCGACGGAGACGTTCTTGATATTCTTCTGGGGACTCTTGTTTGGCTGGCCTGCGCCGGAAGCCTGTCAGGATCGTGATGAGGCTTCATGCAAAAAAGGGAGATTCTGGGGCCGTACGCGGGTCGTGTCGCGCATAAGGACTTCTGTTACCCATCATTTGTTCGAATAACCATCTGGAAACGAGAGATAAGTTTCGTCAGGTGGAGTCGAAGAGAGTTTCTTACAAATAAAATGCCATGTTTTCCTCGTCATCAGAGCCGTTATAATCATCATCCTCATAATAGTATTCATCGTCGGAGAAAGAGTCGTCGCTCCCAGGCCTGTGGAAATTATAGAATGGGTGAGCGTGCCGGGGCCTCTCTGACGACGGCGCGGATTTGTCCAAGTGCTTCACGAGTACTCGATACGCTTCACCGACGCGCTGAAACTCCTCCGTCGCCGATGGATTGTCCGGGTTCTTGTCAGGATGCGTGCGTAAGGCCACCTGTCCGACGAAAATGAGCAACGAAGTCCTGGTCAAAAGTAACAACAAGGACTGACTTGTTTGTAGGTCGTTTTCACCACCTCCAGCGAGGCACCCTAGTAAGCTTTAGATAATGCAGAGAGGGGTAAAAACGAGAAGACAAACCTCCTCGAGACCGAGGACAGCATAGGCATCAGAGACCTTTGAAGAGCCCATGACAAGGGAGACAAGAGACAGACGCGAGGCCAAAAAGGAGCCACTTGACGCGCGCCAAATGTGTACAAGCAAATTACCCTCCCGTGACCATGTTCTCGGCGTCTTTCCGCTGCCTTCGTGCTCCAACGCGTTTTAATTCCAAAGGCATATGTCCAGTTTAAATCCAGTATCAATACCTCCTGAAGTCGCTTTAAATGTCGTGTCGCCCGCCCCAATTGCTGACGCTGGAGGCGCTGTGGCCGCCCCGTCTTTCCTGAAGAGTTTCCTCAATGACAAGTGCGTTTATGGGTCTTCTTGCCTCATCGCCTAAACTGAATTGCTACCAAGTGTAGCCCCTACTTTCAGGCTGGATTCGGTCTCATGGTCAGAAAACTCGCGTTTCCCGCTCCAGTTCGAGTCTGATTTTCTCAGACTCTAGGTGTTGGCCTCACGGCGATGCGTCAAGGACTTGTCCTCGGTACAACTGCTCTTCGAAGACGAATGCTGGTCACTTTGGAGATCAACAACAAGGACAAGGCTTACGAATGGTTCCTCGCCTGGATGGCCAACCAGAATGTACTGCAAGCCCAGCGACGGACAATGTTAACACCTTGGGCTCGGAGTCATCAACTCAGTGTTGAGACGACAGTGGAGCATCGTAAGAATGGTAGCTCGTCCGCACTGTTCAAGTTGGTTGCTGGACCCGGGACGCATTATGTCAAATACAAGGGTGCTTGGATGCAGGTGTGCGAAGCTCAGGCCGAACAAATCGTCGTTGCTTATTTCCTTCTCAAGGTCAAACGCGAACGCGAAACCAGGTCAATGCACTTGGTGTCCGGGACACCATGGGAGACGGTTACTTTAACCACTCTCTCACGAGACAGGAAGCTTTTCTCCGAGCTTCTAAGTGAAGCCCGTGATCTGGCAATGCGTGGACAAGAGGGCAAACTCGTCATACATACTGCGTGGGGTATCGAATGGCGACCGTTTGGTCTGCCACGACAGAAACGACCGCTGCAGAGTGTGGTTCTCGCACCCGGTGTCTCAGAAAGCGTCGAAAGGGATATCAAATCCTTTTTGGAAAGGCGTCAGTGGTACGCCGATAGAGGTTTACCATTTTTATCAGTCGCAGCTCCCATTTTTCTTATAAATTCCATCCAGGTATACCTTACCGTCGTGGATATCTTTTACACGGTCCTCCAGGCTCAGGGAAGACGTCGTTCATCCAGGCTCTTGCTGGATCTCTGTCCTATGATATTTGTGTCCTTAATCTTTCTGAGCGAGGACTAGCAGATGACAAACTCTTTCATCTTTTATCAAACGCACCCGAACGAAGTTTTGTTCTGATTGAAGACATCGACGCCGCCTTCAACAAGCGGGTCCAGACTTCTGAAGACGGGTAAAGTTATAGGCTCATCCTCCGTGGCCGCACATTAACGCATTGACACAGGTATCAATCCTCTGTCACTTTCTCCGGATTCCTTAACGCCCTGGACGGCGTCGCTTCCGGGGAAGAACGAATAATCTTTATGACAACGAACCACGTTGAAAAACTCGATCCTGCTCTTATCCGTCCGGGTCGTGTAGATCTAATGGCCCTAATAGACGATGCGACTCCTGAACAGGCTCGCATCCTATTCGATCGCTTCTATGGCGGAAATGACTCTGTTGGGAGTAATATAACTGGTGAGGTAGAAGCTCTGTCTAGAAGATTAGGCGATATTGTGCAGGAAGAAATGCGAGACGGAAAACGGATTAGCATGGCTGCCTTGCAGGGTCTCTTTATTCGCAACGAGGCTCGGGATGCTGTTGCGACGTGTCGCGATTTTTTTGTTGTCAGGCGGACATGAAAAAGGTCTAATGAACGTCCATAGAATACACAAAATCAATGCGATGAGTAAGATACAGATTCTAAAACACCGCTCTTCTTTTCCTCCCAGTATATTTGGAATCGTTAGGAACTCCTTCTTTACCGCGCTTGCGGTACAGCTAGGGTTGGACCATGAGACCATGTCGGGAAGTCCACGGAAGTAGATCCCTACCTCTTTCTTTTTCAAGATCCAATCCTTGTCCTTTACGCTCTTCCGTTTTCCGCTCTTCGTTCGCAGTTTCTCTCGCTCGCGTCGCCGTTCACATCTAGCTTTGCTGTCCTCTTCTTCCTCACCCTGGAGACCCTGTGGAACCTGTTGTTGCCCGACGCCACCACCGACAAGCAGACACAGGAAAACCTTCCGAGCCTTTTTCGAATTTGGATAATCGACAACTATACCCCCACCGAAACCAGCCTTTTGGGCTACCGAAGTAATGAGTTGAATTTGGTCATCTGACGAAGGGTAGAATTGTAGTACGACTCGTGATGGATTCCGCAAGGCGGAATGAAGGGTTGTAAAAAATCGATTTAGGCGGTGCGGGGGTGACGAGGTAGGATGTGATGTTTCGGCATTCAGCAGCCATTGAAGAACTGAAATGCTACATGGCGGCTGAGCTGGAGCAGATCCGATGAGAGATTGAAGACGAACCTAATTGCTCCATCAAAGCTTCCAGGTCGGAAACCGAACCCTTGTCCGATGTCTTGCAGAAAGAGATCTCCCTCTACTTCTCGCTCAAGAGCAACCTCTAGGAGGAAGGGTAAAACAGGTTTAGTTTGACATAATGAGATGACTTGAACGAAGACATACCGAGCATACTCGGCGCGATGTCCACACCAGCCCAAACATAACCTTCCTCATCTAAGATCTCTCCTGATAGTCCGGAACCGCATCCAATGTCCAATAGAAAGGCTGGTTGGTCTGATGGCAAGGCCAAAAGCTCGAGGGCTCTGTAGGTCATGTCTCTTTGGATTTGCTGATTCCGTGTGCTATAAAGGTCGATGTATTGGTTAGCCCAGCTGTACTTTATTGGGCATTGGGCGATGATACCGACTTTTGCGTGTATTTTTTGGCTTCAGCATCGCCGTAATACTTTTGAGGTCTGGCGTCAGCTAGATTCGTAAAAGGGAATGGTTGCGGCGCATACGATCTCTGGAGGTGCCTGGAGCTCCGGTCTTGACATAGCAAGTTTTTGTGGTGGTGGAAGGACGAAGAAAGTAATTGTGCTATTTTAGGATCAAACTTGGTCCTTGATCTCACATTGGCATCTCCAACCACTCAAGACGAGGTAACGAATGAGCTTGCATCCTTCGAATATGCGCAAGGGAAATCACAATTGTCAAAAGGCAGACATGCACTGATGCAGGCGGAATAACTGATAATACAATAAACTTCGGCGTTTAATCATCTCCAACGGGTACTTCCTCCTCTAAGTATTTGACCAACTTGACTCGAATCTCGGTGCTTTCGTCTCCTCGTAGCACATCGGAAATAAATTCAGCCTGTACCTGTAATTGAACCTGAGGAGCATATTGAATGAGCCGGATTTTGCGGAGAGATAGGAAGCCGTACCATTTCTAGTGCACCTCTCAAAACGCCACACAGAACATTGCTGAACCACAGGCCACCTTCCAATACCTCTTCCGGTAGCTCGACGAACTCAGCTAGAGGGTTTTCATCCAAGGTCAACGTAAAAGATGATCCTGCAGAGGCTTGAGATATGGTCGTATTGGTACTCGTTGGCCGATTTGGCGACGATGGGGGGGGTGGTCCTCCGTGGGTGACAGTGGGAGTTATGTTCAGGAAAGACTTAAATCCAACCTATAGAGTCGTTGGACGTTGAAATGTGGAACCAGAATTCCTGGGCAGACCTTCGCGACGACCTCTCCAACTTCCTTGAAGTCAGAACACCTCCCTAAGTTCGACTTCGCAAGGAAGTCCTCTATCAGTCTTGTCCCAATATTGTAGCCCATCTTCTCTAATTGTTTATTCACTTCTTCGTAGTCTTCATAATCTTGGATTAATTGAACGACAAGGGCGCCGTATGTAAGCGCGAATAGTTCTGCGTTCTGTCTGGGTCAATCGATGCCGATATAGAAACATAGAGGATACTCACAATCTTCTCTGGCCGACTCTTCCATAGGTCCTCGCCAATGCTCTTATACTGCTTGCTGGTCGTGGTCATCGTTTTGGTATGTTTCTTTGTTCTGGTGGAGATCAAGAGGGTAGACGCGTGATGTCACAGGACTCTTCAGACGCCCAAGGCGACAGCCAGGTCACCCCGACAGCAGAAATATTCTCTGTTCAGAATCACGCAAAAGAAGTTCGATGAATGACGGTGGAATTAAAGGTAAGACCCGCAGAGAAACGTGCGCCCTGTACAATACAGATGGAGAACTGGTATAGAACACAGAAAACATATGCAGCTCTAATGTCGATCCAAACGGTTGAATTTTCTTGCGGTCTTTGCATTGTTTTGCGTGTTCTGTCCTCTGACGGGGAGGTGCATTGCGTGCCGTCTTCCAACATAGCTGCCAATCATACGTTGGTGAGCAATGTTCTCCCGGACCTCCCTCCTCAGCTCCGACTCTATCTTGAGATTCTTCAATGGGTCAGTGTTCTTGATAGCCCTCTTTTTATTGGTTTCGTTGAAACGCGCCAGCAGCTCTTGGGAAGAGACGCTCGGAGGTGGTGGGACATAGTCCGAAGTCGCGAGCGGATAACGAGGTAGGGGTGGGGCAGTGGCGGGGGATGACAGGAAGGATGCCAGTGAGGTCACTTGGAATGGCGAAAGGTCCTTCACTTTGCATTTGTCGTGAACTTGTAGCCTAGCGCACAGACGGTGCGCGGTGTGGTGCCCGACACCATATATTTTTGTCAAGGCAAACTATAACGTTGGTAAATGGCTTGCCCGTGCGTGCAACCTGAAGCCGAGTGCTCACCCTTGCAATCTGATTGTCTGGGAGTTGGATGCCCAGAATATGAACCATTGCACAACGTTTAGATGGGTGGAAGACTCAAGACACTAATGTAAGAAGGTCACGCGATTGGATGGGATTTCATTGTCCGACAAAGCAGCGGCGTCGTCGACGGTCGTTCCTTGAATCCCTCTTCTCCATTTTCATCTCAAGAGAGTCCAACATGTCTACTAACAAGGGAGAAGGTCGGCGAGAAGATGCTCTCGTCAAACAGCGCACCCAGATGCGTGAGGAATTTGAAAGGCAGAAACAATCCCTCATCAATGAAACCGAGAAAGCGCGGCCTTCATCAAATCGTTTCGTGGGGCAAAATGATTCCATGGAGGAATCGTTGAAGAACAGTACCGTTGGTCTTGTTCGCTTGGAGGATTTCCAGCAAAGGAGAAAGGAGTTGGAGGAGGCGAAGGCTAGAGAAGCAGCACGGTCAAATGAACTAAAGTATGTTTATTCCCAACAATCGTCTTTCTTACTGGTTCTTTCCAAGTATAGATGACTTATAGGATGTGGAGAATCTGTTTAGAGACGACGCAAAGAAGGCCAAGAAGCGTAAGAAAACCGCCCGAGCTACCTTGTCTTTTGCTCTCGACGACGAGGCCGAAGCATTTGGGGACGCCTCTGGTGATTTGAAGGGAGGCAGCCCTACCCGGGACGAACAAGACGACGACCCGCCGGCCAAACGAAGCAAGTTAAAGAAGAATCCGAACGTCGACACGTCGTTCCTCCCAGACAGAGAGCGAGAGGAGGCCGAACGCAAGGAAAGAGAGAGACTCCGGCTGGAATGGCTCACGAAACAGGAACAGATCAAGAAAGAGGACATAGAAATTGTCTACTCTTACTGGGACGGCAGCGGCCATAGAAGGAGTGTCACGGTGCGGAGAACAGAACGCATTGACGAAACGATTCTAAAGTTCCTCGAAATCAACAGTGCAAGAAAGGCGATGATATTGCCACCTTCCTGGAGAAGTGCCGCGCGCAATTTCCTGAGCTTCGGGGAGTCAGTGTTGACAATTTAATGTATGTTAAGGTGAGTGCCTCTTCTCTCGATGGGCGAAGGATTCGTATTGACCAAATCATTCTATTCAGGAGGACTTGATAATACCCCATGTATGCGTGATCCACTTGCTCTTGTCGCCTCTTCTACAAAAAGCTTTCACAGCATTATACTTTCTATGATTTCATTGTCAACAAAGCACGAGGCAAATCTGGTCCTTTATTCAACTTCGACGTCCATGATGACGTGCGTTTGCTTGCGGACGCTACGAAAGAGAAAGACGAGTCGCACGCTGGCAAGGTCGTTGAAAGGAGCTATTATCAGCGAAACAAGCATATATTTCCTGCTTCGCGCTGGGAGGTGCGTCCCTATATCTTTCCTGACTGATTAAACAAACTCATCCGGGGTCCTTCATGTAGGTTTTCGACCAAGAGAAGAATTACGGGAAATATACCATCGCATGATATAGAGCTTGAAGGCAACAGCAGTTGTACTCTCTTAGTTGTGTTTTAGATATTGGACTTCCCCCTAAAGTCATTATCAATAGCGATCATCGCCATCTGCCACCTGTACTCCGATTATTCCCTGTCTACCCAATCTCGTGCACGGCACCCCATCTACAATACTTTAGAAGAAAAGAAAAGAAAAGAAAAGAAAGTGGGGGCACCGCGGATCGAACGCGGGACCTTTAGAATACATAATCACTTCAGTCTACTGCTCTCCCAACTGAGCTATGCCCCCATATAATACGTCTGGAAATTTAGTAGCCGTAATCTCTTCAGAGCCCGCTGTTCCCTACATGGAAATGTTGGCTTCGCCAGTGCCCCTCTTCATCTTTAACAACTATGTCCGGCACAGGCGCTCGCGAAAATGTCTTTGCAACGCGAATGGCCCTCACCAACACAAAGCTTCGTTTGAAGGGTGCTCAGACCGGACATTCGCTACTTGCGAAGAAACGAGATGCGTTGACCACGCGATTCCGCGCGATCCTCAGGAAGGTCGATGAGGTACGTATCCTCAATCCCTGGCATCTTACATTTCGTCTTCATAATTCCAGCGTTAGGCAAAGAGAAAGATGGGAAGAGTGATGCAATTGGCCTCCTTCTCGATGGCTGAAGTCACATACACCACCGGAGACATCGCGTATCTCGTTCAGGAGCAAGCCAAGCTGGCAACCTTCCGGGTGAAGGCAAAGCAAGAGAACGTCTCAGGTGTCGTTCTTCCTGCCTTCGAGGTGGATCGGGTGGCTGGATCAGGCATGTTCCCCTCTCTCCGAACTTCATCATAGACTTATACTTGTTCAGATTTCAACCTCACTGGGCTAGGACGAGGTGGACAGCAAATCATGAAGGCCAAGGAGGTGTATGCGAAAGCGCTCGAGACCCTAGTCGAACTGGCTTCTTTGCAGACGGCGTTTACCATCCTCGATGAAGTGATTCGCGCAACAAACCGACGCGTCAATGCTATCGAGCACGTCGTCATGCCTCGCCTGGACAACACGATCAAGTACATCTTGAGTGAATTAGATGAAATGGATCGCGAGGAGTTCTTTAGGTTTGCCATCTCATTTAATTTGCTCGGATCAAATCTCATGGATATTGGGGTTTGTGTAGATTGAAAAAGGTGCAGGGCAAGAAAAAGAGGGACAACGCTGCTCGTGACGCAAATCTTGAAGAACATGGGCCGTCAGCCATCGATGACGCAATAGGCGCGGAGGAAACAGGAGGTGTGGATTTGTTAAGTAGCAAGGATGAAGATGTCATTTTTTAGGTCTTCATGGTTCTCACTTCTGTTATACTCTGGCATGGACTTTCTGCACTTCAATATAAATTATTGTCTGGACTCCCTTGACACCTATGCCAATGGCCGCAGAGCAGAGCGCAGATTGAGAGGCTTCGGGAAAGCAATCATGGGCATGCGGCATAACGTATGAGTATGCGAGGGTACGTGGGTGTGATTTTGGAGAGTGCAGTACAAGAATAGAAAATATAGCAAGATGATTACTGCATAGAGAGTCAGAAAGTATCGATGTCAATGAATGAACATCACGCACGTCAACCATCTCGACATCAGCAGACACCTTCACCGACTTCTTTCGGTCCTTCCTCTCCAAGATCGCCCTCCTGTACGAGGGTGAGCATAAGGGACGATAATTAACAATTGCACAGACCTATCAGTGTCCAGCTTAATAGTGGTGATAACGACGTTGCTTGGGTGGATGCCAATGGGGGAGGTAGCGCCATTCGATTTGTCCCGTTGCACACGATCAACGTGGATGACCCACTTCTTGCGGTATACTTGTGTAATCTTTCCCTCACGACCCTTGTATTTTCCCCGGACAATGCGAACCTCGTCTTCTTTGCGGACGGGTAGAGACCGGCACTAGCACAAAAGGTTAATGAAACGACACTCTCGCAGGGCTTCATCACGCACGTTGTATTTGGCACGCAGTTCCTTCGAGAGGGCCGAGGACATGATCTTGCGGCGGATAGAGGAGGGGGCATCAAAGTGGGCCTTGCGCGATTTGCGCCGCGAGGAAGAGACGTCTGCAACACGAGAGATACCCAGTCAGAATTTTGCCCACTGTCCAAGCCCGTCATCCGGAACCCTCGCAATCCATCCAGCCCATATCTCTCTCGTTTTCCTTCGAAATTTCTCGAGACGGGCAATAGATGCGTACCAGATGTACAGTGAGCGTTACGTACCGGCGTTGAACTTCATTTTGTCGGTAGGTGTCTTGAGGTCGGCGGGCTCGATGAGGAGGGACTTGCGATGATAGTGGGCTTAGAATGTCTTCCCACACCCCGATTCGGCATCAGATGACTAAGCAGCGTCAGTCAGTCTTCCGACCTCTCTGTGTATCTACCTTCCATAATGTCTGACAAGGTTCGATCTACCAAGCTAAAATTCAAAGGCGAAAAGACAAAGAAGAAGAGGAAGAGAGAAGATGACAGTGAGGAACGGGTGGGGAGTAGCAACAAACGCAAGCTAGACGACCAGGATCCCGAAACATGGGTCCTGCCCGAGAACGTGAACGAACTACGTGGCCCGACATTCATAATGCATCCCTCCGATCCTTCACCTATCTCAATCAACTTCAATTCAACGACAAACCGCGTCGTTCTTTCCTCTCTGGACAAGGACAAATCTGAGGACTCAGAACCTGTGAGCTTGCTTGAACGGGTGCCCACAGACGTTGCTCAGGTCTGGGTCACAACACGCGTGGCTGGCTCCTCGACCATAAATCTACGAACCGGCACCGGGGAGGGAAAGTTTCTCTCATGCGATAGCCATGGTATTGTTTCTGCCGATCGTGACGCGCGAGGTCCGCAAGAGGAATGGACGCCTGTGGTTCTTCCTGATGGTATGCTCGCGTTCATGAACGTGTACGAGAAGTATCTCAGTGTGGACGAGGTTGCTGGCGGTTCCATGCAGCTACGGGGCGATAGCGAAGAGGTCGGCTTTGCAGAGCGTTTCTGGGTCAAAATCCAGCACAAGTACAAGAAGGAAGCCAACGAGGAAGAGAAGAAGCGAAAGGAAGGGGTTGGGGCGCCACCGAAGATAGACGAGGGATCCACGAAGTACGTCTGCCTATTACCTTTTGAACACTGGATATTGACCCAGCTTCCTTTAGTCATATTTATCAGGCATGGGGAGCTGGTCGTTTAGTTGTTTCCAAAGATGACAAGAAAGAGGTGGGTACCGGAGTTTATCAATTGTTTCACAGCCACTGACATGGTTTTGCAGCTGAAACGAGCAAGGAAAGAAGGACGCCTAGCGGAGGCCATGCTAGACAGACGCTCCAAGTTAAAGAGGTATGTAGTTCACGACCGTTGGGTGGACCGTATAGAACTAATCTATCAACATAGTGATCGTTTCTGTTGACCCGGTATGTGGGCCAAGTCGTGGATCGTCCGCTCTCAAGCCCCTACATATATGTTGGGCATTTGATTCTTGCCCATTATATCATCGACGCACATTCTCCGACAATGAGCGCGTCATGCCGTTCATGCTATATATCCTTTGCTACTTCGATGGCCATTGGAAGTGCCGCTCCCAAATCGCTCAATTTAAAGCCACGCCCGCGTCAAGATTTCTGGACTTGTATCTCTTCTTCCGGTGAAAATTCGAAGAATTCATGCTTTGTTATCCCACTCGTCCTGTCCCACTTTTTGGATCGGTGCAGCCTCTTCGGCAGGGTATCAGTGCGTCGTTGCCTGCCGCCATATTTTTGGACCTCTCCCCCCGTTGGACCGCCATTCCACCACCTTTCATTTCAAACTGTTCGTATTCGTAACATCGTCTAGGCAGAAAGGTTATAGAACATCCGAGGGCATCTTTCAAGCATACTAAAACGTTGCGCGACTGAGCTTAATTATGTTGGGCCAATGTGCGTTAAGAGGTAAGATGTATGCTGTACACGAGTCGAAAAGTATTCTGAACGTGAAAGGCGCGAAAAAAATGTGAATGTCAGTTTAAAGGTCTTCGTCGTCCTCAGGGAGAGGGACAGCCTCAGCCTACCAAGATGTAAGAAACAAGTTGTGTAAGGAAAGATGAATCGCGAACCTTTTGCAGCTCAGCCTCATACTGCTTCATCAATTGCTCGTCAACGGTAACCTCAGCGGGAGCCAGAGCGGGAGCAGCGACGAATTCGAGCGTTGGGTTTCTAAAATTATTAGATAACGATCAGTTGCGTGCAAATTGATCTCATCGCCGAATTGGACGAACCCAACGAGTTTCCTCGCCAGCCAGAGGAAGGGCTTCTCAAAGTTGTAGTTCGACTTGGCCGAGATTTCGAAGTATTGCAAGTTCTTCTTGCGGTGGAATGTCACCGCGCCAGTCTTGACTTTCCGTTCCTAATGTTTGAAGAGATTCATGAACATCGGGCGCTTGATCGATAGTAGAGCATTCCTGACCTTCACGTCGACCTTGTTTCCGCACAGCACAATGGGGATGTTTTCGCAAACGCGCTCGAGATCACGGTGCCAATTGGGAACATTCTTGTAGGTGATGCGGGAGGTGACGTCGAACATGATGATTCCGCACTGGCCCTGGATATAGTAGCCATCCCGAAGGCCACCAAACTTCTCCTGTCCGGCAGTATCCCAGACGTTGAAGCAGATTGTGCCGAAGTTCGTGGAGAATTGGAGAGGGTGGACTTCGACGCCGAGGGTGGCTAATCGACAAGGCAGGGTCAGATATGATGAAAAGGGTAGATAACGCGTCGAAATTGCTGGAGCGCGACTTTCAACACTGTTGCAATGGGACATCGCGTACCAATGTATTTCTTCTCGAATTCGCCAGTCAAGTGGCGCTGTGAGAGGGAGGCGATCAGCACACGATCTTTCAACAATAAAGAAAAGATGAGTATGGCGTACCTTGACGAAGGTCGTCTTTCCGGTTCCACCATCGCCGACTACATCCCAGCCACGCAGATCGCAGGACAATTGAAGAAGAGCAGGCGTTTAGGCAGGTTCGCGGGATGGCGATGAAGGAGAATCGAACATCGATCAAGGAAAGAGGACGAAAGATCGCGTCAGTGGAGGTTCAAAATGGCCACGACGAGCGGAAAACACGTACCGAGAACGAGCTTGAATGTAGGGATGACTTGGTCAGACATAGCGTGTAGTAGTAATAATTTGAGAGACGCAGAAGAAGAGAGAAGGAGTTGGCGAAATGAAAGAAAAATCTCCGTCCCGATAAGGTTTGCAGTCACAGAACTGGCGATTTCCGAAGGTGACGCACGGCCCCGACGCTCTTTCTTTCTGACCACAACTGATTCATCCTTGCCCTTTTACTTCCTTTTATTCAGAGAAACACCTTTCAACGCTTTATTCTCCAGCAGGACATTCGTACTACCTCTGGACTTTTATTCTCTTATTGGTTACCTGCCATCATTCGGCACACCCACGGCATCGACAATGAAGTCCGCTGGACCGTTTCCCCGAAATTGAATGGGACGACCCCATCGGAACTGAAGCAGATGGTCGATACGGGACGAATGTTTGAATCCGACGCCATGTCAGTCAGACTGCGCCGCTTGCTATACAGTATTTACACGGTACACCTCCTGGGGCCACGACTCTACAACTCGCCGAAGCATGCTAAAACGCCTATGTCACCATCATCCGTTGCCTGTGTGAACATAGTCTCGGCAACGTCCTCGCCACGGTCAACGCACGCTGAGCTGGCACAGTTCGTTCTATTTCTGACCACGTCTTCGACTCCTCGTCGTTCTAGCTCTCGAGTCATAGATCATCAAAATATTCCTGGCATCCCATCATCGGGTCTTCGGACTTTGAAACGGCTGGGCACCCGGCGGCAAGTGCCCTCCAGTCAAAACTGAATTGCCAATGAAAATGGGCGCCTGTGCAGCTGACCATGCGGATGGCGCTCTGTGATTGGGCACGGATGAATCCCGACGAAAGTTGCTTACCAACTCACCCGCGGCATCTCGGCGGGATGAGGTCACTGCCCGGATCGGGGCACGCAGTCGCCAGAGAACCATCCCTGGTGGTCTCATTGCCGATGCACAAAATGATAGAAATATGGGTCCTTCACGGACCTTGAAATCCCTTCACCAGTGCCCACGAGTCTGTGGGAGTCCCTCAAATATCTCCTCTTTCTCCCCCCGTCCCTCCAACACTCTACCCCAAAAATGTCCTCCACGCCAACAACGCCCCCTGAAAAAAGCGAGAAGAGAGCAGGAAAGGCCAAGGTCCCCCCTGGGGCTTCATGGAAGGAAGCCGAGACACATGTACTGCCCAAGAACAATCTGGCTATCGTAAGTTCGCGTCTCGTATAGTTTCACGGCGCCGTGACTCCAACGCGACTCTAGGTCTTTTCAGGACTCATGGCATGTGTCTTCTTGGCTGCCATCGATCAAGTAGGCCAATGTAGCTTACTTCCCTGAATTGTTCTCTGACAATAAACTCTTTCCAGACAATTGTCGCGACTGCGCTACCCACGATTGTTAGTCAGCTTGGAGGTGGGAGGGATTACAGCTGGGTTGGCTCGTCAGTATTTTTGGCTCGTCGCGTCATTGCCAACTTCGAACTGATTTCCTACGCAGAGCCTACCTGCTGACCGCTGCAGGGTACGGCGCTTACTTCGATCTGTCTCTTCTCCACTGGTCCATTGATCTCATCCTACAGCCTTTCACCGCTATATGGAAAACTTTCCGACCTCATTGGGAGAAAGGGCATTCTATACACTTCAATCGTCGTCTTTCTGGTGAGTGGGATGCGTTCGGTAAACTTTTAGCATTGCGAACCTGAGGGTCCACTTCTGGACAGATCGGATCTGCGCTATGTGGCGCTGCACAAAGCATGGTGAGAGGTTTCGTAAATTGTCTTTAATGAAACGTATACTCAACCTACACACAGACTATGTTGATTGTATCACGGGCCGTGCAGGGTATCGGTGGAGGGGGAATAATCCAACTCGTGCGTGTTCTGCCTTTCCTTATCTTATTTGTCTCCTGGTTAAAAGCACATCCAGGTCAACATCATCATCAGTGATATCGTTTCTTTGCAAGAGTGAGGTCGTCTTTTACCTCAAAAGAACAGCATTCTTACTATTTACTATAGACGAGGGAAATATGGCGGCCTTATGGGAGCAACATGGGGTATTGCCAGCGTAATTGGCCCTCTTCTAGGAGGGGTAAGTCTTCTCGTCGTCCCCGCATGTCTCATTTTTACCGACGAACCCAACAAGGTATTCACAGACCACGTTTCATGGAGATGGTTTGCTCCCTTCGTTATCTTAGCTTGCATACTTTACTTACATTATCTCATTCCAGGTGCTTCTTTATCAACCTGTAAGCACATCCTGATCACGCCCTCTTCAAACCCAATCAACTCATCTGGTCGGTTCTTAGACCCACGGGCGGAGTTGCTGTCGCAATCCTGTTTTTCTTCCTGAACTTGAATCCTCACCAAGGAAAGACTTTCAAGCAGCATGTGGAAGAATTTGACTTCGTCGGTTTGTTCTTGATCGTATCCGGCGTCGTGCTATTGCTTCTTGGGTTCAATGAGAGCGAGACCAGCTGTGCGTCTCATGCCAATTTTTCTACATGATTTTGACTATTTTTGGGTATTTAGGGTCGTCGAAGGAGACAATCGCGTTTTTGACAGTCGGAGCTGTGCTTCTGGTCGTTGGTGCCGTTAACGAGACTTTCACAAAGAGATCACCCATCGTGCCTCCACGTTTGTTCCAGGTAATGCATTGCTTATGTCGTCACAGCGTATTCTGACGAACAACAGACGCGAACAACTGGGATTATCCTGGTTACAACCTTCCTGCACGCTGTAGCTTTCTTTTCGGGAGCCTTCTATCTTCCCCTGTACTACCAAGTTCTTGGAGCGTCTGCGACAAAGGCTGGTGTAGAGTGGGCACACCTTTCTCGAAAGTAATGCATATTCCAAGCTGATGGTTTCCTGTACAGGATGCTCCCGTACTCGCTTGGATGTGCACTGCTCTCGGCTGTGTCTGGTGTGCTAGTGTCCCGCACCGGTAAATATCGGCCTGTAATGTGGGTTTCGTTCGCCATCTTCACCCTCGGGATGGGTCTTATGATCATGCTGGACGGTACCTCAACAACGTGCGTCGCTTATTATTTCACATCGTCCTCAGTCGCTTTAATGATGATGGTATTTTAGCGCCGAGAAGGTCGTATATCCTTTGATTGCAGCTATCGGTCTTGGCTGCTTGTTCCAGGTTGGTGCTAATGTAGCCCATGTATTGTGGTTCAAACTCTTGACATATCGTTAATTTTAGACTCCTCTCATCGGTTTGCAAGCTGCCATGCCCATCAGAGACATGGCAACCAGCACAGCAACGTTTGGGTTCATCAGGTAGAATCACAGCATCACAGATAGTCTGTGAACCTGTACTCATCTATTGCAGGACACTTGGAGGAACTGTTGGGATCTCCATTGGTCAGGCCATCTATTCCAGTGTATGTGCCACCATTTTGTTGTTCTCCGTGCTACGCCGCTCTGACGCTGCTTGCTTCCATTAGACGCTAGCCAAGAAGGTTGCCCACATACCGAATGCCGACATCGACACGTCCCCTGCCGCGCTTAGCCAGAGCGTGTCCCACTTAAAGTCCATTCCAGTACGAATTCTTTCACAGGGCACACCTGTACCTATGACGCTGATCCGTTATGGCAACAGGATCCTGTCCTACGAGCGGCTATCATCGACGCATACACGAGGTCGATTAGTACCATTTGGTTGGTCATGACGCCCATGTTAGGCGCCTGTTTCATTATGGGTGAGTCTGGTTCTTCGTTTGCATACTTTGGGGTCAGGGTGATCGGCAACCGGAGGCCACCCTGTCAAACAGGCGCCCGAGCGCTTAACTGTGTGCGTTACGATACTGATTTGGCACTTCTTTTTGTCTTGTGTGCAGTGCTGTTCCTGAGAGTATATAGTCTGAAGCGCACGACTGTCCGGGCTGGAGAGCAGACAATGGCCGCTGATGGTGACGATCCGGAGAAGGGTACCATAGGGGAGGCAGAACAGTCTCGCTCGCCCATCGCAGGAGAGGACGACTCGAAGACTGAGCTTGACGTCAGCGTCGACAATGCCAGATCATCGACGGAGAAGGAAAAGTTTGAAGTGGACGACGCCAGCGTGCGCCCAGCTACAAGTTCGGCCGAATTGAAGAATGGAAGCACGAGAGGAGTATGACAGAAAGCTTAGATGGGGATTGTGGGGACTGCTCCAGTTGCTGTGCTGATACAGACCACATGCATTTAGACCCTCCGGTATTTACTGACACTTGCACGACCTTGACGGACTGCAATTCTTTAATGGGTATTATAGCTAGACGACTACTCACGAACCAAGGATGTTATCTTTATGAAGGGTCAAATGACCGCGCCTTGAGGCTACCAGGAGGTGGAAGGTTAGAGCCGGGGGCAGTAATGATAGTGATTGTGGCGAACGGAGCACGTGCAGCAACGGACATGGCTGGTCGAGACTGAACCGCCTTGCATCTCCCTTCAGCAACCAGCACAATGCCCTCAGAACAGTACGCCCCCGTCCTCGACCAGCCATACCACCAGGACACTGGCATCCAGCAGCAGGCGAAAGTATGCATATCCTGCCATGTCACCCTTCTCGATCCAGGTCTCGCCCTCCAGGACCCCCAGCAATGTACCCTCTGTCGTGAGAAGCCCCAACCGCCCCTCGTACCACCGCCGGACCTCAGACAGCTCCGAATCGACCAGGATACACCGTACGCTCTTCGACAAGCCGCTCATGAGTCCCAGAATCTACCCAGCATACGGCGCTCCCAGGAGTCGCACCCATCCGCCTTTGAGACAGCACCATCTGAACCCGCCCACCCATATCGCTCACCGGCTCTGGCGTACGCCAGGAAGCCGATATCGCTAAATATTCCATGTAATACCACACCTGCACCCGCCGTCGTGCCGCGGCACCACCAGGCGCACTTCCCAACAGCCGCCGTACCGACGTCGTACGAGTCAAGTACCGTCCGGCAGCATACAAGCGCCTTAGCGTACTGTCCGGATCCATTCGCTGACATCACCCGTTTGCGGGTCAGGCCACGCGCGCACCACTGTCTGTATGCAGGGGCGACCTTCGAAGGCACGCAGAAGTCGGGCAGGAACAGCTACGACGTCAATGTCACTATTGTGGTACGTCCCTCGTAGTGAGAGAGCTGCTGAGGCTGAGCTGCACCCAGGATGTGGACCTCGCTGCCTCGACGCTGTGTGGGTATCTTCGCATTCGCGGACTTACGGACGATTGGCCCGAGCTCACAACGTATTTCGATGCCGAGATTATTGGCAATCGGTATGGGTTCCTGACGCAGAACTGGGGCGCGACGCAGCATGAGGACATTGTGCATTGGTCGAGGTTCCCGGCCTTCAAGCACATCAAGAATGAGGCCAAGAGACCGCATATGACGATCGACGACCAGGACCGCGGAGTCGTCTTCATGCGCTGGAAGGAGCGGTTCCTCGTCCCAGATCACCGAGTGCATGATATCAATGGTGCGAGCTTTGCAGGTAAGCTTTCGTCTTGACACCATGAAGCTTGTTGCTACGTACTGATGGAATCTTTCGTATCAGGCTTCTACTATGTTTGTATTGATCTCAATCCCCCTGCTACGACGTCGTCTCCGACTCAGACTAGGTCAGCGTCCCAGCCGGCACCGATGACGATAGATTGCATGGACGATATACCTGGGTTCTCTCCGCGTAAGACAGGAGGGCGCCGATCTCGACGGGATTCAAGCGTGCGACGTCGCGGTCCCTTTCTGGCACCTGTGGCGCCTCCGGTGGCCACAATGAGCGGATTCTACTACCATCAAAATTCAGAGCCGTGAGTCCCGAGTTGCAGTTGCACTCCTATCCACCCAGCTAAATCTGGGCTTGTCGTCCCTTAGGTATCAGCAGCTGTCTCTTGCCCACGTTCCGGAGGACACTAGCTCGAGCTTTGAATTCCGTTGAGGTTAGCCCTGTCTCCATCACGCCCGATGGACCCCCTCCTGCGCGTTTGGTTCTGTACGATACGATAACTTTGATTCCGAGGTGCTCTTTGCGGACGAATCTGCCTTGGCGTTCGCGATCCGACACCATTTCATATTTCCCCGCATACTCACTGCCGTTGTTTCCCCACACACCTTTGCCGGGGCGCACTGTAACCTGAAGCCATAATTAGTAACATCCCACCTCAACCCACCCTTCGCCTTTCACACCTACGATACCTTTGAACTGTTTTTGTACAAGCAAAAATCTTGAATTAGTAGCCTTCGTCCTCTTCGCCTCCTCCTTTTCAGTGCGATCCATGTGATATCTTCGACGTCCTGTTTCTGGTCAAGTGGGGTGACCGCAGCCGCTGCGTATCATTAGTACTGTTCTCAACCTCGAAACCCCCCTCGGATGACCTCTAACCGCCACAGAGACATTTGATGATCATGGGCAACAGGCTCCAAAGGGTATAAAATGAAAGCCGAGGCTGGCCAGGGCTGTCATCATGTTTTGCTGTTTTCCCTGAGCAGTCAGAAGTTCGCTTTTGTTCGCCTTCTACGCACTGCTGGAGACAGGCTGGAGAATGTCTGCAGACGCGAAACGCACGCCGCATGTGGTTGTTGTAGGCGCCGGGTGAGTGATTTGCGTCGTGGCTTACCTCCAGCGGATGTGATCGACTTGCCCTTGTTGCTTCGAACCATTCATTGATGCCCGTGCTTCTCTTCTCATTCTTTGATTAGGTTGGCTGGCATCTCTGCCGCCATTGCGCTGAAAACGCGGTTGGGCTTCGAGCACTTCACGGTAAGCCTTGTTGTATTCTGAGTGGTGGAACGTGTCAACTTGATGCTATGCTCGTAGATCTATGAACAGGCTGATTCTGTCGGTGGAACATGGAGGGTGAGTCCGTTCCATCTTCTGTTTCATTCTAGAAATATGTAGCACCCGGAAGCTCATCTCCTAGCCTACAGGATAATACGTACCCAGTCAGTCAACAAACTCAACCTCCGCTTATCTCCCGAACGTTCATGTTTTTGTCCCCTCCTAGGGTTGCGGCTCAGATGTCCCAGGACATTGGTACAGCCTGTCGACCGACCTGAACCCCTACTGGCAGACCTACTACGCCGACCAACCAGAACTACGCGCGTACTGGGAGAATCTCTGGCACAAATATGACCTCGTCCGTCACACTGTCCTCAACACCACCGTTCTTCGCGCAGAATGGAGCAACGACACGCAGCGGTACACTGTGACGCTGCAAGACGTGAAGACCCAGGAGAAGAGTGAGGTGCTGGCAGAGGTCATGTTTTATGCGATTGGTGGCTTCCAAGCGCCGCTGTACCCCAAAGACATCACGGGCATCGAGAAGTTTAAGGGGGAGTTGTTCCATTCGGCGCGGTGGCGGCACGATGTGATTTTGAAGAAGAGGAGGGTGGGGGTTATCGGGAATGGGTGCTCTGCGTGCGTGTTTTGCTTTTTCAAGAAGGAAGAGACGCCTTTACTCAAGTGTCTTTTCTTTTCCAGAGCCCAATTTGTTCCAGAGATATCCAAGGACCCTTCTGTGGTGGTCATCAACTTCTGCAGGACACCCCAGTGGTATGTCCCTCGTGTAAGTTGTTCTACGTCTTCAGGTTGGCCTCCAGGTACTCAGAGATACTTGCCTGAAGATGAACTACCGTTATTCTGATTTTCTTCAATGGATATTTGCGCATGTGCCCTTTGTAATGCGCCTTTATCGCAATTGGATTATGTTCAGAGTGCGTGGACTTGGTGTCTTGTCGTCGGGGAGGTGCTGATCTTGTTTTAGTCCGACTTGATGTTCCTGCTGTTCCGGAAGGATAACAAAGCAGTGATCAAAGTTGCCAAGAAGGTGGGTACCGGGTACCTATGATGCAAGCTGCACTCCTGAACGGCGAAATCAGACTCTTTCGGCGTACATCAAGAGTAAAGCACTGAAGGAAGAGGTTGAACGCTTGGTTCCAGATTACTGTAAGGCCTGGTCTTCCTCTGGAGGTGCTTATCCCTCGGAAATTGAATGCTCCCATTTGCAGCCCCTGGATGCAAGCGCATCATCGTTGATCCAGGGTACCTCGACTCGTTGAACCAGCCGAATGTCAGTCTAAAGTGGGACGCCATCGAATCGATCGTCGAGGATGGAATCAAGCTCAAGACCGGGGAGACCGTCCCGTTGGACGTCATTATTTTTGGAACAGGCTATCTTCTCGTACGTCATACCAAGGGATTGTCCAGGGTGCCGACGTGCTGAATTTACGAACAGGATGCTGGACAGCAGGATGTTGTTGGAAGCAAAGGTGGCACCATGCTCGAGTACTATGCAAGCAAGGGCGGTGCAATGGCTTATCTCGGGGCGTGCGTACCTGGCTTCCCAAATCTGTTCAATTTGTTGGGTAAGTTGGTATCCTTGACGCTCTGCGCAAACATTTATTCCTGTATCGTAGGGCCCAACGTCGCTACGGGCCATGCTTCAGTCATTTTTAGTGAAGAGGCACAGGTCAGTCCCACGCTCGCGTGAAGGTGCAGCCTTGTTGAGTATAGCGTGCAGATCAACTACGCAATGCAAGTGATCAAACCTGTGCTCGCAGGGAAGGCGAAGTCGTTCGAAATCACGGAGGAGGCAACGGATGAATACAACGACTGGCTGCAGAAACGTCTTAAGGATTCGGTCTGGACAGAATGCGCATCATACTACCAGGCGAACAGAGATGACAAGACCAGGATAATCGCGACGTTCCCTGGTCCTGTTGCGCTATTCTGGTGGTTCTGCCGTCGTCCCAAGTGGGAGTTGTTCCGCGCCGTTGGTGCACAGGCCTGGCAGAGGGAACGGAAGATTGCGAGGGCGAAGAAGTGGGGCACCCTGATGCTTCTGCTGGCGCTGGTGGTAGGCCTGAAGTTTTGGCTGAACGCACCGCTGAAGGGTGTCCTTCCTGCTGTTGTTGAGTGTGAGGCATGCACTTGAGTGGCGATCTGTACTTTTGTAGCGTATATAGTAGGGAATTTATGATTTGCCGTGGCGGAAGCAATAGGCGACCCAATTTGGGCGGAGTTGGATTTGCTCTCTCGACTCTTGCCTGTGCACAACCTACCAGGCCGCCCAGGCCCATCCTCTCTTCCCCCGCCTCCACAATGACCTCCCACTCACACCCCTCCTCAACCGCAAATCTCGTCGGAGTCCACTATCGCGTTGGTAAGAAAATCGGCGAGGGCTCATTCGGCGTCATCTTCGAAGGTGCGAGCGCACTTGTCTGGGGCTCAATGGCACATCCACCCTCCTCAACGGGGATACTGACTCCAACACCGTGTAAAAGGGACGAATTTGCTCAATTCGCAGACGGTCGCCATCAAATTTGTGCGTTGCGCTGTCCTGTCGCCGTCGCATTCGTGGAGCAGCCCGGCTCACACCTCTTCTCTCGCACGTAGGAACCAAGAAAGGCAGAGGCACCCCAACTTCGCGATGAGTGTCGTTCGTATCGCATATTGGCTGGCTGTAGTGAGTGCTCTACCCTATCCGTGCACCTCGCCGCCTGCCTCCTGTCCCCCTCTTCTCTAATTGCTCTTTTTCGGTTGACCCACAGCCGGCATCCCGCAAATATACCACTTTGGACAAGAGGGTCTGCACAACATCCTCGTCATCGACCTCTTAGGACCCAGTCTGGAAGATTTGTTCGACATGTGCGGCCGGAAGTTCTCCATCAAAACGGTCTGCATGGCGGCGAAGCAGATGGTGAGATTGGCATCATGCACGCTCCGTGCGCTTGTTCCCCCCTTCTGATCCCAGCGCAGATCACTCGCGTTCAAACGATCCACGAGAAGAACCTCATTTATCGTGACATTAAACCAGACAATTTCCTCATAGGACGTCCAGGGACGAAGGGCTCCAACGGTGAGCTATTGGCTTTTCTCGTGCCCAAGATTATTCATGTTCACGACCTCAAAGTAATACACGTCGTCGATTTTGGTATGGCTAAACAGTATCGCGATCCGAAGACGAAGCAGCATATTCCATACCGGGAACGAAAGAGTCTTAGTGGTACTGCTCGATACATGAGCATTAATACTCATCTTGGCAGAGGTGCTTATTGCCAACTCTTACGCCAAAACTTACTGATGACATTCCTATACTAGAGCAATCGCGACGAGACGACTTGGAGTCACTAGGACACGTTTTCATGTACTTCCTGCGAGGTAGCTTGCCCTGGCAAGGTCTCAAAGCCGCCACCAACAAGCAGAAATACGAGAAGATTGGGGAGAAGAAGCAAACAACACCGATCAAGGAGCTCTGTGAAGGCTTCCCAGGTAAACCCTATTGGATAGATTTACTCTAAAGAACTTCGCTGACCTCAGGCTTGCAGAGGAATTCGGAATTTATCTTAACTATGTTCGCAAGCTCGGGTTTGAGGAGACACCAGACTACGACTTTTTGCGAGAATTGTTCACTAAAGTTATGAGAAGCAATGGAGACGTAGATGATGGTGTGTTTGACTGGAATCTTTTGCATGGTGCGTGTGGTTTCAACTTTGCGTCTACACCTCGTTCTAATGACAGCAAAACAGATGGCAAAGGCTGGGAAGCTTCAGTGGTCTGTATTTACCTGCTCTTTGGCTCGTTTGTGTCTAAGCGTCTCATTATCAGGGCCAAACGCAAATGCTGACACGGATACAAAACGACGGCTACCAAGAACGGCGCAAGGATCGGGATGACAGGCGACGCTCGCAAGCGCAACCAGGCAACATGGTACCTCCCTCTCCTGCCCTTGTCAGACATGGTTCTAAGCAAAGGAAGGTCCCTGCTGCCCTGACGCCTGGGCAATTGACACCACATTCTGCGCAAGCTCAAGTCCACATCCCGATCGGAAGTAACCAACGAGGGCACCCCTACGCGGCTGCGGGCATCGGCGCAGGGTACGAACACGCACAACAGTACGAGCAACACAGGAATCAACAATATGGACGCACGTCACCGATGGTGTCGACTGTGGGTGCCTCACCCGCCGCTATCAGTAACGTTCGTGCCAGGGCAGGCGATGCTGGCGTCGCCCAAGACTACCAACAAGAACCCGAGCCTCCGAAACCTTCATTTTTGAGGATCCTTACCTGCAGGTGTTAGCCATGTTTTCTCTCCGTCTGACATAATCCATCATTATGCATGAAGTTCTCATCGCTCACGTCTACGATACACCATTGCTACTCAAGTAATCTTTTTTTCGGTCTCTCAGAACATCCATCAACAATTCTTGCATACCAGTCACTCTTTCATGTCATCTTCTATACCTGTTACCCCGTCCTCCCCTAATATTGTCGTTCCTTCACTTTTTAACGTCACCTCTGTATATGATTTTGGAATGATTATATACCATGCCAGGTGGATTCAATGAGATTTGCGTACAAAAAGATAAGTGTTACAGGGTTCCACTGCCTGGAAACAAGACCAAAATACACTGTATACATTGTGTGGTAAAGAAAATGTTCTAGAGTAATTGTGATCAACTTATCAAACTAAATTGCATCCGAAGAGGTGGGGAAGGTGAGTATGAAAGGAGTGTTCAATCATTGGGTCCCTTTTGGAGCAGGTTTTGGGTGATTGAAACCTGCAACGAACACCGGACGGGAACGTACAATTGGTTCGTCCTGCTCATAATACTCTTCCCATGCTTCCGGGTCTGGTGGCTCTGTTGGGGTCTTCGCGGGCTCAGGCATGCACAATTCTTCTAAGTTAAGCAAAGGGGATGTACTCAGAACAGGAGATAGAGATAGTTGTTCCTGCTGGCCCATGGAAATGACTGGGCTTCGAAATTGTGTCGGTGTACGAGGCGTCTGGTGACCTGAAGGTCCGGAATCAGGAGGTTGCATTGGGTGCGAGGGCGGTTGATATGGGGTGAGTTCGATGAGGGTCATTTCCCGATTCTCCTGTCCTGGCAGAATGCTATGATCCAAGCCATCGAAATAGGGTACTACTGAGAAGGGAGCCTGTGGATAAAAAGGTTGGTCTTCGCGCCTTCGGCTATACGACCGTTCGTCACGAGAATGAAGAATGTGATGACCATAAGGCTTATGATGAGCATGACTGGAGGAAGGAGAAGGGCCTGCTTCCGAGATGGGGTGTGGCGGAGGGTGTGGTACAGGGTGCGGAAGCCGCTGCATAGGGGGACCTGCTGCTTGAGGAGGTTGGAGGAATGTCGGAGGTACTCCAACTTGGGGGAGGAAAGGAGGAGGAACGCTTCCTGCTGCCATCCATGCCGAAGGATGTGGGGGAAATGGTCCAGGGATGACATAATACCTCTGAACTGGGTCCCAGTGAACAACTATGCCGGTGGGGATTGTGGGATTAGGATGTTGAAAGCGTGCGTCGTTCTGCATCGAGTGGCAGTTCCCAAATGCTGGAGGCCCGGGTGGGTAGGGGAAAGGAGCACCAGGGGGGACATTTCCGTGACGGAATGCGGGATGGGAGTGTTGATGAGGATTGACACCACTTCCAGGAAGAGGACGAGACGGCCCATCGTTCGGCACAGGAGAACATTGTGCTTCATTTTTCTCCTGCGTCTGGCTGGCATTGGGTCCAGTACTTGTAGATGCTCCACCTCCATGATCCTGTGATAAAAATTAACGATTAACGATTTCAGACAGGGGAGTACTTACTGCGGCACCCAGCCTCATGTGTCCCATCTCCGCAAATATAGTGGACGCACATTGCTGGTACTGGTTTTGAACAAAATATGGATTCGGGTAATTGCAAGGTTGATAAGGTAGTGCTACAGAGCCAGTGTCAGGGTAACCGGGATACGATGCATTCTCGTTCCAAACTTGCTGCTGGCGATTATCCACTGGCGGGGGGTCGTCTTGCACGGGATCAGGGTCTTCACTAGCAGCAACAGTTACAGAGGCACTAGAAGAACTGGGAGATATTTCTTTTTCCTCCCGAGGAAGCTTCTTGAATCGGAGTCCTGCAAGCTTCTTTCGATACGAATCTGGTTCCTGCAGCGAAGAAGATGGAGGGGTGGCTGCCTTTCGCGTCGTTTCCACATTCCTCGGGATAGGTTTATCTTCCCTCCGGGGTTCAGAAAGGCGGACGCGCAGTCCAGATTTCGCGATTAAGATGCGCTCTGCGGGTCGGGCAGCACCTTGACCAGGTCCCGCGACTTCATACTCTCCCAGACGTATGGTGATCGTCTTTAGTTGAGGTCTAGCAAGTGACGGGTATGATGTACTGGCTACAGGTGCGCCGCTAGCTGTCGTCAGCCGGCTTTCAGCGGCCGTGCTCTGTTTCCTGGTCGTCGAGGATTCAAGCTGAATTGACCTATCAGCAGGTACAACCTTGCCCGTAGAGTAACGAGAGCCTGGGATGTGATATGGTGCTAGTGGCACATCGATGTACACCTTCATTTTTTTTTTCGGCGAGGCAGAAGGTCCCGGGACACTTTCAGAGTCGGTAGCCACACCAGAGTTGCCAACCTGTCGGCTGGGAAGTAGGATCCGAAGAACGGAAGTCGAAGATGAGCGACTGGTCGTGGCTTTTCTCTTCGATGCGGCCTGAAGGGGCAAGTATGACGAGTCTGAATCCGTCGATGAATCTGTTTCTTCATCTTCGTATATCTAGGAGTATTACTCGATGAAGATGCATATAAGCAATTGCTAGCGCAGAAAGCATACCTCGTGCGTCTGTGCTGAAACATCATACCAGCCTAATTCCATGAATTGGGTCTTAGCTGGCTTGCAATGCCGGTACTGAAGTGCGTTGTAGACAAGCAAAGAAAAACCGTCTGGACGAGTGCCTTCACTTTGATGACGACTCATTGACGACAGACTTCGTTCAAATGTCGCTTTCCACTTCATATGACGACCATGATATTCCTTGTGCGTTGCGTCAGATTCATGAAGGAGAAGAGCCTCTGCCGAATGTATCTTGTAATCACGAAGAATATGGTTGAGACACTTGGAAGAGTGGCACCCTCGGCAGTACAGAGCACTGGGGACAGGCACGACATGGTGCACATCGCCGACTTTGTTCGCATTACACATTCTCGTGGGTTTCTTGTATCGAGTTAGTATCACATCTGACGAGGGAAAATAGAAAATATTACATTCGGGTTGACAATACTCCGGCTCTCAAGCAGCCGGCATGCTGAACGAAATAGTTGGGGCACACTTGTGTCCCGGGCGACTCTGCACAAGATCTTGAGAAGATATTCCATGGACGAAGAGAAAAACGCACGACTCTAAGGTCGAGTCAAAAGACCTCCCCTGACTCTTCTCATACAGGTTGAGTGGCTTGACAATCTTGTCTCGAGCAGCCAGAAGGAGCTTGAAGTCCCGACATTGCATGGGCTTCATGATCCTGCACCTGCAACTTCGGCCCTCGGAATAGCAGCCTGGGCATACGACATAGCTTTCCTCCGACGAGTCTCTATGGACACAGCGATGGCATTCGAAGAAGCTTTGGAAGACATCGCATCCACAGAAATCGCAGACGATACGAGCGTCGTCATTGAATGATTTCGAATCATCCAATTTGGGCATGCGGCCAGAGCTCTTGTCAGACTCTTCAAGAAGAATTGAATCATAGAGCGAGAGAAGGTCTTTCAGCTCTGAAGCGAGGCTATCCATTGCGGACCGACCGCCAGAGGACGTTGATGTATCGTCAGACTTGTATTTTCGTTTTCTAGTAGACGAAGTTGCCTGCGGTTTGACGACATATTTGAGAAGTTGCTTAAGCTCTCTTCGCTTGCCCATTAGAACATAATAGATTGTGCTCTTGATTCGATATGTTTCGTAACGGCAAACTCTGTAGTATGAAGCAATCAGCCATTAGTAGTGACTGAAATTCTTCAACACCCACCTGCGATAAATGGGAAGCTCATGATAATAGGCAGTTGACAAGCCTTTCAAGGTCATCCGAGACCAAGATGTTTTGATCGTGATGCCGCCGTAATTGACTACCTGGTGGCAGCTTCGAGGCGGAACGAGAACCAAGTCGCCGAGTTTCTGCTCGAGGATGTAGACCTTGAACGGGGCCTTCGCAAGCTCTTCGACTGTAATGACATGGTTCTCGTGGTCGAGTTCCTGGTCCAGTTCGTGAAAATATTTAGATGCCTCTGGTGCACTTGGGCCTTCTGTCATAAACCAGAATGAGGAGCCATCATTCTCTGTGTAGCACATCAGGTTCTGGCCAGAGGAAGCGCATAGGTCCTTGTGACAGGGAGTGAAGGTATCACCGACACCCAAGTAACACATCAACGTCAGAATAGGCGACTGTAGTTGTGGTCAGTATCGTGGTCAGAAAGACAAAAAGGACAAGCCTGACAGTTTCGGGTCGGTATCTGAACGAATCTTCTTGTCCTTGGCTGAGCACATCAGGAGGGACAACACCGCCTGAGTTCAACCAATCCTCCCAACGTTTGGGACAATCAGCGTCTTTTCCATACAGCCTTTCTGTCTCTAGAACATAGCACATTGCATTATTATAGGATTGAATAAGGAGCCAAGAAACAAACCGTTTTCTTTCGCGAATGGTCCGGCAGAACGAGAAGTCGCGATGAATTCTTTCAACGGTATCGTCTTGTCAGACCAGTTGTGCACGTTACGTACGCTGATGTCTTCGCGGGATGAGGAGAAGTCTGACACAACTGGATGCATTACCCGACTCACTTTTCGAGGCTGACTCACTTTCAAAGCGTTCCAGAGCGAACATGTCCTTCTTCCAATTTCGGTGTTCATGGAGTCCCTCTACTACCAAGGGAATCCCGTTCTGCTCATGATCTTTGAGGATGTCGGACAGCTGACTTGACGTTGCGCGGACGCGACGGGCATGGTGGAAATTATTTCCCCGGGCTAACAAGCCGTCCAAAGACCACCCATTGGTCGAGATCATGGCCTGCGAAGACACCATGGTGACTGTGGTAACTGAATTGGGGGCTTCAAACGCGTCCAAGGGAGACGCGCCGATGTCGTTGTTGTCGGAGTGGAGAGCATTATCCGCAAATTGCCGTTCCCCACGTGTTTGATCGACCGACCCAGACGGCGCTTCCTGGATCTGGGCGCTCAACGTCGCGGACGCCATTGCCTTCTCTTCTCTGACGGCCATCGGCTTGAAATGGCCCGCAGATAGAGGTGATCTCGATCCGGATGCCGTATGGGGGATGGGTTGGAGTTTGTCGCCCCAGGTTCGCTTTTCAGCCTGGATCCTGCTTCGAGCATTCTCCATCGTCATGGTCAGTGGAAGGTGGATGTGGTGGTCATGGAAAGAGAGAGGGTGAAATGCAAGGACATGGTGCTCACCCTTTTTGACAGTTCGATGGAAGGCAATGCTGTATCCTGTACGCTCTGGTGATGCCCATAGACGCTAACATAATTGGACTATTGTAGCCGAATTCACGAGCGCTTATCGTCTGTACTTTGCACCGCCGGCGGCGCAGGGAAGAAGGAAGTGGTTACTTCTCCAAGTCCAGATGATTTCCTGCAGTACTCTAACATTCGTCACTGTTCCCCTTGTCCATGAAAATTTCCCAATATTTTTGCAAGGACAAGGCACCAGTGTTGGATAATGAAATGAACTTCACACCAGCGGAAGCCAGTGGGAGTTTTGAGCCACTGCCACACTGATAAGGCGTGACACGTGACGCCATAAGGCAGCGTACTTAGCCTCGTGTTGTTCTTCTTCATCCAACAAAGCCCGTCCTCCACTGCATTTTCCTCAGGACAACCTTACGGGTCTTTGCTTTCTCCGCGCCCGGTGCAAATCACGACAAGTATTTTAAGGATGTCGAAGGTCTCCCCGGAGCAACCCGACTTCGATTTCTGGGACTTCGTGTGTTGCGCAAAATGCCGCATGCCCTTCGCTCTCGATAATGGTTCTGCAACTATTCCTTTCTGGCTGACGGAATGCGGACATATCATTTGCAACTCCCATCTCAGTCCGTCAACTGCGTGATCTACACTGGATGAAGGCTGAAGTGCAAAAACAGATCCTGATCAGTCATGCAGCCAGTGCGGAGCACAGGACATCCAGTTGGCGCCTCTACAGCGAGAGGTTGGTCAAGACACTTCTCACAAGCATTCTTACCCTCAATCTCTCAGATGGAAGCTCCGATGTCGGACTGGTTCCAGCCAATTCCCCTCGCTCTTGATTCTATCGCCACTGCTGCCAAGGTGCTAGGAGCATCATAATTCTCAAAATTGAGCCACTTACTCTATGAGATCGGCAGTTCCAGCAAGAGAATATGGCTGCGCAGCTACGATATTATACTTCGAGGCATCATCAATATCGACAGCTTGTCGAACGGCTTAAGCAGACGGTCTCGGAGTTGAAGAAGTATTCACCTCGGGAACTTGTTGTACGTTTTGTTGATGACGTTCTCCAGGGCTAATGAGTCCCTCCAACTCGAGAATGAGCGCTACCGATCCCAGATGGACCCAAACAACCGAATTCCTTCTCATTCTCTCAACGGAAATGGAAAACGTCCGATGTTGTCGATGCAGCAGTAAATATCTTCTCTTCCTCCATCTTATTTGCTCAGTTCGCCCAGGTTCAAAGAGTCCTCGCGGCCCAGGACAGGATCAAGTCCTCATTCGCTCAACGTACCTCTAGCGCCGAATAGACTCACATTATTACCTGGGCAGCAAGTCCCAGAACTTTCCTCTCACAACCAACAGGAGGTTAATGTAAGTGTATTTCTTCTCGCCGTCGTATCATTCCGAAAGATGGAATTATATTGTAGCGTCGCCCAGCATCAAGTCGTTCACTTGAGTAAGCGCGCAGCCCATGACATACACCGCATATACTAACATTTGTCTTGTAGACAATATGCTTATGGCCCACAGGAACGTGATACGTACCATGCTCCTCCGTTAACTCATGCCCAGACAGCATCACGGATATTCCAACGCAACAACCAACCTCAGAATGAAGCAAGGCAAGGGCCACATAGTTTGCATGGTCAAAATCAGCAAGTGCCTCCGACCCCATCGCGATTTAAACCTGCAGTCACTAGCAACGCATTCACATCCAATCAAGCCAACTTAGGCCAACGACGGCAGATGCAGATGGGCCCTCCGCCCACCCCTCAACATGCTCGGACTCAAAACTCTGGTCAAAACCCGATGATGAATTCAGGACCTTCAAGACAATCTTATCTACCTGCGCCGCCTGCTCGGCAGTCAGTGACCAGCGTGCCTTCAACTCCAAGTATGGGACAACAGCAGGCTGGAGGTGCTGGTTCTAGACGGTTCTTCCCTGCGGCCAGCCAATCGTCAAATAACTTCTCCAGCGTTTTAACCTCGCGACCTTCGATAGCCAATGCCTCTGGTTCAGGTCAAAGAACGCCGTTTGTGCCTCATGCTGGTCAAAAAGGCCCCTTTGGATGATTTTCGTTTTTTTATTGAAGACTTTCATGTTCGTAAAATTGTACTGAAAGAATAGTTACTGTAGTAGTAAGACTGCTGTATAGCATGCTCTAGCTGAACGACTTCTTTATTTTTGTACTTATGGAGATCTCGGAAAATCTGCCTTGGCGACGGCTGCGGCGCCTTTGTTGGAGCCTGCCAAGTGAAATTCTTATGGTCGTCATACATAGCCTTGCTACTTACTGCGGCCATCCAGACTCCGCCGCCATCTCCTTTCCCTCCACCATATACTCTCTTTTCATAGATCCGTCACGACAAGCCACCCCCATTTCTGACGACTAAACTCTGGGAGCACTAGTCAAACCCCCACGATGTCATACCGAGATCCATACACAGGTCACTATGCCGCGGGCGTCAGCTCACAATATCAAAATAATCAGCAAGGATATCCCGAGCCAGCGCAAGAGTATCCCAACGTCTACCCTTCGCACCATACATATGACAGCACCGGCCCAGACCCATACAACCCTTACACCACAAGTAAGCAAGGGTACAGAGACGATCGTGAGGCAGCGGACATCCAGTACGATTACGGCTATGGATACAGCGAGAACGCAGCTGAGAATTACGGCTACCCTCCGGTTCAGAGGTCGGGGACGCAGAAGTCGAGGGTTTCGCGGAAGAGCAAACCATCTGTCTCTGTGGTCCCTGTACGCAAAGAGGGCAGTGGTTTCGAGCAGGGCGAGTTCACGCCGCAGCACCGGACTAGAAAGTGCGTCTTCTCTGGTACTGTTATTATCTCGCTCGTGTCCTCAACATTTTCTCTCACTTTCAAGGGCACGTACACCGCGGGCGTTGAGAGAGTATCGGTATGATCACCAGGGGAATCTATGGACGAAGGTTTGCACCACCGTGGCGTCTACCCCGTGTCACGCGGGCTGATTATGTCCACAGGGAGGCGGAGGGCGCTGTGCGGGAAGAGTTTGCTTTTGCACGCTGCTGACAACTCTTTTCTTGATTATCAGCATTGTCCTCTCTCTTGCTCTTGTAAGTCCCTGTTGGGTTCTGTGCGGATATCCATTCACTTGTTTCCTATAGTGGATCCGCCCACCAAGCATCAAGATCGGAGAGGTTGAGACCATGACTACGAACGGCAGCCCTGTACGCCCTTTGCTCACGTCATAACGAAGACTCACTCACCTCTCTGTAGATTCAACAAATAACGAATGGCATTCAAATTGACTTCGGCGTAGACATTTCGTGCGTCGCGTTCTTTGGGCTTTGTGTACCATTCTAATCGACTTTTGTCTCTTGTTAGAGTGAACAATCCCAACTACTTCTCTGTGGACTTTAAGAAGATCCAAGCTGAGGTTAGTCAAGCCTGCTTCTCGGTTCCACCGTTGTTGAGGTTGTTGGTAGATTTTCTACCCCATTGACGACACCCCCGTCGGAGGAGGAACCGCCTCAGAAATTGTCATCAAATCCGACGCCCAAACGAACTTTACATTTCCGTTCTCGTTAGTATACACCAGCACCGAAGATCCTCAAAGTAGAGTTATCCTCGATATTGCACAAAAGTGCGGCGTCATTGGTGGGACGCGCAGCCAAATCACCGTCAACTATAAAATCACGGTCAGTTTTGTGTTACTTCACCAGAACTTCCCCCAGGCTAAGCACTTCGTCTGCAGCTCGGCATCCGCATCATACTCGTTACGATTTCTCCTGTAATATCGAATTCATTTCGCTTCGACTGCCCGCTGCAGGCATCAGACATCAGTGTCAGTTTCAGTCATCCATCCCATCTTTTGCAATGCTCATTCCCGTACTTTCTTAGAAATTCCTTGGCGGGGCCATTGGTGGTTAACGCACGCAGCAGGCTGTATCCTACTCGTAGATCATTGCATGCACACACCGGGGAGTTTTGGGATTTTGGAATTGTGTATTATATCTGGACATTTGCATCTGCACGGACCCATTCATCTACACCTTTTTAATTCGCGCACCTCGATTGGACAGCCCTCGAGCTTCGAACGACGAGCCTTGAACCGAGTTCTCGATGAAGCCAAAATCTTTGCCTGCCATTTTGGGCACAGCCACCAAATGAAGCCCCATGATGATGTCAGACCTATCAGCCTGAGAGCACTTCACTCAGCGCAGCGATGGCGGTTCCAACATCCTTGTACACTTACGTCCAACTAGCTCGTAGCTATAGATGGCGGCCGATCTTCAGAAGATCGCACCTCCCAGGCATCTTACAGAAGCTCAAAATGACATCGTCTTCCAGCACTTCTTCCGCCATCTGGCAAACCATCGTAATACAGCTGTTCTGTATAGCATCCTGCAAAGCTCTCTATTGTCTTCGACCAAGAAAGAGGAGGCAAATAATCAGATGGCATTCGAAGAAGAGATGAATAAGTGGGCGCAAGGACTACTGGAGAAGGCTTGGATGATCTGCCACACTCGAGACGACGGCGGTAAGGTGATGTCCTTGGGGATCCTCGAGCGCTAAATCTGAACCATAGACTAGAAAAATGTCCGGAGACAGATCCGCTTTCTGACACCAGCACAGTCGACCTGGATAAAATGCCTGCCGTAGAAGACGTTGAGAAGATCCTCAACACGATTCTGTTCTTCGATATCACAACATCTAAACAGTATTCAGCCAGAACGCGAACGTTTCTCTCCAATTTTGGGTCGTTGGATGAGGCAACTGTCGTAGCAACGCTCAAGAATCCAGAACACGCAATAGAGGAAGCGCAGAGACAAGCGGATGCTGCGAGGACAGAACGCGCCGAACGAGGGAAGACCCTGCGGATGCTAGGTGTCGGTCTTGGCGCTGTTGCTGGTGGGGTTCTCGTCGGTGTCACTGGTGGCCTAGCTGCACCTCTGGTCGGCGCAGCGGTCACCACAATATTTGGGTGGCTTGGCGTCGGCGGAACTATAGTAGGTTTGTTGGCGAACGGCCTGGCTGGATCGTCGGTGGTGTGTGGCGCACTTTTCGGCGTCTACGGCGCGCAATCGACAGCAAGTATGGTGGAACGACATACAAGAGAAGTGAGTGACTTGTCGCTCATACCGGTCCGGAAGCATAAACAAGGATACGACACGCTCGGTGTGCGGCTCTGTATCTCGGGGTGGTTAAATGAGAAGGAGGATGTTACGGCACCGTGGACAATCTTTAACGGTGACGACACCTTTGCACTCCAATGGGTGTGTTTTGATTTTGAAAATCGGCTCGGCCGTTATAAAGCTGATAGTCTGTCGACAGGAAATCAGAGCTCTGGAAGAGCTATCAGATGCTTTATTGGCTTTGATAAAGTCACAGGCGATGAAGTATGTCAAGGGTGAAATTATCAGGCGCACAATCTTCGCTGGCCTCATGAATTCGTTGGCACCTTTGGCATTACTAAAGATTGGCCAAATCATCGGTCAGTAGCGTCGTGACTAGACCACATTGTCTTCTGGTCAGACTTGCTGACATTGCGGCTCCCAGATAATCCTTGGATGAATGCGAGGGCATTAGCGATCAAGACTGGTGCTGTATTGGGAGATTTGTTGGCGAACCGTATGCTGGGAACTCGTCCGGTGACACTGGTTGGTTACTCACTGGGTTCTCTTGTCATCTTCGAAGCCCTCAAGTATCTCGCTTCTCTTCCGCCCGCGGGAACTGTGCACCTTATTCAGGATGTGTATCTCTTTGGCACACCAACGGCGGCGGACCCCGAGGAGTGGGCGAAGATACGGAGGCTGGTGGCGGGAAGAGTGGTGAACGGATACTCCACCAATGACTATATTCTGGCGGTTCTTTGCCGCGCATCCGACGCGACCTGGCAAGTGGCAGGATTGCAGAAGGTGGATGTCAAGGGGGTGGAGAACGTGTGTTGTGAGGAGGTAGATGGGCACACGAACTGGCGGTGGGTAATCGGGAAGTACTTGGAGGAGAGCAATGCCCCCGGCATCGTGCAAGGCGAGGTGAAGGCCCAGACAGACGCGGGGAAACGCCTGGGCGAAGTGGACGCCACACAAGAAGCGAGCTCGGCATCACCTGCCGCCTGACAAAATGTGGCCACGTGATTCACGTGATGTCATTTGTTAATCCGCGTAGTCTAGATTGATATGTCTTTTGCTTGGTCGGCCATGTCGTGAACTGATAAATTGCCGCCTCGCCCTTCTTTTTCCCCAATGGCTCACCCAACTCCCCTGCGCTCTTTCCTTGGTGGACTCGGAATTCCCGTCGCTGCCCACGAACTCCTCGTCCTCAATGGCAATGTCTTTGGCATTTCAGGTTTTGTACACCGCGGCATCAGGGGCAGCATAGAGGGCCTCGCAGGCGTCGCGGGGCTTGTATTAAGCGGCGCCGTGGTCGCAAATCTGGAAGGGAATGGTCCGGTTCCTCTATCTCTTTCTCTACCCAAAGTTCTGCTTTCCGGGTTCCTCGTCGGGCTGGGTACAAAGGTCCGTCCTTCATTTTTCTCTGCATCATACCGGCTTTCTCATTATCTCCTTCACAGCTCGCAAATGGCTGTACTTCCGGGTATACACTTTTGGGCATCATAGAACCCATCAAGGCTTCTGACTACGTATTTATAGCCATATGATATGTGGGGTTTCGCGATTTTCACTCCGGTGAGTCTCGGTTGCGCTAGTCTATCTTTAACCAAAGCCTATTTTCCCGACATAGCTCAATTGCTGCAACTGCGACGTTCTTCACGACTGGAGTGATATCGTCCCAAATTTTCCACCGTGACTTGCCAGCTACTTCGTCCATGGACTGGTCTCTTGGTCCAAACGGTGCGAACCTGATTGCTCTACAAGCGATCCCACTGTCGCTATCTCTTATCCTATATGCACTAGTAGGCGTTTCCTCTGACGTCGTCTGTAAAACGGCCAGAACCTCATGCCCGTATCCCAGAACCCCAATGCTAGCACCAAAGACGAGTGCGACTGCAGCAAAGACCAGCCACCTAATCCACCCCGTCGTGCACTCCGCGCCTTGACATTCGTCGCGACAGCGCTCCAATTCGGTTTCGCGCTTCGGCTCTCCAATTTGACCGAGGCCACACGCGTCCTCTCTTTCCTCCTCCCGATTCATCCAGCGTTCGACCCCTCGCTGGCCTTCCTCGCCGCAGGTGCCTTGCCCCTTGGGATGTTCCTCTACCACTATATGCGCGGCAGCGAACGGCCGTGCCTTGGAGGCGATTGCTCAGTTCCGAAAGGCGGAGAGATCGACGCAAGGCTTCTGATAGGATCCTCTATCTTCGGTGTTGGATGGGGCCTAGCGGGTATTTGCCGTAAGTCTATAATTGCATCTGATAGCCTTTCATTAGGCTGACCTTCTGCTACATAGCTGGACCTGCGCTCGTCAACTTCGGACGAGCCCTTGGTGCTGGCGGTCAGGCACTGGCACCATACGCCTCCTGGATTGCGTCTATGCTTGTTGGTGGTCTGTTGGCGTAAATGTTTGTTTCACAACTGTAGCATGAGGCCTAGGATAGTCTTTCGAAAGTTTTGTGACGCGTCTCAGAGGTGAAGGGGCTAAAGATACTTACTTTATTGGAAAGGATCGCATTCATGGACTTTTATGCGCACCTAGTTCTTCTACACAATAGACAATCAAATTAAATCAGCTGCTTACAACTTGCAGGGAAAGATTACAGAGACTATAGCGGTGAGGGAAGTCTAGGTGAAGATTCCAACAATTACAGGCGAACTAAAATACATAGAGAGCGAACAACTGGACCCAGAGATGTAGCTGACTACGACGCAGCTGCCGTCACAGGAGAAGCTGATGGCCCAGCAAGATTGGAAGGTTGCTTGGGTTTACTGCGACCCCACTTCACAACTATTCTCTCGCCATCTATTTCAACTCCGTTCGCCCAACCCTGTGCTGCCGTTTCAGCTGTTGAGCGCTCTTTGAAGTTGACGAATGCGCATCTATAAGGTAATCAATGTTTGGAACTCCAAGAGCAGTGCGAAGGGTATACGAACCGTGTTTTTTCTACATGAACGATAGACTTAAGTTGCGTAGGTTGTACACTGGGTAGGGATTGGAGGACGGCAGTGCGGATGCTTAGCTCCGTGGATTTCGCGGGAAGTGAGGAAAGGAAGAGGGACGTCTGAGAGAAATGCGTTAGGGACGCTTTGTTCAACAACTGGAAAATTCGAATGAGCACTCACAACAGTCACATCGTCTGGGGGTTGCAGCCCCTGGTTCTCAGCATTGCCAGACAGAATTTTACGTGCAACGGGGTCACTCCGTCCGTAATACCTGTCCTGCATGTTCTGGTGTCCCAGACCATTTTCAGCGGGTATCTCGTGTCGGTAGGGGCATTCCGTTCCGCGGTTGCAATCTCCCTTCGCGTAGAACGAGCATACGTGTGGCCGGTTGCGCTTATAGTAAGGGTCTGTCCTTGCCAGTTGCTTCAGCATCTCCTTTCCTGCTGACGACGTCCGTATAGAGTCGAGACCAGACTTGTTCCCATTCAGCTGATCAAAATGACAAGGGTGAAAAACATCTCCCAGAATGTCGAATCAGCCTAACGCACCTTGCCTTCCATATTTTGAGCATAATACTCCCTGTTGATGTCACTCGTCGGAGCATCGCTGTGTACGCCTAGTGCCGTGTCTCGAACTTGTGTTGGAAGGCCATATTCGAGGTCAAGAAGGCAGGTCTGGCAGACGTTCTTGATTTTGGCGCATGTTTGGCAGATGACGGTCGTTTTGAAGCGTGCACCCTCGCCGGGGTTCCAACGAAAGACGGTGAATGGACGTGCACACGTCCCACATGACTTGCCGTATTCTTGCTTGGACTGAGAAGATAGTCAGGGTAATGTTCGACTAGTAAAGCTGAGAAGGAACTTACCATCCGCACGAATGGATTGGGACCCAAACCTAGTGGATCGTCAGTGAAGAATTTCTACCTGGCAGGTCGTTCAGCGAAAACGTACATGTTTCGCAAAGAATGGGAAATTCACTCTGTTCCCATCCTGCTTTGTTGATATCGGCTTTGGGGGGCATGATGATGGAGGAGACGGGTGCGGTTCAAGTTGAAGTTGAACGAAGAGGCGTCGAGCGCCTGCAGCACTGATTTCTGCTGACTAACCAGTTCACGCGTACGGAAATCCCGCCTGGTCACTCATTTGCTCCAAACCACCATGGCCCACGACGAGGAAATGCGAATCAAGAGCATTGGCGGAGGGTCTTTGCTGATTGCCTGGCAGCTGAAGGACAAGAAGGTGCTCATAGTTGGTGGCGGAGAAGTTGCCTCTCAGCGCGTCGAGTCCATCCTCACGGCGGATGCGTTTATCACGGTGCTCTCCCCAGAAAGCGGCCTCCATCCTCGCACAAAACGATTTATTAATCTCAGGAGCGATCGCGTCACCCACCACGCTCGCCCGTTTTCCGGCCAGGAGGAGCTGGATGGTGCAGAAATGGTCCTCACCGCGCTCGACGATAATGACCTCTCGCGCTCCATCGTTGAGATGTGCCGTGCGCGTCGCATCCCCGTGAACGCAGCAGACATTCCCGACCTATGCGACTTCTACTTCGGCGCCCAGATTCGGGACGGCCCCCTTCAGATCGTGATCTCGACGAATGGGAACGGGCCGCGAATGGCGAGCCTTATCAGGACGAAGCTGCAGAAGGGGCTCTCGGGGAGAGAAGGAGAGGCCATCACGAAGATTGGGCAGTTGAGGAATAAGTTGAAGGAGAGGGCTCCCGGTGTTGGAGGGCAGCTTGGGAAAGAGAGGATGAAGTGGATGACTGCTATGTGCAATGAATGGGCAATAGAGGATTTCATACTTCTGGACGAGGGCTCAATGGACAAGGTGCTCGACGAAGGGTGGGAGAAGAACAAACGGGTCCCTTCGTTGAACGAAGTTGGGGTTCGCCGTCCTCAGACGTCTTGGATTACGACCTTCATACTACCAGCCTTGCCAACTGCAACAGTATTTGTGGCGGGGGCACTTGCTGCAACACTACTTCTTACGCATCATCCAAGGCCATGAAACTATCTATGGTGCGGTATGGATCGTTATTGCCTCTGCTTGGAGCACGCGCCCATGAACTTCCGTCACAAGCACATTCTTGTCACTTTTTCGTTCCTTTCACGGAAAGACAGGCGCAACAACCAGCACACGCAGGCCCGCATGCCTGACGATCATTAATTCCGTGGATATTTCTGGTGGAGAGGTCGTCCTGATCAGGGTGTAGCGTCCCACATGTCTCTGCCTGCATGTAGGTGAAATCCAGCTGGAATATCATGTGTCGCCTTTAGGTCGAGACAATGTTGTTTATGCTAATGAGCGGTTCGCATTAACGTAGCCAGTTCCATAACAAGAATAGAGGAGCTGCGAGCACTCTGGGTCTGATGGATCTGTTGGGACGATCTTGAAAGAGGTCCCGAAAAATGACCTGACGTCCCGCAAGAATTGTATTCTGGGTGAGGGGATACTTAGACACGATACCTAGCAGCGCCACGAACACTCACGTCTTGGGGGTAGGGTCTCCCATTCGACAACGACCAACGTCTTCGCTGCCTAGGGCCATCATCAACAAGACAAGTGTTTGATGTCTTTGGTCCACACAACCGCCTTTCTCAATCCCTGCTAGTAGCGCACGCGTCGCCTTGAGCCCAATGTCTTCTGGGGCAATTCCAGGTTCAGAAATGGCTTCAGCACAGTAGATTGCGGAGGTTGTGGACTCTGCGAGAATTGATAGCGCGTAGCCCGGCGACCTAAGGCAGGATGAGTAGCAGTCTTGGAGGCAACGGATGATGAAAAAATTCACTTTCCGCTTTCATCTCCTTTATACACGTCCGAGTAGAGGTATATGTCGGGGATATATCGATTCAAAACCGACCGCGAAGCTTCGATCATTCGATTTGAGAATTGAGGGTTGACTCGGACGGCATGCCTACAGGAAATATTCAGATGTTGAGGCGTGGCACCTATATAGAAGCACATACGCGACGCCCCGAATACGCTTGATCTTTCCCGGCTCAACGAAGTTGAGGGTCTTCACTTGCTTCACTATTGGACACAAGAACTGGATTTCGCCACCACCTCCCGGTGCTGCACCTCGTCTCTTAATCTGCAATGCATTAAGTTATCTGTCAAACACTTCGAAGGTTAAACTCACTCGTAGCTCCAGTCCTTCTGAGATGCCAAATAGTTGTAGATGAGGTAATGTTACTGTGCGCAGGATGTCGCCCTACGTTTGAATAAGCAGACAAGAACGAGAAGGAATCTGAAGAACGCACAGAAAGATCATGCTCGTCTGTTGTAATTCCCTTCAGAGTCAGATTGACAGGGTGCTTTGCGAATGGCGCGAGCTTGATGACAGGCTCAAGGAAGTATCCAACAGCTCGTGAAAGAGGGCAATCGTGTTGTAGCGGTCCTCCAAGGATGATGCCAGGTTTTAATAGAATGGCAGTGCCTATTCGATTGTTCGTTAGACCGGTCTCGGGGGGAGAGATGAAATGCGCACCAGTCACTGAAATCTCAATAACAGTGCCATTTGTGACCTTCTCGAGCAATCGGAGGAGACTAATCTCGTAGTCTGCAATATACAATCAATTCACAATCCTTAGCCATTGAAGATGTAGAATTGAACCTCTTAGACCAGGATTCTTGTCTTCGGATCGAATTTTGTCGATGCGTACATGTTTACCACTGAGAATTGACAAGACCAGACGGCTTCTGAAGTGTTGGTGGCCGCTGAAGTGGACGATGGACGACATGGCTGAGGAGAACGGGTTGGCAAATTTTGGCTTGTCTCGCTTACCTCATAAACGCGATCGAGTGCCCAAATGCAGCATCAGGCACGCCGCCAAATAATTGCCCGCGCTGACTCAAGGCGCCTCTCATCTTTCTCCTCCACCTCCACAATGGCATCACAATCGTCGAGCAATCCTTCCGCGTCCGCCGACTGGCCGGGGCGATACCACCACATCGACCACATCCTGGATACACCAGGGCCCCGCACCGACCCAGAATTCGCCGCTGGAGATCAAGTAAGCGCGTCGTCTTTTCACCACCTACCGTCGTTTTAATCTTCTTGTAATGTCAGGTGAAGAATTTCCTGAGGAAGGAGTCCAAGATCCTTGTAATCGGTGCAGGAGGTCTTGGTTGTGAGATTCTGGCCAATCTCGCACTCACCGGGTTCAAGGATATTCATGTAATTGACATGGATACGATTGATATCAGCAATCTCAATCGACAGTTCTTGTTCAGGTGTGTTTTATGAGGGGAGTGGGATGAATATAACCTTACAGACCGTGAATCAGACCAAAGGACGTTGGACAACCAAAGGCGACAGTGGCTGCAGAGTTCATCATGAAGCGTGTGCCGGGCGTCAAAGTAACTCCGTGAGTTAGGTCTTGATCTTCCAAATGTTGTCTTATAATTCCTCCATACCTCGTTCTAAAGATACTTTGGGAAGATTCAAGACAAAGATGATGACTATTATATGCAATTCAACCTGGTGATTTGCGGACTCGACTCAGTCGAAGCTAGACGCTGGATGAACGCGACACTTGTGAATCTGGTGGATCCAGATGTCCCAGACAGTCTGAAGCCCATGATCGATGGAGGAACCGAAGGTCTACATATCACCTACGTCGTGTCTTTGACGTTCTGACCGCTGTTATTCTAGGCTTCAAGGGACAGGCTCGTGTGATCCTACCAACAATCACCTCCTGTTACGAGTGCTCGCTCGACATGCTGAACAAACCAACCGCGTTCCCTATTTGTACGATCGCGAACACCCCTCGTCTACCGGAACATTGCATTGAATGGGCGTCTGTTCTAGAGTGGCCTCGTGTTCACGGAGGTACTTGATCGCCTCCGGGTTTTCCAGTACTCATTCTCACTACATTTCCGATAGACAAAAAGATGGATACTGATGACCCCGAGCACATTGGGTGGTTATACAAAGTTGCTGCTGCTCGTGCTGCAGAGTTCAAGATCGAGGGTGTAACATGGTCATTAACCCAAGGAGTGGTCAAGAATATCATCCCTGCTATCGCTTCAACGAACGCCATCATCGCAGGTATGTTATGCCCCTGCTTTCATCTTTTATTGAACCCAATACTCCTTTCCACCGGTAGCTGCATGTTGTAATGAGGCTTTCAAGATTTCGACAAGCTCTGCCGCCTTCTTGAACAACTACTTCATGCTAATCGGCACGGATGGCGTTTACTCCTACACATTCGAACACGAAAAGCGTGACGACTGCCCCGTCTGCGGCGGCCAAGCAGTGGACATAACACTCAATCCCGAGACAACTGTTGAACAGCTCATCGAGACGCTGACAGAGAGACAGGATCTGTAAGCCCCTCCCTTCATCATGTTTGTTGTCTTTGTTTCTGACCAGCTTTCTCTCGAAAACAGCCAAATCAAGAAGCCTTCTTTGTCCACACCGACCAAGCAAATCTACCTTCAAGCTCCGCCCCAGCTAGAGAAATCCACACGCCCGAACCTGGAGAAGAAAGTATCCGAGTTGGTACCACCAGGTGGAGAGGTTACTGTTACCTCAAGCACTCTGCCCATGAGCTTGTCTCTCCGCATTTCTTACTCTACATAGATATCACTAGTACTCTAACTAACCACTGCATTTTGTTATCGAAATTGTTTGAACACGAACTATCAATACATTGAAAAACGCATTAGATTATAGTACATATTGTACACCGGTCATGGACGTATGGAATTCTACCTTCTACGCAACCGTGTATGGACCAGGTGATTAAAAACATGCCGATGAGACTCATTTGTAGATGACCACCACTCTACCATAATCTCCATCGCCATCGCCACCACCTATGGCGCGTAGCCATTGTTCGATGAGAGGCCATCCTGCTTCAAACCGTACGGAAAGCTCGTCTGTATGATGTTCACCATCGAGTAATTGGATGAACTCTGGAGGGATGTTAGATTGCGTCGACTGTCCTTGGCCTTGAGGCAGCTGCGGTATCATTGTCGTCGACGGCGATCTCGACGGACGCGTCACCCTGGATGGAGTCAGTGTGACTTTCGCCATCACAGGCGACGGAGGCGGGACGGCAGGTGTAATGAGCGACTGGCGGCGCGACTCTGACCTCCCAACCGGCGCGGCCGACTTCGTAGGGCTCTCCTGTACCAGGGCTGCCGTATGGGTGGGAGACACCGCCGTGGTGCTCGCACTCGCCGCATTCGTCATCGCCGAAGGCGCGGTTGTCGCGGTCATCAGGTTCGCTGTTGAGGGCACCTCGTGCTGGAAGCCCATGTTCATCCACGATGTGCGCGGGCTCGCGCCTGATTTTTGAATGTCGCGGTTCCGGAGTTGCTCAAGGACTTTCTCCGCTGCGCTGGCCCGTCGCGCGCGATGCGTTGCAGACATGCTCACCGGGGTTGCGGAGGCTAGAGGTGTGTCTAGGTTGCCGAAGGGCGCACTCTCAGGAAGCGCGGTTGCTGGGGCCACGATAGAAACCTGAGCTTGAAGCCGGCTGGAACATGGAAGTGGCAGGTCTGAGGAAATGGGGTTGTAGGCGGGGAAACGGATGTTAGTCCCTGACAGACTCTTTCCTCGCTTACGGGCCAATGTTGAGTTGGATATTGGGTCGAAGACACTCTCCGCCACTGGGTACGTCAATTGGCTTGACATTGGTTCAAAAGGATCCGGTGGTAGGTATATAGGGTATCGGTGGACACGTCGTAGATATCCCTGACAAAGGATTAGGCAAATGAAGGAGTCAAGAAGTAAAGGGTATACCTTCACCACACCGAAACTCGTAAACCGACGTACATCAATTCCTAAGTTCTCAACATCGTACGCCTTCATCCAGTCGTAAATGGTATTCCCAGGTTTCAGCCGAGAATAGAGATGAAGGAGTTTTGGCCAATCTGGGATACTTCTCCCTGGCTTAGTGACGTATGGACCGCACTCGTCCTTGACGTGCGACTCGTCAGCGAGCCATTGCACGCTTTTATGCAGAGTGTACATGTTGGAGTATTGGAAGATGTCGATCGTCATGATGACTTGATAGTACCTGAGATAGTTTCAGCGTCCGTACTCGAGAAGATGGAGGGAACTGACAGTAAATGAGATATCGCTTGACGCGTCAACGAAATATCACAATCGGCCAGGTGTGCGATACGACTGACATGATTCACGCCGTCGATGAATTTGCACACCTAACGGGCTAGCTCAAATACAATCAGAAGAACGAATCAGTGTTCAGAGAGTACCTTGCACATTGTCAAGTCCCAGTTCTCCTCTATCCTCTTTGTCAGATTGATGAGCGCGAGTGGTACCATCCAGTCTTTGACTTGTGGAGGGTTGGGGTAAAAAGGGAAGATTTTTAGCTCAATGGAGTTGAATTGGTCAATCGCAATAGATGTCTCCGAGTACGAATTCAAATCTTCGTAGAGCTGTTCAAGAATGGCATGAACGGCTGGAGACGTTTGACTCGACGACAGAAACGCAGACTCTTCCTGGAAAGCGGTTACACGACGCGTATGCAACCCTGAGCACGAGCTCACCTCACAGTTCTTCAGGACGCGACTGACTTTCCGTACAATTGGTTCATAACAGCTGAGGTCGGCTTCACGGTCAAAGACGAAGCAGAGGTTGTAGCGGAAATAATTCCGTTCATAGTTGGCTCCATTCAGCTCAACTGGAAAGCCGATAATCCGGTGTCTTCTCGTCGAGCAAGTGACAAGCCTCCCACACAGTGGAGAGGTGGGAATAACATACATTGAGATATCATTGAAGTTGAAAAGGGTACGCTGAGAAGAGCTGGATCGCTTCTGTGGTGAAGAGAGCTTGCGTGCTCCATACCGGTGTTCCGTAGGAGAAATGAGCGATGTGCTCGAAGTTCGGGAACCCAGGCCATTTCCGGGGCGTGTAGGAGTCGGCAACGGAGAAGATGCTTCCGTTAAGGGCGTAGCAGGCACTGAAGAATTGTCATTGGAGGCAGATGAAGGTCCAGCAGAGGGGACTGCAATAAGTCCTTCTGGAACCTGGTAGACGATTTTTGGCCCTTGGCGGGCGTCGAAGATGGCGTAGAAGACCGACTGGATGCGAGGGAGGAAGGAATCACCCTCAGGCATGGTCCTTGTCCTTGTAGTATCGAGCTGGGTTACCGGGCGCTCATGATGGTACAGACGAAAGTTGCAACAGTCTCACGCGGGCCGCCGTCCAATTATCCAACATTCGCGTCTCAAAGGGGACTTGACTGCTGCCACCATCTTCTTAATCCCACTCTTTCTACTGCCATGGCCCTTAGCGCCTTCAAAACCATTCCGCTCCCTATTTCACAACTCTCCTTAGCAGCTGTCCTCAAGTGTGGTCAATCCTTTCGCTGGACGACTCTCACACCTGCCCACGACGACTCGGGCCCGTCTTCCACTGGCACAGAGCCCTCTCCGACAGCGGTAGAATACCGCATATGTCTAAAGGACCGCGTCATATGTCTGCGACAGTCGCCTGACACGCTTTACTGTCGCACTATATACCCAGACCCTCAACCGCCTTCCAGCACTGTCCATAAAGTTGACGCTGAGACTCTTGAATGGCTCAAAGACTACTTCCAATTGAAAATCGACCTCGTTTCCCTTTACAAAGAATGGGCAGAAAAAGATCCAGTCTTTGCCAGATTTCAAGACAGGTTTGAGGGTATCAGAATCCTTCGTCAGGACCCATGGGAGAACCTTGTCTCGTGAGTGGTCAACAAACATCCTTCCAAACTGCGCTAAACGGGCCTATCCAGGTTCATTTGCTCGTCTAACAATAATATTTCTCGCATAACGAAGATGGTCCAGAATCTCTGCGCACATTATTCGCCTCCACTACTCTCAGACCCGCATCCTTTCATTCCTGGAGAAATGTTAACTTACCATCCATTCCCACCGCCTTCGGCCTTGGCCCCGTCTGGAGTGGGCTTGCGCCTGCGTTCTCTTGGCTTTGGCTACCGCGCCGATTACATTCAGCGTACGGCACAGATGCTTGTGGATGAGCATGGCAGTGGACCGCCTAAGTCTGCTTCTCTTCGTGATACTGCAGAAGCCTCTGAGTTCTGGCTACGACAACTAAGGAAAATGAAGACGGACGACGCTCGGGACGAGCTCCTCAAGTTCGTTGGTATCGGCAGAAAAGTCGCGGATTGTATCCTCCTGATGAGTCTGGATAAGGTATGTTCTGTTGTATCGTACTATATGCATTTCATATATCGTTTTACAGAAAGAAGTTGTTCCAGTCGACACTCATGTCTATCAGATTGCCGTGAAACATTATGGTTTGAAAAGTGCAACGGGTGGTAAACCCAATATGACGCCCAAACTATATGAACAAGTAAATGCGAAATTCTTCTCGATATGGGGCGATTACGCCGGCTGGGCACACACTGTACGTTCGGCCACCTACAGAGCATTGTTTATCAAGCTAACATTGGGCTTGGAGGTGTTATTCACTGCCGACCTAAAGTCCTTCTCCTCTTATGGTCTCCCCACACCTCCCTCTGAGTCTTCAGCTGGGAAGTCGCTAAAGAAGTCAAAGAAAACAGCAGCGACTCTGGATATCGGCATCCCCACTCCTCCCTTGACACCTGGTCCATCGCGCCTGAAGCGAAGTCGTGAATCAGACGAATTTGAGGAAGAGGACCCCATGTCGATGTCAATCTCACAGCTTTGTGAAGAGACTTCGGATGCTCTGAGTCTTGCCGACCGAGTCAAGAAGAGAAGGCGTCAATCTTACCATCTTCGGCAATGAAACTCTAACTCGATGCGTTTTCGGATGGATTCTGTTGTTCTGTTCTGCCATGACATAACGCTCTATACATTACTGACGGACTCCTACTCTACTTACTTTATGACTTATTATTCTCATTTGTATCATAACGCCCTTCCTATTCTCTAATGGACAGTTTCAGTACTGGAAGTTTCTAGTTGCGTCCGGATCGGTCCTCCCGGAGATCTTGAAAAGAGTCCGCCCGGCTCGACAGCCTCCTGAACGTGAACCATCATCATGTCTCTCCCACTGCCCGAGCTATACCATCGCGTTTTGCTTAACACCACGAAAGTATCTAATCTGCCTGCGATAGAAGACGAAACACAGGTACGTGATCCCATTCCCGACACCTTAAGTACTCATTCCTAACATACATGATTAATTAGGACTTAGTCACGGAATGCTTGAACGATCTCAAGAGCCTTCATGCCCGTATCACCGAGCTGGGGATGTTCAGCCCCAACGAGACACTTGACGACATCTCAACGCGCGACCTAGTCTACCTCACCGTTCCGTACGTCTTCGCCGAAGTCCAAGGACGAGTGCGGACAACGGAACGCGTTGATCGATTGAAGTCCCTCATCCAAGCAGAGGTGCGGTCTTGTGCCGGTTCGGAACATATTTCTTCTGAAGTTGACTCCCATAGCACATCTAGAAATACGTCCAGAACTTCGTGTCGCTGCTGGAGAAGTACAACGTGGTTCCGGAGGACGAGCAGGCTCTGTATCAGCGGAAAACGGCGGAGGTTCCGGATTTCTCGAGAAAGAGAGAGCTCAAGATTAATCAGTATAAGAAAGAGAAGGAGCTGAAGAACAGGATCGAGGTGAGCGTAGGCTAAGGTGTCCATTTCCTTGCGATTAAACGACTTCTCTGGACTAGGCAGTACGCAAACGCACAGGCCAACGTGCAACATCTGATGAAGCCTCCTCCGACTTCGAGCTCATCGCCTCCCTCCTTCCCGCACAATCGTCTCAAGTTCCGAAGCCCGATGATGACCTAGAATCTTCGACCGATGAGATCCTTCGGGAGACAATCACCTTGCTACTCCGACTGTTCTACGCACATGCGAGCTCACAGCTCCAGAGTATGCAGCAAGAGCTGGAGCTTCTCCGAAACGCGCCTCCGAGCCCGATCACGGGCCCAGAGGACTTGGTCAAAGGGGAACATGACCATAGGCACAAGAGGCGGAAGTCGGAGGAGAATGCTTGGAAACTGGATATCCCCGTTCCTGGTGGGCCTGATGGAAAAGGACCACTATTGGATCCTACCGGGAAGGTGAACAATTTTTCATCACGTACTGGGAAGTAAAGAGTGCTCATGTTTGCCCTCGTTCTAGCCTCTTCGACCTTTCACAATCCTACCTTCAGACGCTGGTGAACGTGCTCGCCTGCAGACGCAGGTCTTTGGGTCTGGTCATAACCTGCCAACGATGTCGATCGACGAATATCTCGAGATAGAGCGCCATAGAGGCAATATCATTACTGGCGGAGGGTAAGTTTGCATCTTCTTTTCTCTTCGCGTCGACCAGATGATTGACGTTCATTTCTTAGCTCTGCCTCACAAGCTAAACCAACGTCCTCGGAGCAGCTGGCAATTGATTCGGAGATGGACGGGACGCTGGAAGGTGAGATGAAGGAAGAAGAAAAGCGACAGAAAGACGAGAAGTGGGCGAGGTATACTGATGACAACCCCCGTGGTGCTGGAAATACAATGAATAGGGGTTGAACGTAATACGATAAAGAATGTATATATAGTAAACTGTAACTTAGCCTTTGCCTCGTGAGTCTTCGTGACTATACCGAACGAGTCGAATGGCAGTCTTAATGGCAGGCTGAAGGTCGGCCCTGGAAGAGGTGTTAGAAGAGGTGGATCAAGGATGGTCAAACGCCTTCAAAGCTCCCGAGAATAAATATTAACACATGTAGTATGGATACAGGTATATGAGGGATGAAAAGAGTTAACACTGGCACTGTGAAGCTTCTGGTACTTCGGTGTTCGGTGTTGTGACGTCGATTTCTGACGATGCGTGCAATGAGGATAGAGAACAAGAGCCCGAGATGTAATAGACGTACTCGTGTTGGCATCTCCCTGAGTCTCCTTCTCCATCCCTGGCAGAGACATTGCGATCTTCTTGAACAGACTCTTTACGTTATGGCCTGCCTTCGCCGATGTTTCCATGAACATTATGTTCATTTGTGTAGCCTTGGCTGTCGCCTCTTCTAGAGTTACTTGCCTAACGTGACGGACAAATGGTGAATCGTCGCATGCAGCATTGCCGAGCTATTCGTACGCACCGCTTGTCAGATAAATCAGCCTTGTTGCCCACGAGCACGATGATGACGTCGGTCCCTCGTTCTGATCGAACGTCGTCTATCCATTTTGTTGTTGACAGGAATGACTGGCGATCTGGAGGCAGAAACTCAGGCAAGGCAATCTCCTGGAGGGAGTGGTGCTGCGTACTTGTGATATCGAAAACGACGATGGCCACGGACGAGTCTCGAATATATGATGGAATTAGTGAGCGAAACCGTTCCTTCAGATCAAACATGAGGCAGGGAATTGACACAGAGCCTAGATGTACACGCACTTGACCAGCAGTGTCCCACAGTTGTAGCCTCACTGTCCGATCCTCTAGATACATCGTCTTGCTTAGGAAATCGATGCCGATTGTCGCCTGGTACGTGTTGTCGAAAGTGTCATACATAAACCTAACGAATATTCAGTGAACCGTATTGGAGATAAAGTGGGAGCCGACCTCGTAATAAGGCTGGTCTTTCCAACACTCTGGTCCCCCAGGAGGACAATTTTGGTCCTCTTGGGCGGAGAAGACGAGAAGTCTGCTGAAACGGGAGTCTCTGACATAGCTGAGAATAGAGGCCGTCCTCGTTGTTGTTGCCAGAAAGGTCGATAGAACGAAACCAAGGCAGGAGTCGGGGACCAACAGACGAGCAAGTCGCTTGAAATCACCGCTCCACGTGGGGCTATAGACCCCGATTATGGTACACGTGATCGCCGCGTAAATAAATGAAATCATCTCCTCCAATTTCCCTCTTTCCCAACCCTAATCGCCATCCAGACACCATAGCAGGCATGAAGCTCTCTGACCAGATTAAAGCACAAGATCCATACCACCCCTTTTACACGTTCGAATTCTTCCCCCCACGCACGGATCAGGTCTGTCTGGTCTTCCGTGCGCTTCCATCACCCATGAGGCTCATCTTGCGCGTCTAGGGGTTTGAGAATCTCGTGTCCCGTATTTCGCGACTGTCTACTCTGAATCCGTTGGCACTGAGCGTGACATGGGGCGCTGGTGGTTCAACCAAAGATCGGAGTCTCGAGCTTGCTGGGCTCACTCAAGGCAATGGATTCAATACTATTCTTCATTTAACATGCACAAACATGGAGATGGGTCTCGTCGACGAGGTCTTGAAGGTACCGTTTCTCAAGCGACGATGTGAGTTTTGTTTCTGATTATTCCGTAGGCTGTGAAAGATCAAGGCATCAAAAATATTCTTGCTTTGCGCGGAGGTGTGTCGTTATTTTGCCACGGATATTCAAAGTTAAGTAACGGAGGCTGGTAGATCCGCCACGAGGAGAGGAGGAGTGGATCGCTTCAGATCCACGCTTTACTCGGGCTGCCGATCTGGTCTCCTACATACGCTCTGTGCCGGAATATTCGTCATGGTTTTGCATCGGCGTAGCGGGTTAGCAGTTACCTCATGGAATTTGTTCTCCATTTCACCTTGTACACCAGGCTATCCTGATGGACATGCAGACAGCCTCGTAGAAGAGGACACAGAAATCGGGCGCCTAAAAGAGAAGGTTGATGCCGGTGCCGACTTCATTATCACGCAGCTTTTCTACGACGTAGATCAATTTCTCTCTTGGTACAAGAAAGTCCGACAGAGAGGTTGGTCTTCTGCTGTCTGATATTTTCCAAACTCTCTTATTCTTTGCGCAGGTATCAGGGTACCGGTCATTCCTGGGATCATGCCTATCCAGACCTACTCTTCCTTCGCGAGAGTCACAAAATTATGCGGGGCCAGAGTACCTGATCCTGTGTCCCATGCTTTGGCAGCCATCGGAGTAAGGCTTTCGATTCGAAACCTATAGGTTTTGCCTAATTTTTTCCCCAAAAAAAATCCAGCATGACGACCAACTAGTGAAGGACTTTGGTGTAAATCTCGCCGTAGATATGATCTCAAGGTTAAGAGCGGAAGGCGGCATTTCTGGATTCCACTTTTGCACGCTGAACCTAGAGAAAAGTGTCCAACGCGTACTAGAAAACCTCGGATGGGCGGGCCTCCCAACCATCGCTCCAAATAAGCTTATAGTCGTACGTATCATCTCAAAGGTGTGATGCACAACCACTCATCCTTTGTCAAGGAAACCCCAGCACCCGGCACCCCGACGCATCCTGCACCACATGTCGATCTGACTGTACTGACCACGCCTACTCTTGCCACCACTTTGGCGACACAGAGTCTGTCGGCGACCTCCTTGACGGATGGTGAGGCTGGTCGCGGAGAGCTGAACAACGCCGCCAGCTGGGACGACTTCCCGAATGGTCGTTTTGGGGACTTCAAGAGTCCTGCGTTTGGAAACCAAGACCTCTGGGGCGGTTCTGGTATTTCGGTGGGCAGCACTTCGGTTGTTGTCGCCACGATGTTCTCACTCTCCAACAGAGAAATGAAGCTCTGGCTCAGTGGGGTCATCCAAAGGAGCTGGAAGACTTGACACGGATCTTCCTCGACTATCTTCACTCGAAGATCCCAACGACGCCACTTTCTCCTACGCCGCTGTCTCCCGAGTCACTTATGATCCTGAAACATCTTGAAAAGCTGACAGAACGCGGCTGGTGGACTGTTGGTTCGCAACCAGCCATCAGCGGTGCCAGTTCGTCTGATTCCGTGGTGGGGTGGGGTCCTCGGTCGGGATATGTGTTCCAGAAATGCTTTGTAGAGTTCTTCTGTGAGACGAGCGACGTGGAGGCGATCGAAGAACTGGTTCGTGAGCGAGGAGGAGGTTGGGTCCATTATTTTGCATCCAATAATGAGGTATTTGCATGTTGTCTTTGGGTTGAAGCCAGGGAACTTTCTGACTGGGGTGACGTTAGGGTGAATGCCGTAGTAATGTCCCGGCAGACGGGAGGAATGCGGTCACTTGGGGTGTTTTCCCTGGCAAAGAGATCATCCAAACCACAATCATTGAGAAAGCGTCGTTCCTGTCGTGGAAGGTACGTCTTGCCTGTCCTTCCTTTCCGCGACTTCTGTTATCCTATTTGCAGGAAGAGGCGTTTTTCATCTGGTCCGAGTGGGCATCGTTTTATCGACCTGGGTCTGCAGAAAGAAAGCTGCTAGAAGGCGTGAGGGATAACCGGTGGTTGGTGAGCTTGGTCCATCATGACTATAAGAACACAGAGGCGCTTTGGACCTTCTTGTTTGAAGATGGAAAATGTGTCGCAAACGGTGTTCAATAATAGTAGAATTTATGCGTCGATGCTTAGTTGTGATTGACGAGGACAGGGAGTGGCCATCCAGGTGGTACACTACGATGGTGGGTCAGAGTGGGGCTTTGTCATGGACCATACGTTTGCTGTCGAAAGGATATTCTCCGGGTGAGGTGCCAGACGTATTCAAGAAGTTCGAAGGGTCATGGGAGAGCGCTGGGAATTTAACTAAGTTGAAAACTAGATGAATTGGAGGGAGGGGAGAAAGCAAGTTTGACGAACATCACATGAAGTCCGACGGCTCCTCCTCGTACTCCTCATTTTCATCGTCCGTTTCTTCATCATCTCCAGAGCCAGCAGCGCCCTCTTCATCGAGGTCTTCCATGCTTGCGTCGAGGTCTTGAGTAGACTCGTTCTCGCCATCGTCTTCTTGGATAGTGGGCGCGGCACCGCTTGCTTGAGACGAGTCATCCGAATCCTCCTCAACGCAATCAGAGTTAATACGCGCCACAACGGGACGCAAGTAACTCCGGATACTTACATCGTTCTTCTCCTCTTGCTGCGTGAGGGACCTGCCAATGGGGATGAGGAAAGTAAAACCACGCTTGCCGACAGCGGTGGTCTGTGCGCTTGGGATGAGGACACGGACGCGCTTCGTAAGATGAAGAGATACGGACGAGGTCTTCGAGCTCGTTCTCTTCGTCGCTGAGATCGTCCATCTCTCGCTGAAGATCGCGAACTTGGTTCAAGTGGCCGTAGACGCGTCGTTTGGAGAGGGGCATTACATGTGGCTGTGGCGGTTTTGCGAGCAGGAGGGGAAATATGGGCTCTCGTGGTATTAGCGTTGGTGTTGCTCCAGACATTGCTTCAGAGCGGTGCAGAAGTGGGAGTGGAAAGAAGGCAGATGATGAAGCGCCTGTTCTCACATGACGTCTCGACCCTGGGTGCGACCTGTGCAGTGTACTGGGACAAACGAGTTGATTCATGAGAGTGACGAGTCATCTCGACACGGAACGATTCTCTTCCCTTCATATATACCTCAAACTACCCAAACTCCCTTTATTCCCTCCCCACGCTCCGGACGCGCCAAATCCTGCACACCGTCCGACAGCATCATGGCGTCAGAAGTGCCCGAGACACTCCCTACGCCCGAAGAGAATGCTGTAGAACAGGAACCTTCACTTCCCTACGAGGATCTGGCTGAACTCGAGTTCTCCCAAGTCCGTCAAGGTCCACGTATATCCTCTGTTCACAACTTTCCCGAACAGTTCTATGGCCCAGTCTCAATACGTGCGTCTATGCTAAATGTCGCGCGCCTTTCGTTGATGCCTTATCTCAGGAAATTTTATTGCTGGACATACCAAGAAGGTCCTTAGGACGTCGGTCTCTAAGAACGCTCTGATACTGAGGGAGGTCTTCATCAGGTTGCCGATTGAGCTCAAACTATGTGTACGTCCCTTAAGTAATCGACTCTCCCCTCGTTTCTAACTTGCACTGTAGGTCTTGGAGCACCTTCACCCACTGGACCTGTACCACTTCTCCCAGGTGTCAAAGGCGTTGAGGAGAATCATCATGGACCCCAAGGCAGCGGGAGTGTGGAAAACGTCGTTCGAACACCACTCCGGCCTACCTAAACCTCCTCCCTTTGTGGCTCGGCCCCAGTGGGCACACATGCTTTTTGGACCTGGAATTTGCGGGGTAAGCATATGGTCGCGTTCTATAAATAACACGCGTTTATGCCGTCCATGTAGGAATGCGGAAAGCTTGGTGCACTGACAGACTTTGGCCTCCTCAAGCGTCACTGTGAGCCATGCATGGTACGTTGACTGTCCCGGCTGCTTGTTGAATCCAATACTGACGTCCTCCCGTAGCTCACCTGCACCAACTTTACAAACGGTTTCAAGGACACTTGCGGCCGTGGTGTACCACAGGATCATGCCATTTGGTCGCTCATACCCCGTTCCTACCGATACAGTAAGTGCTTGATACGGTGGATGTATATCCTGTCTTACCAATGCAGACGCTATGCGCTATACTTCGGCCCACCAGACTCAGTCCAACGCCCGATTCGTGGAAAAAGACTTCCGGCCGATGATCAAGAAGATTACATTAATACACCTTTTGATAGATAATGGTGTATCTCAACTTTCCGAACCATTTGATGAGTATAAGGAGGCGTTGTCAGCACGGATCGCGGAATTGAATGAGGTGCGTTGAACTCCTCAGCTTCTCGAGATGTATCCTGATTATTTGGTGTCAGCGTGCCGCCGAGACCAATTCCTGGGCATTGGAAATGTACCGCCTGTGCACGAACGAATGTGACAATGCCTACAGAGATAATACTGAAACGTAAATAACACATCTATCTCGAAGAAACATACCAATTTCTGATACCTTTCTCTCTTATCAGATACAAGAAACGTCTTCTCAATCTCGGACACGAGGCTCAGGATGTTGACTATGTCCAATACTCAATTTCTCATGCTCTTCGTAAGAATGTTGTCCTTAATCTGACACGCAAAGGTGAGCGACGTTGTGAAGCCGGTGACTATGGGTATCTAACACGTTAATGGACTGCCAGCATTCCGTAAGCTACGGCCACTAGTGGAGCAGATCGTAAGAACCCGCAAGGAAAACCGTTTGAAAGTTGAGCGCCAGCAGCTCATCCAAGGCATCTACAAAGACTACCTGAAGTCACAGAACCCAGACAGCTGGCAGTACCTTCCGCAAGAACACCTCGTTCGAGACATCGATGGTTTCTCCGACTTCCTTAATGCACCGTTCGACAAGCGGGGCGACCTTTCTCCCGGTTTCGCAGCGTCCCTCTTCCCAGACTTCATCTCGAACTGGACAAGGACACAGCAGGAGGAGACAGTTGGTCTCCTGCCCCAGGTCGGTGGCGAAGAAGATATACTGGCGAAGTTGCGCCGGCTCGAGCTCGTCACATCCGTCTTCACCTGCAACGACTGCAAGTACAAGTATGCGGACGGCCGCGTGTTGCTCGGATGGAATAACATATGTAGGCATAAGCGCGGACTAGTGCCAGGGCACACTTCCCCGTGCGGGTCGTACACGCTCGACGAGGACGCGGTAGCCGCGGCCACGGCGCTGGTGTCGTGTGTCGGCCTCGACCCGTCAACAACGACGATCAAGCAAATGGACGAGCGCGACGATAGGTTTATGTGCGGAAACTGCATGTCCGAGACATCAAGAGGGGTTACGGGGCTGAGGGTCTACACGTGGAGAGAATGCGTATGTCAACTTCACTTGCTCTTTCTTCTGTCCTGTTGACCAGACTTGAATATTTGAATGGCTGTCCGATCCGCAGATTTATCATGTCGTCGAGGAGACCCTGCAGAACGACCCGGTCCATTCGCTTGCCTCATGGATCCTTTTGACGCCTGAGGCCGCAAGATTTGTAAAGGAGCAGGAGCACCCCCACCCCCACCCTGTCCAAGAAGTCTGGCGGTGCAATCTTTGCGCGGAACACTTTGATACGCGTCTTATCCAGAGCCAGGCGATCGATCATGTGAAGCAAGTGTATGTCTACCGTTTCTTTCTCTCATTCTGGGATATGGAACATCGACCCACTTTTTAACCAGTCATTGCATCAAAGAGCCCGTAGTCGGCGTCGACGTCGTGGTTGACAGGAGACAGAATGTTCGAAGGCGACGTCCATTCCGTCTAGGCTTGGATCCCGCATTTGAGTATCGATGCGACAGGTGCCCGGAGATGGGCATCTACAAGCTGTGGCCCTTGGAGAAATTGATGGAACACTTGCTCAAGAAGTATGTTGGTGTTTGTACCTACAGTTTCTGTTCCTGACTATTTTGTGGTTGCAGACACAAAATCTCTGAAGCAATTGAAGGTGAGGACTGGACAAAGATCAAAGTCATCGCCAACACTGCATCTGCCTCTCCGTCTACGGATGACTCGCCGGAACCAATCACTGAAGGACAATAGCCAACTCCTGCACCCTACGCCACCATGCCTCTTTTTTCGCATTCACATTCGCATTGTCTCCATCACCCATCATGTACCATATATCATCCATGCATCTTCGCCCCTACTTTAGTTCGTTCTTACCCCTCCATTTCATGCTGATACCTAGAGACTTCGTACATACTGACGATATTATGACACATATGCCAAACTACTTTCTGGATGTTATAAGAACTCCGAAACAACCACCCCATAAATAATACGAATATCTTAAGTTGGAGACCAGCTACTAGGGTATCAAGTCCTGTGCATCGGCTAGTGGTGCTCCTCGGATGTTCTTCGACTGACGAGGTCGAAGGGCGAGCGGTCGTATCCAGAATTTGATCACGCCGCTCTTTGTAGCAGTCATAATGCTACGAGGGAGGAATTGCAGACATGTGAGGAGGTCACAATCAAGTTGCTTGATCTAGAAGTAGTGATTTAAAAGGTGTTGCAACTACGGACAAGAAGTCGCCTCACAAGGACGGGTTGCACGAAAGCAATTTCATTTCGTGATGGCGCAGGGTGGTATCGCGATACAGCGTCATCAAGGCCTGGAGAGTTCATAGAAGGTAGATATTGCACAGACTTGTCTCGACGGTTGGCTAGGGAGAGCGTCGAGGCCATTGACATGCGTTGGTGATGGGTCGCCTGGAATTTCGGTCGATGGAGAGCACCACTAGAGAAGTCCCACTTCGAAAAGTGTCAGTGTAAAGGGCGACGACGGGAAAAAAGCCAAAACCAACTAGTATTAGTTTATTGTCCTCGCCTACGCTGCCAAACCGGTATGTCCTTCCGTCGCACCGGAGATCGTCGAAACCAACGGCTGAGACAAAGGATGAATGCCCTTGACACCGAGCAACAACTCGTTGTTCCCAAGGCGAAAAGATGGTAAGAAGATCGTCTTGTCCGCCAGTCTGAAGCAATCGCGGTCAGAGAGTGCTCGTTGTACGAAGTGTCTTCGGCGTACCAAGATAAACCTGCCATCGGGGGACCAGGCGACGCATGTAAGAGCTCCGAAGTAGGATGCATAGCAATCGACAAGTCTACGGTGCACTTGAAGTCAGCAGCAGTATGAAGGGGTCAAAGTAACGACATACTGTTCGGCGAGTGCGTCTATTACTCTTAAGCAACCATCTTCGGAGATGGCAGCAACGTACTTGACGTCGGGAGAGAACACAAAGTCTGCAGCAAAATGTTTGAATCAATTCAATGTCACTAGACTGAGGACGCACCCACAACACCCCTCCTTGATAGGCGCCAATGGCTTACAGGGTTCTTGGCTGCCTTCTCCTTGTCTGACTTCCCAGGTGCCGCCAAAGCACCTCCTGATGTTACAGGATGCCATGGGGGCATTGTCACGAAGATACTGTCTAGAGGATCCCACTCTTGGTGCGGTCCATCTTGCGTTGTCAGACCGTTAGAGTCTGGCAGGGGTGGTGCGTTGGGGTCATCCGGAGTGAAGACGCCGTCTTCTCGTTCCTTGTCGTAGACGAGGATTGTCCCGTCGGCATGAGAGACTAGGAATAGTGTGGACGACGAAGGAACCCATCGTACAGCCGTACATGGAGAACCTGTAATTGAGCCCTTTGTCCACGATTAGTTCCTCTGGAAGGAGAGTAAAGAGACAGGCGCCTGACTTGCTTGTTGAGACGCCCGTATCGAGAGTTGATGGGATCTAGAACAAGCCTCGAGATGAAGGAGCATATGAGTTGTCGTGGTTAAACAGCGTACCGAGCCATATTAGATCGCCAGTGTTAAACCCAATGATAACGTCTAGGTGATCAGGTGTTGCAGTAGAGATGTTAACGTCGTGGCAAGTCGGATATGCAGAAAAGGTGATTCTGGACAACGGTTCCTTGCAGTACATCAGGCGATCGACTAACGGGGGGAAGCATCGTGGTTGATACCTTCGCCTTAGAACCTGCCTCCACCCACACGAAGCTTTTGGCCATGTTGTAGAACATGAAGGTGACGTCCCCCTGCTTGGACCCCAGCGTTTTCGTCAACCCCTCCGCAGTTTGAATTCGAGTGATAAAAGTGGACGAGGTGGTCTTCATGTTATTCCTCGGTCGTGCGGCGGTCTTCTTCCTTCCAGCGGCGGGCAGTGGACGCGAGAATAGTGTGGGCGGCTCATGCACCACCGAGTTGTTGCCGGCAGCGTGTTCTTGAGAGGACGTCTGTGGAGGATCACTTTCATCTGGGGTGTCACTGCTCGACAGACTGACGCCATCGTCGCGATCCCTCACGGCCTTCTCTGGCTTGTCCTTCTTCGGCTCTGACTTTCCGCCACCGAGCAGCTGCGCGAATCCTGGTGCGCCGCCCTGTTTCGTGGGGGGAAACCGCAGAACGACAGGGGAGACCCTTGCGGGGTAGATTGGGGTTCCGGCGTTCGCTGCGACGTTCTGGATGAGGTTTGGCTTGTGCTCATCGGTAACTGAGTAGACGCCTTCTGGGGCGACGAACGTGGACTCGTTCTCCATACGCGGGAGACGGAAGACGCAGCGCGCTCGGTGTCTGTGCGAAATAAGGCAACCGGCGCGTCAGTGATGTCAGGCATGTTCTCATTATTTTGGTCCACCACCCAGATGGCACGTCCGGATCTTAGCCTGCCTCTCCCTCTTTCATGCCTCTCCTCAAATCCCCTCCCCACCTCTCCAATGCCGCTAGAACTCTCACTGCTCGCCATGCAATATCCCCAGCAGCCGCTAGACACCGGCGCTGTAACTCCACGGTAGAACCTCCCCCGGCGGGTGGCCATTTGCCCTCGATCGCAACCTCACAGATCCTGAGAACGAAGCGAGAAACTGCTTTGCGCACCCCTGGTCTCTCATGGGCTGATGAAGACGCCTCTGCACCCTCGCGCACTATCGTTGGTGGCCGCGAAACGCGTAAGATGAACACCTACCAGGCTATCCGCGACGCGATGGGCATCGCTCTTTCCAAGGACGAAAACGCGGTAGTCTTTGGTGAAGACGTAGCTTTTGGTGGAGTGTTCCGGTGCACCATGGTCTGTTCCCGTAAATCTACCCTTTATCCTTCTTCTTGACGAAATGTTGTGTTCCATATTGCCAGGGGCTGTCCGAGGAATTCGGTATGATGTCCATCCTACGCGGTCCTCGACCATTCTATATCTCTATCCACAGGACGAGAACGCGTCTTCAACACGCCTTTGACAGAGCAGGGCATTGCAGGCTTTGGGATCGGGCTTGCGGCGATGGGACACACAGCTATTGCGGAAATACAGTTCGCGGACTACATCTTCCCAGCCTTCGATCAAGTATGTTCTTTGTTATGCTATTGTATGTTTCAGGCTCATGATACGCTTCTCGTAGATTGTGAATGAAGCCGCCAAAATAAGGTACCGTTCTGGTGGATCCTTCAACGTCGGAGGACTTACCATTCGCACACCCACCATGTCTGTGGTGAGTACTGCCCAACTGCTACAGCATCCACCCACCCATAGCACTCACAATCCTAGGGACATGGAGGTTTATACCACTCTCAATCTCCTGAAGGGTTCTTCATGGCCGCCACCGGATTGAAGGTAAGTGCACCGCCTTGGTCATCTATCTCTTGCTCATAGCAGTCAAGGTCGTGATACCCCGGTCCCCTATTCAAGCTAAGGGCCTGCTTCTGAGCTCTATCAGGGATCCTAATCCCGTCATATTTATGGAACCTAAGATCCTTTACCGATCAGCTGGTCTGCACCTTTTCATAGCCTGACGCGCATGCGTTCTAACTTTGTTGGTGCTTCTAGTCGAACAGGTCCCGGTGGACGATTTTGAACTTCCTCTTGGGAAAGCCGAAGTTCTCGTCCCCGGGTCGGACCTCACTCTTCTCACATGGGGCACGCCAGTTTACCATTGTGAGACTGCTCTCCATATGCTCAACTCCCCACCACCCTCATTGGAGGCTGTCGTCCCGAAATCAGCCCGATCTGCGAAGATTGAACTTATAGACCTTCGATCCATCCTGCCCTGGGACGTCGAGAATATCGTCGACAGCGTCAACAGAACTGGCCGTCTGGTTATCGTTCACGAAGCTGGGTTAACTGCTGGTGTTGGTGCCGAAATTGCTGCTGAGATTCAGAAGAGGTGTTTCCTCAAGCTGAATGCTCCCGTCAGGAGAGTTGCAGGATGGGAGTAAGTATTCTGTCTTTATCTCCGGACGCACGTATTAATTTATTTCTAGCATTCCCGTGGCATTACACTACGAGAAATTCCATATACCAGATGCAGTTCGCATTCTCGACGGAGTGATGGAGACCCTGTCATACTGAGTAGACGAGCACGAATAAATTATACAGTCAGAAAAGGACAAAAGGCATGGGTGCTTTTTCCTATCGGTTAGTTCGTCAGCCGTCTCTTGTTGGCGGTCGCGTTTCGAAGAGTTATCCTCCATCGAGTCATGATTCGAGAAGATAGCAATCCAGCTTCCCAAGCAAGCATAAGCCTTTCCTTGTGCCATCCGGACAGTCCTTCACTGGAGATGCAGTAGCTGCGAAAATGGCGATCTTTCACAAGCTCGCGTTCCACTTGTCGCAGGAAATTAGCCCGTTCGAGAGATGTGTCCACGATGCGTTCGATCCTAGCCGAGTTCGAAGATAGAAGGGAAACAATTTTGTCGAGGTGAGCGAACAGCGGCGCTGACGTCTTCGGAGTGTGTCGCTTGAGTCGCTTGCCCTGATGCTCAGGGAGAAGAGGGATACAGCAAAACAGAAACTCTTGGCCCGTATGACCAACTTGTGGGTCGAGACACGAAAACTCTAGGGTGAACGTCGCCCCGCTCTTGTGTTTCCCTTGTATCTCGAGAAGAGCAGAAGCTAGAGAGTGACAAGGCACTGAATCCAAATCATGGCTGCAAGTTGGTGGCGAGTGTGGGTCCTTCGTAAATTTAACCGGCCGACACTCTGAGGATGCTGTCGAATCGTGGGTCAAGGTCAGAGTGGCCAAAAATTTCGAACTCAGGTCATTTCTTGTACTTACGTGTGGTCTGCATTGACAGGGCAAGGGATTTAACCGTCACGGGCAGTATATCAACAGCATATATTCGGACTCACTGTTGAATTACTGAACTCTTGTTCGATTAGCCACCGTGCGATCTTCGTCCACCAGTTCTTTTCTACCCGGATCTTGAAAGTATAGCCGTACATGAGCAAGTTGCCTCTGAACAGATCTGTGAGGTCGCCAGAATCCCGAAGTTCTAGGCTTCCAGAAAGTAGGTATTGGAAGAGTTCCGTTATGCTGATATACACGTGGCATCCGTTTATTTTTATGCCTTTGAAGTGGCAGAGGAGATGAGAGGGCCATGCGCCAGAAGTTGGAGTGAAGACCGAAGACAGAGCATGAAGCACTGGAGGAGGGATTTTGGGATTTCTCAAGGTCGTTTGACGGCGGTCGGCTGCGCTGAGACAATTTTTACGGCGTAGGACCAGGAAAGAAACTAGAAAGAAGAAGATAGGCAGCAACACTTTGAGAAATGGACTGTTTTCGACCAGCCTGGGAAGGTGACTGGGAATCGAAGAAAGAGCCAGAGGACCGGTGTTGACCAGCTGAGAAATACTAGGGCTGAGAGATAGCGACAGGGCTGAGCGTTTCAGCTCCAAAATATGTGGGCACAAGGCCATGGCATTGGGCTGTGCTTGGTGTGGTGGTGGTTGGAAGGCAAGTAAGCAGCTCCTATTGAGTCGATTCCCGGCCCGCACTACCCTGCGCCAAGCACGAGGAGCCCTCAGCCAATCTAATTCTGGCTGACTGAGACTACATACCATGTCCCTGACGCGCTCATGATGGAACAGTTGTTCAGCGGGCATCGTTTCCGACGGCCACGAGGCTATCCTCTTCTGCTTGCTCTCCTAATTCCCGAGGCCTCGAAATAGAGTTCCCTTCTATTCCCTTCTATTTCAAACTTCTTTGCGACACGGTCAAATTCTCTGCTCTGTGATGCCCTCTCTACGAACTAATCTCCTGTTCTTGTGCATGTGCTCTCTGGCGTCGGGGTATCATTGGCCATCACCACACTATGATGTTCTCGAAGCGTTACTTTATGAGGGAAGGAGAGTGGATGGTTCCAACATGGCGTCGCTTCAGCATCCCTGCAAGCTTAGGGGAAGCACACAAGCATCGATTGGTGCTGAATGGCTGCGTCTAGTAGGTTGTACACATGCTTTAGTTTACTCTACTGATTTTGTGTCTAGGCATATCACGATTCCGCAACTCATGATTCACTGGCAGGAACTGGCGGACTTGACGCATCTATCGCATTTGAGCTAGATCGAGAAGAGGTTCGCTCTTCTTTTATTCGCGCATTTCGTCCTCATTGATTTTATCAAGAATATCGGGGACGGGATGCATCAGACTTTATCAGACTTTGAAACGTTCTCAAACAAATACGTCTCTCGTTCGTGGTTTTCTCCGAGCACAGCAACCAGATCACTCATGGCACTTGCATATTGCAGGGGCGGATGTAATTGCGCTTGGAACGACTTTCGCAGTCGCATCTTGTGGAGGTCCTATAATTCCCTTCCGTGGTGGTAGAATCGACACGTACTCAGCAGGCCCACCTGGTGTCCCTGAGCCGCATCAGGATCTTCCAACACATACCGCTCTTTTCAAGCGTCAAGGATTCGATGAGACAGATATGATCACACTCGTTGCTTGTGGACACACTTTGGGAGGCGTTCGAAGTCATGATTTTCCAACGATAGTGCCGCCAAACAGCGACCCCACAATATCCAACGTCAACCTCTTCGATTCAACCCATGCCTTCGATAATAATGTGTTTGTACGATCTTCATATTGAACGTCAGCGCCAGTTAAGCTTCGGTATTCAGGATTACCCAATACCTGGACGGCACGACTGAGAACCCGCTTGTGACAGTCGGAAATACGACGTTGAGATCAGATCTAAGGATCTTCTCAAGTGACGGCAATGCCACCTTTTCAAGGTAAAAATATAATTCGTTGTGTGGCTATTTGACTCTAACACATTTTCTGTAGACTGACATTGTCGGAGATGTTCATGCAGTCCTGTTCCAACGTCTTGGAAAGGATGCTCAACACCGTTCCTTCTTACGTTACGCTTACGGAACCAATTGATCTACTGCATGCAAAGGTTGCGAGTTCACATTTGACGATTGAAAAGGGTGAATTTGTCTTCAAAGTCACATTTCGTGTCAGTTCCCGTCTTGTTCGAGGTCAACGGACTTGAATCTTAATGCCTATTCTATAACTTGTTGCTAGCTGACTCAACCCATTGGCACCACCATCAAGAGCACACGGACCGTGAAAATCCTGTGGTGTGATCGCTACGGCTCGAATGGTGATTGCCAGCAACATGCCAATTCAGCCCTTCCAGCGACCCTCTCCCAGGATGATCCCGAAATATCACCTGTGACCTATCATCTTGGCCTTTTCTTTGTGCGATATGACTTTGTCCTTCCAATCGAACCATTACTGTCCATCTCTCTTTTTTGGTTCGAAGTCGATGAGGGCGATGGGACACCTCCACGATATTACGACAATAATTCAACTGGATATATTGTGGCCCAGGATCAACTCTTGTATATTCCTTCCCTTAGTTCTGTCAACCTTCATGGGAGGAATGACACATTGAAGACCTATGACATAGTTGCCGCGGTAAGAGGCCCTATTTTCTCTCACTTCTTGTCTGCTCATCTGTCCTTCTAGGTTCGTTCCAATGCGGAGCCTTCTCGTGTATATCTAGACGCATTCGACAACGCCATGGAAAACTATCTTCCTCCCCTCAACATCTCCATTGACATGAAACGTAATCACTCTATACCGGACGCTGGAGGATTCCGATTTTATTCGGCTTCTCTTAACGACACAGGCACACAACTAACTGTGGACCTTCACACCGTCATCAACGGACATCTCTTCACTGAGGACTTTATGCAAACTTTCTTTATTGATGAAAATATACCCTACACACCACCGACGGCAGTTCAATCCACCATTATTCCCGCACCCTCTCCTTCCGCGACCTCATCGTCAGGTACTGACTTAGGGGAGTACCGTGACATACCAATTCATAGTTCGATTCTACTGAGGCTACTTCCACTTTTGATTGCAGCATTAATTATTTACTGTTAATCGGTGCCACCTCTGCATCTTTCCAAGTAGAGCACCAGGACAATTATAATTAGCGCGTGGGTTCCAGTCTGGCTCTTGATCAAATGACACTCCGTGACAAGATACGCGGTATGTCACTTATCAGGTGTGTATCACGTACTTCAACTTGTCACGCGAGTAGCTACTAGCTCCAAATCTCTCTTGACAAACTGACCATCCCTTGGTCTGACATCCATTCTTTTCCCCGCCATTCCTTCTGGACAACAGATCTTTGACTACCAATGCCCCCACGAAGCGGCTCATTATCAGACCCGTTGGACGCTCTGGTTGTCCAATCTGCACACGATATATTTCGCCACGGCGTCGAGGAGACGAAATGCATCGCGGGGAGGATTCGCATGGCTTGGGACGCTAAGGGCAAAAGGAAAGAAACCTTGGTGCAAGTACCTGGCGAGCTTGGACAGCAACCTGCCATGTTTCGAATCTACTTCCAGCTCCCAGAAGAACACCTCCAGTTGCTCGGCATCTCATCGCAAGACACTTTTCGACTCTCGCTTCGAGGTGTCAAGGTGGAGACATTGGTCCAGCCGCCAAAGGCCTCGAGTATTGCTATGCAGCTTGTGGTTTCAGAAGGGGTGCATATTTACTGGGAGCGCCAGGGAGAGGAGAGGAAGACTCTGAATACTTGGCTCGGTATGTCAGTCTTGCATAACTGTGTACTAAACTCTTATCGCCTCAAATTAGCCACCAGCCTTGGTGTAGTTGATGACAATAACTGGTTTGCATCTCCTGAACTGGCCTCGTCTACGCGACCCAAAGGGGTGGGGAAGCGAAAGCGCGAAGACGCGAAACTTGACGTTCAAGAAAGCATGGGCACTGAGGGAAGTAAGAAGGAGGCGAAGAAGCGTATGAGATTCGAGGCAAAGCGGCTGAGGCGAGCGGAAGCTGCAAAATCCAAGGCTGAGGAGGACGCGAAATCATCAGCATTATCCAAATCTTCGTCACCGTCTACTTCTGCTGCTCCAATGAAGACCAGCCGTGTTTCTACCGGAAATGGTAGCGAGAGTGCATCACCTCCTGCGCCGACATCCGCAAGTTCTTCGTACTCCCCCCTTGACTTGCTAGCAGGGTGTCAACTTGGATTGGTGAGAAAGCAGACCTTCTCACTAACCCGAAACTTTGGCTGACCATTGTTCGCAGCTCACATATGCTGCCATAAGCGAAGTTCGCCGAAACCAGACGGTACACTTAATCGGAATTGTTACTGAGGCCTCTTCTCCCCGTACAACCCGTACAGGAGGTGCGTTCTACTTCGCTGTGTTTTCTATTTGGTTGCAGACACGATCCATGCAGAGTGGATGCGTTACCTTCATATTGTCGACCCAAGCAATTATCATCCAAACGGCACAGGTTTTAAAATCAATTGTTTCGCCAAGCGGTACGAAGCCTGGTTACCTCACCCAGCTCCTGGAGATGTCCTCATCCTACAAAACGTCAAAGTACGTATTTCTGAGTTTCTCCTAGATGACCCTGACGAGTATCCTTAGATTGATGATTATAACAGTCATTATGTAGGTGTAGGCTATGGTAACAAACTGCGCTGGGCTGCGTTCTCTCCATCGAAAGGAACTGTACACCATGGTCCCAAAAACAGTGCTCCAAAAGAAGAAGGTCTCGCAGAAGGAGGATTTGGTGTCAATTTCTCTCCATTTTTGCGGCCTCAGGCAGATGAGATCACATATTGCGTCAAGGTGTCCGATTGGTGGGGTGAAGTTCAAAAGCAGAAATACGCCTCAGACGACGTGGCGGTCATGCCAGACGTAGCTCATACAGCGCATAAAACCAATTTATCGCGAAAAAGGATCCATAGACTGATCAGCGATGCTGGACCTCACGTGCCCCCTGATGGCTACTTTGACTGCACCATTGAAGTAGGTGTTGCCGCATCGTCTTCGTCCACATCACTGACGTCCGCATCTAGGTTTTAAAAGGTAACCCAACAAACACTCAATCCGCGCTGACATATACCCTGTATGTGACGGATTATACCCGCAACGAAGAAATGAGGGGTGTTCAAAGCAACTGGTGCCCGTCATCCCTTTCGGACTATGTTCTTCAACTTGAAATGTGGGACGCCGCAGCCGTACGGGCCCAGAAAATGCGCCCAGGCCAATACTACTATATTGAAAATGCTCGCATGCGCATCAACACTGCAGGTTACCCAGAGGGTAAAGTGGCGCAGGACAAAATATATCTTTTAGAAGAAGAGGACTCCGTGAAGAATTCGAACCTGAGGGCCCTCCTCGAGTTTGTTCTTATCCTGCGCCGAACTGAAGTGAAACTGAGCACATCCCTTCTAGGAGAAAACAAAAATGGCAATCCAGACAGGCGATCGCAGAGCCGGACATGCAGTATCAATTAGTGCAAGACGTCGTGGAAGCTAAGTTTTTCCACTGCGCTGTGGTGGTCAGCTTCGTATCCATTTTATATACCGTTTAATCTCTCATTACTCGCATAGCTACTGAAAGCGATGCTCAGAAAGGACCAGACGCCATGCATCTACGTCACCGACTATACATCGCATCCTCAGTTAAAGAACGTCATCATCAATGAACCGTGGGCGAAGAGCCTTTCAGGTCGGATTGTGAAGATCACACTGTCCGAGGAACAGAAAGAGGTGGCAGAGTCCGCCATTATTGGAGCCTTCTACAGCATCCGGAAGTTGAGGTTGAAATACAGCGCCGTCGAGGACTGCTTTTGTGGTTTCCTTGGTGGGAACGAAAAACTCATAGTGGCCCTCAATCCCAACCGAACTGATAACGAACATCTTAATGGTCTTCTTCGGTCAGTATGTCTCTATGCTGATCCACTGGTTGTTAATTTTCTTAATTTCAGTCGTAAGGAAGAATGGGAAATGATACAATATCAAAAACAAGACTCCCCTGTTCCTCAACACTCCATCGCGAAGGCTGAGCAAAATAGTGCTTACACTCGCATCAAGGACATCCCAGCCGCGGATGCAGGCCCTCGCGTATTTCGCATTTCAGCTCGAGTTGTGGACTACCACCCACTTGACTTGCAGGATGCATTTTATCAATTTTGCACGAAATGCAAATTAGAGTATGTTTTGGTCCATTCTTTGATGAGTTCGTGTTCACTCTGCCCACAGGATTCCGAATAAGTACAGGGCATGCCTGAGATGCAGTGATTCGGAGTACGCGTACGTGCAATATATGTATCAGCTATATATCATGTTGGAAGACGAAGACCAAAACCAGCTAATCGTCTCAGTCAATAATAATGTATGTCCAATTTCTCGGGTGTTTTATGCATTGTACTTAGCCCCCATAGTGCTCTCTTCTCAACGGCCTGAAGCGAGGATGTATACGAGAGGATGCACAACTTCGACGGGACTTCTCCCTGCGATTAAAGCCGGTCCTGGGGAATCTGGCGACAGTTCACAATGCTTTGCGGGCAGATAAGAACATCGAAGTGGACACGCCGTGGTGTATTTTCGAGGTGGATAGTTGGTTCATGCCAGAGGGGAGGCATGCCTTCGGTTTGAAATCATATAACGTGGTTTCATAGACAGTCAAGTAGAGTTGACCAACACTTGTTCTCAAAATAGGTTTTCCGATTATTGTGCTGGGTATAAAAGAACGAAAAAGAAATAAAAAATAGAAAAGAGGGGGAGCTTGTGTGCGCCTCAAAAACAGCTTCACGGCAGGGCAGACGATCTCGAGGGCGTCATCCCAATGCTCGGAATGGGAAAATTTTCTCTCGTGCGCTTCGAGATTGCCAAATTGGACGGGCCGGGGTCTCCGCGTCGCACTGACAAGTATTGACCGCCTTGCTGACACCAAATTCAAGGCAAAAGAATACTTCATAGAATTTATTGCACCATCATGATACAAGACCAAGTGGTGAATATGGGTGGATTCCGCTGCTCTCGCGGTTCCAGGAGCCTACTCAGTTTCCTGCTGTATGGAAAAGAAATATTTGTGGCTGTGCGGTGGCAGAACTTAGGGGCTCGGTAGCTACCTCGTTCCATATTCCATCGTGCTTGGTGCACCTACCACCACCAAAAATTGACACACGAAAGAATATATTGTTTGTAGTCTACCTGTAAGTTTACAGCCGGAAGACTACGCTGGAAGCTCGTGAAAATCATTAAGAGATGTGATGTGTCAGCTTTCTCAGGCAGGTATTGGCAGATACCCATGGGGTAAACCTCAAAAGGTAATTATTGTCAAAAGACTCAGACAGCCGAAAAAGAACGACACCAGCAGGATTTGAACCTGCGCCCTCAAAGAGGAACAGATACCTCATTCGAATCTGTCGCCGTAACCACTTGGCTATAGTGCCCTGTTGAAAAGGAAAGGGAATTTACCATAGGTAGTAAGAATCTGTTTGCTTAAGTACATAAAGATTTAAGAATGGCCTCTCCACCGGTTCTCCACCAACCAAGCCCAGTTCATGTTAGTCTCCCGATGGCAGACTCCAATATCCGTTGATGATGAGTCGATCAACTTTTCATATGGAAGTTTAGGCTTGTCAACTCGAATCCGAACGCAGCCCGGCCCTTATGTGATCAAATTGATTTATGATGGTATTGATAGCATGTCTATTTGTATGGAATGCCATTCTGGAGCTGGAAGTCTGTCAGTCATCAAGCGAGGAAGACCCCGAAGAGACCACATTGCTTACCCTCTGGAATTCATCATAGGCGGTACTTCTGACATTCTCGTGAGCATTGCGAATAATGCCCATCATATAGTCAGCGGCCTGTCTCTCGTTCAGATGCAAAGCAAACCGATCCCTCAATCGACGGATAGTCGGCTCCCCTTTGAAGGATGGCAGGCCAGAATCCAACATCAGCTGAACAGTGCCGATGATTTGTTCTGCATATGGTCGGATAGCCAAAAAAGCTCTGACTGTGAGGTTTTGGAACAGCTGATAACCCTGAGAGTAGCGGCCTCCCATCAACACGACCATTTCGTGATTAAGTTTGAAAGAGCTAGGCTCAAATTTGACACCCTAGTCATTGGAGGTCAAGTCCAATGCATGCCATGGGAAGGAAAGAGGAACATACTCCAGGACGTAGCTGACGCAGAATGCGAGGTAAGTATAACCACTATTTAGCTCAACAAACGACACTCATCTATGTCGAACAAAAACCCGAAATCTGTCGAGAGAGGTTAGAAGTCTGGCTTCTCGGAGGCCGCACCAAAGGCTGACCGATGTGCACAATATGCCCTTCCCCATCAATCATTATATTTCCGTTGTGTCTATCCTTGATTTGCAAGATGTAGCAAGCGACGGAGTAAGCAGCCATAGATTGGATGAAGTTCAATCGCGCCTTCTGGAAGCTTGTGGTGTCTTGGCCACCGTACTTCGCAATGAAAAAGTCCTGAAGATCATTGACTTTTTGCCTTCCCATTTCATCCCTTGACGTGGAGTTGGGAACAACGTCAATGACACCACACTGGTGCTGTTGAGCTTACGGTAATGCAAGAGGGACATGTGACTCACACCAGGACCGGTGGCCGTGACTCGATATGGGAGAAGGTAAAGCGTCAATCCGATGCTCGTGAATATGTTCTTGAACATTGCAATAATCTGCAGAGCAAGAACATCTTGTCGACAATCATCACCAACTTTGAAGATTGCCTGTTGGAGGACGTCATATTCAGTTCGTGTCTCCACGCCGCTGCCTTCCCCGTTCAGCAAAGAATCCGGATCGCTGTTGACTTCAATGCGTTCTTTTCTGACTTTGAAAGTGGCCATAAAGGGGGTCTGAGGATTGGGGATGTGAGGCAACATTGAAAAGCGGTGAGTATTAATGAGCACCTTTGCATGACTTTGGAGCGGCCGACCAGACTTTTTATCGATGTCGATAACAACCCCATCTGGATTACTAGGTAGATAAACCCCAACATCAACGATAATTTTGGCCATCTCCTCATCAATTTTGGCCTTTGTAGGTGATGAGCATGGCTGCAGGAACGTGAAAATAAATGTACCTTTTTCTCTGGCTTTGCCTTTTTGACATAAGGTTTAAGCTTGCCAGAGATAGACGTGACTTCATTGAAGAATGAGAATTCTCGGTCATAGAACGCCCGAGATTCGCCTGACAATGACCTCACGACCATGTCGGTCATGGAGTCGAGAACAGGTTTCATTGGGTCCTCCTTCAAAGACAGTTCGATCAGGGGCTACCATTAGGATAAAATGGACAAACTATTTCGCCTGCGTCATCCTTGTAACAATTGGCCTTCATATTCCATATGATTTGATGGCAAAAAAGCTGGGATATTTTTGCAGTCTCGAAGATAAAACGCGCAACATACCCTTCAAGAAAACAAGATGAGGAACCAAACGAAGCTATTGATGGAAAAAAATCTTACCCAGGTCATCATAGCGCAAGGCCTGAACAATTTGTGGTATGAAGAAGAAGGTCAACTCTACGGGGTGTTGGACGAGCACTCGATGGGCGTATTGCAACACCAGTGGATCGCTATTAAATCGACGCTCAAAATAGGTGTTGGCGATGATGGGAGGGACGGGTGCCCAGAGAATTAAGTGCTAAGCCAATTTAGCCTGATTATCAGCTGTAGTGCTCGGAAATTACCTTCAGATCCCGTCTAACGCGAGGATCAAGCCTATCTCCGAGCAAGAATGACAAGGCATCAGGGATATCAAGAACGTCCGTGGTGTTTGACCGAACCAATTTCCCGACCTCATACCGGATGTGAGGATTTTTGAATCGTTCAGTCAGGTAAACGGCGACAGCAGGGTCGAGACGCCAGAGTGTGCGGACAATGCCTGGCCATGCGGTCTGCAGAACAAGGCATCAGACAGTGCCCTAGATGGTTGAAAGACGAGCAGCCTACGTCTAATAGTGTTCGTTCCATGTTTCCAACTATGTCAGCCCCCCGTTTGACATCGTTTGTAGGGTTGCTCCATACGGATAGCCGGGATATTTCGTTCTCCGTGAGGAGACGTAAAGGCAAATTAAGACTGCCCATCCTTTCCGCGTAATCTATAGCCTCGCAATCAGTTCGAGGTTCGATTTAGTCATAAGAAATTGGCTTACAGGTTGCGGACAACCGAGACGGCGATAGGCTCGATATCGCAGCTGGACCTCGTACCGAATCCGATTGCAGATACGACAAGAATTCGGATAAAACTTTGATGTCAGCGTCTACCTGGACACGATTGGCGCCATAAGACCACCTGTAAAAAGTTTGATCTCCCTACTATTATGATCTGATGAAGGAAGAAACTCACTGTGGTCGAACTGAAAACCAGGATAAAGCCGTTGTGTAAAGAGACTCCCGTAACACGTTCTCGCAGTAAGCGTCCAAATGAGAACTTTTCAAAGCTTCAAATCCGAATAGGAGGAAGGAATAACGCGCTTCACGAGAGAGTGCGTGCGTGCTATTAAAATCGGTTTGCTTGCTGTGCTTAATGGAAGATCTTCATATGGTGAAATCGTACCTCAATGTCTTGAATGCTTGAGCAGAGCGTAGTACCAAATGTTGAATCAAGAACATGACTCCCGGTCGATGATACCGAGCTGCTTGCAGGCGACTAAACAGCATTTGTAAGACCAATGCGTGAGGGGTTAGCACCCTTCGAGCATGAGCATAATCACGGTCCATGGATTCTTTATCCGTAGGGCTGTAACTGATGGGGTGATAGAAAGGGTCCTCATAGCTAGCCCATATGATGAGCTGTCATATCCAGTCAGGAGATGGACGATCAGCTTACTTCAGGGATTTGGAAAAAAGCCCTTTACGCTGCTTGATAGTATTGGACCAGGCTGACAAGATTTCGCTCATCAAGGCAACCTCGACTTCTGATCTCTCGGCGATCACCCAACTCCAAACATCGACCCCAGATGCAATGGCGGATGGGCTTGCAACACCGAAGGGCAGGCTGACCAAGTAGGCCAAGAGGTCGTAATCGCTCTGAAGAAATATATATATCAGTTCCAAATTAGCGACGGAGTGAATGTCAAAAAACCTTTTCCATGGAAATTAAAGTCGCTGCACATCGGAAAAGAAGGCGCCGCAAGTCGTGGACGGTAAGCTTGCTCTTCTTACCCCTTATTTCCTCCAGAGTGTTTGACAACTTGATCTTAAGTGCTTCTATTTCCGTTGGGGGTGCCCTTTGTGGAGGCAAAGTAGCCAATTTGTCAACACCTGCACACGAAATATCGAAGGAGTGATTAGATGAGGGAGGAGACTGGAAAAAAAGCTAGATGATACCAACTCTCGCGGTTGGCAAGCCTTATACCTGCTGCCTCTCCTGCAAAATACCCCTTGATCGCGATTTGACTCGACAAAGTTTTGGCAGCGTCGAAATTCCACGGTGAAAAAGAAGATAGAGAAGCTGAGAGATAGGTAAACCCGATGACCGAAAAGACAAATCATAACCACGTACATAGCTGACGATGGACTGGCCCAATAGCCTTCCCAAACTGTTCAGCAATCGAGGCGCCCAGTTCTGCCGAGTTGATGCCTGACAAAGATGGATTGACGGAGAGGTATTTCTTTCGAAAAGGAAGCCTTTGTGAAGTCCTTATCAGATCTTAGTGGTCCGGAAACATACCTGCAGAGTGGACTGCAATTCCATTGGCGCCCGTCCCAATGCCAATTCAAACCAGGTATTTGCATTGCGCTTCAATTGACCGAGGATATCGTTTCGAACCTGATAGCTGTCCGACAGTTGCAACGTGATCCTACTTCGATCGGAGTGAAATTCGTAGACTGGATTGTACTACAAGAAAGTTGAGCTGATTAATCGAGATAGATTAAAGCTGCACACCTCATCGAGGTACTCGTTCTCGCAAGCGCGTTGAAGCAGTGTAAGAACTTCTAGGATGGCAAAAACAAGCGTCGGGTCACACATGAGGGAAGGAAATGATGTGATCAAGCGATTGAGATATTTCGATGCAATATCCCTCGCCTTGGCGATGCGATGAGTGGTAAGCACCACAAGAGAATGAAGTTCCGGGGACAGATGCTTGGGCAGGGTTTGCTGGGAGGCCTTGAAGTTAAGATCGTTGATAGAGTCTCGGATCACCTAAATACGTGTCAAGTGAGAACCCAAAACGAAAAAGAAATTACTTGCCTTTTCAGCAACGGACTCCATACATGCACTCAGTCCGGAGTGGTTGTTGAGACTATCATTGATGAAGTATGAAACTAAAGACGACGGATAACCGGCTGCTGAGCGCATACTTTCGATGTCGTGAAGTGTCAGGATAAAGATGACTTGACCAGCAGAGAGATAGCGTATTTCGCTGGCTCGATAGGTTATGTACCGTGTCAAGTGGTTCCTGTGCTTCGAGATGACCTATGCAATGGGTAAGATGACTGACAGAATGGAACTCAATAACTACTTACCGCATTTGCGTACTCTTGTCGAATGACGGAGTTGTATTCCACATCGCTCGCAACCGCGTCGTGCGCCTCTTCGACTACCATGGAAGGGGTTTTGACCGCGATCCGTGCCAGGGCCGGTTTCAGCCAATCCATCGCTGCCCATTCCTTCGTTTCATCCGTTGTGAAGCCGAAAAGAACGCATAAAAACCATGTGTTCCGGAAGAGACCAATTATTTCTGGAGAAGGCTCTTTGTGGGGGTTGAAGTCGGGATGGGCAAGTAAGGCGTCGATAGCGAGAAGTAAAGAAGCAAGCTGCTCAATCATATCATCTGTCTATTCCAGATTAAGTTTTGGCAGGTCAAAAATTCCAATCGCCGCACTTTGACATGGTGGTTTGCGATTTTCAGGTTCTGAATGGCTACCCCTTTGTCCGCAAACAAAGTCAGAAGCTCGACGAGGTAATATTCATACAATTCAGGGCGCCGGTGGAGCTCTTGGGCTAAACGGGTCTGAGCTGCCAATACCTAGAGAGAGAGAGAGTCAAATATATTCGAATACAAAACGGTATTAATGCACCATATTGTTAGAGAATCTAGGGTCGTCAGGGTTAGCGGAACGATTGATAGCAGAGAATGCTCTGATAATATCCGTGAAAGCGGTGCGCGGGGCTGTCAAAGCAAGGTCCACAAGGTTATACGCAATTGCAGCTTCTACCGTGGGTTCAGCGGAGGGCAAGCGCTGCAGCAACATAGAAATGGTGAGGCGGGTGACCTAGTAGCATGTTCAGAAGGCTGATCAGCTTAGCACCATCAAAGCGACGAACCTCCTCCATTTTGAACTCTAGGGCAAGTTTGGTAACAGCCGAGATGGTGCTGATACCAACTAGACGCTTTTCGTCTTCCGACAGACCACGAAGCCCAGTCTCGAGAGAATATGCATTACCCCGCCCATGGGAATTGAAAGCATGGTTTTGCATGTGAATGCTGCTTGAGTCGAAGATGTCTTTACTCGTTGCCGCAATGTAATTCAGCAAGGAATACATGTTCGACATGATCAAATCATCTCCTGGGGCAAGCTGATAGAGCGTAAGCCCCAGTGAAGCAGAAATTCGTGATAAGAACAAACCCGAACGCAGAGGGCTAAACATTTGGCAGCTGCAGACAACGGAGGCGGGGCTCGACTTTCGGAAGGAAAACCGAATTCAAAAAGTGGCATTGGGGACGTGACAAAGCGTCGCAGGTGTACTACCATGTTGCCCGCAATGTCGGGGAAGCTGAACCATCATCAGGACACCACCAACAGTAAAGTTAATCACGAGTACCTGCGAACCAGCACAGTTGTGGCTTTCAATGCAGCTTCTTGTACGAGATTGTCCGATATTGGCGATTCTGTACTGAGCAAGAGAAGAATGCGAGTATGAAGTTGCTCATCGATTTCTCGTTGCACCAGACAGCAGATGGTAGCCAGTTTCTAGTGATGGGATTAGAATGAGTCCATCTATGATAATCTTCCAAGCGCACCAGACTTTCAGACAGGGTTTCCCATGCGTAAGTGTCGATGGGAGGCTCGCAGTCCATCTCTTCAATTTGGGAGAGGAGATCAGTAAAGCATTGCATAGCGTAATTGATCGTCTTCTTGAGAACCACCTTGGTAGCTTCGTTTTCAACATCGAGCTCCAACGCGGCATTCCGAGTTAGAGAAAGCCAGGCCTTGTTCGCCGCCGCAGCCTCCACAAGCGGGCTTCTTGCTGAGATAGGAGGTGCCAATGCTTGTGCAAGAACGGTCCACTCCGTCTCCAAGACACAACAAACCATGAAGTATCCACTCAGAGGGCGGCCCTGGTTAACGTAGCGAGTGATGAATGTTTGCACATAACGAAGAGTATCAGCATCGGCATTTTCCTTCTGCAGAATATCGACGAGAAGGTGGTTCAGTCGCTCGATGGAATGAGAAGAACAAAGCTTCTTTAAGTGCAATGTGAGAGTCTCCCACTGAGAAAGGTTCCATTGGTATGACGTCGAACTAATCGCACGATAAAATCCGTGGAGAGCCGGCATGAGCTGCGTGAGGACGTCCAAGGCTAAAGTGATGCTTCAGCAGAAGAATTCGGTGTTAGAATATAGTCTTACATGTGCTAGAATGAATATTCTGAATAATTCGAGAAATGAAGGTAAATATCGCGGCTGTCGCCTGCCCACTGTGATCTGGATGTTCGTTCGCAATTCGCAGCAGCGCCGAAATGGTTGAGAAAACAAGCTGGTCGGGAAGGGCCCAATCTGTGATCATTCAGCAGAAATACAGCATCTGACAGGTCTTTGGCATTACCTTCCCATGACAGGGATTTGTCGAAGTCGATAGTTGGAATCTCGCGAAGGATGCCGACGAGAACCGGTATGACTGTCTCAATAGAGCTGCTGATTTGAGGGATAGGAAAGTTGACGACGAGTTCGCCGAAGGCAATGTTACAGTGTACCCTTGACGCGGACTGTTGACCATCAGCTGAATGCAGACCAACAGGTTGAGTGCGGCGCCGTACCATGAAGACGCGTTCCGTGCTTTCTCCAGGCTCCGTCTCTACTTCCTCTGTCTCTTGTTCATCTTCCCGTGCGGCTTCATGGTAGTCTGCATGTGCCTCAACCTTCTGGGACAGAATCTGTTGTGCGTAGGAGCCATCTTCATTGCATGCTATGTTGGAGAGAATTCTTTGGTGAATGTTTAATTCAAGGCTGAAAGCCAGTCAGAGCCGTGTCCTAGTATCTGGTACAGGTACAAAGGGCGTACAAGTCCATGGCCCGGTAGACCCTTTGGAGATACCGAAGGCCGTCTGAGCTGGAAGCTGGAAGACAGTACAACAGAACCTAGGGCCAGAATGGTATTTGCCATTAGTGGCGAAGCTCACTCACCGAGTCGCCGTTGATGGCTTCGTTGATGGCCGACGTCATGTATCAAATATGGAAGTTGGGCCCCTGTCAATGAGTGCCTTCAACCCCGTCCACAACGAGCATACCATGGCTAGAAGCCCACGTACGCTTTTCTTGCACCCTTTGCGTCACCTTCGTAACTCTACTTGTAGTGATCAGCAAAAATCAGCGCAAGACCACTCGACAGAAAGCAGCAGAAAATAAAGAAGATGTCGTTCTGACGAATGCTGATTCGCAGGATGAGCTCATGAGTGAAGAAGAACCACAGAAACGAGACAAGTTGGTTTTTTTGTTATTAAGACTACTGACAGGCATACATAAGCGAGGATCCCCTCAGAGCCGCTCAGAGGAATTTGGGTATGCTGTTTGGTACATCTATTCCCTGAGTGTATTCACACATCGCAAAGGAAAGCAGGCGAAGAAACAGGATACTCGGTCAACCGAATTTCAGACGCGAAAAAAGGCACTGTATAGTGACGCGCGTAAAAATGCACAGGAGATTGTCAAAGCCGGCGTGTCTGCTCTGTAAGTCCTCTACACTTCAGTACAGGACCTCATATTGACGAAACTCTCAATAGAGAAGATATTTTTGTCAAAATAGATGCTCGAAGAGCTCAAGAGATCGGGTTTGAAAAATACTTCATGGACGCCCAGTTGCCCAGCAACGCCCAACAGGTATACCGAGTGTAATGTCCACGCCGCCTGATAAATGCTTATGCTTCATTGCATTTTCCTAGACCTCATTTGACGAGCTGGAAGCGCTGTATCCATCATTCTTGCAGGAATTGGGTAGTCGGCGTGCAAAAACAATGGATGACGCCCATGCTATGGGTAAAGGCCCCGCAAGAGCAGGTGGTCGCCGTTCTGATAAATCTCTCCACAGTCAGGAGTAACCCAGACCGACGTCGCTCGGCCCTAAACACTTTTTCCAAGAGTGCTAGAATCCAACTTGAGGAGTCAAAAAGAAAGGAAAAAGTGAGTATATGCGTGGTCCCACCAGATGCAAGGCTATTAAACGGCCACCTAGATTGCTGTCGATGCAGATGCGCTGATTAAGCACGTGAAGGGCCTTCTGCGCTCCTGAATGAAATTCTGCGTGAAAGCAACATCGTCTAGGGAAGATGCCCGTTTAACGCAGCATGTAAACCTGGTTACCGGTGATGTAGAACTTCATTGCTGGTATTTAAAGAAATAACACTTGTTGCTGTTGTTGATACAAATCCAATTCAATTCCTTTCGCGTACCCCACACTTCAAGAGAAACCATCAATACTTGTGCATGCTTGATTCTGAGTCCAGTTCGACAATCTGAGCGGAGTCGGGATAATGAGGGAGGTGGAGCTCGAACCTCTCCTCGAGACTCCTACCGACGAAATCAGCGACTTGGAAATATTATATGCAAAGGGCGTACTTTGGTACAAATCGTCCTCCCAAGAAATGTCTTCCAGTATAGTCCTTCACGCCTTGCTTTGGGGCCGTGAGGCTGATCAGGACATTGGGCTGCAAACCCACTCCAAGGTCGTTTCCTTTCTCGACATCCCAACCAGACGGAATATCCACAGAGACGATGGGAAGCCTGGACTGATTGAGAAGCGGAAGGACAGTGTCGAATGGAAATCGGATAGGAGGCTTGAACGAAAACCCGAAGATGGCATCGAGTATGACATCAGAGTCGTGTAGTGCCTTTCGAAGGTCATCCACGTCATTTGACGGAGGTAGGACGGGAATTTTCATGTTCTCGCATTGTTTTTGCAGTCGCTGGTGGGGAAGGGGATTAATCGTGCCATGACAGAAATTTCCACTGACAGTGACATACCTGATAGATAACCTTGGAACCAGGCTGCATGACGTTCACCACAATGAGCCAATGGTTCCATGAAGTATCGAGTGGCGTTTATGTAAATTACCTTGGGCATGTATATTGTGGGTTGATACCCAAACATCCCTACAAACGATGGGTGTGAGCAAATTGAATTAAATTACCTTCCGGCATAGTATCACCTAAATGACGTGCTGCCACAAGTCCGTCACCACCTTTGAGTTCCCAGAAGAGTTAGTTTGTCGAGGTATGTGCCAGGATAATTGCCCAACCTTGATTTCCTGGGCCACAGCAGATAAGGACACGCGGATACACGTCTTTTCTGTAGACGGCTGCAACAGCTTGAGCGCAGGCCAGGCCTGCAAGCTCCATAAGCTACACAGAAGCTCAGCGTTTCTGCATACAACCATACAACACAAGGGGACACTGACCTGATCAAGGCTGAAAGCCCCTGCGGAACTCATGAGTTCCTCATCAATCTGACGGGGGATATTCACAGTTAGACGGCCCCTCCTTTCTCCAGCATATGGCGCTCACTTGCTGAGCAAGTCTCGCGGAAAGATAGCGCATCATGTTCAGGGTTCAGAACAAGCAGTTCATGTTGAATACAGTCACAGTCGGGGTTGATCGAGAGGAAATCAAACAACAATGACGTAACTAATGCCGCAAGTCGAAGCACTGGTGGAAGGACTTCAACTTCAAGCAATCTAGGCACACATAGATACGTTTGGAAACTATGAAAACGTGATACAGGCATGAAGAATCGTAACCTCGTAATAATTGATACCAAAAGATGTCCACGCCGTTCAAATGACCTTGAATGCAACTATGGATGTCCAGAGCATGCCAAATGGAAACGAAATACAACAGATGAATCTGGCAATGCAGTCAATTGTACACCGAACATCATGAAAAAGGAGAAGCCGTGGTCGTGGTCGTGTACCAGAAAATAATAATAAGGAAGCCTTTCAGCGTTTCACGCATACTCGCCGATGCTCCTCCCAGTCCTTTCTCTGGTGTTCGGGGGAACAGTATCTGACGAGTTTGCACTTGCTGCATAGATGGCCTGATATCGTCGGTGCCTCCTGAAGGGATGAGTCACCACTCGTCTCTGATCCCTCGGAACTTCCTACGCTCGTGCTCATCCTACGCCTCGAGGTTTCTCCAAAAGCAACGTCGCAATCGATCCAGTTGCACATGTCTTTCGTACGTACGCGCTTCCGTCGCTCTTTTGTTTTAATCTGGAGGATAGCCGCGCTCTCGATGCCTCTTCTGGGGAAGCGAATGATCTCGCAGTCATCTGTGCAGCATGGGTTCGGGCAGCCTGTGGGATAATCGTAGAAGATGTCCTCATCGGGTATATAAGACGGGTCTGTGAAAAATATTTGAGAGTAGGAGGTCGTGTGGTGGGAGAAGAGGACAAGGAATCGAGGACGCTTCTCGTAGAGGATTGCTCGTAAGGTGAGGTCAATCTGAGGGAAACAGGGGGTGCGTCTTTGACGTAGGAGGGTATGGCTGAGGCGCATGTCTGAGGAAGGTGGCATTTAAATCAAAGATGAAACGAAGAGTCGCAAATGGACGCACGTTCACGTTGTATCCGCTCCTCGATACTAGGCTTACAAGGCCTCCCAAAACAATACCGACTGGCAAGTTTAAAATATTCTGCCACATCGTCCATTTCTTGCCTCTTGAGATCGGTCACGATGATGTAAATTTCATCGCAGCCTGTGTCGTGCATGCCGCGTAGCAGCATGAGTTCTGGGAGCTAGAATCGACAGTGTTGGTCTGAGGTCGCCTAATAAACACGAACAGAGGTTCTCACCATGGTAAATACTACAGGCATCATGGGAAGTTTGCGATCTTGCATTGTGTGGTGGTGATAGACATGAGTGGTCCATGTCCGATCGAGAGGTATCAAGCGACCAGTGTCGACTGTACGGCAGAAGACGTTCTCCGGCACGAATCCCCCTTTATTCCAAGCTACAGTCTGCTTGGTCAAGTGGCCGTGCTTGCGCTCTCGTGTGTCTCTGAACCACTCATAGTAGGGATCATGCCCATTGTTGCGGTGTTCCAGCCATCGGTCAATGAGCATATCAGTTGAGTCGTGATCAAGGGTCGTTTTGACAAGTTCTGTCATCGAGAGGCTTGGTGGGAGAAATATCGAGTAATTCTTGGACGTGCGAGGCATGCTGGAAAGTGGAGGGGAAAGTGGCGATGGTGGATGGAAGGAAGGTCAAGACAAGGCGGTGCGACAATGAGCAAGCTGATCAATAAACTCAATCCGTCCATAAAGAGACAGTTAGGCCAATTGAAAATTACCCGTAGTGCGCGAATAAACCGGCCCTGAACTATGATAACCACGCGAGATTTTGAAGTCAGGGGACGCGACGCCGTGTCCTAACACACCCCGAGAGCCAAATATTCTCCCGATGCTTCCATGTTATTAAATAATGTGCAATAAAAGTACAAACTCCTCTCGAGCTGATCAGGACTACTAGGAATGAACACGCCAAACAGCATCAGCGCTGCAGGGACTGGGTAGAAAACTGTACTTACGAGTTCTGAATCGGACCTCTGAACAGTACTTGACGTTTCGGAGCGCGAGGCGAAGTCTTGAGGCTTGAGGTCGAGGTATTCTGCCACGAATATCCGTAAAATTAGGTTCCATCGTCGGAGAGTAGGGAGGTCTAAAGCAGATGCATCATCCTAAGCTCCCGATCGCCTCAGTTACTTTGCTTGGCCTGACATCAAACGAACGAACCTTCAGCGAGTGCCAGACATGCGGGAAGGGCTCAGCAATGATATGAAGGACACTGACCCCTCTACGCAGGAAAGGTATATGGTCATCTCCAATATAACCGAAGTTGGCGGCGTTTGTGGTGCGAGGCCTGAACCACGTCTTCCATTTACCAGGTGCCATACTGTCCTCCTTGCTATAGGCAAAGGATCCGCTATCACCTAATCTCTTCTCCACAGATACCATGGCGTCGAAGAGCCAGGCGGTGTCGAGGAAGAAGGAACGAATGGAGGGGTCCGGTGCCCCTAACAGATCAAGAAGGATGAGGTGGTCGATTCCTCCGAGCACAGTAGTCTGCACGTCCATCATGCGTCGTTTTTGATGAGGGGATACATATGATGTTTCCCACTTTTCTGCAAGGTGCCTTTGACGTATCAGGTTGGTAAAAAAAAAAACACCAATTGCGCATGCGACGCGCACCTGGCTCCATATATCGAATCCGTGTCCGTCCAATCTTTAAATGCCTCTTCCCCATCGAAAAACACAAGTTGCAGGGTTGTATCGCCCTCATCATCATCATCTTCTACACCCTCATCCAGCCTTTTCCTTCTTTTGTCAAGCAAAGAGTTCAATGTTTCCGCGAGGTCCAACATCATCGCGCATGGAGCAGCCGAGTCTGTTGCACCAACGAACTAATATTTAAATAAGTATATGGATGGTATTGACCGGCATCGCGCATACCTGGTTATCAGGATAGCTGGGGTAATATTTGCTGTCAAAATGGGCCGCCAGAACAACACGACGCGAAGCGGAAGGGTCTTTCGTCGCAATAATGTTGGCGAAGCGTTTGGTACCGACGGGCGTTTTGTCCGTGAACTCATCCAATTCTACGTGCCACTTGAGAGCAGTGAGCGTCGAAGCTATGTAATTTCTGACGAGGGTGTTGTTCTCAGTATCCGCTGACAAGGCATGAGTATCGCTGTGGTCTACTCGGGGAACTGGGCGTACGAGCTCTGGGTATGAGTATTTTGGATAAGTGAGACGCTGGGTTTGATGGATCCAGATTCTTGAGAGGGTCACTTGTCGATATTAGCTTCGAAATATCCTCATAAGACAGATGCGGTAGAGACCGCGGTGCAATGGGTTCGTAGGCGAGCGCAGGGAGAAGGAAGAACACGGACAGCACAGACAGGAAGAGGAGGCATCTCGTCTTAAATGGCGAAGGCATGCCGGACGTGCTGCAACAAGTACAACAGCGAAAGGGCAGGCCAGCGCAGCCAAGTGGAATGAATGTTGTCCAAGCTGTGTTATCCGGAGCAGCACCAAGCTTTCGGCGCGGATTAGCCGCCAGTACCGTGCACGGTCACAACCTTGACCACTGACTTTGACCTAATCTAATGGCAATCTATGGTCTCTGGGTACGGTCCTCTTCCTCTCTGTACCATCATCGGCCTCTTATTATGGTTTAAGGTCATAAATAAAGCAGGAGGTCTGGTCTATCAAAGAAACTTTGCAGGTTTTTACCTCCAAGAGCCGTTTGGCAACACTCTGACGACCTTTCAGATGGCCTCGCTCCCCTCACGTCAAATGAATACCTTGTGCTAGCAGGAACGCTACATGGTATTCACGCTATTACCAGTCGATTATCTCCTGTTGGATCGAGCTCGGGGGTGCAGGTGATTGAAGGCGAAACGTTCAAGATGAACATTCTTCTAACGGTCACCGGTGCGTTGCCCTCTATATGCTGGAGACACCTTAACGAGCATGCCCTAGGCACAAAATTTGTCCTCCTGACATCGTTGGCTGAAACTACAGCAGACACTGTATTGCAGAAGGTTTACGATATTTACTCAGACGCTGTCATGAAGAACCCGTTCCACACTCCAGAAATGCCTATCAGAAGTGAAGGATTTGATACGCGGGTGGGAACACTCATAGGTACGGGACAGACATAGTGGACTTTGACACATGCAATGTGTAGGTGGGAGGTGCGTGACCTATGCTCTCATTCTTTTATCGCACTCATGTAGCTTTTGTGCGCCATAGGGCGAGGTGCACAGCTATATAGCATGTTCATCGGTAGATGGAGAAGTTGCTAAGCCAAATTCTGAAGCATCCATTTTCATGCGGCCTCAAGGCGTCCGACTGTTGACCTCGATCCCTCTATTCCGAGGTCCCGAGGATTCTATATCTGCTCAGAGGTACTTATTTTTGGTTCAGTTCGATTTCCGTCCCTTCACATTTCACGTCTCGTGACCGAGTCGCGCTTCACAAATCTGGTTAACACCGCAATGAGCATATAATCTTGTCCTTCCGTCCACCTTCCTGCGCTCCGCATCGACATTGAGCCTATAAGCAACTGGCCATTCAACTTCTCCTTACTACTGATTGATCATGCAAGTCCAGCAGACCCGGAACATAACTCAATCTATGAGTCATACGCAGAGTATTGCAGCAGTGCAGACTCTTCTCAGAGCTGGCTTAGGCGCTATAACATTTCTAAGGTTTGTTTCCTGAAAGCAACTCAAGCGGTGTACTGATCTTTTCGTCCAGGAACTTGCTACCAGAAGATAATTTTGCCCCAAGTATTTGCTCGTACCTCTCGTCTTACACCTCTATCACTCATCCTTGACTCAGGCCATTTTACCTCGATCGACGATGGGGCCTCATCGTCTGCAGGATCGTTCCAACTTGATAGTTCGCAAGAGAGCAACATGTCGAGAAGGAACGTCAATAGTTTCCGAATTATGGTGAGTCCGACGCGCATATACTTCAGCCTTTTTGATCTCATTATGCACAGACTTTGACCAGAGGTTATACCGACGAAGCTGATAGACTCCTCAATTACTTGGTATATGCGTCGTATCTTATCAGAATGTCTCTTAGAGATCACCCTGATGAAGGAATACGGAATCTTTGATGCTCTCGAAAAGCAGTACCTCCGAAGCTTTATCTTTGCTATTTATCTGGTATGTGGGCGCCTTGTCTCAGTGCTTACGATGTTCATCGTCTATCAGGACAACAAAGACCCCACTAAGTAGCTTTTTTCCAATCTGCCTATGCCGACTTCTCAACGCCGTGTAGCATTGTCGAGGCTTATACCTTCAACTTCAAGGTTTTTGCATCCCGCTCATAGATGTCTTGATGAATTTGCCTTCTCAAGACCTTGTCAGTATTACACAATCCCTGGGACAAGCACGACTATTCCTATCATGAGCCTAGGCGATGGGTTGAAAAGGATGTCACTTCGAAACCAAAAAGACGTCGAGGATCCCGTTGCCAAAGCGATCAAAAATGGGAAAGCTCCGACCCTTAAGGACGTGAAGTCAAGTGTCAAGGCAAGGCAAAATCGAATTTATATTTTACGATCCCTGATGCGACTCGTTTGTCTAGGCAATGCTTAAAACCCTTATTCACATCATGCATCATATGGATCCTTTACCAAGTAAGCGATTAAATACTAGAGGAATGGCTGACTAAAGGAAACAGGACGTCGGTTTGCGACTTTCAAGGTTTATTATACTGAGAAGACGCCAGTTAATTACGAGCCACCCCATTTTCAAGCGGGGGACGTGGATAAAGACAAGTGGTTCTTCATGACTCATGATTTGGACGAGATGCCAGACAGGTGCAGCGTTGGTAAAGTCGAGACTGGGCATCATTCGTGCGTCCACCGCTCAATCCTATTCTGCCCAGCTAATTTCCCTTCACAGAGTCAGCGTCAGCGTCACTTCCATTGCTTCCTATCTTCCTTCCTCTACGGAGCACGACTCTGCTGCTTTCTCCGGAACCGTTCCCCATCCGGGCAATCACGTACTTACGCCAATGCAAGAAGCATCTATCTGCAAGCAACAAGCCGAAAGGCAACAAGAGGACGCGGAGAGAAGAAACATTGCTTGGGCCGTCGAAGATTCTGTCAAGCTGGGCGACGATGTAGACGCTGAAGGCGATGACGACCCAGATTATCTCAGGCAGCCTGATGGAAGTTATCAGAGGGCCGATGTTGTTGTGCCAGTCGGAATCAGAAACAAGGATGGGAGCATTGAGACGCTTCCAGCAGATGTTCAGGACGAGGAAGTCCGATATGACGGGTTTGTTGAACGCGTCCCAACTCGCCTTCAAGAATTTGTAAAGTATCCCTCATCTAAAAGGCACTCTTTCACTGACAGTTTACTTGTCACAGGCTGCGGAACAAGAACCAGTCAGTAATGGCCTAGAAGAAACGCAATGCTTGTCATCCACTCCCAGAAGGACAGGTAAGAACGAGGCCAGATCATGGACCAACACTAACGAATCACATGAAGAGCCGAGAGCGCCTTCGTCTGCATCGTCGGTCGATCAGCTCATCCCTTCTCCACTTTCCGATATTCGAACGACGCCTTCCACGCGCGCAACGAGTTTTGATCCCGAAATGCTGAAGAGCATGACTCTTGAAGCATCGGAAAGCTGCGACACCGAGATGTTGGGTAAATAACACCTCGATGGCTTTTTCTTTCTTCTCAACATTTTGTACAGACTTAGAAACCCAGGTGACATCCCGAGAGCCGATGGCTTCGGATTCGATTGAGTCTTTTCCCGCATCGAATGCGATGGATGCCGTTCGGAATGACGGGCTTCTGGTTGCTGGGGAACGTCTTTCTGACAATGGTTTGCAATGCGAATGTGGGATTCCGGTTCGTCGATTTATCCTTTGTCAAACCAAAGTCTTTGATGCCAACCTATCGCAGGAAGAGGACGGAACATTCGTCTTTTGCGAGGGGGGCTGTAAGAAATGGTTCCATCTCTGGTAAGCCTCTTTCGAAGCCTTACACTATGCTCGCTGGCCAAATATTGAGACATTACAGGTGTATGGGGTATCGCGATCTTTTGAGCTTGAACTGTCTTGCTTCCGCGCTCATCTTTTACTTACCTAGGTATCATTCGGGCAATGACAAGCGAATCCCGTCAGCATTCAAGTGCTTCGACTGTCGGGCTCGCTCTGACGTGACATGGGAACTTATCAAATTCGATATATACCCTCAAATGCTCTCAAAGTTCAAAGATCTAGCGTTGTTCAGGTGCGTCGCTGATTCCGACACAGTACTGATTCCTGACGAAGCGACAGGAGAGCGATTAAAGTTGCTCAGTACGAGCGCTCGTTTAGCGCGATGGAATTTGCCAAGTCGTTCGGTGAGCATCTGGAAAAGTAGCAGTGTGATCCCCAATCTCAACCTCTGGTTTGAGGCTGTGATGTTGTCTTAGGTGGCCAGTTATTGAAGAGGCTTGAGGACGAAGGTCTGCTCTGACGTCGACATTTCTTCGATATGCTCACTCTGTGGCAGATTTTATCTCTAAAGAGTCAACAACTTTGGATGATATGGGTCTCACCGTAACAACCCGTGGCAAAACGACCAAGGGCAAAGGGAAAGTCAAGCAACCCAGGAAAAATATGCAGAAGTCACGATTCGTTTTTAACCATTCCTTGGAGACAAAGGCGCAGTATTTGGATTACTTCAAACCTGACGACCAAGACATCGAAAAACACTTGCTCGGAGTCGCTGATTTGGTTCTTCTCTCCTATTTTCCTCGCGTTGTGCTTGCCAACCGATCATTTCCTTCCGCAGGCTAAACCTAGACAGAAACCAGCAAAGAACATCATGCCAGAAACTCAGACTCAGGAGGAGACTAACACCCGTGATACACGCAACAAGCGCACGGTTTCCCAGACGGCCGACGAAACTCAAGATGCTGAGCGTCCCTCGAAGAAAGTCAAAATATCTGTCGCAGCTGCTGTGGATCTGGCTGAATGAAAGTTCTTGCTCATTAGAACTCAATAACAAGTTCCTCTATCATTATTTTGCCTGTAATTTGGCATCAGTCTTACAACTAAAGTGTACTTGCTTTGTGCTTCCCTGTGCTGCTAGAGTATAATAGTAGTCAGATAATAAGTGGTATGTAACTGTAGCGTTGTGTCACCGAGAGCATGTCTCAACTGCATTAAATTCATTGACGTCACTGCTTGTTCTTCGCTCTGTTCCTTCTTCATCCAACGCGTTTCGCCAGTTGTTCTCGACCTTTGATGAGCATCTGAGACGATAGATGATTCCCTTCGCCTATCTTGCAATAGGCATCAGGGTCCTCATCGCCCTTTGCACAAGGACAATTTTCCAGCCCGACGAATACTTCCAGGCGCTGGAGCCAGCCCACCATGCTGTCTTCGGATATGGGCACCTCACATGGGAGTGGGTGGCCCCCAAACCCATTCGAAGCATTCTTTATCCCTTTTTGAATATGCCTATCTTCTGGATCTTGAAGTCCACAGGTTTGGCGGAGACGGGTATGTTGGGAGACGGGCTTTTGGTAGGTATGTGGCGATTCGACGCGTCGCGATAGTTTCCTTGATTCTAGTCCTCAAGATTGCCTCTCCCAAGATCCTCCACGGCCTTCTCGCAGCCGGAACAGATATCTATCTAGTTGAGACGACACGTCGCACCCTAGGAAGTGCTTATGTCGGCACTGCTGTCAGCAGCCTTTTGTTCGCCACTTTGCCTTGCACCTCCTCTAATCGTTTATTTCTCAGTTCCTTCTGTCCTTGACGTCATTTTTCAATGCACTGGCGTTATCCCGATCGCTTTCCAATTCCCTGGAAACAACTCTGACCACCATCGCTTTCGCTCATTACCCTTGGGACGCCAGTCCGAGTCTGAGTCCTCAATTGATCTTCAACAGGCATGCTTCGAACCCATGATTACTTTGATAAATGAATCTTCTGACGTATCTTTCCTATCAGAACAAGGCTCGGGAAAGTCATGTTGTTCAGCGCCTTTGCTTGTATGATTCGTCCGACAAACGCTGTCATTTGGGTCTTTCTGTACGCGAACCTATTCTGGGCAGCACGAAAGCATCACAAAACGTTGCTAGCCATTCTCCAAGATCTCATGACAATCGGGTAAGTCTTCTGGGACTTTCGATTCTTCATGATGTGCTCAGTGGCTTCATTTCAGTCTCTCGTCCCTTGGATTTCTAGTCACTCTCGACTCACTGTACTATAGAAAAGTAACGGTCACCCCCTTCAACTTCCTGATGACCAACTTGTCGTCCGTCTCTTTATTCTACGGAGCAAATCACTGGCATTACTATTTGACACAGGCCATACCCGTCCTATGCACTACCGCCCTTCCATTCACCCTGCATGGTATTTGGAGCACCCTCACATCTAAATCAGTGCACAATACTACATCGAAGACGATGCTTGGTGCTGTTCTTTGGTTCGTCAGCATCTATTCTCTAGGAGGCCACAAGGAGTGGCGTTTTCTGCATCCTATCCTCCCCCTGCTTCATATTTTTGCTGCGAAATCGCTTGTCGATCTGTCATCAAGTCGCCGGCCCAAAATTGAAGTAAACACTAAAGGAAAGGGATTGAGAAAGCCGTCGATGAAGTCGCCACGCCACACGCTTCTCCATCGCCTATTCGACCTCCCGAGCATACCCATGTCATACCTTGTGTTACTTCTTTCGACTCTTCCCATTTCGCTTTATACCGTACTTTTCTATTGCAGCGCGCCCATCAGTGTCCTTTCGTTCATTCGCTCTATCCCCCGGGAGGAGCTTGGAAACAGCACTGTCGCCTTCTTGATGCCTTGCCATTCAACGCCGGGATATGCTTATATTCACAGAGAGCAGTTAGCACGGGGCGGTATGTGGGCACTTGGGTGCGAGCCTCCCCTCGAGTACGTTGTTCTAGCTCTTTCATCATTCGTTACTGATTTTATCGTCTTTCAGACGACAGGCTCTCTCGGAATACAAAGACCAAACAAAAGTATTCTTCGACTCGCCAAAGCATTATTTGGAAACCTACTTTCCACCTGGAGTCGACCCCTCGTTTCCTCCATCCCCGTTCCCGATTTCCGTTCCAGGAGCACCTGCTCCAGTGCCATCCTCGTCTCATTCCGGAGCCCCGATATACCCTTGGCGGCACAACTGGCCTCGGTACCTGGTGTTCTTTGGAGATTTGCTCAGACAAGATGGTGTCAAGGCCCTCCTGCAGAATAAAGGATACAAAGAAATTTGGCGGGCGGGTAGAGAGTGGGAAGGCGAGGATGAGAGAAAGGGCGGGGTCAAAGTCTGGATGTGGTCGGATCCTTGAAGAACTGCTTCGTATATTCCGCCTAGATGGATTCGGATTAAGTATGTGGATAGGAGAAGATGTCAACAAATGTAGCCCGCATAGTACAAGGTCCAATGTTGTCCAACTAAAGGGAATGATTCAGTGTAAAGACCGTAGAAGAGGACCCCAGCCCCTAAATCCGTGATAAGTCGCGTCCCCAGATTCCTCTGGAAATGCAAATAGTCAGGAACATAGCGCTAACGAGAAGGGAACAATGATGTGAGGCTCACCGGACGATCCAATCTATCATCAACAACGCTCTGGTTCTCGCGGAGACTTGCTCATTCCAATACACGCTTCTCCAAGCGTACATCGCGATCAGCCCACCCATGAACGAATATTTCCCAAAATCAAACACTGCAGCGTTCCCAATATACGCCAAACTGCCGAGATGGAGATATCTGAAAGGGCCAGAGACCGCTTCGTCAGCAAGGGCACGCATATTCGTTGCTGCTCGTTTGTCCGTGCCAGTAGCGGCAGCTTCGGGATCTCGTTCCCTGGATTGACTGGCTTTGGCAAGCTTATGGAGCTTCTTGCCCAGGTACTTTCCTTGTTGTGCAGAAACTTGGGCCGTAGCAGGGAAGGAGGTGATGCGGTTGCCGATTTCTTCCAACAGTTTGAGAAGCTCGTTGAGTGATAAGCTGTCGTCGGCGTCGGAGTCGTACAGCTGGAAGAGTTCTCTCACTTTGAAGAGGTGATCTTCTGCCATGGGCACGCGTTTCTTGATCCTGGCGACTAAAAGGAAATTGAGCAATCTTGACTAATATATCAATACGTTTACACGTACCCATGTCCTCCCATTCTCCAAAGTCGATCTTGCCGTTCTTATCCTTGTCTGACTCTTCAACCAGCTGGAGGAAATGGCTCAGAAGTGATGTCTCGATCTAAGATCCATCTGATTCAGCCAAAGGAAAGACCGCGAGAGAAGTAGATTTACCGTCGAGCAATCTCCAACTGCGTAAACCTCGCCTAGCGGTGCCCCTTTAACCCTTAGATGCGCGTCCACTTCTATGGCTTTCTTGTGCACCTGGTTGGGAAGGAGGCTTGAGACGCGAGCAGTGAATGGGTTCATAGCGATGCCGGTTGACCAAAGAACGAAGTTTGTCGGAATAGAATGCTGTTCGGTCTTGCCTTCCGCGTTCTTGACGGTATAAAGTACATGGGTAGGTGTGACGGCCGCGACACTACGCATGACATGTCAGTAGATTCTTCAATTAGATGCAATAGACCACGGATTACCGAGCCAACGTAATCAGGTCGACCTGGTCTCGTTTGAATTTATCCTACATTTTTTGTCAGATAAGAGTGCTTTCAAGAACAGAAACTAACCTCTGCAAACTTCGAAATAGCTTCCGAATACTACATCTCGTCAACATCTACTTCAGACAGGATTGAAGTAGACAAGCTCACCGTATTTAAGATGTGTTCTCTGGACTGAACAACATGAATAGACACTTCTTCTCTGCAAATTTTTGGGAACTAAGAAGGGTGTGAGTGTCAGAATACAGACGAACGCAAACAACTTACATATTTTGCAATATCCTCCTGACAGAAGTCGTAGATTTCCTGGAGAAATGTTAATCTAAATAGGTGCGCAGGTGATTGAAAGTTAAACTCACAGCAGCCGTCTCTACACCCGTGGGTCCACCTCCGCAGACGACGAAACTAAGCAGACGTTTACGCTCCTCAGGAGTTGTGGTCGGTAGGCTCGCGGCCTCGAAGTTGTCTATCAGATGTCAGTTTAGCATAATTCGAAAGGGTGCACCACTACGTACCCATAATACGTCGTCTCATGGCCTGGGCGTCACCAATTGTCTTGAGCTGGAAGCAATTTTCTAGTCCAGGAACGCCATGCGTACTTGATGAAGAGCCAACAGCAATGACGATTTTGTCATAGCTACAACACGCCCATTGTATTCATGAATGATATCGAAGCAAGGATCAGAGGACTCACGGAATATATAGATTAGTCTTTGTACCATCCGGAGACGTAGTTTCTACCTCCAAAAGCCGTTCTGACATTACAATATCTATCGCTTTTCCTTGAACGAAGTGACCGTGAAGACGAGCTATTAGTTTCCGGACTGGCTCCACAAGTGAACGAACAGAAACAGTTCCCACTGCGGCGGCTACGAAGGCCGTGAGGAAATCGTTGAGGAAGTGTTCAGAGCCGGCACTCACAAGGAAGGAGAGGCGTGAATGTGGTATAGGTATCTGTAGCGACCACAGTGACATGATAATCCCCTGGACTGATGGTCTGGAGAACGCCCACGGCCTTTCATGGGGATTGATCAGGATGAACGAACGCGAACATAAGAGAAAGAGCTTACGCCCCAACCGCCTCCAACGACGACTAATTTCGGCTTGACAGCGAGTGACTTGGCCTCGTCGTCTTCTTCATCGTCAACAAGAACACGCGCAATGGGCAAGTTCTTAGGACCGCCGCGTTCGGGGTGCAGGGCCAACGGGTTCACAGGCACGCGATCTACATGCCGCTCGTTATAGGTAAAGGCGTCGTGTGCGAGGATTCCGACTCCAATTGTGAGGACGCCAACCACAGTAGACAGACACAAGAGACCTGTATATTTCGCAACTGTCTTCGTTCTTTGGAGCGCAATAGATGGCTTCGGTGCTTCTGTGGTGTTTAACCTAAACTGCGAGCGACCGAGGGGGGAAGCTCGGCGCCTCGCAGCTATGGCGAACGAAGTCCGCCACGCGGGGGAAGGCATGGGTGGTGGTGCGGGGGAAGGTGTGCGGTGGGGGACAGCTGGTATGTATTGATGTCATTGACCCATTAGCCGAAGTGTAGTGTTTGTTATGTTTATCAGATTTAGATTTGATTGTGCGAAACTATGGCTACGGCGGTCTGACGATCACACAGACCTCTGACCAAAGCAGTCATTTCTCTTCACCGACCATGTCTGCGTCTCCTAACCACCCCCTCCCTCCAGTTCCCTCAGACTCTCCCACTGCAACCGTTCGTCGCCACCACACAATATCTGCTCACTCTCGCTCCGCACGCACCGCTGCAAAGGATGTCATCTCCGAAGAAGTGCATGACCAGCAGCAGGCCATCTGGAATGATGACGAGGTCGTCGATCAGGACTGGGTCGGTGGTGTAGGTGCAGTCGGTGAAAAAACCTCTCTCCATAGGCAGAGCTCTCTTCCGACCCGTTATCATCGTGGTATTTCATCTCCTTTGTCCGATCAGCGAGCATTCTCCTCTGATCAAGGTTCTTCTCATCCAGGCTTCCAAAACCAGGCCGCAAAGTCCGGCAATGCTGCACCAAAGACAGTCAACAGCCTTGCCGCCATCGCGGGCAATGAGGGTGATGAAGAGCCTTGGAAATTTGGCTCATACAACGTCGAAGACGATGAGGTCAATTTCATATGCATTTTAAGCTTTCGTTCTCATGCTCAATCTATTTGCAGCATTCTCCCAGCGACCATCATCCCCAGCACCAACAAGTGCTCGATGCCCAGGGTCAGCTACAATCGAGCAACTCGCCTCTTTCTCCTCATTTCGCGGGCAACCCACCCACTGTTCCATCGCCTCCTCCTGCGGCCTCCGGTGTTCGTCGACATGTTTCGCTTACTTATGGGGCGGCTGTTGGTGGTCAACGAAAGATGAACACGGGCCTCAAGCGTTCTGGAACCCTCCAGGCTCCCATGCCAACCCATTCCCAAAATTCTACTCCGCCGGATACTTCGGAACAGGCTGAGGAGGAAGAACAGTATGCCTACGAAGCAGAAGACACTTCGAACTATGAAGACGAATATTATGCAAGGCAGCAACAGCAACAGCAGTACTCGGGCGGCTCTATTGGTCGTTCATCTCCCTGGTCCTCCGGGAATGAATGGAGGCCAGGGTATACAGGTGGGGGTAATGGGAACGTTGGGACCGTGGACGACGTCCAACGGGCACTTTCTGCTCTCGAATTGGCAAGCAATCAGAATACTATACCGGCTGGCGGGTATGGTGTTTATCAGCCGACCGGACAAGGCCCGCCTCCTCGTTTCAACTCTACGAATCAGCCAGTCCCTCAAAATCAGGCAGCCGGGCCTCGTGGAGGCAACGGAAACGGGGGAAATAATAATGGGGCTGGGAACGGGAACAGGCAGATGGGTGCTGATTTTGACGGAAGAAAGACTCCTCTCTCCCAACCCCGAGGGTATGGCCAAGCGCAGCAATACGCCCAACAGCAACAGGGATGGGATCAACAAAAGGACCAGGGTTTACGTGGACGCGCTTCCAACCCAAACTTGCAATACGGTTACCAACAAGGAGGCGCGAGTGGGCACATGAAGAGCGCGAGCGGCAGTGGCGCAAGCGCTGGTGCTGCTGGTGCTTCTGGCGGAATCCCGAGCGTGCCTCCAATTCCACAGCAGTACCTGCAGCAACAAGGGCAGGGCAACCAAGGCGGTCGGCCTGGGCTGGGCGTTGCCACTAACTTCAGCAATGCAGGACCTTCAGTCCCTTCTGGCCAGACGCCCGTGCAGCCTTTCATCACCACGCCGATTGATGTCCCGACGCTCATCGCGACGAAAGGCTACAACCCTGCGACGTTCGACACGCGTCCACAGTTCGCTCGGTATTTTGTTATCAAGTCGTACACTGAAGACGATGTGCATAAGTCGCTTAAGTACGAAATTTGGAGCTCCACCGACCCTGGTAACAAGAGGCTGGATAAGGCATTCAAAGACACAGCCGGACGTGGTCCCATCTACCTATTCTTCAGTGTGAACGCCAGTGGTCATTTCTGCGGGATGGCGGAGATGCTGACACCGGTACGAGTCACAAGTTCTTTTCTCGTCGTATGCGACTGATTGTTCGTTCTTGGTAGGTGGACTATACAAGAAGCAGCACGGTCTGGGCATCTGATAAATGGAAGGGCGTCTTCAAAGTCAGATGGATATTCGTCCGCGACATTCCCAATATGAATCTGCGACATATCAAACTGAAGTATGTCTTCCGTGGCGTGTTCTTCTGCAGGCATTAATGTGTATACAGCAACACTCAAGAGCGCAAGCCGGTGACTAATTCAAGAGATACTCAAGAACTCTTGCCCGATGCAGGTCAAGAGATGTTGAGAATCTTTCACACCCATCCTGCACGAACTTCTTTGTTGCAGGACTTCGCGTTCTATGAGGTCCGTCTTCTTGCCTACCTCTTCTCGACTGACTAACTGAACTCGCCACGATTTTTGCCTTTCCACAGCTTCAAGCTATGCAGAAGATGCAAGCTACCGGCGGTGCCGCTTCTCCTCCACAACCCATGCTTCATTCACCTCAGCTGCAACCCTCTGGTATTCCAGCATCCAGCAGCTACAACTATAACATGCAACCGATGGTGCAAATGAACATGGGTCTAGGCACCGGACAGTACAACAACGGCCAGCAAGGCTTGCAAGCCATGCATCAAAGTGTCATGAGACACCCTAGTCCCGGTCCTGCAGTGCAGGGTCAACAGGGAAATCAAAATCAACAGGTCGGAAATCAGGGGGGTTTTGGAGGATTCTAAGCCTCTTTTAATCTTTCTGGCACCGGCGAATCCACAAATCCTTGATTCTTCGCTTCTACGGGCTCTGTACCAAAGTGTTCCATCTTCGTTTCAGGGTGGTGTATACGCAAACTTGTCTGTCTGCTACTCCTATCGATTCCTAGCTGTCACTTACCACCCCACTTCTGTTCATCTTTACATTACTCACGACAAATCAAGACCTTCCCATACCTCAATCTCTGGCTCTCTTATTCTTCCGTAAACTCTGATCTATGCCCACATCTAGTATCTTGGTCCCAGTTTCCCTTTCCCTTCCTCTCCCCCACATCATTTTAATTATTTGTATCATTGCACAACGATAACGGACATGGGACAGTGAATGGACGTGAACACATTCCGCTTGTTCGCTACCTTGTACTTGTTCTGCAGTCGTTATTACCGACTTGTTGCTACTACCAACATCCTTTCTGCCAACCGCTGTTCATTACTTAGCGTCAACCCCTATTGCTTGGTGCCTATCGTGTGATAGGAAACAGTTTCCCTTATATTGAATACATGCCCATGTTCTATACGCTATGTACAACTTGTGTAAGCTGCGTAGAAATGCAAAAGGTTTTAGAGCTCCTCCGTCCCGTCTTCATTGAGCTTTGTGATCCGTTGTTGGCTTCAAACCCCGATGAAAACAGAGCGGGATGCTCCCGGACCGTCGTGCCTTCAACCAACACAGAGACCTGACGCGCACTGTAAAATAACCTTCGGACGCGTCTTTTCTCTACACAATGGCTGCACGACTAGTGCGCCCCATCTCTGCAGCAGAGTTTTCGCGCATGGTGGAGTCAGCTCAGCCGCCTTCTGGATGGTCGGAATCACTCGGTGAGAGCCTTCGTGAATCTTAACCTCAGGCCTTCCTCAACGCATTAGAATTTATTAGCGGTCGCAAACTCTGGTGGACCAGATTCAACTTGCCTGCTCTTTCTCTTCGACCAACTCCTGAAGGGTCCGAAAGACGGGGGTCACAAGAAATTGCCTAGACGTCTCATCTCGCTCAGCATCGACCATGGTCTTCAAGCATCGTCCTCTTTAATGGCCGAACACGCTGCCAAAACTGCGCAAGCGCTTGGCGTTGAACACAACACGGTGACGCTGCCTTGGGGAGAAGGAAGCAATCCTCCCAAACCAGGACCTGAAGACAAGATTGAAGAAGTCGCACGGGCAATGCGTCACAGGGCTTTCTTCAACAATATGATTGCCAATAAGGCCAATGCCCTGGCTATGGGTCATCACATCGACGACCAAGTTGAAACTATGCTTATGCGTCTAGGGAGAGGAGCCCATTCATATGGTCTCGCTGGTATGAGGCCTTGTCGAAGGTGGGGAATGGGCAGTCATGAAGATTCCTATGGTGCCGACGGTCTGAGAAGGTGGATAATCCGGCCGCTTCTAAGGGAGAGCAAAGTGAGTTCTTAGAAGTTCTGAAATTTGTCTGGTAAGTAATCCGTTCACAGGACCGGATTCTAGCCACATGTGAAGAAAACAAGTTGGACTATGTCAATGACCCAACAAACTTCCAACCTCAACTTACTGTCCGGAATGCCATTCGACATACCATTATGGAAGGAGGCACTGTCGCTACGACCGCTAGTGATCCTGCACTTGCAAAATTTCCTCCAGAAATAGCCAAACAATTGGCTGAGATCAACGTTGCTGCTGCAAAGGATCCTACTCTCGACTTCAACCTTGCTTCGAGTGTGGAACATCTCAGAGAGGCCAATCAAAGCATGGTCTTGGAACGATATCGTCTTGAAGGCGAGGGTAGGCGACTTCCTCTTCGTGTCGTGGTGCCATTTCTCAAAAGTTTATTCGTCTAGTGGACAGAATCATTGAAGAGGGCAGGCTACAATCGCCCCAAGGCACATTTATGGTTTCCGTTCCCACCCTCATGGAAATAAAGAGTGAGGACGTTAAAGAATCTCTCCTCTACCGAATCGCTCGCTATGTATCACCAGAGCCATGGGGCAATCCCCGCGCCGAACTTGGGCGTCGGGAAGCCAGCATGGAGCGGCTCATTAAGCAGCTATTTGCATTCAAACATTTGAGAGCCAAGAACAACATTTCGATAGTCGTCGGCTCCGGGGTGTGGTGGAAATTGGTCAGCCTTGCAAAAAACCAGCTACGTACGGCGATCAAGGAGGTACCACTGACCAGCATGGCCTGGATAGCAGTGCGACAACCACGGACGGCCGACAAGGAAGACCGACCTCATAATCCGCTACGTGTCGATCTGAGCGACCAGTTGAAGGAAGCCATACCGCGGCTTGGCCATCACGAACCACCCCATAGCGCCCTGGAAGTTATGTACGACTGCCGATTCCTTATGCGTTTCCGGATGGACAAAATACCAGAAGACGTCGTAGAGACCCTGAATAACGGTGGAAAACTCATTGTCAAACCGCGAAGTGTCTTCCTCCTCCCTCAGATCCTGCTTGTACACCGCAAGAAGGATAAAGTCGTCCACAGTGACATCATCAAGAAGCCATACTTTTTCCCCAGGGATATGGGTCAGAAAAAAGATCGGACGGTTACTTCTGACTGGATTACTGTAGAGTATTTCAGACCATCCACAGCCATATAATCTAGGACGTATTAAATAATTCCAATTAGCAACCACAACTCTATTCTTCGAACTGGAGACTCGGAATGGGACTCGGAATGGGACCCAGAATACGAAATGCCCTTGCGTCTTGACGAAGGATGGCGGCAACAAGAAATCCCTCCGCAATATACAGCGAACCAAATCAGGTGAATTTGAAGCTATGGCTGGCCATCTGCAG